GAAATTATTTATTTATTTCCTAAATAGGTTAGTATACTATCAACTTACGCTAGAATCTAGTCTAAAATTATATCTAGATACTATATATAAAAGATAACTAGTAGAATACTAATTAAAACTAGTAGAATACTAATTAAAATAGTTACTTCCTAATTAGGACGCCGCTATACCTATTTAGAATGGTATTCCACGGTGGATGACCATTTCATGAGAGGTTAGATTATCTCGCGAAGAAAGTCTTTATCGCGATTAGGAAGTCGGATAATATACGTAAGATACTTTAAGTTACGGTCGCGGAAATACTATATCTATTAAGTACGACTATATTACTTAATATAGTCTTATTTTAGTATATCCTTATCTATCTCTTATATCTTAGTCTTATACTCGTGATTTATAGTCTAGATATTAACTAGTAACGCTTTTAGTTTCTTCTTAATATATAGCGATAATAATAGTATTTAGGTAGAGAGTATTTAGCTTAGGGCTAGTCTAGCGATCCGATTTACGACTTTATAAGTAATATAGATATTAAAAGTATTATAGGTATATATAGTAACGGTAGTCTCTTTAAGCGTATAAACTTTAAAGTATTTCCGTTTATTATTAACTATAAACTATATCTACGTAAAAACGTAGGACTAAAACGTCGATTATTATAAAGCTTATTATAGATATTACTCGCGAATATATCGCTTAATATCTTTAATATACGTATTAATTACCGAATATCGCGATTATTAATAGCGAAACGCGGGAATAGATAGAGTAAATCCTAGGATGGAAGCTAAATAGGCCGGAAGTATATAAATAGTATTCTACGCTATAGCTCTTTAATATCGATATAGATAGATAAGCTACTTTCGCTATAGTAATAGGATCTCTTTATATTTAACTCGAAGATAGCGATTAATATCTATAACGACGTAGTCGTAGCGTATATAAATAAAGATCTAATATACCTCGTTAAAGAGAATAAAGTCGTTTACGTTCTAGAGTATCTCGACTATTATACGTAGCTACGATAATACTATATAATTACGACGAGACTATATTAAGTAGTAGATATAAAGTACTTATCGCTATATTAGAGTCCTAGTCTAGATCTAGCTAAGCGAACCTCGTCTAGAGCTAGCTATACTATTTGGGATTGAACCCTAATCCTCTTTACCCTTTTGGGCGTCGAAGTACAGCTACGTCGCGCCTACCCTAATCGTCTCTAATAACTTTAGTTTTCTATTACGCGATATACTAGATATATATACTATATACTATTTAATCCGCCTTAGAAGGGCGAGTACGTCGATATTATTTTTACCCCGATTATCGCGGGGGCGCGGCTAGTAAGTTAAAAGAATATAGCGACGGAATCCTATGATATCTTGACGCCGGCGCGCGGCCGGATTGGCTAGCCTCGCGTAGCCTCGCGAGGAATCCTACGACGTTCTCGGGTCCTCTTAGATAGGGCGAGCACGCCGATATCATTTTTGTCCCGATTATCGCGGAGGCGCGGCCAGTAAGTCAAAAGAACATAGCGACGGAATCCTACGACACCTTAGCGCCGGCGCGCGGCCGGATTGGCTAGCCTCGCGCAGCCTCGCGAGGAATCCTACGACGTTCCCGAGTCCTCTTGGATAGGATAGGTTTAGGCGCTATAATTAGCTAGCGCGCGCTAGGATAGAATACTTCTTCTTCTTTATTTAGTACTAGTAAGATAGTTAACTTAGTAATTAATTAATTACTTAATCGATTAGTTATATAGATATCTACTTATTTAGCTATGTTATTGTTATTGTTAGTAGTTATGTTATATATATATAGCTCCCCCTGCCCACGTATGAGTTAGCTCCCCATAGCCTTGAAGCCTCACCCTAGTTCACTAGATTATATTATCTCTTAGTTAATTTTTTAATAGAGAAGAGATTTAATTACTCTACTATAGTAAATTATAGAGAGATAAATAAGCTAATAAGGGAATTATTATATTATAAACGAACTAATAAAATAATTATTATACTTAAGAGCTAGATAACTTTAGACTTTAGTTTAGTTATATCTTAAATAATTCTTAATATAGATTTATAAAAATCTTCTTAAATATCTAGTTTTTAAACTTTAATATCTTAAATATAAGAGTAGATATTCTAATATAGAGATCTATATCTAATAGAGAATTATTAAATTTATTTATAGCTTTATTATTAATTAGAAAAATTAAAAGGGATAGCTTAACCTTAAGGGGTGAATAAGGTATGGAGAAAGTATAGGATAGAAATGAATAAACTAATCCTTACTACTCCAACCTAATACTAGATCTACGGTAGTTAGAGAATTCTATGTTTTACGCCCTTATCTAGTAGACGCCTAGGGAAATAATCAAAGACCTTTACGCTCTTGAACCCTCCTTGAGATTAGATTTGCTTTTCTCAGTAAAGCTCTGACCTCCTTATCATTAAAAATGTATCTCATATACCTTTTATCAGGCTAGAAAGGCACCCGTAAGGTAGTAATTTACGAGACTACCTTGCCTACTTTGGCAAACTGCCTCCCACTGCCTCATAGTGTGTCCGACGGCTCTTGAACCCGCTTGTCCTCTTCATGTATACTAGCCAAGAACAAGCTCCTCCATATATTTCTCGTTCGTGTTCATATTTATGTTCATTGACCATTCTCCCTATACCTCTTCTACCGGGAACCCCGCTCACAAATCCTAACCATCAACGGATCTTTAATCCTTGCAAAGAAGTAACTTTTCGAGACGGGGATTTCGGGTAGTTTCTTCTCGCCGCTTCCCCCAACACCGCCGCTACTGGTCACCAATTCAACGTCAAAATATAACAATAGGGTTCCAACAAGTTTCACCAGCTAAACAAGAAAGTCGCAGCGATTGGTAAGTAAGCGAACCTCAGAGGGGGAGTCGAGAGAGGTTTGCAGAGTCACTCACCTCCATCATGGCAACGTTCTTGCCGATGCACTGTCTCGACCCGTGCCCGAAGGGCATCCAGTACCGCTGCATCTCCTCGGGGCTGATCCCACCAGACCCGCTGATCCAACGGTCCGGGTTGAACATCTCGGCATCCGGACCAAAGGTTTCCAGGTTGAGGTGGACGGGTAGGGCGGACATTCCGACAATTGTCTTGTTATTTCCCACCAGAAAGTCAGAGATAGAGTCCAATGCTACTTTCGAGTTGAAAAGGGAAAACAAACCTTGGCCGGGAAGAATGTGCCAGCAACGACGCGCCCGCCTTCTGGCACGTAGCGGGGGAGGTTGATCGTGGCAGGAGGCGTCAGACGAAGACTCTCTTTGATTACGGCTTGGATATAGGGTAATTTGCCAAAGTCCGCATATGTCGGGGGTGTCTCATCGGTCTTGTAATCGCGCTCAGGAAATGCTGCTCGCAGTTCCTTGGTCAGGGCTTCGTAGACAGCTGGATGGCCCAGAATGTGATAGAAGGTATAGCTCAGCGCCGACGATGTCGAGTCACTACCTGCAACACTGCGTAACTTTTGTTGGCACGGACAACACTACTTAGGCGAAGGCGGTGAACTTACATGCTGGAGAAAGCCTCGGTCCGCAAATCGATAGAATCAAGCATCTGACCTGTCACTGGATCTTTGGCCTCGATGAGCCTGCCGAGCAGATCTTTCCGGTCGCTGACTTTCTCTTGTCTCCGTTCGACACGAGATCTCGTAAGCTAGAGGTATTGTCAGCCACAAGCATCTGCTAAGGAGCTTTGTAGTCTCGTACCTCCTTCAACCTTTCACGGCCCGCTTGCAGACTCTGCAGCCATGGAATCGGGAGCCAAGTCCATTTCGTATACGGAATCAAGGATGGCATCATTCCTATTGTAGAGCCAAACTCCATCTGATTGTTGATGAGGCGAATATGCTCGTCCTCGACTCCTGTCTCGAGCATGCCAAACCCCTCGCTAAAAGCCTAGCATTGGAGGAAGATAAATCAGCCACTCTCTGAGATAAGCACAGCTATACATACCAACTCTCCAATGACATCGAAGGCAAAGAAATGGCACCATTTGCCCAGGTTTATCTGGGTGCCAGAGGCTGCCAAAGTTGACATCTTTCCCATGAAGATCTGGAGACGCTCCTGGACAAACTTCTCCATGGACTGGAGGGCATTCATGCTGTATCCGTGAGACACAATCCGTTTGCGCTGAGCATGCAGGTACGGGTCTCTTTGACCAAATATGGTCGGTCGGAAGGCGGTAAAAGCACTTTGAATACCCTTAGCCTTGCACTGCAACGAGGGTTTACCAAACTCACTCATAATATGTCGTCTGTCCCAATTAGCCACTGATATCTTTCTCAACCTTCGACTGGCAGACTCACCTTTAAGAAATCTCTGCCTTGTACAGTATTATAAATCTCCCGGATCGCCGACTTGTCAGAGATGATCACCTCGTTTGGGGCGATGCGGACAATCGGCCCATATTTCTCATGGAGAGCTAGAATTGTTTCATGGAAGTTGCCATTGTTGAACCTCAGCAACTTCCAGAGAGGACTGAGGGACGCCAAAAATGGACCTTTGATCTTGGCCAAAGGCGAAAACCATCGTTGGTAGACGATAAATGAGAGAATGCACACGAAGACACCCGCCACAGGAATCACCCAAGAGAGCTGACGCCCAAAATCAACGACGTGGGCAGCCACTGATGGCGCTTTTCCGTGCATTTTGAGGTTCCTGGTCCCTTGTATACTTTATTATCGCTTCGACTTAGTGGTTTCTGTGCTTTTAATATGCCGAGACCCCTGGTAATGGTGCCCTCTTTCTCCTCTTTTACGGCGTCGGCTCCCAGCCGCGGCTCTTTCGGATGCACGCCGGGCGGATACTTGCAAGCTTGAAGGCCCAGTTTTGTCGTCGCGTGGTCTCCAAAAATGCGGCAACAACTCCAGCAACTTGAAGTCTCCGCACAAGCCGTTTTCGTAGCGTAGCAGCTGGTGGCTGGGCTTGTGCTGTTTCGTTGAAGCAATATTCGATCATAGAGGCTCAAAACCTGACCAATCAGCGGACAGCAGGTCTCTCGGAAGACCCGTCCCAAAGAGCAAGTCGTCAAAGTCGATGAGATCCGAGCTGAGTGTCAATGGTGCCTCGTCCTGCGGCCGTTGCCATGGAGTTCTGTCTGCCGATAGCAACGCGGGGTCCGAACCATCGGGTTGATGCTGCGTCATATGGCCTTGACCCAAGAGTTGACCGGGAAGGGGTGTCTCCCGACCACTCGTCTGAGTTTGAATGCGCTCAAGCAGAATCAGATACCTCGCTGCAAGGGTACTGGTACCGCTGGCTGCCTTCAAGAATTCCATGCCCAGTTCCAGTGTTTCGTCTGTCCCCGTTTGACCCAGCGCATTCAGCTTCCATCGCTCCATGGTCTGTAGTGTTAAGAGAACTCCGATTGCGGTAAAAACGTCTTTACGTGTTAGCTGAGAGTCAGTGCATAGGAATCGAGACTTACAGTGGAGATTGTACCACAGAGAGTTCAGCAGCCCGCGACGATACTGAGCGTAGATCACCCTGATCGTCTCGCGGGCAGCCAAGATACAACGGTTGCACGAGGCAATTGCAACATCTCGGTGGAAACTGTCCTCGATTTCCTGTCGACTGAAGATAAGGAAAGATTGGCGATGTAGCAGCAGGCGAACATTCAGAAACCTACACTTAGGTCAGTTCTTCATTCAACATTAGGCATATGGCTTGCGCACCGAATGTACATGACATTACGCTGTCGCTGGAAATCCGGCCCGTCCGGATAGTTGGGCTCCTCTTTCAAATGAGGTGGATTGGTATTCCACCAGGAAACGAGTTCTCCGTCCAAAAGAACAGAGTGGCCAAAGATCTCTGTGAAATGGTCCTGCTTGTTGGGGGACGGCATCGTAGAAGTCCATGGCTTTGTCGACGATGAGTAGAGTTTGAGGAGGACACTGTCGATGATATGTGCGAGTTTGATTGTCTGAACGAAGAAGGACGTCAGAGACGGACGGTTTGCAGGCTGCCGAGGAATGATTGAATCATTCATGATATACTGATCATCCACTGGCAACGGGAACTCAACATCTGACGCATTTCCGGTAGGAATGGAAGGCGGTCTGCCAAATTTCATGCTCAAAGTGCGGTCAATAACGAAGCAACCCCACCACACACGTTTGCTGACTTCTCTTTCAACAGCCAACATAGCAGGCGAAGGGTTCTGATGAAGCCCAATGCTGATCGAGGTTCTAATCATTAGTCCGCTTAGGCTCCAGCACTCGGTCAGTTCCAAGGTGCCTTGAAGATAGTGACACATCAAAAGAAGTGCCTGTACAAGCTCCAAATTACCCTCTTTGAAGATGTGAGCACACACTATGTTTCGAGCCCTTGCGAGGAACCGTGTTGCCCAATATGACGCACTTCTCCCTTCAATGGGATCATGAAACTCGCAGCCGTGGGCAAAGATGAGGTTGAGAACTGCCAGCCAGGTGGCTTTCGTGTCCGAGTGCTCCGCATCATTGATCCACATTCGTTCATATTGAGTTCTGAAACTTGGTTCGTGAACAAAAGGGTAGAGACGGTGGACGTGGTTGAAGTACAGGTCCACAAGACTGTCCGCTAGATCTCTTGAGGGCAGTCCGTAGGTGTCTTCGCAGTCCCTGGGAGTGAGGCCAGGATCTAGACTGTGGGTTTGGGAGCTCCTCGAACTCGAAAGGCGGCGGCGTTTATTCGCTGGTGACAGAGCTTGACGAGGTGCATTTGTCGTTTGCACCTTTGAAACGAAAGCAAAAGTCGACGACTCCCCGAAAAACGGCTCGGGATCGTGAGATTCTGAGGGAGTATTGTCCAGCGGAGTCTGGGCGGCGACGACTTTGTTCTGGATCGTGACATCGGCAACAGCGTCATCGTCGTCAAAGTATGGACGTTGCTGGACTTGCTCCGGGCCTTCACAAAGGAGTTCGACGTTTGCTCGCGACTTGATGTCTACCAGTGACCTGAGCCTGGAAAGTAGTTAGACAATGCCAAAAACGCGAGCATCTACCGACTCCTTACTCATCAAGGCTAAGCTCGTCAACCATAGAAGGGTATAGGCAAAAGCTCCCGCGTAACTGGCATGGAGAGCATTTGGGGCGAGCCCCGTCACACCGATTTTTCCTCTTCCGACAGTTTGTGCATGCTTTTCCAGATGCAAGTCTTTTCTTCAGTGGCGGGTCCGCCATGTTGGGAGGCACAGAATGGCTCGCATCTGGAGACAGGGAAGCGCACTGCTGTGACTGAAGGGATTCTTCTTCTGGTCCAGTGCCCCTCCATGCAGTAGCTTCCCATTCGCCTGGTAGTCCGGCTGTGGTTAATGGTATGCAAGGAAATGTGATGCGAGTGAGAGCAAATGCAAAACCCCGCAACCAGTTGAGGTTGGAAATCCGGGGAGTTCGCGGCATGGGACCCATGCACGTGACGCCACAATGCGGATGGCCCTGGCAGCCCGGAATCGAGAGCCGGCCATTACCAGCTTTCTAAATGTGCTGTCTGTCTCCCTGCTCCGTAAATGTAGGTAGGTACACTGTTGCCACTAAGATGACCGCTTACAGGCGACAAATAGTGCTTGAAATCGTTCAATATACTCAGTATCTCAGCGCTCAGCCTGTCTACCAGTTACCCTCAGACACAGCCGCAACCAGCGAGTATTTTATCGTTGATCACAAATCCTCAAAGACAATCTCTAAGATGTTATACGCGACACTTGGCATGTGCAGGCAACGAGCTATCATGGCCACAAGGCTAGATATCCTTGTGGAACTGCGGCTGACCGAGTCGTTTCCTCCAATCTTCACCTTTAAATATCAGAACAATGATCCCCATTGATGTCACCGCGGTGATTAGAGCAAACGTGATCCAAGCCCACTGGATGGTGATCTCGGCGGCGAACGGGAGACTATAGATGTCAGCCTGTGCTTCCCAGATTCGAAAAGCAAAAAAAATTCGACAAGCACTTACGCATAGAACCCAAGCGGAAATGCAAAGGTCTGGCGCCAGAAGTTGTACAAGCTGCTGATTTCTCCCGACTGTGGCTTGTAGCAGTCGCTGCAGTAGGCGTAGCTGACTGTGGTCACCAATTGGAGACCGAAACTGGCAATCGCCATCCCCATCACAGGACCCATCCAGTGTGTCTTGTGGTACAAGCAGACGCCGTAGACGATGATTCCCGTGGGGCAAAGGAGAAGGCTACCAAGAGACGCGGGCAAGCGAGCTTCTGGTTTTCTCTCTCCACCATGTTTCTTTGCGTATCGGTACATGAACCAATCTGAAAAGGGTCCGGACAGGAACTCTCCAAGAGCCGAGCCGATCAAAAGTGGAAGCCCAAGCATGAGTCCTATGGCTCCAGTCTTGAAGTGATAGATTTTGGTGAAGAGAATGGCGACCGTCACTGCTGGGAGGATTGAAGAGAACGCGAATGAGACAATGTAGTATAGACACGTGAGTGTCACTGAGGGATAGTACATCATCTCAAACGGCCGCACAAAATCTCGCATGTGGACTCTTCGGTCCCGTAGCGCATTCCTTCGGAAGCTGAAGAGCATCTGCATGTAGGTCCTCTCCTCGTGCTGTGCGAGCACCTTCTCAGAGCGGGAGAATAGGGTTTCGGGCATGGCGAAGAACATGACAACAAAGGTGACTGAGTTGACGATGGCGGGGAAGTAATATGCCCAGCGGACTCCGGCTGTCTGTACCAGGTAGCCTCCAATTACCGGGGCGACATGAGCACCGTTGGTCAAGAAGACGGTGAAGACGCCCATCTTCAAGCCCCTCTAGTTGAGCGTTAGCAGGCTTCCAAACTCGTTTGAGTACGGCTTGGTACTGTACTTCATGTAGAAAGAACATGTCGTTAACCGTGGCCGCTCCAAGCGCCATCGCTGCGCCGACGCCAACGCCACTGAAGACCCGGGCAATAATCAGAGTATGCCATGTCTTCGCGACCCCGCTGCCGACCGTTGCGACTATTCCGATGAGTGTCGAGATGAGATAGACCGGTCGTCGCCCATAGACGTTGGCAAGCGGGGTCCAGAACAAAGGCGAAATGCCCACAGAGATGATGACAGAGGTTGTCTGATACGACGCCTGGCCGACAGGGATGTGGAAAAGCTTTGCAAGCGGCACCAACCCAGGATTGACAACTGCGGAGTTGAAGGGCCCCAGCATGGCGAGGAATGATGCCTGGAGGAGCACGAGCCACTTCAGCCACGATGGCCAATTCTGCAAAGTTCACATTAATATTGAATCCCAAGGAGTTGTCCTTCTTCTCTCACCAAAGGGTCGTCGCGGAACCGCGTAGGTTGTGGGAGAAGCGGAAATCCATGACGATCGTGTCGAACTTCATCCGGCTTCTCTGTCACCGCATTTTCAATCGCCTGGTCAGAGCCTTCCCTGGAAACCACGACGTGTACTTTGTCGTCAGAATCCATCTTGTAGGGAGCAAATTGCGAGGGCTTCTGTGAATCTAGGGTTAGGAGTGTAGCATCGCAAGACACATGCATGCTGTGGGGTATTATATCTCGTGGTCTCGCCTCTCCCCAGAATCCCCCGACCTCGACAAGGAGGGTTCTGTCGGAATGAGCCGCGGACCTTATAAAGTGGCGCCGACGAACTGGAGCCCCGGATCGGGACATTCCCATTTCAGGGTCGAGACTGTGCCCCAATGGCGCCTCGCTCCGGAAACTGCCCGAAGGCGATTGGGGGCCGGGAGGGGAGTAGGCTGAAGGATACATCATGTACAAAAGGATACAGGAAGGATAATACTCTCCAACCCTAAGAAAAAGTTCGCGGCACCCGCAGTAAAAGGTTGCTCGTCCAAGATGGTCCTCAAACTCTCCTTTGCGTGCTGGGATTACGACCGGATGAAGGCCATTGAAGATGGCAGAGTGCAAGCAGAAGGCATTGAGCTCACATTTCTCAATTACCGGGTCGAGGAGACGTATGCTGGTCCCAAATGCCTCTCACAGCGGTTGCAGCGAGGGGATAGAAGGACTGACACGGTCTAGGACAGCTTCTTCCGCCAACTTCGATTCCAGGAATTCGACCTGTCTGAGCTCTCCTTGTCCTCTTATGTTCTGACCTTGAACCAAGAGAGCCCCCCCTTTATTGCCCTACCAGTCTTTCCTTCGCGCTTCTTCCGGCACCAGTCGATATATATCAACTCCAAAGCCGGCATCAAGAGACCGGAGGATCTGCGTGGGAAACGCATTGGAACTCCGGAGTATCAAAGTCGGTACCACCAATTAGCCCCCAACCACCAGTCGGAGGAGACAGGTTAACCGTCGCTAATCATTTTGGTGACTCGCAGTGACAGCAGCAGTCTGGCAACGAGGCATCCTGGCTGAAGACTTTGGGGTCCCTCTCTCCAGTGTGCACTTCTACACTGGTGCCATTGAGCCATCGGACAAGCCGCGGCGTTCCAAGGTCTCGCACAGCTACCCTGCCGACATCAAAGTGACGGCAATCCAGCCTGGCCAAAGCCTGTCACAGATGCTTGCCGATGGCGAGCTCGACGCCATCTTCAGCGCCACAAAACCCTCCTCGTTCGACACATCACCGCAGACTGTAACGCGGCTGTTTGACGACTTCAAAGCTGTCGAAGCGGAGTACTATGCACGAACCAAGATATTCCCGATCATGCACGTCGTGGCTCTGAAACGCAGTGTGTATGAGGCTAATCCGTGGATCGCAAAGAGCCTTACGAAAGCCTTTGCCAGAAGCCTAGAGATGGCCTATGAGCCCTTGAAGGAGCGAGCGGCGTTGCGGTACATTCTACCGTGGTTAGAAGACCATGTGGAGGAGACAAAGAGGCTATTTGGTGGAGATGATCGCTGGTGGAAAGATGGCTTCGAGGCGAGTAAGCATGTGTTGGACAAGTTCTTACAGTACTCCTTTGACCAGGGGCTGGCAAAGAAGAGGTTCAAACCTGAGGACCTGTTTACCCCGAGCACGCTCGAGGACTATGTACTATGACATAGTGAACTAGGACGAGGCTGATAGCCATAGGCATCAACTCGTACGGCGGTAGGCATAGCCTCTCACACAATAACCAACACACTAAGGGGCAAGACGTCCAAGTAACAAGTTGATTGATTGATTGTCTAAGTTAGCTACTAACACTGTTCAAAGAAAAAGAAAGACCCAAGTCCTGCCTCCGTCGTATGCCAGCTGATCAGAGCCAAGTCTATCACCCTATACAGTGTATAGCCTCACGTGCCAGTTCGCCATCCACCAGCTAAGATCTCCCCATTACAATATCTTCCCATTCCTACCTAGGTAGCTGTAGAAGAGGTTATATTTGTAAAAGAAGAGATGGCTATACTAGTGGTAAGAAATAGACTAGATCCTATTCTCCTTGAACGTGTTGACATATTCAGATATAACTTCGAGAGTCTCGCTAATAGTTCTTTGGCGTCTTGAATTGCTCTTTCGGCAAGTACACACCATATCCACGTGGAAAGATATATGTGTCGGGGTTGATCGACTCCGTTAACGTCCGGTCCGGCCAGCGGCTCTGATATAACCTGCTGTTGTTGATAAACGTTTCCAGGTTCGTTTTGGCGGGGAACACGATATTGTTGCTCGTCCCCTGCACGCGAAACTCGGAGTGGAACTGGCGGCGGTCCGAGTCCTTGGCCGTGTCCCCAGCCGCGAGGTAGTTGTCGACGAACTGGGGGAACGGAGCGAAACACCGCGCGCCGGACACACCATCGCTGCAGAACTCGCTCACGGCCACGTCGGCGGTCCTGGCCTTCGCCCGGATCGAGTAGTTGTAGAGGAATCTGCGTGCTCCGCGCTGGCTGACGGCGTAGGCGTAAAGGCAGCGGATGTTGTACGGCTCGGTGACCACCCGCGTGAAGGTTCCCTGGAGCGGTTCCGCAGAGTCGTCCAGGTAGCGGTTTCCTTCTTTGCGCGTCTCGGTTCGAAGCGGCTCTGGCACCACAGTTGGATCGTCGTGTGTGATCCAATAACTATGGTCGCCAGACCGGCTTTTGGCGCCACAGTACCCGAGCCAGAGGACATCCCAGTCGTCGCCGTAGGGTGAGTGTAGCGCCTCAGGCTTCTCCACCCTCTGGAGGTAATGTAGTCCCCTAGCAAAGTCCACCAGTTGCGATTTGATGTTGATGTCCCACTCTGCGTCGTCCTCAAAAATCAGGGCGCTGGACAGTCTATCTGATATGATTCTTCACGACAGCATTAGTGGAAGAAACTTTAGTAACGGGATTTTCTCGATGGAGATTGTTAGCTGTCTACCTTTGGAATGCATTCAAATGGCCTCGATAACAACCGAGTGTGGAGTTCGACTCGCGCATGTTCCATCCCTATGCACCAAGGATCAACACCATGGTAAAAGTGATGCCTGTTCGAGTCACTTACAGCTGGGATTGCTTTGATTGGGATATCCTCCCCTTTCACGCCCTCGACCCAAGAAACAGACAGATCACACTGTGATGCAGCCAGAGCCCATACATCACGCTTGTCGGATCGCTCCGGTAGCGAGATGACGAAAATCTTTTCGAACTAGCAAAGTACATCAGCTTCGATGTCGCGGTGGGAAATGGAGAGAAGAGTATAGCGCACCCCTAGCGTTGAATTTCTCACGTCGTCAAGGACGCTATGGCTCATATACCCAATCTTCAGAAGATTGCTGGGAACAGCCGATCGGTGCGAAAGGATTATGATGGGGAGAAGCAATATTAGTAGGCCGGCAAGCCATACAACAAGCCGTGAACACATCTTCTGGCGCATGGCGTGACGGTTTGACACCTCCATTCCAGGATATAATATCATCGTGGAAGTGATGGCTGTCCGATATGACCGATGGGATAGCTAGAGGAAGCAAAGGATACCCTTCGATCCGCATCCAATGGAGGAACGAGGACAGGAAGCGAGCCTACTTGTCGAAGGACGAAATGGCAACCTTCGAGGCTCGAGAATGCCTTCACACAAAGATGACTAGGCAAATCCTTTGGCGACCGCTCTCCCGAGTTGCCAGACACATCGTGCATTTCGTTGAGCAAAATTATTAAGGGGCAATCAGATGTGCTTTCAAGCCTAAGGAAAGGAGGACGCAAAAAGGCGCAGAGATCGCCCGGGTATGCTTTATGCAGGAGATACCTTATTCGCTCGCTATGTACGAAAAGTCATCTTGAAGGTGCAATGGGCCGCGGGATCGGGTCCTACCTGAAGTTTACTTTCAAGGACGTTACAGTCATATACCTGTATTGTAGCGTAACAACAAGCGACAAATAAAGTTGCGAAATTGTCTCTGTATTCAGCAATTGGCTCTACTTCACCTTGGCGCCCGGCTGTGACGACTTCGGCTACTTCGGTCCGAAAAGACTAATATTCTTGCTCTGGACTCTGACTTGGTCTTGATCCCCCGAGCAGCAGACGGGCACAATAGCCGTTTTCTAGCTTTTCTTCTTCTTACTGTCGTGTGCTCGATACTTTTTCGTTTTGCTTGACATGGCTTCGAAGTCGTTAAGGTTTTCCCCGGTCTCTCTCCTTTCCCCTGCATCATATCAACCTTAACATGGAAGGAAGGCTGATGTTTCAGCCTCGTCGCGACATCGAAACTCTGTCTCCCATTGACACGTCAAACGGCACGGCAGCCATTCCACAGGATTGATCATGGATGATTGTCTTGGCCATAGGCTACACTCTTCTCTGCGAGTTCTCAATGCTCCTTCATCCTATCAGCCAGACAGCCGCCGCACCAGTCTATCATTTACCCCGCTCAATGTTGTTATGGGTATGCCTGCAAAGGAAGTTGGAAAGTAGCGGCTCCTGTGGTAGATGTTCCTCAGACCCACAGTACTGCAAGTGGACGCTGCAAAAGCCAACAGAAGAGCAGCCGTCTGGTTGGAGAAACAGTATCGAACAATGCTATGGCGAATACATCTCGAAACTCATCCCGCCGGTGAAGCACAAGGTGCGTGCTCAATAACAACGAAGTTGTGATTCTGCGGGCCAGGTGAATACCTCCCCTAGGGCTGCAATCGCCACGTGCAGGCAAACATGATATGCTGGCCCTTCCACTAAGACGGTCGGCAACGGCTTAACCCCACGGATGGAGATGCTTCAATCCCAGGATCGCATGAAGAGCCCATGAAGTCATGGATCTGGAAGGGTGCTCTAGGTGTGGGCGATAAATTCGTGCATTTGGAGTGCAGTAACGGGTGCGCGGTTGTTAAGGTCGATAAGCGCCCTAGCCTGGGAGATTGGAAACTTATGCATGGGAAAGACGGGTAGGTTCAAATTCAAGGAAAGAGATTCTCATTTGGATAAAGTGGCCAGGCAATCTTTTGTCACGGCAATGGACGACTTAATCTCTCTTTCGGGTCAAAATAAGCCTGCCTCTCCGTATCGAAATATCTGGTTTTCTCCAAGGTACCTAGGTAGCGTGAGCATGAGATTATCTTGGTTGCCAGTATCTTGCCATCTCCAGTGGCAGACGCGGGCCCCATCCCCAGGTTATCGCCTCCCCGTCCAGTTACACCCGGGTGCCTAGTCCAGTAGGTACTCTCAGATCCCAACGGCTACGGTCACCGTCAATCTAGCAAGCGCACCCAGGCGGCGGACAAAGTAGACGCTAAGTACAACATCTGGACATACCTCTCCTTGCTTAAATTGGAGCGTCGAAACAGAGTTACCGCTGAGGTGTGGGTTTTGTTGAAATCGAATTATGACCACCTCCCTCCGATCTCAATTTCGGCGCTAACCCGGGGGTTCTGTGGGTTCGTACTCCACCCATGGTTACCGTATACAGTGCTTTTCGTCTGACACATTTTTGGAGGGGATAGGAATCAACTAGTCGAGAAACGCGGTTAAGTCGCGATCGTCTCCACCAAGGTCAGGACAGATGCAGGGGCTGATCGTGATGCCAGAGCCTCCTTTACCTCGGTCATGCAACGCGTCTTCTTCTGGTAGGGGTTGTTCTTTTGCTATTCTCAGGAGGGAGGCCTCGTCACTGTTCCCGAGAATGATCCATGCTGCTGGCTTGACTCCCCTCATACCACACTGTCTATTGTAGTATCCTTCTATCATCGATAGGTGCCAGGAAGTCAACTGACACGGCGATGGGCTCGCGTCTGTTCACGGCGTGGTCGCGAGGGGTTGTTATTTCGGGGGCCTTGCTCTTCAGCGTCTTCATCTTGTTCTTTGGCTCGACATCATCATCCCGGCCGTACAACGAAGTTGTTGGGGGCTCGGTAGTCCCGTCGCCTCCCGCAACATCGACTCGAGGACCTGTGGTTCCCGGAGGCACTTTGGAACGCCCAGAATCCAAGTACGCATACGTCGTGTACCTGGCACCCACCGAAAAGGAGGATGCTGGCGAGGAAGACACCGAAGACAACGTCTATCTCACGTCCGTACGTCTCCTTACGTACCAACTCCTACATGATCCCGAGACACGAACCAACAGCTCGATTCCCATCGTCGTCCTGGTATCACCGCAAGTCTCACAGTCGAAACGGCGCTTTATGGAGAGCGAGGGTGCCTGGGTTGCCGAATTCCCCTCGATCGAGCTGGAGACGGTCAAGCCGGACCGGCCCCGCTGGAAACACGCCATGGATAAAATGAACGTGTTCCGCCTCACGCAATTCGAGAAGGTCCTGCTGCTGGACCTGGATATTGTCCTCTTCAAGCCCCTCGACGCCATCTTCGAGGAGCCCGAGACAGACATCCAGACCAACCTCGACATGGAGAACCAGACGAAGGCCGACGAAGGGCCACAACCCCAACGCTATCTCCTGGCAGCTGACTCGTCGCCCATCGGCAGCGACAAGCACCCGTGGCCGGCACCGCGCTCCAAGGCCCTCAACGCGGGATTTATGGTGCTTCGCCCGTCCGAGGAGATGCTGGCGCACTATCTCAAAATCGGGGCCATTGAGGGCCGGACCCCGATGCTGGCGCCCGAGAACAATCTGCTCGAATACGTCCACCGGCCTGACGGCAACATGCCCTACTCCCAGCTCCGACATTACTGGGTCATGAATCACCCGGTCTTCGACGACTACAAACACGGTATCGCGGCCGTTCATGAGAAATGGTGGCGCAATAGTATGACCGACCACAAGTTGAAGGAAATGTTGCTGAAGCCGCGATGGAAGATGGAGGGCTACTGGAGTCGATGAGATGGATCTTGCACTATGAGGAATGCCTCACTTCTTTAGTATGGAGGAGGCACGAAATAGTCATAGGGGGTAGACATGATGTGATAAAGAGGATTCGACAGACTCCAATTCTTTTTTATTTTCACAGTATATAGTGATAGATTTATCTCGCACGGGTAGCGCCCCGAAAGTGATCTTCTTACAAATACACACTCGTAGGATGCCGAACTTCAGTGTCGAACGGTGCTTCCTAGACCTTAGTATCCGTCCACTCAGGGGGACTAATGGTGAACATTTTCTGGAACCCCAGCGTGCTGTTGTAAACGTCGTAGGTATGATTGTAGCCATATGTGTAGCGGGTGATAACGGCTTGGGAATCGTAGTGTCGGTAGAGAAACGTCAATAAGCAAATACCTGAGATTGTACCGAATATAACCCTTCGCCCGCTGGTCCTTAAGATAACTGAGAGGAACGAGAGCATCTCAGGCAACTTGAGCGATGAATGTAGCCAAACAAGCTGCTGGCTATTTGACGACGGTTTCTCGGCCATCCAGAAAGGTGACTCAAAGGAACAACCATTCACCGAACGATCGAGACAATGCTTGGGTGAAATTCGAGTTCGTAAACAAGGCGTCTAACAGATTGAGAGAAAGAGGCCCTAAATGGTGCTCCCCTAAACATCGACGAGCATGTGAGTTGCCCAGCCTAAGGAGGCCGACTATATTTCGAAAGCGCTGCGGGGGCCACAATTGTCTTATCAAAGATCATCTCTGGACGTTGGCAAAGTCGAAACACTAAGAGAGCAATTTCCGAGGATGGTCTAGACCTAGCACGGAGAATTGAAGGAGGAATGATATTACCAAAAACTCCAATCTTCCACAGATAGAAATGCGGCTCCAGAGTATAGGTCTGTCTGGTCATTTCAACGAACGAGCAAGGCTTGTTTACCGCTAGCGGTATGGTTACAAACACTGTTGCAAAGCTGTAAATACCGGACCGCTGCCAAGGCTAGTCCTCCTGGTCTAGTTAGGGACTATCCACTCCTGACATGCAACCAACGAGGAGTCCAACTCTCCTGGACGAGCACATCCCTAGAAACCCCCAAAACCTACCACTCCCACTCTTCTTACTCCTCCTGACCCCCGCTTCAAAATCATGTCTACCTCCCTATCGGGGAACAGGATCCTGAGAGCTTTCGGGTGGGCGGAAAGTGTAGGGGTTGAATCTTTGTGGTTGCAACCTCGCTTCGCGTCACTCTGCTTCCCCCTCCAGGCACATTCCACGCCCGCGAAATCTCACTGACAGAGAGCGTTGGGCCTCAAACACAGTTGCAAAAATCCGTCCCTCTGGAAACTTGGCGCATTGAACTTCTGGCCCGCTATATTCAGCATCTCCTAATGTCGAGTCGATATGAGCAGCGAAGATTCAGAACCTGGGGCGAGCCTAGCCTACGGTGAAGATCACGAACTGCTGGAGAGTGACGGCTCTTCTCCCGAATCAGATGAACACCTAAACCTGCCAAAATGGGTACATATAACGGTGCGTCCTATCCATAATCGGGAATGGGAATGTGCTCATTACTGCTGTAGCGGGAAAGCCTCGTCAAGCACTACTTTGGGTTGCTATGTCGCGTTACTCATGAAGTATGGGAGCATCATCTCACTTCCAAGATATTATACATGACCCTAGCGTCTATGTTTGCTTTGGCAACCTTCTTGTTGGGGAAGAATTTTGATTCAATATCGTCTGGTACAGATCAAGCTCCGGTCTCACCATTTAGCGGTGCCTTTGCAAGGTTCCCGCGTGTGAATGACTTGCCCTCAAGACAACGTCGGATTACTCTGGTCGGCGTGTGGGAAGACGACTATTTCGCACCATATCTACGCCACTTTTACTATACCGTCCAGAAGAATGCCGACTCGGTGGATCTTTTGCTTATCAACAGGATAAAGACCCCAGGCAAACCGTGCCTGGACTTTGACAAGGCCAGGGTCAACATTACTTGGGGGAGCAACATCAAAGTCGTTTGCATGAGCGACGAGGAATATCTTCGTCGTCACGTGGATTTCATGTGCTCGCAAACATTCGGATGGGGCTGCAATGAAACTGAGTATGCTGAAGTCACCAAGGAGTGGTCCAACCGTCAGGATTACCGCAACTACGAATGGCGGCCTTTTCTCGGATATATCTTGAAGGACCTGTTCCAGAGCCCGCACAATCCATTCTGGGCGTGGGTGGACCAGGATCAGCTCTTGGGCAACTTCGCACGATATCCATTCAATATTCTGTCGCAGCTCTCACTAGTCACTGGGCGAGAACGGATGCCTGAGACACTTTTCATGGCGGGACAGCTCACAGCTTTCAATTTTGATGACCTAGCTTTGGGATCCGCCTGGAAGAGATTCCCCGGCCTGAGAAGCCCGGCCCATTTCACTCGGTATACCGATGGCAAATTTCCCAATTCGCCCGAGGAGCGATACTGGAGTGAGGGCTACCTTCAGTCAGGACCCAACCACCCAGGCTCGGAGCTCTCTTGGGCGATATATCCTGATCTGCATGGCGATGACTTCTTCGAAGGCAAATGGGGGAAGAGAAATGCCAGTCAGACGCATGTCATATCTGGCCGTGAGGTATTGCAATTGGATAGGGCGTTCACGAGAGAGGAGATTGAACAGCTGATCTCAACGGAGAGGCACTCTCCCATCGACAATCTAGGCGGCATTGGGTGGACTGGAGGGGAGGATGGTTCCGCATATTTGATCAGTCGGCCAGGTCTCAACCCTAAGGAAGCCAAAGCTCTCGCTGTGAAAGATACTCAAGGCAAGGATGGCAACATGCCCGTCCATACAGGCATTGTCGACGTTCAGCTCATATCCACCAACTGTACAGGCGAACCCAAGTTCGTCACACAATGCATTGACCTCCATCCCTTGGCGAGAACGGAACCTCCAATCTACAGACAAAGTGTGGTGCGTCTGAAGGAACAGCAGCCGATGCATGTGCTCCGACGGCTGGAGCTGGATGATAGGCCCAGGGGCTACGAGCGGAAACTGCTCGTTCACCATCTGACCACGCTCTCGAGAGGGAACCCATGGTTCGAGCTCCCGCCGTTCGATATCGCTGATGATTTGGTGTTAATGTGCAACAACGATGCCGTGCAGGTCTTCAAGATGGGTGAAAATCGCGACAAAACTCTCTTTTATCGGGCGGAAGGGGAAGACAAAATTGGCTGAAGGGTCGGGAAAGACAGAGTTGTTTGCGTGAAGGGGTAAGCATAGGGAAAGAAAGAACCACAGATGGAGTAAATGGGGCTTTCTAAAATGTGGGAGCTTCGAATCTTTCTTCACGAAGACAAATCCACATATGCCACCCATGGAGCAAAAATGAGACAGCCCTTGAGCAGGACTGAGTTCCAGCTAAGACCCCTAGTCCTACCGTTGTAGATGGTCTCCGTCTGAACCTGGATGCCTCTTGGAAGCTACTCGTGATGTTTCTGAACCACTGGAAGGTATTGCACTGAATGCACACAAGAGAAAGATTAGTCGGGCACGGTTGGAGGATGTCATCAAGTCCACGGTCGGGAACGCTGGCAGCGACGGAAGACCTGTTGTCGATTTCGGCTGTTGTAAAGGCAAGGTTTTTCCGCCGCCATGATCTTGGAAGTGAAACGTATAAATTTCCTTCGGCGAAGAATGTATGATCTGTTTGACAGAAAATTCTTTGAGCATTGAAAGCTGCACTTTACTCGCCAACGCGGTGACTAAAGGCTTTAGTGCACGCCTGAGTACGGACGGTACACTCGGCAAACTTGCTGATTTTTTCCGAATTTCGCTAGCCACTGTACCTCAAACTCATCGGTATCAGACTACAGCATTAACGAAACAACTTGTTATTGGCCACAGAATGTAGACTCGACGAAAGACTTCACAAATCGGCAAGCGACATCTCCTTGCTACCCTGTTGAGGCCTCCGAGAAGTGATGGCTCGTTATCAGTATCAGTATCCACTTACCCAACGAGAAATTCGGCTAATTGACATCGAACGCTGGAAAAACGACGAGTGGAACGATGAAATCAATTTCTCTCTGCGCGTCTGCCCAATTGACGAATGTCCTCCGTATGTCGCATTATCCTATGCTTGGGGCGATCCAACAAACGCCAAAGCCTGCTACTGTGACGGGCTGGAATTTCCGGTTGCAGAATCTCTCCGTGGCGCTTTGATCACCCTCCGTACTCGGGATACGCCCTCTCCAGTTTGGATCGATTCTATTTGTATCAACCAAGATGACCTCGCCGAAAAATCGAGACAAGTAAGCATGATGCGAGAAATCTACTCCAGAGCTACAGCAACAATAATCTGGCTTGGTGAAACCTGCGATGGGGATATTGTTGCCACACAACTGATGCGCAATCTCAATTCGGTCTATCCGAACCCGAGGATGATTCCACAAAAGGGATCAATTTATGAACCTGGACGAACCCAAGAATTCAACCATTTAGCTCGGCCGGAGGAATTGGGTCTCCCTCCATTGATCTCACCAGAATGGAGTAGGTTGATCGATTTCTACAAGAAACCATGGTTTTCGCGAGTCTGGATCATCCAAGAGCTTTGCGCAGCTAGACTTTGTGTCATGTGGTGCGGAAACTCAGCTCTCCAACCCTTCGTTGTCCTCAACGCTGCTCTCAAGATGGTATCATACCCAGGCCTAGGCTCAGGTCGATGGAATGACATCCGAGTGCCCGCGCTGATGAACGCTGCTACCCTGGCAGACTTACAAGATCATTTTCAGCGAGAATCTTCTGGTTTCATATTTGGCCTGCTCAGACTTACGAGAGATTTCAAGGCAACTATTCCGCACGACAGGTTGTTTGCTCTTCTCGGTATCGCTGACAACGGTGTAAGGGGTCAGTTTGTTAGATTTCCAGTTGACTACCGACAATCGATCACCGATACCTACATTGCATTTATGCGATGGGCGCTTGACGAGTGCAAGTTTTTTGGTGGCGAGAGTGCATTAGCCTTGCTTTCGTATGCTTGTCATCCAAGCACTTCGCAAAGTCTTCCGAGCTGGGTTCCAAGATGGGACGCTCATTTGAGTGGCTTTACTTTCCTTGCTGAGAGTTCGCGCCGCAGGGTATCTGGGTTAGGTAATCCAGCCTGGCGGGTTCTGGATGAGAAGGTTTAAGTGCTCTTCCATCGGCATTAAAATAGCAGCTAATTTCTCAGGTTCTTGTGTGCTCCGGCAAAGTGTTCGACGCAGTTAAAGCAACGATAAACATACCACAGATACCCGAAGATGACCTTCACAGTCCTGAAAAAAGTCACTATTGGGCAGACCTGAAGGCTTTCTTTGTGCAAGCCCGGCTTTTGAGCAGAGCCGCAGGCTATTACCACAGTCGAGCAGGCAAGAACGAAGCATTGATTCGCACGCTCTGTCTTGACTGTGGTGGTAAAAAGGCGTCAACCCTTGAAATGAGTGAATCCGACTTCCAGTTAGTCGATGCATTTGAAAAGTGCGTCTCTGTCTTGAGCAACATTCAGAGTTGGGAACATACACCTATATCTGAATTTATTCCGTGGAAAACGAAACGCGATTCCTACTACGTCAGCGGACAGATCAATTTGATTGTATTCCTTTTGACCATTCTAGCAATGGTTGTGTTCCGACGCTATCCTGGTGCTTGGTGGCAGTGGCTGCTGTACATATGCGGGCTTGCAGCCTTCGACTGGACGGGACAACAGATTCTACGTTTCGTTCCAGGCATTGGGAATGTCGCCGAGGCAAGAGAGCAGCTACCGAAACTGTTTGCCAGCGCTTGGCCAGTGTTTGAAAACTACGCAGACTTCTGGTCTCAACGCTCACTCTGCCTAACCGACGGTGGGCGGCTGGGTCTTGTCACAGAGCGAGTACAACCCGGGGACGAATTGTGCGTCATAAACGGATGCGGGTTGGTGTTTGTACTCCGATCTGCTCAAGAGGAGGGACAGTATCATTTGATAAGTGACGCGCACGTGCAGGGATGTATGCAAGGCGAGATCCATGCAAGGACAGATTTGACGACTCGGGAGATAGCACTTGTCTGAAGTAGGTTTACGTAGTTACTCAATGAAGGGGCAAATCTAGCCTTTTTCCCTCCACATCATCAGTTTGGAGAGACCCGGTTGTTCGACGAGTAAGGACAGGGAGAAAGAAATGCGAACTGGTGTTGAAGAAGCTTCGTTACAGTATACTGCTACTAAGCAAACGGTCCACCTAGCTTGTTTTTGGGATCGTATTTCTTCTTGATTTCCACCAGTTTATTGAAGTTTACTCCAAAGACCTGGGGCGGCGTTAGCAGAAGCTTCCATATATCGGCTTTTGTAGTGAGCTCATACCTCTCTGGGATCGACGAAGTCTTCCAGGAAATTAGGGAAATAGTCGGCTCCCGTGTGGCCTGGGCGGATCTCAAACGGCCCCTCTGCCATCGCTTTGTATGCTAGACCATCACTGTCAGGATGGCCTGGTACAGTCCCAGTCCCTAGCTGAAGATTGTGTTGGTTTCTTGTATGAGGCCAGGCGGAGACCAGGCTTGGAAAGCCAAGAGATTGATAGACAGCCTCGGTATGTCAGTATACACAGGAAAAGCATCTAGGAATTCTCACCTTTTGCATTACTTCCATGAGTACGTAAGTGCCCATAACTAGACGTGGATCCTTCTCCAAGAGAGCCAAATACCAATCCCAAGCTCTGAGAATCAAGTTCTCATCGACAGTAGGGACTGTGACTCCAGCTGCCCAGGTGTTGAGCTTCCCAAAAAGGGCATTGGAAGCATCTGTCTCATGTTAGAAGCGTCTCAAAGGGTTCCAAAGCACCCACCAAACTGCTGGTTCACTTCTCGGAAGCTCAAAGTCTTGGTGAGATCAACCGCTCCCGGGATTTCCAGTGCCCATTTGAAACCGTCTTTGCTTCGGCCATGTTCTGGCCCGTTAGCATCATATGCGAAGATTGCCAGTCCAGGTTTCGGTTCCTTGCCCGCATATGTGCCCGCTGTCATGTCGAGGCAGTACAAATGCAAAGCCATCTTCGCATTGCTACAACGCGAAGCAAAGGCGGCAATCTCTCGTGCCACGTCCTTCAGTGCAGCCGGCGGGTAGATGATCTGTCCACAGAATATCGAAGAGGGATACTTGTAAACTCGCATCTTAAAGGCGGTAGCGACTCCAAAGCCTCCACCCCCGCCACGAAGTGCCCAAAGAAGATCAGGTTCCTCACTCGCCCAAACAATACCGCCGTCCATCTTCACCACTTGGACATCGAGTAGATTTTGTGGATCGCATGCAAGACCATACTCCGAACTTAGCCAGCTCTGTCCTCCGTGAAGGATGGATCCACCGACTCCAACATAGGTGCATCTAGCACTGACTGCTGCGTATCCTGGAGCACTCTCTTCCAGCTTTTGGTCGACTTCGCCCCAGCAGTGACCCGACCCGAAAGTGATGGTCTCTTCGTCAGGATCGAATTCGAATAACTTGAAGGCTGATAGTGAAATTAGAACGCCTTTGCTGGTGGCATTTCCAATCCCGGTGCAACGGATCCCAATGTCGAGGTCTGTGTCATTAGCATGTGATATAATTCTGCTCAACGCTTCCACAGTTTTGGGAATGATCACAGCTAGAGGATGTTTGTTGGCCTGAATAGCCCATGTTCTTGACTGCTCTTCATAATCTGACGACTCAGTCGTCACGATATCACAGGGAGTCAGTAAGGCCAGAAGGTCGGCGAGCTGTTTCTCTGCCATTTTAGTGCTTGAAGGAAAATCCTGGTTCAGGAAGGACAAACTCTGGTCATGAGACGGAGACTTTATCACTGCTTCCAGTCAGTCCCGATGTTTCCATATTCGCGATGTTCAGCGCACAAAGGACTGGCAGCCTGAATCTGGCCGCCCAAACTACAGAGAAAACCCTCAGAAGCATTCCATGTTATCACAAGGACGCAGGAGACTGGCTGCCTGAACTGGCTGCAGGTGAATGCACTTTAGTGTCTTACACCTTGGCGGGAAGCCTTATGGACCCCGTTATCGCCACAAATCCAGTAGCGGCGCGAGGGCCGTGGCTTCTGCCAAGTAGCTTCGTCAGATCCGAGTAATTCCTGAACCAAGTTGCATCTGCAGCTGCGGGTCAGCCGGTCTGCCACTTGCTTCCAATCCTCCAAGAGCTGTACAGATTTTCGCGTCAGATGAGAGAATCATGACTTCACTCGTTGAAATTGACTCGCTTGAAATTCTAGTCATTGTCGACAACGAAGTTGATCCTATATCCTCCTACCAGCACCCAGACCTCAAGGTCTCTGGACAATTGGCGGATGTTGCTTTAAGGGCGCCGCTCCAGGATGGAAGTAGGGGCGGCTCAAAATTCGAGATTCGGCTCGATAATGTCTGCTGCGGTGCTCATGGCTTGTCGCTAATGATTGTAAGCAGACCTTTCTTCGGATTTCGAAGCTGATGATTGCTCAGACAGCCATCAAAGGGGACAAGCGGCACACTATCCTTTTCGATACTGCCCCTGAAGAGCAAATCTGGGAACTGAATGCAAAGCGTTTGAGAGCAGATCTCAGCTCCATCGAAAGAATCCATTTGTCCCACTGGCACCGTGATCATTCCGGGGGCATATTGAGAGCAATTTCTATGATAAATGAGGCAAAAGGGAGTAGTGGCATTCAAGTTGATCTTCATCCGAACCGACCAACATATCGAGGCTTCCTAGGCCCGGTGGGTCCAGTCTCATTGGAGAGGGATCCCACTTTTGAAGAAATCGAGTCCGCTGGGGCCAAGATAGAGAAGAATGACCAAGCACACACAGTACTCGAAGATATGTTTCTCGTTTCGGGGGAAATTGCTCGGATTACTCCGTATGAAAAAGGCTTCCAGCGTGGCATGAGGTTCAACGCCGAAAGTGGCAGCTGGGAAAGTGACGAGCTAATTTTGGATGAAAGATTCCTCATGTGTAATGTCAGAGGTAAGAAGTCCCCTTGTTTCGAAAGCCGACACTAATATGGTTGTAGGGAAGGGGATTGTAGTTTTCACCGGATGTAGCCACGCAGGAGTTGTGAATGTGGTTAAGAATGCTCTACAGCTGGCCGGCGGATCCCTCCCGTTACTTGCAGTCGTTGGCGGCTACCATCTTGTCGGACCAAACGAAGCATTCATCAAGGACACAGTTGCAGACTTGAAAGCATTGAATCCTCGCATCCTGATGCCAGGACATTGTTCTGGGTGGAGGGCCAAGTACGAGATAGAAATGGCGATGCCCGGAAGGCTAGCCCCATCGACCGTTGGCACGCAGTTTGTGCTATAACAGCCTGCAGCACGCTAAGTAGCTGGTACACTTAGTCTTGAGCATGATTGCGTGTGCCATCGTTATAAGAGGTAATAACAGAAACTGCAGACGCAACTGGGGAGTGACGTATTGTCTTTCTGTGGCGCTGACCGAAACGACTCGTAGCTTTTCACTTAACCTTTTGTTCTTTCAGGAGGAGAAAAACCTAACATCATTATTGGCTAGCACTGTATGCCAACGGCGACCAAGACCTTGAGACAGGGAGACAGGTTATCGGAGTTAGGTCGAAAGCGGACTTACCGAATCATTCATTATCCAAGAGGTCTGTCGAAGTCGAAAACTCGGTGTCCAGAGAGTCCGCACCATTCTTTCGACAACAATCGTCTCAATCAATATGGCTTCCCTTCAACGCCGCGTTGCAATTGCATTCTTGGACACGTTCAAGGATCTGGATATTGAGTCCAATCTTGCTCTGAGGACGCCTGATTGCGTCCATACTATGGCTCCTGCAACATTAGGCATGAAGAGTATGTCAAACGCCGAGTTCGCATCGCACCTTTCGTCTTTGAAGGAGAAGATTTCAGCAATACCTGTCACCCCCAAGGAGATATTTGAAGGAGGTAACCTTATCACCGTCTGGGCAACCAGCACAACGACGTTTCGCGACGAAGTGAAAGATGAGGACTTGACAGTGGACTGGAGCTATGAGGGGGAATACATCTTCGTCTTCACCTTCAACCAAAGTGGGGACAAAATTCAACATATCCTCGAGTTTCTCGACAGTAAGAAGGTGGATAAGGCACGAACATTGCTCCAGCGAGCCGGGCGTAACTTGGAACCGAGGAAAGGGAACAGGTAGTCCGCAGAAGGGCTAATCGTTCGATGCTTAACGGCCTGTTTGGAACAAACATCTGCGTGCCACAAAGATATCATATTGTCTGTTGTTTCCATTTCATCCTGGAGGTAGTTAGAGCTTGCCAGTTCCACAAATAAGCTACTTGGCCTTCAACCCTGTTCACTGTCGACTCGTATGTGGCTGACTAGAAGAATGGCATCAAGTGGGAACTCTTCGAACGAGCAAGCTAATGAACCCTGCGGCCTGCCGCAGCTGTTGTGCATCGTGCCTTCGACATATGGTACGGTATCGTGCTCGCGCTTGTAAATCCATCGACCGTCCGGAAATTCCTCACACATGGGTTTTGAGTCGGATATACCCCTCAGTCGACAAGCATATCGTCGCAGGCTTTCCGTTCCGCTCGTCCTTGGTGGTCGGAGTGATGATCTTGACTCGAAGTTGACCAACTAACTAATTCAGCAGCGGCGTCTCAACACTGAGACAGATGGGAAGCAGGTGAAAGGCAAGAGTCAGGGTGCACCTCAGGACCAACAAGACGCTCTCTGTTGTCGCGATAACAGCACCAGGAGTTCAAGGAACACTCCCACAAACCCCGCCGTTGGTCTGGATATAACACAGTTCCCATAGCTGGGGAAGCCCCGAGGAAATCGAGTTCAGCCCACCGTGGCAAAGGGGCGCTGCCGTTCACAACTCCTGCTCCAGACGTAGCAGCATACAAGAGAGATTGTCCACTCACCGTGGGACTGAGTTCAGTCATTGCGGCTATCACCATAGCAGCGATCAGTTACGAACGGGATTGCCCAGCACAGTCGCCTCATCTGAATAGCCAGTAGAAAGTCTTGAGAAACTCTTCAGTCCAATGAGCAAGTCAATGCAGAAAACGAGAAATGTCAGCGACTTCAGCATTTTGACCATGTATTGAACCATCACTCAGGAGAACAAGTGCTGCTCCTAATTCACCATGTAACGTCTTGCGAGAATCATCTGCAGCCACCCCTGGGCGCTGAGGCAAGGTGTGGTGAACCCGAAACAGGCTGGGAGATAAATCGCATGGTCCTTTCACTCGACCCGACGGTTCCCTAAGTTAACTTGCGCAGTTGTTGGTGACATCACTGGAATTCAGCGGGCAGTCAGGGGAAGTGTGACCAGAGAATCCAACATCTCCGACTGAGACTGAACTCCTAGATGATAATGGGCATAAGCCCCTTGTGGAGCACAATATCGAGGCATAAACTTGGTTTAGAAGGACGTCGATAGGGAAATGGTCTTCCCATCAGTTGTCGAAGACGTAAATCGCATCGTGTAATTCGGAGAGATGTGGCCTTGTCGGCAAGGAGGTCATTTCTATCACCTTAGCGATGACAGACGTGTACCCATCGTTGGAAGTCCCCTTTTCCGAACATGCACAATCTGGCGGTCCAGCATTCAGAAGACCCACCACATGATATCGAACTACCAGTAGAGTCGACCATCCGCCCAACAGGTTTGGCTGTTGGTTTGGGAAGATTTCGAGCTGAGGGAAGAGCTCGCGAAACACCAAGAGCAGGTTTTGGCCAGCGTATTGAGTGACTCTTCTGGATTGCAACGCGGCTGAGGCAGCAATTGTGACATCGGGATATTGAGACTGGACAAGCTAAGCCGTTTCATTTCGTGGCAATGCTCTCCACAACAGGTAGCTTCGTTTCTCACCAGCGACTTGTGTTTCCGTGTAGGAGTAGCTGACGAAAATAACACCCTCCGGGACAAAGAGTATTTTGAGATCGAATTGAGCCGGGATTTTCGCATTCTTCCGGACGCACAGAGCCGGGTACGATCCACGCAGTCAAACAAGAATCGTGTTGGCCAATGCGCACCTGCGCATAGCCTCTTCCTCAATGACGCCTGCAATTTTCCCGATTGCTAAGTATCATCCTGTGGCCTGAAGAATGATGAACAAAAGCTCCAGTGGCTACAGGGTCGTCGCAAAAGTTCTTCGCATCGAGGCTGATGGAGCAAGGCGCAGAGTCTGTGGCCTGTTTGGATGAATGGTGAAGCTGTCCAGCCTCTCAAGGAGGCTTACCTGAAATCACACAACTGTGCGTCCCGCGGAGCTCAGATAGACGGCTAGAGACGCATTTCTCCATCATAGGCAAATGAACGGCCGGTTCGACAAGAGAGGGTGTCACTCTGGTGTGTGAGTCCCTTTGGCATCGAGGCTGTGCTGGACGCATGGTAATGCCACCTTCCCGATGTTGAAGATTATTCAGTGGACGCTTTAGCTGGGCTGAGACAGACTTTTCTCTGTTCACGCACGTCACACAGATTGCAACATCAGATCTGTGAAGATGAGGACAGCATCATACCACCATGGCCAAGAAGAGAAAATTCGGAGAGTCGGCTGTGGTCCAGCTGAGCCGAAACCCATGGGGGTCCGGATGACAAAGTGGGCAAGGATACGCGGTACCAGAGGGGGAGGGCCAAAAACAGAAACAACAGAGTGGCGATCCAGTGGAAATGGCCCAAGCTTTTCGGGACCTTGGGCTAAATTGCGGGGACATTTCGGGACAAAAGAGGGCGACGGCAGACACTGACTCGAGATGCAGCGATTTGGCGAGTGACATATGCTCCCAAAACGGCTCTTATAGTCGATGCAGTCCATAGAAAGAGGCAGTTGGGGGGAGGCAGGAGGGGCAAAGCACGGGCCACCTAGCTGCCGTTTCTGGGCAATCAGTTGAAGCGAGAAAATCCTGCAGAGATCATGACAGGCTCGCTTGCCCTTCCCCTTGTCGTTGCATTTGGTCAGCTTGCGTGCTCAGGCTATGGTGGTGGTGGAGGGTGTTTCCGCTGGTGCTGGTGCTGCTACGTCCACCCAAGGTCTTTCGTGCGTGGTGCGTGGTGCGTAGTAAGCCTTTTCTCAACATCACCACCACTGGCATACCTCTCGCGACGAACAGGGTCAAAAGGATCCTCGTTCACACGTGGCAGCCCGGCATTTTTCAGGAACCTCGCGACGGGTATTGGCCATGGCTTCAGCCCTCTCCAGTTTTTGCTAATCCCGGTCCGGCTAGCCATGCGACGTGCATACTGCCCGTTATCACTTCTGAACGGCATGCGACGAGGCTCTCCAATCCTGGAGAAAATTCTCCATCTCGAGTTTCGAAGCGCCCAAGGCTTAGGGTCTGTGTTGTGGTTACGAGATTCCTGACGCTTCGCCTGCTTGCGCCCCCATCTCACAGCCTGGTCCACGGAGAAGATGCGACGCAACATTCCAGACATCCATACCCCTGACTGAGAACAAGTTTGGCACAGTCACGACTTATCTAGGCTCACGGGATTTCGAGTCAACAATCCGCCCAAGGGCGGTCAAGTTAAATATCCAAGGGCAACCGCTGAACAGCAGTCACTTGAGATCAAGGTACAAACAGTGACATCCGCGATTCAAACATTGCGATCAATTTCTCTGTGGTGGGACATGCATCTCGCATCGTAAAGCCTACATCGCAGCCCACATACCCAAAGCATTCCCCTCAAATCCACGGCCTTCGCACCATTCCGGATGGGCAACATCGGTCGTCCGAGCACGGGGTGCTTTCTGTGTCGTAAACGGAGAGTCAAGGTCGGCCACGCCGTGCCGGGGTACTGGAAAGACTCTTGTGCTGACTGATTGATGACTTTAGTGTGACGAAGGCCGCCCCGGATGCCGCAACTGCGCGAGGCTCAAGAAGCCCTGTCCCGGATATCGAGAACCAGGTTACGGCTTCATTCGAACAGCCGTCTTTGTTTCGAAACAGGAAGATACCCCGACCCCAAGATCATCATCATCCGAGAACCTTCCACAAGCAGTACTTTTCCGTGCCAGCTCGACGTCGACCGAGGGCGATGAAAGCGATTCTGCCAATAGTGACTCGATTCTTCACTCGTCCTCACGTGCTAGCCAGAGGCTACGCCTTGTGAACAGTCCTTCCGGGGATCTGACCGAGCAGGCCGTCTGCTATTCTCTTACACAACTCGATGCCAATTCTCGAGTGCTTTATGGGAATCATGCATTCAATTTCCTACCCGAAATACTCTCCCACTCGGGGCGAGACTCTTATCTCTATGCGGCGATGCGATCAGTTGCCGCGATCAACTTGGCCAACCGATCACCCACTGTCGACATGCAACCCCTCATCGAATCCGAATATGCCCGAGCTGTGTCGAGGGTGACTGCTGCATTGGCAGATCCTGAACTATGCTTGAGGGACGAGACTCTAGTTGCTGTTTGGCTGCTCGGGATCAGAGAGGTAAAGTGGCTTGCCTCATGCTGCTTACAGATTCATCTAACATTGAGCAGCTTCTGGCCAGTGTCAACGGACCACACGGAGGCTCAGCACACCAGACACACGTCGACGGGACCCTCATGCTTCTACGATTACGCGGCGAAGAACAATTCACCCGCCCCGAAGGCCGTCATTTATACCATACACTTCTTTCGGCCATGGTATGGGCACCGGGCAAGAACTTGGGGATGCTGAGTGCTGACTTGTTTCAGCACTGGAAGCCTCTGTTCGCCAGTGAGGAGCCGTCGCCAGAATACCTTGTCCTCGAATCACAAATACCGAAAGCTACCTCTGCCGTCCCCCCGGCTTCCATGAAACTGAGAAACTTTTTCCACGGTGTCTCTAAATTGCGAGCCCGGATCAGGAATTTTCTTCTGATGCCACAAAATGCATCTGTCGATAAGATTCAGACTGTGAACTCCTACCTCAGAGCTGCAGCTAGACTGGAGGACAAGGTCCGCGGATGGTGCGACATTCTCGATTGGCTTCCCCGGAATATTTTGGTGGACACACCACATCGATATCTTCCTCGCACTCCGTGGACGTCGGGAACGCTATTCAGACTACATTCCTTCGAATCATGGGACGCCTTCTTCCATTGGAACCGATATTTTGTTTCAAAGATTTGTCTGCATGCAGCTCTACTCGACGCCATCGCAAGTCTCGGGAGAACTCCTCCACGTTACGACAACGGGAGTTCAACAGAAGACACCGGCGAACTGGTGACTTTACACACCGCCGAAATCCACAGGACAGTCAAAGACTTTCTGGGGACATTGTCTTATGCTTTTGGCGATGTGGATAAAAACGGCCAGGTGCGTAACACCGTGACTGCTGTGGTCGGCGACGGGGTGTCGACTGAGCAGCGCGGCATCGACATCCCAAGCACGTTGCAAGTGCAAGCACCCTTGTCTTATTTGATTACTTTGAAATACCTTGGGCCGGGACAGCGGGAGGCGATGTTTCTAGCTCTGCAGCGTATTCGAGCGGAATTTAGCGTAAGGTGAAATGGATCTGCTGGTGTTAACCCTGAAGAAGAAAAGTCGACATTCAAGATAACACATGTAAACGCATTATTAATACACATATCTTCCACATTTGCGTTTTGCGACACCCACATTCCCAAACAAATTCTGACAACGTTGAATATCTGTTGGTCTGGGTCCTACGAAAGCTACAAAAGCCCGAGCGTCACTCATTAGCAACTCAAGACCGTTCAGAACATATCCAAATCCAAGTCACCGAGATCCATGTCGTTCTCTGGGAGGCCATAAAGAGCATCAAAGCTCATATCCGCGTCGTTGGAGTCCAAGTTTCCCATGGCAGCGACTTCATCAAGCACTTGGTCGATTCCATCGGCTTGTCCCTGTTCCGTCTGCATGTCCAGTCCACCCGACACAGCAGTAGCGGCATCGAGGTTGGCATTCGCTGTGTCCATGTTTGTAAGTTGCTGGGTGAAGTTGAATGAGTCCAAGCTCATTTCCGGCACGGCAAGAAGATTTGTGTATGTTTCGACCTGTCGATGTAACCGGACCACCCCTTCGGCAATTAACGTCTCTCCACTCTTCAAGAGACTCCCGAGGTTGTGGTATTGTAGGCGCAAGGCGTCACGAAGACCATTCCCAGCCATACACACTGTGGTGGTGAGTGTATCAAGGGCGTCAAGAAACGCATGATTGTCGCTCAATTGCACGAGCACCCCAACTATGGCCCGCAGGGTCGCGGGTGGGCCCCGAACTTCCACGGCACGGCTCACAAGCGCAAAAATGTCCCCAAAAGGCGCGGCGTCCCCAGTATCCAAAGCGGCAGTCTCTGTAATGAGTGCTACTAGGCTATGTTGCAGTATGTTGAGGACCCCTGGACCAGGAGTCTCTCGTTCTCGCTCTGAAAAGAAGGAAAAGTCAGGACACTGGTCCAGGGTCTTGAGGATTGAGTCGACATTGTTATCTTGTGCTTCGACGGCCTTGAGGTGCATCTTCAGCTTTGGTGCACACAGTGCCATTATAGTGTGGTGAATGTCTCGAGACTCTGGCGATCCTGGCGGTTTGATCAGAGCCTCCAACACTTTCCCAGCAACCATGCGCTCATTCTGGAAGACCTCCGCGACCCAGTTCATGGCGGATATCAAGGAAGGCAGCAAGAAAGGCTCAAGTAGATCTGAATCCATGAGCTGATATCACACGGCAAGGGGTCTGTACTTACAATCCAAGCCCGCTTGTAAAGAGTCATGAGTTAGCTTTCCTTGCTGGTGAACCGTCATCGATTGTCGGAGGAGGGTGGGAATCAGGAGATAGAAGTCGTGCGGACTACAATTAGTAAACAGTTCGTCGCTAAGACCCTCGGCAAGGTAAAGAGCATTGATCCAGTTCCCTAGATGTGATTTTCTCTCTTCAGAGAGGTTCTCCAAGCTTTCTTCATCGTTCTCACGCTCCAAATATTGAGCTAGGAACCCATCCTTCTTGCGAATACCCAAGCTTGAGTTTGACAGCCCCAAACGTCCCCTACTAACCAAAATCAGGAGGAAAATGGCTCCGAAATCGTCGTATACTGGTTGTGCCTCCCCTTCCTTCAATTAGCGGAAGATGATTATGGTGGAATGTTACTCACCGTGTATTTCTTCCCACCGCCACTCGTCTAAAAGGCTACAGAGTGGGCCGAGGAAGAAGGCAGGTCGAACGAATAGAGCAATGCAGTTGATGGCGCTAGGCCTGCGTATGATAGCATTGGCGAGATCTTTGAGATACTGCGTCTCCTTGTTCTGGCAATATGTGTGCATGATCTGGGATTTATTAGAGCAGTTTTCCTGGAGCGAATGGTGCACAGACCTCAACCACAGCCTGACTAATATAGCCCGCACTTCCATCGCTGCGGGTTAGTTCCTCCACAAGTTTGGGTCCTCTGGTATGATTCGCATTGACTTGAGCCACAAGGTCATCCTTACCATATAATCCCCTACTCAATCCTTTCAGCAGATCATCGTTTCCAACGAGCTGCGCAGCGATCTGTGCCGGTATCAGGTGGTGTAGAGTACAGACATGTAGAAGCCTGGCGCCGACCAAAAGAAGGTCTTGTGACGAGAGTAGTGGCACTACCTGATGCCATGCGTCGGTTATGGCTTGCTCGGTGTTAAAGCTATTGAATGAAGAAGCCGATATCAGATATAGAAGCGCCGGAAGTTTGTTCTGGATAAAGATTTGACACTGCTGCATGCACAAAGTTCTTCCCGGCGTGGCTGCCTGGGTTTTCAAAATCGAGAACGAGGACGTAAAAACGTCGCTGAACATTGACTGGTATTCATTCTGGTGGCGCGAAGAAAGCCAATGTACTGTCCCGCCGTCGTCAATCGTCGAACCCGTGAAGAGGAGGCCTTCGAGATACAGCATTGTGCCGGCTCTGGAAGCCACTAGCTGACTATCTGCGATAGTGACTTGGAATTGGAGCGCTTGAATCTCGGATGTTGGGGCTGGTGCATTGCCCGGTTGCGAGGAGCCTGCATCCAGAAGGTTGATATGTTTCAAGACCGTATTTATCCGCTCCATGAGCTGGGAAGAGAGCATGGAATATAGCGGTAGGCAGAGCTCAAATGCTTGTTTCACCGAAGTCCGCAAGTCGTTAACAGACCCATGCTTTATCGTCTGCTTTTGGCTCTCGGCTGGTGACAAAGCCTCGAGTCCGGCGTCAGTTGCGGCAATAGACGCCATGAGAAAGGCGAGGATTTCGACGGTACTGTTGAGCTCCGGTCCTGACGGTTCGGAATCTCCTCGTGATGCCTGCCGTGCTAAAGCAGAGAGCCATCTTGATGAGATCTGTAGAGCCAGGCGTGCTTCAGACGCACTCGCTTGATATTTTGGCGAGACAATCACCATGGTCAGATCTTGCAGGGTGTCATTGTAGCATGCAAGAGTATGTTGTGATGCTGGAAGTTTTGTGTCATTCCATCGTTTTGTGAGGATAAGCAGCCCGTCAGAAATGACAATGATGCCACTGACTACAATGTAGTCGATATAGAGTGAGATAAGAGGATCCCCCGGCTGGCAAAAAGATTCGCGACACTCAACAAAGGCTCCAAATAATCGCTTGCCATCGATGTCGCTATCGTGGTTCCGCAACAAGTCGCCGAAACGTTGTACAGAGATTCGACGAAGAAGACATTGGCGAGCTAAAGTGAGCCACCTTGAAACTGTCATGATATTGTGGGAGCATTAAAAAGGGTTGAGCGGATAATTTACTGTTGCTTATTTGGTCTCTTTCTGAGGAAAAGAACGCTCTTTGACACCTCGAGCTTGAAATTTGGGCATAAATCACAAATTAACCCAACCAAACACACTCTTGTGTCTCATGCCAGATCTGAACGTTATTTGCTTGTAGACGTTTCCCACCTGTAGTTACTCGAGAATGTAGAAATCGTTGGACGGCTAGTTGCAAACTCTGCATACAATGCAAACACTGCAAACACTGCAAACATTGCGGAATGTGCGCAGTTTAAAGTGCAGCAAGTAATATCTTACTCCTGACCGTCACTATTGATCTTCCAAACCGATGACTCTGCATCGTTTATGACGCCTTGCGGACAGAACTGCAGGCGCCCCTTGGGCAATGTTTCTCCAAGCGTTCTGTCACTTCCAGTTGCACCTCGCGCAGTGGCAACCTCCATGAAGTCCAGCTTCCCTTTTGCCGCATGGCCAGCCATACAAATTCCTTCAACCCTGGTAGCCCAGTGATGGCTGAAGGCTGCCCACGAATCCGTCTGCTTCCTGATCATGTTTGGAAAAAGGTCGCATCATCTCGCGAACTCACGTCTCCAGAGCATGTCATCGAGGGTCTGCTCAGAAATGCTTTGGACGCCAATGCCTCGTCAATTGTCATCGAGGTGGAATTCTCAAAAGGCTATATTTCAGTTTGCGATAATGGAAATGGGATCAAGGAGGTGGAATTTTCTGAGCAGGGCCAGTTAGCCAGACTCCATTGTATGAAATAGCTGGATGTTCCTCATAGTCAGGATTCTGACTGCGCTTCTTCAGGTTCTTCGAAATCATATTATTCGGATCCTACCTATGGTCACTATGGCCGCTTCTTGTCAAACCTATCGCATCTGTCTTTGTTGTCCATAGCCTCCGAGCATCAGTCGGAAGATTTCGCAAATCGATTGATCCTGCACCGCGGTGATGTCGTCTCTCGCCAGCTGCGGCTCGGCAGAGAAGACTTGGGTATCGTGCGGAAAGGAACAATTGTCACTGTCCATAATTTGTTTGGGGACGTGCCAGTCCGCTTCAAACACCTGTCACAGCTTTATTCTTCCTCGGCCGAGACTGAAAGGGGTTTCAACCAGGTAAAGGAAATGCTTGTTGGATATCTGCTTGCACAGTCTGCTGCGGTCGAAGTGCGATTCCGCGTGAAAGGCCAAAGACAGCACAGCTTCCATTGCCGCTCCTCTATCTTGAACAGAGGGCGATTCTCGTTGGAGTCGACTGTATCAACACTGTTTCAGGCTAAGCTGGTGGCCTCTCTCGACACCACGAATTGGCACTCAGTATCTGTTCGCACGAGCCACTTCCTCATTCGTGCAGCTATCTCTAGTGAACCGTCCCCAAACAAGAGAACTCAGTTCATTTCTATCGGAAAGTCGCCAATTCGAAGAGGGCAAGGAATCGATTGTTTGTTTGACGCTGTTGACCGGCTTTGCGAGGAGTCGAGGTTCGGGTCTCTAGATCTAGCCCGCAATGTGTCGAGCGACACAACCAAAGACCGAGAATCTGGGGACTGCACTAGTCATCCCATCAAGCTGCAAAATGCCGTGGATAAATGGCCTACGTTCCACATTCAAATTGAGCCACGATCCAGGGAATTATCGCATAAACTCGGGTTGGAGTATTCTTTGGCAGACATCTTCCCCGTCACTGATCATTTGACAAGGGCGGTAGAGTCACTGGTCTCCAATTTCCTATTTGCGTACGAATGTACAGCCACTCCAGAACGCAACGGAGCGAGGAGTGGACGCGGTCAAAGGAAACGCGAAGATGAATCTTGCCGACAACTTGTCAGGGAATCCACTGCTAAACTTTCGAAACTTCCAGCAACCGAAGCCCGGTATCTGAACCACTGGCGTCGGGTCAAGAGTGCTCGACTCCCAGAAGAGAATTTCCGCTACGGCCTGAGCTTGAGAAATCCAGACGATCTCTCTTGTCTACCCATGCGAGCGTCCGAGGGACATCCCCCGATTGGCATCCCGCGCTTGGAAGTGCCGGACCCCAGAAATATGGCTCGTGAGAACCAAGTTGTTTGCGATGACGATGATAAAACCGTCGTTGGCCTCCCTTGGATCAATCCACGCAATGCTCAAGTCATTTACCTCCACCCTCGCACAGGAGCGGCCATACCTCTGGATAGTCTAGACCATGTGCGTTCAGATCGAAGTCGTGCGCATTCGACGCCAATACAGCAGGGCCAAGGTTCTAAAAATTCCAGGGACAACGATGGCCAAAAGCCTTGGGCAAAACCTATACTCAACTTGCAGCAATATCTGCAGAAGAGCTCTCATCACCAAGTTGACGCACCGATCACGTGCATTACATCCGAGCAAAGTCCTGGTCTATCTGGAAAATGTCACAGTGCTGGAGGGCATGGTAACGCTATCTGGGACTCACAGTTCGTTAGCAAAGGTGCCCTATCGGGGGCCACTATTATCCAGCAGGTTGACCGAAAGTTCATCCTCGCCGTTCTTGCTGCTCAAGATACACGCGATCCGTACTCATCAGAGAGTATAGAGCGGAGACTTCTTGTTCTTATCGACCAACATGCAGCTGACGAAAGAATTAAATTTGAAAGGTTGTGTGACGACTTCTGCAAGCGCACTTCAACAAATCTCGCCAAACCATTGGTCTTTGAGTTTGACGAAACTGAGGCCAGGCTTTTGGAAGAGCACAGGGAATATTTTCGGGAATGGTCTGTCAGCTATAACATTGTCGAAAATACCCAAGCAGCACAATTGTCGACATGTTCTCGCAGCCATGGGACCTGGACAGTGGAGGTGACGGTACTGCCAGCCCTCATTATCGAACGTTGTCGTGCCGATCCGAAGCTTTTGGCTGACATCATGAGAGGCGAAATATGGTTAGGCTGTGGGCGGCGGCGTCGCACTCCGCGCCCCTATCCTCCACAATCCGATGAGCCTTCCTGGTGGTCCGACATGGTGGACTGCCCGAAAGGCATGATTGAGTTGCTCAAGTCTCGATCCTGCCGCTCCGCGATCATGTTCAACGATTATCTCGATACGAGGCAATGCCACGAACTTGTCCGAAACCTGTCTCAGTGCACCTTACCATTCCAATGTGCTCACGGACGACCCACGTTAACAGTGCTGGCAGACCTGAATGGTGGGGATTTTTATGGCCTCGGCATGGGTGCAAATGTCGATCCCAGCAACGCCGCGCTTGGATTTGGCGACGCCTGGAGAGGTTGGTCCAAGTAGGGCTTTTGGATACAGAAGTATTACGTACAGATTATGAGCATTTGCGCTTTGCAATTGGGGTCCTTGCAGCCCTTGTCTCGCCCACCCACTGTCCTTTCATGCCTCTCGCTCTCATCCTCTCCATCTCGTAGAAGTAGGCGGCCCAAGTGACGAGCGGCTGAGTCGGGTGGGCTAGGCTAGGCTGAACGCAAGCGCGAAGAGACTTTGAAAACAATTTCGTCAGAACCGCAAATGCAAGGAGGGGGCAAGACGCGTGCATGGTCCGTCGTCACAAGGCCGTGTCCAATGAGAAAACACAACAGGCGGGATCCATGGTGACTGCGTACGGGTAGAAGTTAGTCTAGGCAGCATTTTTGACGAGCGGCTTTGCTAGTGGGAGTCACTTGAGCTCGGATTTGACACCAAGCGCCCAATCGTTGGGCTCGACGGACCTCCATCACATGCATCAAGTTCAAGCCCCAGGCCCCTTTTGGCCCTTGTCGATTCAAGGTCAGCCCTTGCCTCGCTTTTGGAACTGTGCAGCTGTACCCAAGTCTGTGACGGGTGGACAGCTCTCGGACAAGGGAGGCAAAATGTCGTGCTAGCCCCGTTCTTGGAACGAGCACAAAGGACTGTCAATCACGAGGACCTCGCCCGGGATCAATACGAGAATAGAGCGGGGGAAGGCGGCCAGATGGCAGGGAAAAGCAGAGGAGACGACGCCATGCAACCAGGCAACACAGCTGCATACTCGGCCAGCCAGGTGACTGACTCCCTTCACACCAAGGTGGACCGATTACCTCGTAGAGAATTCACAACACTGCCGCTTCAGAGCCCGCGTTTTGGTGGTGATTCAATGATGGATGAAAATCGGGCCCGGGCTGCTGACGGAGAATCAAGTCAATGGGCTCATCATGCCAGTGTCTCAACACACCGCACGAAGATCCTTCTCAGACAACTGCCGCCTGCTTTTCCGGTGGCCCGCGCCCCCCCTGGGAAGGCTAAAGGCTCGAGCAATTCTTTGGGTGGCCAGTCAGCGTCCAGAATGCAGCTGCAAGAACCGTGCGGCAGCTTGGGGTGGCAGCCGGCAAGCGCCTTTTCCAAGCGCCCCGTGGATTCAGAAGCCCCTTGTCTGGCGTCGTGGAAGGCTCCCCGACCAAAGACGCTCTTCCCTCGCCCACCTTTCGCCCGCCTTTGCCCTTGCCCTTGCCCTCCTGCTTTCTGTGTCTCTCCCAGCTGTCAAGCATCAGATGCAAAAAGTGGGAAGGATGTGCTTAGGCCTCTTTGTCTCTGACCCTGCCTCTCCTTCTTGCAGACGTCTTTAAGTTGGGCCCTTGGGGCACTTTTCGAAAGCTCTTTGCAACATTGATTGTCTCTGCTTCTTCTTCTCTGCAGCTGGAGCTCGAAACTGCTGCTACTACAACAAGGTGTGGCTCCCTCCGCTTACTACGCACAGGCAAGCAATCAGCAGTCGATTCTCTTTCTTTGCTGTTACCGGCTCCACGTGCGCTTCTCGCGGCTGCCGCTTACCTGCAAATCGACAAACTCCTCAGCAAACATTTCAATAGCCGCATTCTACAGGGCATTTGTTCAGAACTTGCTGTTCTACCTGAGTCCCCTCCCTCCCAATCCCAAGGAGCTCTTCTACGGCTTCCATCAAATCCTTTCACAGTTGCTGCCTTCCCAATCTTCAGGACTACAATTAAGCGCGTGATTCCCCTGATCCCAGGCTCGCGAGCATCCTGGGCGCTTACCACTCCTCAGGTTGTGACGGATGATAAGCGCCCACATTGCGCAAAGGTCTTTTCTTTTCGCCGCGCGTCTCGCTGTCTCGCCCATTCTAGGAGTTTCAAACCTCTTACTGGCGAATCCGCGCTTTCAAAAGGGCATTCTCCCTATCCCGCCAGAAGGAGCAGCCAGGTCAAGCGCCCATTTTCCCGGAGTTCTCCTATCCCTGCTTGAAGCTTTCAGCTTCATTGTATTCAGGAGTCGGGATTGAAAAAGCGACCAGAACCTTCCGGGAATACTTATAGAGCCCGTCCACGCTAAATCCCGCCAACTCGTCTTGCTGGAATCTCCAACCTAGCATCTGACTTCTGACAATGCCTCCTCCGGCGAGTCAGAATGCTTCTGAAAATGAGGTGACTTCAAGCCCAGAGGCCAGTTCACGAGGGTTTGTTGCGGTCAATCACGCGTCCAGTAATGGTCTGTCATCATGCCCTTCTAGTATATGTCCGTATTGACCATGACCCAGAAAGCGAAGCCTCACTAGACAGCGGACATTCGTCTCCACAAGACCAGCCTTTGAGGGAAGAGCCTACGCCCCGAAATTCAGGCAGCACGTATCCGCCCCCGCATGGACAGGAACGTGCGGGCCATAGACGGAAGCGGTCGGAGTCTGGCGACGAGGATGACGACCGTTACCTTGAGCGGCGGCGGTATGAGTACGGTCCTCGGGAGGGTCCTGAACCACAACACATGGCCAACCGAGCACTGCGTGTCCTTGGGAATGCCGATCACAATGGCACAGCTGCGTACTATCAAAATGACGCCAATCAAAACGGCCATACGTGGCAGGAGGAGAAGTCTGCACAGCCAGCCACTGCCATCAATGGCCATCGGCCCAGCACCTCCGAATCCCAGCGCGAAGGAATTCTGGACCAAGAGGCAAATGCATCAGACGCACAGCCACCGCCTTGGGGACCGGACTATCAACCCAGGCCGAACGGCCAGCTCAATCACGACCAGTACGGTCATCCCGAGTCAGCAGCGGGCACCCCAACGGTCGCGCCCAAAAGAAAGCGCAACTTCTCCAACAGGACGAAGACGGGGTGCATGACATGCCGCCAACGGAAGAAGAAGTGTGACGAAGCGCAGCCATGGTGTAAGTTTGATCACTCTTTCGAAAGTCGACTGCCGTTACCTCACCCTACTAATACTCTTACTTTCCCAGGTAACAACTGCGTTCGGGGGGGATTCAGCTGCAAAGGCTACAATGTGAATAGGCGTGCGGCTCCGACCAAGCCCACGCCCATCAGAGGCCCCGTTCCGTTGCAGTCCAGGGATGGTCCTGGTGACGTGTCTGACGCCTCGCCTTACCAGGGAACTCACATGGAAAACCCCGGTCCAAACAACCCTCTCAAACGTCAGGACAGTGTTCAATCGCGACCAATTCCTGTTGGTGGTAGTGAAGGACAACGTCCGCCGCCGTATGAGATGAGCCCACAACGCCATGAGCCACAAGGCCGACCACTTCGTCCCAGCCAGCACACACCCTGGCCGCCGGGGCAGGGTCAAAGTTCTTATACCTCAGAGCATCTCCCTCCACTGGCAGATCTGAATCGACCAGAACCACATCCAGGTGCAAATCCCCGAGAAATGTCGCGAGTGCCACCACAAGGTAACGCATATCCTCCACCTCCTCCCCCGCCGCCTCCTTCCAACCAAGCTCCGCTAGGACCGCACCCGCAACAGCACTTTCCTTCTCAACATGCGCCGCCTCCGCCTGTAGGTCCCAGCGGCGCTCATCAACCAGCAGCGGGCCCCCCTCAGCAGCAACTGCAGTGGCACCAACCACCGCAACCTCAAACGCCGTCGTACTCGCATGCATATGGTCCTCCACCGCCTGGCCCTCACCCGGCGCCTCCTAGTCACCCCACCATGCCTACTCACACCAGAATGGCATCTTCGAGCTCAAATTTCAAGATCTCTGGCCAAGAAGACGTGGAGAAGTCCAAGATGTTGAGGTCGGTCAACTATATTCACATGGATCCGACTCTGGTCTATGAGCGTCAACGGTGTGAGCGAGCCCTCAAGCGCTATGAAGCAGCTTGTGAGCTAGACAGCGGCCTGAGCGAGCAGGAAATCCGCAATCTTTTGGTGAAAGTGCTAGATCCGAGTCAAGACACCACGCACAGGTTTCCCTCACAGAACCATGGCAAAGGCTATCTTGGTCTTGGGGTCAAGATCGAGACCCCCTTCACTTGCACCTATGGCTACAACCTCCGCATTCACGACGATGTCTACGTTGGCAAGGGTTGTAACTTTGACGACGCCGGGGTGATCGAGATTGGGCCTCGCACGATCATCGGGCCTGGCGTCACCATCATCACAAGCGATCACAATAAGGATCTCATCAATCGCAAGGGCACCAAGGGTCTCTGGATAGCAAACAATGTGCTTATCGCTGCTGGAGTCATTATCGGCGCCAAAGCCATCATCTATCCGGGCGTCAAGATTGAGGAAGGTGCCACGGTCGAACCAGGTGTGGTGGTTCGCGAGTCATTGAGAACGAATCAGATACTTAAGGCGCCGATGAATCAAATCATGGAGGCGCTTCCACACCACTAGATGATGCAGTGGTTCGGTAGCTACGAGTCGCAATCAGTGCGAAATTGGCAGGCTTTTCCTTTCACAACGCGGTTGGGTGTCTTTTGCGCGGGCTTTAATAATGGTTATGAACTCGGGTCATTGAGGCAGTGGGTGCGCAAGCGTTGTGCAATATCATTCGTAGGCACAAAAGTCGGCTTTCGATTGACTTTACCGGCAGCTTTTAGCAGTTGTTGTATTTTGCAGACAAGGACCAGAAGTACCGAATGCTCATGAGCAAGCGAACTGCGCACACAAGCACATGCCTTTTGCTCTGGTGTTTTGGGAAGATCAACCCAGCCTCGAGTCCCACTACACTCCCGCTTGGGTCGCGGCAGGTCACGATGTGACAATGCGTGGGCCAAAAATCTCACCGTGTTAGGTCGTCTGGGATAATTCCTCACCGACGAGATCAGGGTTTGTCGAACGAATAAAGCGTATCATGCGTCTGCTTCCCGGTCAAGCACATATCTCCCAATCAATTGAACTCTAATACCTATTATAAACAACAAGCAGTGGCCGTTCTGAGGTCTTGGTAGACCGGTTAAGGGATCCGGATTCTAGCGGCTACCACTCGGCAGACCATAAAATAACGAGAATTGCTACTCGTGTTGGGTGGGCGGGGCACGGCCGAAACACGAAGCGCTGCACTGGTGGCGTCAAGAAGGTGTTCAGAGGATGCATCGATCCCCTACCTGCACCTTTGTTCTGGTTTGAGGAGGCGAGCACCCTGCGGTCTCCTGGGTGACTCCTGAGCATTATTAAATTCCACTTCCAGGCTTTATCTGGCCCTCGAAACTGTTTACTGCGCAGCCAGGTCATCACTGTCATGGTGTCTTTCCATCATAGTCGTCCTTGGCGACCGAGTGCTGGACGTTGGAAAAGGAGTGTCGCGTAGAGACGGGCGCTTCCAACGAGCTCAATTCTAGCGGGACTGCTGTGCTAGAGATTTGCATAACCCTGGACAGTTACCCCCATCTTGCGGAGCAACCGTCGTTTGGCGAGCTCCCCGTATTTTGACTCCTTCTTGGCCAGAGGCCGCTGGCATTTCAAACAGAAAGTTCGGATCTGCAACCCAGCGAGTGTGATGTTTGTTCTTGCTTCTAAAGTCTCTTTCGGAGCATCTATCCCAGGCACAGTAGCTGCAGACAGCTCCCTCTTCTCACACCTACGAGTATGCTCAGCCAGACACACAACAAGGATTGCAGCTTTGGTCATTGACCCGCCAGCTTTGACGAATCTGGGTAGATACACCACTGGGCCCCCGGCCAAGCCGCACCCGGTCAAATGATCTGCTCGATCGGCGCTGTTTGTCGCTGGGGCTCGAGGGGCGAGGGGCCCAAGTCACTCAGATTGGTTTCTGAAGCGCAGTGGCAAGATTGCGTGGGGCGAAAGATCTGAATATTGCGGCTACGACTTTGCTGAGGTTTGTGAAAGGCACAGATCGCTTCTCCCCAGAAGTTAGGTAGGCCGTGCATGTGAGGAGCACTTAGTACAACGAAATACACTTATGGCAGTAGAATCATGACCTAGGTAGGTACCAGGTACTTAAGGCTTAACAAAAGTTGCATCGGCTCCAAGCACCTCAAGAGGCCTAGAACTCACCCGGCCCCGTTGATGCAAGGGTGGTTAAGGCGGGCACCACAACGAGTCTGGGAAGTCTTTTGGAGTGGCATGGTGGCTTGCCGGCAGGTTGGATTTTGCGTCTTTTGGCGGCCCGTTGGGTGGATTTCTAGGCTCTTGAGTCTCGAGCAACGGACGACGGAGTAGCCTATCGAGTCTGTGCAGGTAATACCTAGGTACTAGTGCCTAGGTACCCCAGTAGTAGGAGTCCACCCACTCTGGGTGCCACCGCTTCAGTGACTTCCTTCCTGCATCAACAAACCCTTCCATCATCGGCCAGTCTTTACAGAGTCTACCAATTTGTACAGTTCATTCTTTAGCCTGTTTTATTTGTCATTATCCATCACCGTCGCCGTTGTTCAGCAGTCGGACTCCTAGCTCAGCCGTTCACTTGGTGTGACGCCCTTGCAGACGCATTGAACCCCCCCTCGCCTCCTCTCGACGCCCTGCTCTCGTGCCCCCTTGTTTCTCCTTGGGAACATATTTCGAAGTTACCATCTCTTCGCCTCTAGCGATTTCACCACACCTTGGGTCCCCAGTTCATCTACTGTTGGCTTAGAAGAAATGGCCTTTTGCGTGGCGCAGGTGCTTCAATACTGAACGATGTGATCCGCGACTTTTTTACGGTCCTTGCAGCAAGATGCACGAGCCTCAACCTTCTGGTATCTACGTTGCACCTCTACGAATCCGCAAAAGTAGTGATGACGACGAGGACGACGATGGGGAAGACCACAGGCCGTCCGTCAAAATGGAAGATTCGGGGTTGGCCAACACGAATCCACGTCCGACGTCTATAGAATCCCTCGCGGATATGGCCTCCTCCCGCGCAAGATTCCACAACTATCTGCGCGCCCTCTATCCCTTCCAGCCCTCTTCTCCTCATTCCTCCACCACGGTCACACTACCTCTCAATGCTGGAGACATCATTCTGGTACACTCTGTGCATATCAATGGCTGGGCGGATGGGACACTGCTGGAGACAGGAGCACGCGGGTGGCTGCCGACCAACTACTGCGAGGGTTACGATTATGCTGCGATGCGGCCACTCCTCAAGGCGTTGACCGAATTCTGGGATCTCGTCCGCTGCGCGAGCGATTCAAACCTGAGTCTTTTCCGCAATCAGGACTATATGAGAGGCCTGGTCGCGGGTGTCCGCGCCTTGTTGGAACGCTCAAATTGTCTGACCCGGGACTGTTCACTGGTCAAGAAGCACGATGCCATACGCAGGACGCGTAAAAACCTCCTCTCTGATCTCGCTCTTCTTGTGCGTGCAGCAAAAGAACTCCAACAGGTAGTGATGGGCCATGCCGCCAGCAAGGACACGCTTGACATCCGGCTGGATGACATGCTCTTAAAAGCGTTCCGAATTGTCACTCGCGCCGTCTTGTTTTACGACGTCTGGACCGAGCAAGCCGATGCGTCCCCGGGTGCTGCTACAAGACCTCCCGACTCTTCCTCGGAATCCATTGCGATTATGCAATCTCAGCGCTCTGCCAAATCACAAGCCACTGTCCGACGTGAAGCTTCTACATCTGTTACGGCGAAAGCTTCAGGCACCACCGTCTTGTCGAAACGTAGCAGCCACAGTTCCACAGGTAATCCTACCCACATGCGACGACACTCATCCATCACACATCGCATGTCGTACAGTCGTGGCACGAGCCAGAAGAATTCCAACCTAATATCCGAATTTCTCAATCGCTCTTACGACGAGTTTCTGACTGTCCTGGCCTCGTTCTTGGGGTCTCACATGCAATCCAGGTCATCATCTGAGTTGTTGCTTACCACACAAAACGCTGTTCGAGCTTGTCGGCAGCTTTTTGCAGTGGTCGAAACAGTCATTGACCGAGACTACAGCACCTCTCGGCCACTGGTTCAAGCCAAAGATTCCATGTACGATGCGATCACTGAACTGGTCCACGCTGCTCGTCAGGTTTTCAAGCCCATTCGCTCGATGGATGACGACTTGATCTATTCTCCCGATGAGGCGCACAGTCTAGTCCAGGCTGCCACGGCCTGCGTCAGTGCTGCAGGACGATGCGTCACTAGAACAAAAGCGACCTTGGAAGAAATAGGAGATTTTGAGATCGAGAATTTGAGTTACCTTTTGGGGAGAAGTTCGGGTGGCTCCAGCACACCAGAACCAACAAACTTCGAACCTCCGCCTTCAGAACGTCTCACAACTTCATCGGCGATGACGTCGGCTATAGCTGACCGCACGGAAAGATTAGAGGAGCGCCCTCGCATCGTCGTCAATCAGGGCCTCCTGACTCCACCTCTTTCCATTACCCCTGCCGAATCTCCTTCCACGGCATCTGGTAGCGTTCCTCCTACACCGAAAGACGACGTGGTGGCAGAGATCATTCGCTCCTCGCCGTTGCACTCCGCCCCATTTGCTCATCAGAACATCTCTTCGAGCTCCCCAGTCTCCAGTCAGTCCACAGATGTCAGACATCATCGCAAGTCCGGTCCACACACAGTGGGAGGAAGTACCAGCAGTGACAGCAGCTTCGAACGCATTGAGCGACGGTCGAACCCCAGCAACCTGTCCTCGGCGTCGACCCGGGTGACCTCGGTTCAAGAAGATCTCAGCCTCTCGCTAAAGGCGCACGACTCGAGACCCTCGCATGATGGTGGTGTGCGCGAGTCCCCTGACGATGAGGATGCAGAAGCTGAAATTCTTGTACAAACCTATTCGCAAGAGCTTGTCTTTAACCGAGAAGGCATCATTGTTGGAGGCACACTCAACGCGTTGGTGGAGAAGCTGACTGCCCCTGACTCGGCCCCCGACATGTCTTTTGTCACCACAATTTACCTCACTTTCCGCTTATTTGCGACTCCGGTAAACTTTGCTCGATCCCTGATCTATCGCTTTGAATATGTTGGCGAAAACTTGAGCATAGCAGGCCCCGTCCGACTCCGCGTGTACAATGTCTTCAAAGGGTGGATGGAGTCTCACTGGCGGCACGATTGTGATGACACAGCACTCCCGGTCATTGTCGGCTTCGCGAGAGAGTCACTCACTGTTGTATTGCCAATGGCCGGTAACAGAATCCTTGAACTGGCGGAAAAGGTTGCCACTAGTCATGCCCCAATCGTTCCGAGAGTATTGTCCGCTATTGGAAAGACGAGCACATCCACCGCGGCCTATATCGACCCGAGCACTCCACTACCAAATCCTGTCATTTCGAAGAGCCAGCTCACTGCGTTAAGAGCTTGGAAAATGGGTGGCCCGTCAGTTTCCATCCTCGACTTCGACCCTCTGGAACTCGCCCGTCAGATCACGTTGAAGACTTCCAAGATCTTTTGCTCGATCCTTCCCGAAGAGCTTCTAGGAACGGAATGGACCAAACGCAGCAGTTCTCTAGCCGTGAATGTGCGCGCCATGTCGACTCTGTCCACCGACATCTCAAACCTCGTCTCCGATTCCGTTCTTCAACTCGAAGAACCAAAAAAGCGAGCTGCGATCGTCAAGCAATGGGTCAAGATTGCCAACAAATGCTTGGACTTGCGCAATTTTGACACAGTCATGGCGATCGTCTGCGCACTGGATTCGACCAACATCAAGAGAATGAAGAAGACGTGGGAATGCGTACCTCAGAAGACCAAGTCAATTTTTGACGAGATGTGCAAGATGGTTGATGTGGCGCGAAACTATGCTGTTCTGCGTCAACGTATTCAATCTCAACTCCCGCCTTGTCTCCCTTTCATCGGCGTATACTTGACAGACCTTACGATGGTGGATTCCGCCAATCCATCTACGAGGCCGCTTTCGACAGATGGTGGTCAGGCATCGGTCATCAATCTGGACAAGCACATGAAGACGGCGAAGATCATATCCGAATTGCAAAAGTTCCAGATCCCGTACCGCTTCGCCGAAGTCTCTGAACTCCAGACATGGATGCAAGACCAACTTATTCGAGTCAGATCCGCAGGAGACAAGAGTTTCCAGCTTCACTATCGACGTTCATTGATCTTAGAGCCCAGAGAACCCAGCAGGAGTCCAAATCCTGAGACAGCAACCGGAAAAGACAGGGAAAGGTTCGACTTCTTTACATGGGCACACCTGGGCACAAAGGAGAAGTCGGTTTCGGTATCTAGTTGATCAGAAACCTTGAAGCTCGACACAGAACTCAGGCTTGAGATGCGACGTTGTCATGATTTTGTGTTTTATTTCTTCCCAGGATCGTTATGAGCTTATGATACCCCACGGCTGTTTGTTTTTCTTCTTTCTTGATTTCGCCATGTTTCTTGCTAGCGTGCAACATTGGTTTCATTTGGGAGGCGTTGGATGTCGGGACGCTACGTTGGTGTTTGCCTGTCTTGTGCTTTGATCCGGGACTTCTCAGGCGTTTGGCTCGTTGATGGTGGCCCCAGACCAGGCATTTGTGCGTTTAACGTGGGTGTATCATATGCATGCGTCGTTCTTTCCTGGACGCAGACCTATAATAGGGAAGCTCGAACGCGAAATGTACGTATCATGGATCGAGCTGGGTTGTATCTGCACTATAATGGATCCTCCAACTGTTGGCCTGGCTCATGGATAGGAAAAACGTCGTTGGAACGAACTCTGGAGATCTGGTTGTGCGGAAACAGTTTTCGCAAAGACAAAGCAAGGGTCATAATCTCACAAGTATCTTGATAAGTCTATCCGGTTTATACATGTAGGCGTCATCAGCTTCATCACAAACCCATGAAAAGAGTCGCTCGAACACGCGGCATCCTGCAACCATGTCACAGTACGGAACATCTACCCCAGAAGATGCATATGCCTCTGCTGTAACGGTCACCCATCGGGGAGAAACCTCCTCTTTGCTATCAGTTGAATTTGTGCCATTGCCCATGTGGCTACTGGGCCGAAGTGGTCTCGGCGGTTAGACAGAAATAGCGGTAACTGGTCTTTGTACATGGTCGTCAACAACGAACAATGCCTTTAGAAAGTGAGCCTTGTACACGACTTTTCTTACCGGACAGCGCTGGTGCCACTGTATTTCTTATTCTCCGATCTGTTTGTCATCTCCAGGGCTACAGGGTTAGATACGATTGAAAAAGTACACAGTTGTCGCCAAAGTAGATTCAAGAGGCAGGCCATGTATATGATCTGGTAGTGGTCCCCTCGTGCATGCCCCATCGGCCAGTGAGGGAAGACTGTGTTGGGTATACAGAATGTCTTCTTACCCTTGTTCACATATATGAGCTATAACTCCATAGTCAGTGAGTTTCCACGAAAGAATGTCTCGTTCTAGTTCCCGCGAAGAGGAAGCCGGATTTGATTACAAGGAACATCCGTCACTCTTGAGTTCGAGTCAGATTTTAAGGCCGCTCTGACCCACGTCAGTCTGTACTCCCCCAATAGAGGTATTCTTGAGATTAGTTATGATCTACGTCGGAGACAGCAGCATTCAAGAGCCCTAGTCGGCTGGTTGATGGTACATCGCAAGAAGAGTTTGTCACCAATGCCGCCATCCAAACTGGCGTCGCACCCAAGGCTGATAATAGCTCGAGTATTCTCTTTCGCTGGACATGCCAAAGTGATTGGCAACATTGACGTAGCCGTCTTGGGTATGTTCGCCAGCCCTTTTGATCGCCTCAACGTCCGAGACGTCCATTTCCCAGGGTGTCCTGCAGTAGACGCAACGAACGCCCTTGCCCGCTTGGCTCTTGGCCCACTGATCAAAACATGACTTGTGTGTGTTATGTCCACATTGCGCTTTACACCAGACCAGCTCGTTGTGCTCCTCGTCAAGTTCCATGTAGCATATTGGACATTCTCCATCGGTGGGCTTGCGGTTGCCTTTCGGGTTGTCAGAAACATCGGTGGGGATGGCAGGCGCGTGGGCAAATATCTCCTCCAGCTCCGACGTCAGCAGGGCAAGCTGGTATTGGAGATGTAGAGGAGCCTTGAGGACGGTGTGAAGGGCATAGACTTTGTGTTTACATTCGTTGCCTCTCAGCGAGTCGGGACAGGTGCAGGTTGGCAAGTGGCTGATGGTGACCGTGTAGACATTTCCAGTCGAACCAACAATGTCGATATCTTCCGATGGGGCCCCTGCTCTCAGACTGCGTTTGCGACCGAGCACGATCATGCGTTGAGTCTGGGCTCGCTCGAGCTTCACAAGGAAAGAAGCTGTAGGCTTGCTTCTGTACCTGCGCATTCGCTTCTCCTCGACTTCTTCCTCCTTTTTCTTGGGCGTGGTGGACGTGCTTCTCCTCCCGCTCCTGCAGTTTGACCCGTCCGTTGTGTTCTCAATGTCTCGCATTCTCGACGATTCTCTCTTCTGAGCTGGGCTGTGGAGGGATGATTTCACTTGTGAGGAAGGCCTGGATTTCGCAGGAGTGAATTTCATGATTCCTCCGGAACTGGAAACACGGGAAACCTTGGTGGGAGGCATCTTGAGCACTGAGGTTTGTGGGCCACAAGGGACTCTCAGATGGAACGATTGAAGACCCGGGGAGTTGTTAATAGGGAGGGAGTTGTCGCCGTTCTGAGTGGCGGGGGTGTCACCGGTTCATATTCGGTACGCGGAAAATCACTTTTGCGTTGTTTACAACCATGTCAGCGTCTTTCCTGAAACCTTGGAACTTACAAGGGAAAGGTACTAAACATCATGATTTCCCTTTGTACACGTAAATCAGGCTCTTGGTTCTTCATCCAGGGATTCTTACTGAGGTCTGGCTGACGCAACACTAACTTACATGCGGCCAGGATAACGCCTGGTCATGAACGAGCGGAGTGAAGAAAATAAACATTAGCTAAGCCCTGTTCACCACCCGGAGCAGCAAGTATAACCAGCAAATTGTATTTCTTTGGGATCTCCTCATATGACCGTTGAAACAGGCGGAGGGAAAACAATCAACTATGCTTGCTAGCGTATCTGCCAAACGCTCAAAGCTATATATCTGCACAATCCCGTTTCTTGTACTCACGAGCAGGAGGAGGACACCATTGGGAGTGTATCCAGGGGAGCATTATAGCAACAAGGTCACGCGATGAATGAAGACCTTCTCGTATTGTACAGGCGGCATCGTCCATCTACCTCAATCATACCAAGTCTTGAGAATGACCGCCGGGGTTTTGCGCAGAATCTGTAACGGTCAGCCAGATGCAACTCTTGCAGATTGAGATACTTACAGTCTGTGGTCACAAACGCTCTATCAACCTCGGTCAACGCCTCGCAACAGTACTGCAGAGTCTCGGCAACGTCGTGCGTGCGCCTCAATGGTGTCTTCTCATCTAACAAAATATCGAACTCGGCCCACACGCCATCTCCAGCGTGATACGCAATGACCGACTTGAATCCGGACACCAAATTGCTGAATCGATAAGCCAGGTAGATCAACTTGTTCTGCAGCGTCTCGTCCACCGCAAGGCCGCAAAGTCTGGTGACATTTTCGATGCAAGTGTCGGCCCAGTCATAAATAATATACAAGGAAAGCAGTGCTGCGCCCAATGGATCCAACCACCAAACACCGGCCTGTTTACCGATCAGTGGGAAGAGCAACGACAATGTATTGAAATACACATCCGTCTTGCAATCCTGAGCAAGCGCCTGCACTTGCGTGGTCTTGATCCTCATGCATCCTAGGCCGATCAGACCTTTGATACCGATGGTGCCCGCCATAGAAGCGATGGCCAGTGCGGGCAATGTAGCAATGTCGTGGTTGCCACTCGGGAGCAATTTCTCGACAGACTCCTGCAGGATTTGAAGAAACGATATGACCATGATGATGGAAAATACAAGGATACCGAGGGGTTCGAGCCTCCGCCGACCGACTGGAAACTTCCTCGAGAGTGCCGACAACCTCCAAGATACCAGTTTGTTCGTCGTCCATACGATCGCTGTGCACAGCAGGTCGAGCGCCGAGTCGACGAGAGAGGCAATCAAAGACAGAGATGAGGACTTGAGCGCCGCTACTCCCTTGGCGACGAGCAGAACGATATTGGCAATGACATTGATGTTGATTGCCCACCGGGCGTTTCGATCTGCCTTCCGCCTCCTCTCCCGCACGTCGTCCGGCAAGAGGTAGTCAATGTGCTCTTCAACATGTTGCAGTCTGCCTTCTCTTTCCCGAATCCCATCGTGGTCAGCGTCGGTGTTCATGCTCTCCATAACCTCGTCGGCCATGGCCAGCACTATCGTGTCCACTTCGGCCCAGTCGTTCAAGGTAGCGTTTTGTTTCTCGTAGAATTTGCGGATCTTTTTGTTCTTGATTTGCTTCAACTAGACGCTGAATGTCAGCCGGGACAGAGTCTTCCATTGGTGGACGTCTTTACCTCTTCGTCACTTTTCCTGGCCTTCTCGAATGCTCCTCTATCCATGCCGTGCCGGAGCTGCTCCTTCAACGCAGCTGTGGTTCGACGATCCAAAACATACTCGACGGCATCCTTGAAACCAGTAAAGCGTCTACGATCGCCCCCAGCTTCCAGATCTGCCTCCCTCCAAGTGTCATCTGCTTGGTTCTTCGCCGGGTGAAGAGTTCGTTTGCCCACCATTGCACCGCTGGCCAAGTGATCCTGGAGGTCAACTCGACAGACTTCAGAGTAAGGTTTAGATTGAAACTTCGCACTGTTGAAAGGGAGGTATAGAACCCTAATAGGTACCTAACGAAGGAGAAATGGTCCAGACGACCATTGTTGATATAGGGAGCAGATCTCGTCGAAGATGCCCCTGCTCTAATGACGACATTGAGCCAACCGATTCCCTGTTTCGCCCTGGAGGAGTGACAAGCTTTTCCACTCAAGGAAGCTTGGTCGACAGCCCAAGGGATTTAGCTCTGGGCTAGCCTAGCATCCCGCCCCGGCTAGGGATGGCCGGCAGCCGTTGCTACCGGGAGATCTTGACGCGTCGAGGCTCCGGAGCTGCTGAGCCTTCTGAACGCCGGAGGGCTACACGCTCTGGGCTGTGCAGAGTGCCGATACTTGGCAATTTCTTGTCGAAGGAATCAATGCAGGCAATGCATCACAGTCGATACAAAACAACATCTTGCCAGTTACAAAGACAAGAGGTCTCGGCCACCTGGCCAGTGTGAAGCTGCAAATTGCCAAGCACTGTCGCGTGTGCAAACTCGCCATCAAATTTTATGGTGAGGAAGATACTTGGTGGGAGCCTCGACCTCTACTCTGTATGAAGCCCCCTATTGAGAACTTCTCGACTTCCCACCGGCGCTTATTCCATACCAAAAAGTCTCCGCTACATTTCATGCTATTCAATATCTCACCATTTGATATGGCGTTTTCGTCCTTATTCCGATTCCGTGACCTCCATTGCTCCACACAAATTTTGAAATTTCCCAGATCACCATCAAAACGACCTGAATAGTCAAACAATCAGCCCAGTGTGGGAGGTTTCTGACCTCGGATCTTGGTGAGTAAGCGTTCTGTTCTAGTCATCAAAGCTGCAATCCGCATTTTGATTTGAGCCAGGTCTGGTGCCGCTCCATTCGTGGTTGAACTTGAAGCTCGACTTTTCGGGGTCGACGTATCTGGAATACTTGTGGCACACGTGGTTGTAGTGCCGCCACTGTCTTCGAGGAGGAAGGCCTCGGTGGTCTGCAACTTGCTGGTTTCGTTTGATGCATCCTCTTCCCTGACACCCTTGTTGTTATCATTGGATAACCCGGTGTCCTCGTCAGGTTTTGAAGAGTTTTGCTTGCCGTGGGCCCACGCCTTCACAATTTCTAGCTTGGCGCCTGGTTGCTCCATGAAGTCCCCAATCACGCCGATTTTCCTACACCTCTCACAAATGTCAGGAAATACATGCAGATTGTCGCTGATACTGTCCTTGCAGACTTGGTGGGCGCTAGTGCTCGGTAAGTTGGAGGCTAATAATCTGTCCACCATGTCCGCACACTGAACGATAGTCTTCACTTTGACATGTCCGCAAAGGTGGTATATAGTGTGTATTTCACACATTCTGCACTATCAGCGATTGAGAAAACAATGTTTCAAATGCGATCGAGGAGAAAGTCTTGATGTGTATCATTGCTTGTGTCTCTCTGCCTGTCATGAGGTCTTGTACCTTGGGAAGACCGAAAAAAGGCCACCTTGGACAATGAATGCGCATTTTGAGTCCCTTTGTTGGAAAGGTCAATTTTAGTATGGCTCTTTGCTTCATGGCAAAGGACTGTGTCTTTGTTCAGGTTCTTTGTGGTGGTGAGGGTGGTCAAGACTCGAACCATCATGGTAGACGCATGCGCGAGACACTCAACCTGGGATCTACCATGTTTCTGCGAATAGTGGACGAACATCAAGGGCCAGTGGCTGTAAGACGAGGGCCAACGATAAGGCTGACGTTGACTGGCCAGTGATAAGGCTGAGGGATCAGTCCGTGGCGTCACCAGCGTCGATCTGTCAGTTGAGCTTTCGGCTTTCGGCCGCCGTGGTTGCCTATCTACTCCGGGCCGCCCCTGGTGGCTCTTTGTTGCGAAAGGGCGCTGGGGTGCTTCGATAGAAGAAGTTTCGGAAGAGAAGTTGGGCCTCCCGCCATTGATCCTGGCAGCCCATGCCTATTTGACTAGGAGGCGGTGGTGCTTATGGTGAAGCTCTGGACGGGCTTAATGTTTTAGGCATTGGGTCGGTGGCAAGGCGCGACGGGGTGACATCGGTGGCGCTTGGAGGCGAATCTGGGGTTGAGCTTGGCTTTCTCTTCTAGGGCTTTGCCCGGTACGGAGTAGAGGCTTGGGTGGATTCAAGCTTTTTCTCTCATCAATTACTCTTACTTCATCTCTGCTACTAGCCTGCCACCAGCTGCTGCTCGTAGGTGATGATGTTACTCTCACGATCCACTGCCTCCTGGGTTGTGCGGGTCATCAATCCTCCACTCAATGCTTCGACTTTCTGTTTCCAGGCAAACGTCGATCATGTCCGTTTCCTATCTTTTTAGCTTGTCTGGCAAGTCTGTGCGGTGGATGGACGAGACCCTGAACCGTTCTCTGGTGCGCCATGAACCTGATGGGCTCAACCGATCGATGGCGCTGACGTATCTGCTTATGAGTTGATTCAAATCATGCGCGCCCTTCCCCTTCCTCTCTGCAATCAAAATCCCCGGGCTCCTCTCCGTCCACCTTGAAGGTCTCTTCAGCGCACCAAACCTCCACCTCGAAAATTCTGCATCACAATCAACATGGCCGAAAGGCGTCGACCGTCAGGGACTCCACGGCGGAGGACCAGCATCCAGGAGGATGCTGCCATGCTGGCAGGAATGGGGGTGAAGCAGGAATTACAACGCAACTTCTCCTTTCTGTCCATGCTGGGGCTGGCCTTTGCCATTTTGAACTCCTGGACCGCCTTGGGTGCAAGCATGTCGCTGGCTTTGCCTAGTGGAGGTCCTGACTCTGTTATCTGGGGTCTTGTTGTGGCTGGCATTTGCAATCTCTGCCTGGCGGCCTCTCTGGCTGAATTTCTGTCGGCCTACCCAACTGCTGGCGGTCAGTACCATTGGGTCGCTGTCATTAGCTGGAAAAGCTGGGTGCCAATCCTCTCTTGGATCACCGGTTGGATCAACACGGCGGGCTGGGTCGCTTTGACTGCCACTGCTGGGCTGTTGGGAAGCCAGCTCATCCTCGGTATCATTTCGCTCACAACGCCGTCTTACGTATCGCACCGTTGGCACCAATTCTTGATCTACATTGGATACAACGTTTTCGCTTTCATGGTGAATGCGTTCATAACTCGACTGCTTCCTCTTGTCAACAAGGCTGCCTTGATCTGGTCAATTACAGGCTGGGTTGTGATTTCCATCACTGTCCTTGCTTGCGCCTCTCCAAATTACCAGAGCGGAGACTTTGTGTACCGCACATTCATCAATGAGACAGGTTGGCCAAATGGACTCGCCTGGCTGTTGGGCCTCTTGCAAGGCGGTTTGGGATTGACAGGGTTTGACGCAGTCGCTCATTGCATAGAAGAGGTCGGGAATCCTACTGTATTGGGTCCCAGGATCATGATCGGCTGCGTCTTGATCGGCGTGATGACCGGCTTCATTTACCTGAGCGTTCTTTTATTCGTCTCCAATAACGTGCAAGACGTTATCAGTTCCTCTGCCGGACCGATGTTGCAGATATTCTATGATGCGACTTCGAACAAGGCCGGATCTGTGTGCCTGTTGATGTTCCCCCTCGTCTGCTTGCTGGTAAGTGCATTAAAACCGATCCTGTGAGAACAGAGAAATGGCTAACGATGCTCCAAGTTTGCCGCAGTGAGCATCATGACTACCAGCAGCCGAATGGTATACGCTTTCGCCAGAGATGGGGGTTTGCCAGCATCGCGCTTCTTCGCCAAAGTGCACGGAAGACTTCAAGTCCCCATCAATGCGCTTTGGCTGACCCTCATCCTGGTCATTATTTTCGGCTGTATTTTCCTCGGGTCCAGCAGCGCGTTCAACGCCATTGTGTCTGCTTCAGTCGTGGCCTTGGGAATAACTTATGCTATTCCTCCTACAATAAATGTGCTCCGGGGTCGGAAAATGCTGCCAGCATCTCGGCCGTTCATCTTGCCAAACTGGCTGGGCTGGACATGCAATTTGGTAAGCTTGTCGACATAACCAGGAATATCAATTCTGACGAATGACAGGTTGGGATTGCCTATGTGATCCTCACAACCGTTCTTTTCATGTTCCCGCCGGTGTTGCCCGTGACCGGTAACAACATGAACTACTGCGTGGCAGCATTTGCAATTGTCTTGATTGTCTCCACGATCCAGTGGTTCGTCGATGGCAGAAAGAACTACACTGGTCCGCAGATTGATCTTGACGCTCTGAAGGCCGGAGAAATCGTGGGTATGGCACCGGAAGAGAGTAACCAGGCTAGAGCGAGCGACGATACGTTGACCGGAGGTCAGGAGAAGAAAGCGGTGCCGTAAAGCCCATCCGTAGCGCAGCTCAGCCAATCTCATGGTGTTCCGGTGACACAATTGCCTTTTTTGACAACCCACACGGTCGTTCGAGAGTGGTCCTGATATCAAAGATCAATCAGGCCACTCAGGATCCTCCTTTCTTTGAAATACAGCAATAAACTTCTTTCCGCCATTTCTGGTGACTTTTTTGGACTCCTCCGTTTCCTCGCTCATGACCTTGACGCAGGGATCTGCGTCCAGATCCTCTTGCGTTACTCTTTTCCACAGTTCCTTTGCGTTACCTGCTTCCTCACCCTCAAAGTGCTTGACCATCCACTGATGCAGCTCTTCAACGTCCGTAATGGTATACACCAGACCACCGGGCTTTGTCACAAATCCATATTCGGCGTTCAGCTGGGCAGAAACGATTCGAGCCTTGTGCTTCCGCTGTTTGAAGTGCGGATCTGGGAAGCAGAGGAATATCTTAGAAAGCTGAGCGCGGCGGAAGTAGTTTGGGAGAAACTTCATCGTGTTTGTGCGAAGCGCCGAAATGTTCTGATAGAGCCCAATTTGGCCTTCCTTTGTGTCAGACGGAGGCTGGTTTTGAGCGCGGAGAGCAGCTATTCGGTCAACTACATAGTCGGTGACTTGAGTTCGCAACTCCATCCCTAGCCCTTTATCAGCAGAAAAAACGTGCGACAGGAAACTGTGGGCAAACCGAGCATCAAGATCTCTGGGAACAAAGGCGCTAGAGCCACCAGAAGCCCGCCGAATCCGCAGCCGATATCCGCGATCTGAACTTCCCTGCTCATGGCGTGGTGTTTACCATTCGCTGCTCCGCCGTTTGCGAAAGCAGGGTAATGGCTCGTCCAGTCCATGTCGGCAGGGCTGGCCGGACTGTAAGCGGATCAGTCAGATCGGCCCATTCGAATAAGCCCCATGAAACCGTGAATAACATACTACGTCAAGGCATGGTCCGAGAAAGGATTTGCGTGGGCGCGTTGCCGATAGAACTTTTTCTTGGGCAGCTCGATCTTGCCGCTGCCAGCGCCATCACTTGCAGCTTTGAAGCTCTCTTGGGCTCTTTTATAATCTTCTCGTTTCTGCCGTTTATTTGGTGGTCCCGTCATTTTTCCCGTTCGAAACTGAAACGACTTCTGTGTTCTCTGCAACCAGGGTGAAAATTCAAAGATGTTCGCTGAAGTCTGTATTGTACAAGCCACTTCAAACTTCGGTACTCGCGCGGTGACTTGGTCTTGGCGTCTGGAGGTAGTATTAGTACTAGTACTGTTAGTACCGGAGACTCCTCGGTGCGACACCCCCCAACGAATCCACCCTCGGCGCTCATATACGCTCTGTCCATCTACTCTCTGTATCAGATGCAGCAATATTTTATGCGGACAAGAAAGGACAGGCATAGAGGTGGTAGAAATATCCCGACGGTGCTCATGGAATCTACCCGAGGAGACACTACCCTGACTACATAATTATTGCGTCGAGCACTCAACTTTTCAGTCCGCGTCGCCGCATCACCTTGCTTGCTTCCCTACGCCGTCGGCCTTGGTTATCGATGTATTAGAAGGTGTCGACAGAGCCGGAGGGGATTCGACGTAGCACTCTTTGTATATGACCACTGCTTGCCATCGAAATTCTAGTACGTCCTGTCTGACTGAGTCTGAGTCTTTACCAAGCAGCCTCAGACCACGAGGCACCGGAACCCCACACACAGATACACATCAAGCCATCGCATGTCATCAATAAGCCCCCTCCCTGCTCGCCCAAGCCGGACTGTCCACCACGGCGGGTCTCGCCATGCCACTCATGACGGGCATATTCGCGACGATGTCCAATCCGTCCAAGGTGGCCGGTGCGCCGCCTGGGCCGGCGAGGCTCCAGACACTCACGCCCACCCAATTGACGCCCTGATAGTTCAAGATGCCCTCGGGGACGGGATACGACGTCTGTGGCCCCAGATGCGAGATGTACTTCCCGAACTGCCAGCCGTTGATCCAGAGCTGGGCTCGGTAGGAAGTGGCGGGCGAGGAGGCAGAGGTGTTGGCGAAGACGAAGGATAGTGGCACGTCGTACCCATCGGGGATCGCGAGTGTGAAGTTTGTGGCGAAGAACTCGACGGCTCCGGGACCGATGGTGGTAACGGTGGGGTCCATAGGATTCTTCTCGCTCCATGCCGCAGTGTCGATAGGTGGGAATGGTAGATGATACCCCATGCGCTCCACGAACAGGGCGCCTTCGTTCCTCGGCCCCCGAACCTTGTCGATGTAGTTCTCGCCGCCGAGATTACCTTGGATTTTCCACTCGACGTCGCTTTTGCTGCGGTTGGAGATGGAAAAGTCGAGGAGCCCCATGGGGAATTTGACCGCGTCCGTACCCGGTGCTTCCTCATCCTGGCCCATGTGGTCGATTAGGAGCGTGAGCACATAGTCGCTCCCCGCGACCAGGGGTTCCGGAAACGTGAATGTCTGCGCGTACGTCTTGTTGCCCGGATCACCAGCCCAGGAGCCCAGGTGTGTGCCGTTGAGCCAAGCTGAGTGTCCGAACGCCCAGCCGCCGCTGATGTTGGCAAAGAAAGAGGTTTCGGTCCCCTCGGCGGTGAAGTGCCCACGATACAGGAGCGAGGAGGTGTGGAAGCCGTAGTCGGACGCGTAGAGCGAGGTCGGAGTCGAGAGGTTGAGCAAGGGGTTTGTGGTGTAGGTGTGTGTGCACTCGGTCCAGGCGGCATCGGAATACAGGTCGGACAGTTCGGGCAAAGAGGATATAGACCACCATGTCTGGTCGGCTAATGAAGGGAGTGATAGAGAGGGCTCAACGAAGTTGATCATGCTCTCGAGTTTTCCTTGCGCATTTGTGGAAGTGGTGAGTTGCTCGCCGTTGAAGAATATACATTCAACCTCCGACGGGGACGAGATGAGTTCAACCGTCGTTGTGCAGTTCAGATCACCTGTGAGATAGAGATTCGCATCGGCCATGGCCGCCGTACGCATAAGATAGCCGCCTTTGACCACAACCATGTCCTTTGAAGGAGACGAGAAGTTGCTTATCGGCGCGGATGCTTCAAGCTCTAGCGTCCACAGCGTATACGCGTCGTTGCGCCACAGCAGGTGGATCTCTAGCGACGACCCAAATGTAAGAATCTGCCGGTCTGGTACAACGGTCCACTGGATGATCCAGCCAGATGGCGTTGAATGCAACGACGTACTGCTCCCTTTCGCCACGCTCGGGGCTGGCAGAGATGGCGGGAAAGCCATTTCGTGAAGTTCGTTGGCGCCGCCGTACAGAATCAGGACGGTCTTGCCGGAACTGTCGGTGTTCCATGTGAAGACCTCGGCGGAGGAATATATCATGTTGATCCCACCGACATCGTAGTCCGTCAAAAAGAGTTTAGCATCGCGACCAAACAGCGTCAGATGCCCTCCTTGCTGCGGGACCATCACATCGCCAATGCTCGTCGAGACAGTCATGTTGTACGGCGTGATGTCCAGCGAAGTCCAATTTGCATGTCTCACAACATAGAAGCCCGTGTTGCTCTCGGTGGCAAAGACGGGCGTGACGGTGATGTCGTCCGTCACGGTATACGTCCCATTCGTTTCATTCCCCGGCATGGCGGTCAAGTAAGCCGGCGAGACTTTGAAGAAATTCGCCTGCAGCTTCATTTCGCTGTACTTTTCGCGCCATACGTGTCGGCTTTCCGTCATGGCTGCGCCATAGTCGTACGAGCTGTCGCCGCCCATGTACCCCAAATTGCCCCAGTTCGTGCCGCCATAGAACTGTTGGAGGAGGTTGTTAGATGATGCGTTGCTGCTGGCTTTGCATCCGAGAAGGGAAAATCTCCTAGGTCCTTACCATATATATATTTTGGATCTTAACGCCGAAGCTGTAGTTGTTCTTATACAGGATTCTCACGGCTTCCTCGTTGACCAGGGCGTTGCACATGTCTTGGGAAACGGTGCCCCTATCAAGAAGTGAACATCAGATTGGGGGTAATGCACGAATCAGAGATGTAGTTAATTGTTACCATGATGTTCCTGTCCCACCTTGGAATTCCAAGACTGCAAATGGCGTTGATGGACTCTGCTGTTCGTGGAAGATTTGCCAATCCCGCGGAAAACGAATATTTGGCCAAACGGTCGGGTGGGCACCTGTCGGCTATAAGTACAGGCACGTCGGAGCTGGACTGAACCATACAGTCGTAACGCAAGGGGTAGGCATCGATGCCATAAACGTCAGTTTCACCGAGACCAGTCCCTGGAGCAAAATCTCCCTGGACCTCATTATCGTTGAATACAAAAGGCACGATGATACCCGCATCCCTGAATTGACCTTCAACATAGGCCATATATTCCTTCTGCGGCAGCTCCGGGAAGTCTGAAATGTTCACTCCAGGCCAAGTTGTATATTCGTTCTCGGGCTGAATTAGGATGACAGGACCGCCGTTGGTGATTTGGGCTTTGGCCATGATGGCTCCGATCGTCGAGACGTAGTTTTGTGTAGCGTCGAGATATCCAGGCGTATCGGAGCGCAAAGTGTCGTTGATCCTGAGGACCCAGCCAGGAAAGCCACCTGCAGCGGTCTCGGCGTTGATGTATGGACCTGGTCTAGCAGTCAAGTATATTCCTGCCTGAGAGGCCGCGGAAAAGAACTCTTGAAGAGCAAAAACTCCTTGTGCGACAACTTCTCCAGGTTGACCTTCGAGTAATCCCCAGTCAGTGTAGAAAGAGACCCCATTGTAGCCGATTGCCTTGACTTTCTGGAAGACGTCGAGCCAGAGACCAGGACTAGGCAGTCGGAATGGATGGAATTCCCCCGAGAGGAGCATGAGGCGCTCTCCCCGGATGAACATGGATTGTTCATCCCATGTTACCTTTTGTGGTGGCTTGTAAGTGGCCAATCAGGGATATCAGGATTGTGATCGACTAACCAGATCTTGAAGAGGCGGTCCACGCTTGGAGAAAGTATTCGCAACAGAGAGAGATTCAGTATAGCGAGACGAGGCCACGCCGCAGAAGGTCAGAACCCCTGAAAGTAGTAAGTAGAGTGTAGAAGGCATCTTCCCATACCACTAACAGCTGAGTCGTTAATCTGGACAATGGAAGTGTAGTAGGCATTGGCCGGCCACCAGCAGCACCACGGCTCTTATGTTTCGAGAGCGATGAGCAGCTCCAACCCCTCAGTATGGTAGCATGACGGGGTATACTAAGTAGCATTTAGGCAGAATTTCTGACGGTGAAGAATATACCGAATATACATCGTGACATCCTGTCGATCGGATCGAAATGCGGACTAGTATCTGGGGCTCAGGAACAGATCAGGTCATCCTGGGGAAATTGCCGGTGTAGTGTTACGGATCAGGCCGCGCTACGGCGGCTGAGAAAAGAAAGTCTGGCGAGGCCAAGCCGGGAAAATTGGGTGAGCAGGCGGCACGGCCAGACACAAGGGCTGGCTAAACCTCGGCTTGAATAAGGAGATATAGTGATATAACAATATAGATACGAGGTATATATTCATATATTACTATGTTTGCCTAAAGAAGATACAGTATATATTTATACCCAGTACTTTGAACGAGTGTCAAACTAACGGTTTCGCTAATAAGTTAAAAACTATCAGAGTCATGCTATACATTTGTCGGCCGGCAAACGTCCAGGGCTCTTGGCAGTTTCTGACAGGGTCACCTGGGCGAATACTACCTGGGAGATGGGCCCCATGCTGCACGACGGACGCAGATTCCGAGAGATTATATCGACCGTCTCTACAGGGAGTCCCAGTTTCGAAACTTTGGTTCCTGAAAATATACCCTCCTGTATAGTTATGTAAAGTTTCCACGTCCATAGATTAAGACACAGACGAAGATGGTGTGAGTATCTAATATCAATAGGGCCTAGAAATGGGACTATGCAAAGCAATGAGAAGAACGAGCAGAGCGAGTGCCAACCTCAGCAGGTTGAGGCCGAAGTGAGCTAGGTCACCTAATACCTATGTAGAGCGGCAAAGCAGGGTCCCAAATGGGTGCCAAGGCCAGATTCAGATTCGCCCGCCGAATACCGAGTACTTTGTCGCGACATGCCGCGAGCGCTCTCGTGGTGTACTTCGGCCATTAAATCGCTGCGACATGACTTTGAAGTTTGGAGGAGCCCGTTGTCCATCTTCATCGCACCGAGATCAACGGGGAGATTCATGTCCTCGGGTGAGGCTGAGGAGTGCCCTGTGATCCAAATGCCACGCCGTTTTTGGGGGATCAGGAAATGAGACGAAGGTAGCCATAGAAGGGTATCACCCAAGTCGTCTGGAAGCGTACCGACCGGCGAGGGCGTCCGTTGTTGTTTTCGGATCGAAACAATCAGCAATCGGGGTCGAGAGCTGAAACTCGGCCAGATAGGATTGAATGTTGCCAAACAACACTTGGCTGGGGCATGTGACTACAGCATCGACTGGCATTGTCTGTTGTTTTGTCTTGTTGCCATGCCCACAGTCGTTTGAGAGAAATGACAAAGTCCGAGGTCGGAGGGAACTCTTTCGTTGCGCTCGCCACAAGATTTCCCGCAGTGAAGAAGACGAGCCAGAGCCCATCCAATGATGTCATGGATGCACCCAATGAATACCCATACGAGGCACAAACGAGGAAGCATGAACGACGATGATCTTATCAGATGAAAATTTTTCTTGATCACGAAGACCCTGCATGGGTCCCGAGGTCTGGAACTGGATGCTGGGTTGGCTCCATTGAAGCAATCTAGCTCCATGGGACCGGCGCGGTGAGTGCCAACACCTCACTGAGGGGTAACTGGTATGTAGTATGCAGAATCATGCAAGAAGAAGCTGCGAAAGTGGGAAAGGAGGAAAGCGGATATTGAGTTATCTGATGAAAATTCTCCCCGCTGGTGCCTGGGCAAGTGGAAATTGAGTTATCTGATCCGCTCGGAAAAGTCCACTCTGTCGCCAAGATGTGAGAACCACGCCGATGGTACAGGGGTGATACCAGGCCGTATTTCTGCCCGGTATTCCTTTGTCTTTCAAGGTTTCAAATGACGATTATAGCAGGTTTGACCGGCTTGCTGAATTCTCCTAGGGTCATGGCACGGTCTAGGATTAGTTGTCGGAGAATGAACTCTCTTGTTTGAGGCACACTAGGTTGCATCAACGCTGCACAGAAAGCGAAGGATACAGGCTCTCCCCATCCTCCCTTAACCAAAGAAGTATTCTGAGAGCATTGATCCTTCTATGTCATCGACTGAGGCCTCATCAATGCTTCCACCACTACGACAGTCATGGTCCAAGATTCGAGCACGCTCATGGATGGCAACGGGAACACCGGTAACTCACCTCTCGACTTGGTGTGTGTCGGATTTGACGTCACCGGCATCGCAAATGCTGTCGCTTTGAAGGAAAGAAATGGGCTCAGTAAGGATACTATATTCCTGGAGTCCCAAATGGAAGTATCGTGGACGCCTCTCCGGAGTACACCTGCTTCCAGACTGAGGACCTCATTTCTCAACGACTTGATCACCTCAGAAAATCCGCGTTCCCACTTCACCTTCCTCAACTACCTCCATGCGACCAATAGACTCATCTTATATGCCAACAGCGCTCAGCTTCGCCCGTCTAGAGAAATGTTCAGCGACTATCTGAAATGGTGTGCTGCCCGCCTTCAGGTGCAAATTCACTACGGCCAGATGACCACCAGTGTGCGACCCTTGAGAGATGGCAATGGGCGCGTTGATGCCTGGGAAGTGGCCTTTGTGGATGCCGTGACGGGAGAAAAGAAAGCTGTCATATCCAAGCAAGTCGTTTATGCCGCACCAAATCATCCTTATGTTCCAGAAGTACTCCGCGCTCCTGCTCTTCAACCTCTCGTCCTGCACTCATCAGAGTATCTCGAAGCCATTCCAACACTACTACGCGACAATCCAAGAGCGCGCCTTGCAGTCCTGGGAAATGGCCAAAGCGCAGCAGAGACATTTGACCAGCTTCATGGGATCCGTGGAGAGCATGAAGTCATCTGGTTTACCGAAGACACTGTCCTTCGAGGAGCCGATGAGACACCGTTGTAAGTGGGATTCTTGGGTCATCACCTCCGGCTTTGCCTGCTAATGCTATAGCAAAATCCAGCCTATTGTCGAGTATCATGCAGCCCACTTCATCGAAGCAACAGAACATACCGCCCGAGGTCAGGAGAAGAGAGGTCAATGGAGCCTCCCCCTTGGCCTCTAGTTTTTTAATTGAAACGCGCCTCCTGAGACAGATCTATGATGCCCAGTACGATTTGAGTGTCAAAGAGCCGGACTCTAGAAAGTGGAGGTTCCAGATCAGATTCCAACATGAGGTCGTAAATGCGGAGAGAACTGCTCATGGGCGCGTGCGACTTTTCGTGCAAACTCCTGAAAATACAGACGAGCCAGCAACATTCGACGCCGTCATTTCCGCGACCGGCTTTGGAAAACACGCTCATTATAGAGCCCTCGAGTCTTTGCAACTGTTGTTTGATGGTCCCAGCATCACAGTCGATCGCGATTACCACATCAACTTCAGAAAGGGCGTACTCGCGCCAGGGTGCGGGATTTGGTTCCAAGGATCGCTTGCCGACGATGGAGACCAAGTAAGTGATGAATTGCAATCTGTTCGTGTCATCACAACTAATTGATGGAGTCGCAGAGTGACGACAGCCTCTTCCAGATTATCGCAGAGAGAAGTAGACGTTTGGCAGAGTCGGTATTGCATCGGAGGACCAAAGAGACCACTTCGAAAGAGGAGATGTCCGCAAGGCTGTAAATATTGACCGCCTTTGGAACCGTGCGATATATATCAGGACTTGGAGCTGGGAATCATAGAGAGAAAGAAAAGCTATATCTTTCGTTCTGTACATAGAGTATAAGTTTTGGCTTTTCTATTTGGGAAAAATAGTCTCATCACAGACGTCTAGTTCCTACAATTTTGGTCTCCCTTTAGTCACCAACTGTCCCGCGAGCTGCGCGAGCTCGAACTTTCTCACTTTTCCACTCCCGGTCAATGGCACTGTGGCCGGAACGCCATCTTCTCCAAGCCAGAAAATATGCGCCGGCGCTTTATGTCTGCCAAGCTTCAGTCTTACCCATTCACGGATATTTTCATCGCTGGGACGATGAGCAGTCGAGCTGCTGTGTTGGAGAAATGCAGCCACGACTTCGCCGTACCTGTCGTGCTTGACTCCGACGACAATAGCGCGGTCAATTGCCTCGTGCTCGACCAGACGACTTTCGATCTCTAAGGGATAGATATTTTCTCCACCTGGCAGGGAGACAAACTGTCAACGAGAACTCCGGTGTAAATGCACAACTTTCTTCAGGGATTATGGGTGCGTGGGTGAAGGAGGAGGCTTGCTTACCCCTGATAATGATATCCTTAAACCGGCCAGTAATAGTACACGTCTTGTCCCTGTGGAAAACAGCTTCGTCGCCGGTATGCAGCCACAGCACGCCGTCTTTGTCACGGATCATGACCTCGTTCGTCTTCTTTGCATTTCTCCAGTAGCCTCGCTGTAGTTGGTAGCCGGCGATGCAGAGTTCTCCGCGCTCACCGACCGGTACGATCCTACCCTGTCGGTCAACGATCTTTGCATGGGCGTGCGGCATGACTTGGCCCACAGTTGTGAGCTTCAAATCTGTGGGGTCGTTGTGGAAAGCATTGAAGCACGTTGGAGAAGCTTCTGTTAAGCCTGATGATACCAAACAGTTAGTTTTTCAACAAGCCACCTTGACTGAATTACATGCATGCCATACCATAACTACTAGTGAACTCGGTCATGCCCAGTTCATGGACCATAAGCTCCATCAAATGGCGAGGTACGGGAGCCCCTGCTATGATACCGGTTCGCAAGGCTGAGCAATCGAAACCCTCAGGTCGCGGGAGGCAAAAAATGGAATCGAACATGGCTGGAACGCCGTGAAGGGCAGTACATCGTTCCTCCGAGATGGCTCTGAGACACGCAACAGCGTCAAAGGTCTCGGCGGGATAGATCACTTTTCCGCCATGGCTTATAGTGGCTAACAGGCCGAGGACCAGGCCAAAGCAATGGAAGAGCGGCGGTGGACAGCACAGAACGTCTTGATCCGTCAAGGCCATGCGGTCGCCAATGAAGCGGCTGTTGTTCACCAAGGAGCTGGAAATACGAGTCAGATATCCGGTCGCCTAGGGGTCTCCAGAAAGGATGAGCTAGGGGCCACCGGGATACTTACTGGTGTGTCAGCATTGCAGCTTTCGGGTTTCCTGTCGTTCCACTCGTGAACTGGAGATTGCAAACGTCATGGGAGCTGAATGCCTTCGAGGCTGCTTCAAGAATCTCATCGGATTCGATTGCTCCAATCTCTAGTAGTGTCGCATAGGGGGTGAAATGGCTTGGTGGACCTCGTAGAATGATGATCTCCTCGACCGTGCCTGGCTTTTCTCTCAATTGACGGAGAAGTTGCCTGTTGTCGTGATGGCCGATTCGAGGAGTTGTAAACAGTATTCTGCATTCTGTGACATCGAATAAGGAGCGGCTTTGATGGCAAGGCGTCATAGTAGACGTACCTGTGAATTTCAAAGCATACAATGCCTCAGATGCAGTATAGGTGTTGTTCAAAATGACTAGAATACATCCCGTTTTCATACAGGCGAAGAAGACCGAGACATATTGCTCGCAGTTTCCGGCCATTATACCGATTCGGTCCCCTGGGCGTAGCCCTCGAGCAGCAAGGGCTTTTGCAAGTCGGTTGCTTTCCTCTCTGAGGCGGTCGTATGTCCATCTGGATCCTGTCCAAGGCACCACCAAGCATTCTTTACTCCTATACCTCTTGCACTGGAAATCTAGCAGCTCGCCGAGAGTAAAATCTAGCAATGGCACCTCCGATTTGCCATGAAGAATGGACAGAGCCGTTGGGGTTGGAAGTAAAGTTGTTCCAACGGTGCTTTCTAGAGACATCGCAACGGCAGGCTAACTGGTTCTCAGTAGTTCCAATGTTCAGACTCCTTCTGCCCTAGAGCCCGAACTTCAGTCGTCAACGTTATGTTGACAAGGTGTAGAGCAGCCACACCACTCACGTGGTTTATCAGGCTGTCATGTTCGCACCTCGTGGAGATTGGGGTCATAGGACCTCCGATCTCGGTTCGCGTCGCTGGACAAGAAAAGATGCACCTGGGCTAAAGAATTTGCTTCAACGCGGATTTCACCCTCGGCTTCCTTTTCGACAGCCAGGATAAACCTGGCAAAGCAGAGTAGTTTCAGCCGAGCGAGAATTGCGTTTCCACATGTTGCCATGCGAGAATGGATCAATCAGATTACCTCATTCGGTACATGTGGATTGGACAGAGTAGATAGTCTCTGGCGTCTTCTGTGAAGGTGGCAAAGTTATCCACTGCAACAGTTTCAATCAATAATCAAATCAGATAAGATGGATAAGATAGACAAGAGATTTTCCGTGGTTCACACCAGTCATGGCAGGCATTACAAGTGGTGCCTCTGTGGTGGTGCATTCCTTGTTACTTTTCCAGTGCGCAATTTTTGCACCGTGTCCACTTATTGGGCAAACCGAAGCTGTCGGGCTGACTATGCATTGAAGTTCATAGCACTACCGCTCACGATGCTCTGGTGATCAAGAGGAGATCCACACCGATGGTAACAGTATATTAACAAAACCTGTGACATTAGAACAGGAAGAGTATGAAGGGGAAACGTGCGTTGGGATGACAGGCACCGCAGCTTTGGCGAGCTCCACTCGGTGCGCTACGCCAACAATGGGAATGATACTGGATCCGAGGGGTTGTATTTCGGGTATTTCAAAGTGTCGACTTTACAATACATATCAAACACGACATGTAATATTCTCCGTAATGATAATTATGCCGGCCCCGTTGAGTTTCTCTACTTAAGGAATGTAAGAGTGGAGATATGAGCCTGTTCTTGCTATGCACCTCGTACATGATTGACCTTTTCCCCACCTAATAGAATGAGACTCTGCACAGCAGCGACACTCGCGCTGTGATTAGATTCTTCTGTCTTAGGCCGTGCAGCGCCAATATCGTCCTATAACTTCGAATCTATCCAGTCTGGTGACCGTTTCTCCACAAATGCCTGAATCCCTTCTGAGAAGTTAGGTCCGGCCATCAGGCGAGGATACCATCGATCAGCAAGAGTCGACACGGCTTCCTCCACGCTACCCGTTTCCCAGCTCTGCCGAATACCTAGCCGACCAACAATCAATGCATCCGGACTGTTCCTGCACATGTCCTGTGCGACTTGAATTGACAGGGGAACAACCTCAGCAGCAGATTCCACCAGTCGACTAACAAGGCCCCAGTCATGAAGCTCCTTGGCCCTCACGTTTCTGCCGGTAAGAACGAGATCGGTAGTACGTTGCAGCCCGAGGGTACGTGTCAGCCGTGGTAGACAGCCCGCCACAGGGACGATCCCTCGCTTCACCTCCGGTAGGGAGAAAATCGCCGAGGAGCAAGCTATGACGAGATCGCAGTTGGCCACCATCTCGAAGCCGCCCCCCATGCATATACCATTCACCGCCGCAATGATCGGCTTTTTACCAGCTCGACGGGGCAGTCCTGCGAGACCGGGAGCAGACATGTCGTTGATCATACCAATTTTGTTCATCTCGTTCCATTCTGTCGAAGGTTTGTATTCTGGTCAGTTGTAGTCTCAAGTAAAGATCTTGATATAGAGCTGTCCTGGCCCCTGAGCATACCTTGCAGGTCTGCTCCAGTACAGAAAGCTCTCCCCACGCCTGTGATGATGCCGACCCATAGACTTTCATCTTGGTCGAAAAGCTCCCATATTTGTTGGATTTCGCCGCTCGTGGCTTTGTTGATACTGTTAAGTTTCTCAGGTCTGTTCAAAGTGACCTGAACGATTTTTTCATGCGGGAAAGAGACGTAAAAATGCTGGAACTGCAGTGGTCTTGATCTGAGAGACATTTGCGCTGCAGAATTGGCGTCTGTGTTCACGCCTTTCTCCGAAATGTATGGTTGATTAGCTTTACCCGTTCCCTTCTCTCAGAAAAGAGGTTGCTTCCTTTGACCTCATGTATATGTCAACCTCATATGTTGGCCCCAAGGTGTGAATGTAGCCACCGAAACGCTTTCTGCCAAGGTATCCGGTCCTCGGTCTGAGGAGAGCATTCTGCAGATCGCAAAATGCTCGCCAAATTCGGTTAGGACGCCACATGCCCCGCAGTTAAGTAGAAGCCTACGAATAAGAACGGGAGACCGGGCCGGGGCGAGTGGAGAAAGCATTCCTGGCTGCTCATTTTGTCGATTGCTCGGAGTCTTCGTCCCACTCTGCCATCTCAATTCTTCCTCTCCTAGGAAGTTCTTCTCTCTAGACCATATAAGAGTGACGATTTGTCGGGGTCAGACTTGTTACCTCGTTGTGACAATCCTCTCAGTGGAAAATCGGACGGTCACATTGTCTCAGAATGGCCCGTAACCCAACATCTTCACACAAGTGGCCTCCAGTCAAGCTGCCACACCCATTTCTGACTACATATCGAGTGCACACTGTTGCGGAAACAACGCCAACTAGATTCATCTTAACACAGGAGAGCCAGCCCACGGAAGGCCGACCATTACCAAAACCAGTACATAGCGAGTCACTCTGGTGGCACGAATTGTCGTCCAAACCTAAGGACGAGGCTCCGCCCCTCTCCAACAACAGCGCTTGGGCACGAGCACTTCGCAGTCCTCACACAACATTCGAGTGGACGGGAGGCAGTCCACCTTCGCTTGGTCAGATTTGGAATATCGTCCACGCGATATATCTCGCCCATCCTACATATGAGTACTTCAGACTTAGTCTGTCTGGCGCAGGAAAGGGCGTCATTCGCCACGAACTACTCTCCACAGGCTTAGGCATCGAGCATCCCAAGCCATGGCGCCCCAAGGACGATATGAATGCACAGTCTGACGAGCTTTTGATCCTTCGAAGCTCGTTTTGGCAAGGAGCAGCTTCTCCGGTAGGACCTCGTCCAATCTGGGTGGTGGGAGACGGCACGGATGGTCCTTCACGCGAGGCCCTCGCCCAGTATCCCATCACGCCTGAGAATTATCACTTCACCGTGAAGTTCCCCGAGGAGCCCATCTACACGCGTCATCCGATTCGTCGCCCCAAGCCATGTCCAGGATCAATCGCCTACAGCCGCTACATACCGGAGCTGGACGAGCACTTTTCCCTGGAAGTGGTCGACTGGCGAGATCCAGAGCACTTGAGACTCTTCAATACATGGCAGAACGACCCGCGTGTTGCGGCAGGCTGGAACGAGACAGGGACTTTGGAGCAGCATCGCGAATACCTGCGCAGACTGTGGGTTGATCCGCACGTTCTTTGCTTATTCGGGCGCTTCAACAACACCCGCTTCGCTTATTTCGAGCTATACTGGGCAAAGGTAAGTCCTCTCGTCTCTCAATAGAGTTTTGTTCTCCGTTCCACCCTTCAGTCTCATCATTCATGTCTGACGCGTTCTCTCTCCATTCACAGGAAGATCACTATGGCGCCCACTACGACGCCGGCGATTATGACCGTGGTCGCCACTCACTCGTGGGCGATGAATCGTTCCGTGGCTCCCACCGTGTCAACGCGTGGTATTCTAGCTGCATCCACTACGTCTTTCTGGACGACCCGCGCACCGCCAACGCCGTGGGCGAGCCTAAAGCCACCGGTGCGACGATCCTGTCCTACGAGAACTCCCAAGGTCTCGTCATTGGCAAGTACGTCGACCTGGGCCACAAGCGCTCGGTGCATTCGATTGCGAGCCGGGAAAAATGGTTCCAATTGTGTCCGCTCTTCTGGGATGGGCGAGAGAAGCCGTTGGAATCTGCGGACCGAGCAGCATGGAACGCCAAGCTATAGCCCTTGTGGGGAGAGGGTTTGAGATTGCAGAGATCTCTGAGAATAGTCGTTGAGAATTGTGCAAAAAAAGTATTGCTTTCATTTTCTACTCCCTGCGATCCTGACAAGGTGACATAGTCTAGACTCTTCCATGATTTGGCTCCGAAAAATGTAGAACAGATCTCTTCGTAGACGAGAGATCCAGAAATGTGCTGCAAATGAAGCTCCAAGAAGTCATCTTGTTGGTCTTTCTGTCCGAGGGCTATGATCTTCTGCTACTCAGCCAAGGTCTGGTGCATAACGTTCAATCTATAACTCTCCGACCTCTGAAGCAATTCCTCATGCGTTCCGCGATCAACACATTGGCCTCCTTCAATCAAGAAAATAACATCCGCCTTCCTTATCGTGTACAGTCGGTGTGCAATGGCAATCACGGTCATGCCTCGCGCGGCCTTCTCGAGCCCCTCTTGCAAAAGCTTTTCCGACTCTGCATCCAGAGCACTGGTCGGCTCGTCCAGGATCAGCAACTTGGGCTTTCGTACCAGTGCTCGAGCGATCGACAGCCTTTGCTTCTGCCCTCCGGAGAACTGGTTGCCATTTGGTCCACAGAGCGTTTGGTAGCCGTCAGGCAAGCATTCGATGGTGTTGTGGATATTGGCAAGCTTGCACGCCTCTTGAATCTCGTCCATGGTAGCTTCATGGCCCGGTCGAGCACCGAGACCGATGTTGAATTCAATGGTGCCCTCGAAGAGGACGCTTTCTTGTGGTACCAGCGCAATGGTGTCACGAAAGCTGACGTCGCGAGTCTTCGTCAGGTCAACCCCGTCGACTATGATGGATCCTGATTGAGGGGTATACAGTCTTTCGACGAGCGAAATGATTGTCGATTTGCCAGCACCACTGGGGCCGACAAGGGCACAGAGCGCACCTGGTTGAATTTCGACTGTCAAACCCTTCAACACTTGAACCTCCGGCCGACTTGGGTATGCGAAGTGGACATCCCGGAGTTGGACGCTCGAACCCTGGTTGCTAGGCGGGAGAGTCGCTTTTGCTTCAGCTGTTTCCTCCAGGTCTTTGTCACCAAAACATGTATCGAGCGATAATGTCCTCTTCAGATGTCCTTGCATACTATCGGGTCCTATCTCAATGAGACCCAAGAGCCTTGCCACCGCAGCCCGCGCACTGGTGAGCTCCGGGGCGAGCGCAAACATCTGACTCCAAAGCAGTGCACTGACCAGGAGGGAGAATACCACAATCATGAACTGCGTCTGAGTGTACTTGCCCGCTATAACCTGTTTGGCGCCCCACCAATAAGCTAAGGCATTGACGAGATTACCGAGTAGATAGGTCATTGCCTGCCAGAGACTTGCGTAGAGACTCACTTTGAGCGTCTCCTTGCGGGGTCCTTTCAGTGATCGTCGGTAAGTCTTCAGCGTCTCTTCTTCAAGGGAAAGGGACGCAATCGTCTTGATGGAAGTGATTGCCTCCACGCCGATGTCGACCGATCTCGTATATGCATTTTCGTGCCGTTCTTCAAATTTCGCAAGTACTCGAAGCTCCATAAGACCAGCTCCAAGGAGGAGCGGTACCAGAGAAAGGCAGACCAATGCTATTCTCCAAGCAATTATATGAGTCAAAACAATTGCGGCAATGAGGTTGACGGTGATTGAGAAGAGCGTCCCAATGACGGAGCCGCTGAAGCCACTCAGCGCATTGCCATCTCTCGTAATGTAAGAGAGCAGCAAGGCGGGAGTCCGGCCTTCAGACTGATGCCATTGAAGATCTTGCCCAAACAATGATCGAAAGGATAAGACTCTCACGCTGTAAACCGTTTTCTCAGCGACCCAGCCGAACCCCGACCAACTCGTCACGTTCGCAAAGAACTCGATGATTGCGAGTATGAAAAACATGAGACCAAGGAAACTGCCCCGAGAACGAATGTAGGATTCGCTCTGACACGGACTCAAGCTGCCGACAGTGTTTCCAAAGATCACGGCCTCCGCAGAGAATGATCCGCCAACAACGGTCGATGCGACAAGCGAGACAATGATAATTAGCAGGTGCGGTCTGAATACTGGTGTAAATCCTCGCATCAAAGACCACAACGATTTCGATGGAGTCTCGGGCTCTTCCTGATCTTCCGCAACTTCATTTACCTCGGCCTGACTTGTCGAGATTCCAGCCTTCTCGATGGTCCCACTACCGTCAATTGACAATATACCCTCCTCGGTAGCACCCTTTGTTGGAAAACCAAGATTTGATTGACTCATGCTGTCAGGTGTGCTGTTCTTCCTGGATGTGGATCCGAGGGTTTGCAGTCTCACGAGATCCGCATATGCGCCATTCTTTGCCATCAGTGTTGAATGAGTTCCCTCTTCAAGGATACGTCCCTTCTGCATGACTATAATATTGTCGGCACCAGTGATAGTCGAAAGTCGGTGTGCAATCGTAATCATAGTCCTGCCACTGGAAATGCCAGATATGGCCGCCTGGATGCGCTGCTCGCTTCTCGAGTCCAAAGAAGCCGTGGCTTCATCTAAGATAAGAACGGCGGGATCTTTAACAAGGGCCCTAGCAAGAGCAACCCGTTGCTTCTGGCCACCGCTAATCAGCCGCCCACTTGATCCCACCATGGTTCCATACCCGTCTTGCAACGCAGCGATGAAAGCATCTGCGTCGGCGAGCTCTGCAGCCTTTCGGACCAAGGAAAGAATCTCGACGACATTTGAACTCAGCTTCTCTGCTGCTGCCATCAGGTCCTGGCCCTCCCTAACTTTGTGGGCGAGATCTGCAAGGTCTGAGCCAAGAAGTGTTGTCTTCAAATGTGCATGAGCGGGATGGCTTGAATTGATCAAGCCATGTGCAATGTTCTCCAATACGGAACGGTCAAGGAGCGAGGGGTCTTGCTGCACGAGGCTAAGAAAGCTTCTGAGGTCGTGAAGGTTCAGCTCCCGAAGATCGTGACCGTCGAACAAGACTTGACCCTGATTAGGATCATAAAATCTTGAAAGCAGTCCCGCAATGGTGGATTTGCCACTTCCAGAAAACCCAACTATGGCAGTGTGTTTCCTGGGAGGAATCCGAAGATTGACTTGGTCCAGAACTGTGACTTCAGTTCTGGAAGCATAAGTGAATGAAACATCCTTGAATTCAAAACCGCCTTCGGCTCGCGAGAGGCGAAGCCCTGAAGTAGATGTGCCATCGATCAACGACTTGCGATCCATATCCTCACGCAGCTTTTGAAACGATGCGATGGCCGATCCAAAAAGGTGCAGGAAAGGCGCCACCTGACTCAAAACCAACGTAGCTGTCAACATGTTAGTAGAGTTGGAGATGGAACTCGATTTCAACTGACCTTCAATCAAGATGAAGACTACCGTGAACGTAACACCCACGGAGGCGGTCTTAGCATCATGCCGGACTGCATCTGCAATCCGTTGACTTGCTTGCCAGAATGCTAACCCATTGGCAGAGTAGGCGATAAAATATAGGACCCCGGATTGTACACCAACCGCCAACGCCTTCTTTAAGCCTTCATGTTCTGAAGCCTTGAGCGCCTTGGCGAATTTATCCTCCAGCCGAGTATTTGCGCGGAATGCGTGCACGACAACAACATTGGAAAGTGCTTCCGAAGCAATTGAAGCGGCGGTAGCAGCATAATCCGACATCAGTCCAGAGTATTTTTCGACGTAATGGCTTCCCACGAATGACATCAGGAAATAGGCCGGTATCAAAGAGACTAGCATCGCCGCCAGCTTATAGTCCTTGATAAAAGCCACGACATATGCCGTGATGAAAAACGAAAGACTTGAGAGACATATTCCCACTTTCTCCGATGTACCTGACCGGATCGCCTGGATGTCGCCATTCAGTCGAGAGGCGACCTCTCCGGGAGGCACATTGTCGAAATACGATGGCTCTTGTCGGAGCAGATTCTGTAAGTAACTCTCTCGTAGTCTTTGTGCGAGCCGAGCCCCGTTCACACTCCAGCACGAGAGGTGTATGTAGATGGTGACGAATTGAGCGATGGCCAAGTATAAGATCAGCAGGATTTTGTTGTTGACGGCATCTTGGTGCTGTGACCGAGCACTGGAAGTGTCGGGCGAGTCGCAAGTTGCCGAGTTAAAGTCGTCAATGAGCTGACCAAAAAGGATTCCAATCAACGGGAATGGGATGCCGGACGCTATCGCGGATAGTATACCCAACAACAACACGCCTGCGTCGGCTTTGGATGGGCTACCAGCCAAAAGTAGGCGAGGGTAGCCCACGAGTTTTTGTAAGAGGTTCATGCTAACAGAGAGCTTGTGAGGCTGCTTGCAGCCTTGTGAGCGTCGTGTCCGAGTGCTTATCCCGCAAAGACTCCCTTTCTGCCCGAGGTATCCCTCGAGGACTACTTAGCTCGCCGTTTCCATTGTACACGACGTTGGCATTTTGCATTGCCGTAGGAATTGTTTCAGCGTCTGGAAGAAAAATCCCTCCACTCCGATGCCGCACTGAGAGGACTGACCCATTTTGGGGTTGGATGGCGACGTGACCAGCGAGGTGGATCTGAGTAACAGGGGATAATAAAGGCGAGCTACCTGGGTACAAAAGGCGGGCGTAACAGGGCGTAAAATGACCAGGTTTGTAAAGTCAAGGGGGTTTAGAAAACGAAGTGGGATGAAAGACGAGCTCTTCGATACTAATCGATACCTTCATCCCACAGCTGGAGCTCACTAATGCTGGTGGATTCTTCTCTCTGCGGACTCGAGATCGTCAAACTCGGACGCAGAATATAATGTCCACTTCCGACTCCTTGTTCCAGAAGACTCGATCTAAGAGTAGCCATCGTCTCCGGGTCGCCGGGTCGCCGGAGGAGGATCAAGCGAATATGTGGATATTCGTTGTTGTATTTTGACCAGAAATGGTCTCCTTCAAGCGTGCCGTTCTGATTCGAGCTCTTGGCAAAGATGGAGGACTTTGGGCTAGTTGTTGGAGCTTGACATGTTTCTTCAGAGGGTAGGGCGATGAGACAGGACGCCCATGTGTAACTCAGCGTCACATTTGCCCGCCCAATCTGGCGATCCAGTCAATCCCATTGGATTCTTACAACAATCGTTCCAGGTCCAGGGTTCTGGTGAAACGGTATTCCTGGGCGGGCAACTAGATCCCCGTTGCCGGGTCCGGGGCATCCCAACGCATCGTTAATTCTCCTCATGCTCCGACATCGCTGATACCTTGTCACAAGCGATCCATGTTCTTTTCTTTCTCTGGAAGCCCTGCAGGTATGAGGGCTATGAGCTCCGTTCGGTGGATCATTCGGTTGACGATCGTTGACGAAGAGCAGGAGCAGAGCAAGTTGATGTGGGAAGGTTGACGGGGATGGTCGTACGGGCTACTCGGCGGAGCAAATTGGACGACTAGAGTGGTGGGTAGAATGGTGGTAACGGAGGCGTCCACTCACGCTCAGATGTTGTCGGGCGTTGATGGTACAAGTGCCAGTGCCGTGCCCATGTTTTCCCGAAGGTGACGAGGTCGCCAAATCAGAAAGATGGATTGTGAAAATTTTTATCTGATTAGATTATCTAGATAATCTCTCGCCTTGGCAGAAAACCCACCAAAGATGCTCGGCATTGAGCCACGTATCCAAGTCTCTCAAGCGACGCCAATGACATTCTCAGTCTTGAGCAAACATCGCCCACCGGCCACACATAGCCCACATCGCCTACATCTGTTTCCTTGGTCTCGGCTATGTATATAATGGTACGGAAAGAGTACCATGCTGCAATACCAGTGTTTTGAAATGGACTGTATTTCAATACGAAACCCCCATCCATAACAAGACCCGCCATGGAAATGACAGGAAATCCTCCGACTCTCGCATGGATCATGTTCTCCCCTCGAAGTGCCTTTTTGCCTTCGACAAAATGTGGGCATCAGGACAAGGCCACAGACATGAGAAATGCCATGTCGTGGTCGGCTATTCAAGGTCCCTGGATGGAGCCACTCCTACAACCGGCCTCCAAGGTACCAACCGAACCTTTGCTGTGAGATGATTCAGTGCCTCTTTTAAATCTCAATTGCATAACGTACAGCTTCAAGTCGAACTCATCTTCTCGTATTGAGCTCGCCGGCAATCGAGAAACCCGAATTGCCTGTAGAATGGGCTCTATAAAACTCGACGAGCAAGATGATCGAACGCAGGCAAATGGCCATTCTACTGACATAATGTCTACCGGAGAGGCTGACCCTGAGGGATTCTGGTCTTTCAAACTCACCGGTCTTGCATCTGATCCACCAAATAGCCCGACGGGTCTAAGAGAGGAAATCTTGCTCCTTGCATGGCTCCTCGTTCTCCTACGAACTCAAGATGAAGGCCAGGTCTGGTTTGATTGGGCTTATAAAGGTCAAGGAAATGGTGATCCTGACGAGCCTGTGAAAAGGCGCCTGATTATGGATGAATTGAAGATAGGGTTACAAGACAATGTTGGGCAAGTTGGTGCTAGAATTGCTGGCCACATCACGGCATGTACCCAGGCCCAGCTACCTGACGGCTCCAACCCCGTTTCGCTTCTGGTGAGCACCAGTTCCCTGTCTCACACGCCTGAAGAAGCAAGTGGTCAAGTGAGTAAATGATGAACTCGAACGTCCCATCACTGACCTCTCGAGCGAAGTGTACACTGCACCTCCAGACCCAATTTGACGGTGGCCGTCTTAAAATTCGTCCAGTATGGCACACGGAGAACATGTTGCCCTATACTATGACACGACACGTCATAGCACTGGTCGATACCGTCAAAATATGTATTTCGAATCCGGACGATCCCATCGAAAGTTGCCTTCGGCCGACCGCAGCTGATCTGGATGAAATATGGAAGTGGAATCACTCATTGCCACAATCCTACGGCTTTTGCATGCACGATGTGATCTCTCAGCAAGCCCGGATTTTCAAAGACAAGTTAGCAATCTTATCCTGGGATGGCAACTTGACGTATGCCGAAGTTGATCAATATTCTACATCCATTGCCTACTCGCTGAAAGAGATGGGTGTCGAGTTGCATGATGTCCTGCCCGTCTGCTTTGAGAAGTCAAGATGGACCACCATCGCCGTGCTTGCGGTCATGAAAGCAGGGGCGACTTTCGTGCTGATGGACCCATCCCTTCCGCTTGCTCGCCTACAAACCATGGCGAAACAGGTCGGAGCAAAGACGATGCTTACGTCTAGGAAACAATATGACTATTCGGCCGCAATCTTGCCCAATGGGAACCTGATGATTGTGGAGGAGGACACATTCAACCACGTCTCATGCTCGCAAGTCAAGCCAGAATTGACAGTCGTCCCCCCATCTGCTCTGATGTACATAATTTTCACTTCTGGAAGCACGGGTGTCCCAAAGGGAGTCTTGATTTCTCACCAAACCTATACAAGCAGTGCCATTCCTCGGGCGGACGCAGTCGGCTATACGGAGCACTCTAGGGTTCTTGATTTTGCATCGTATGCTTTTGATGTCAGCATCGACAGCATGTTCTGCACCCTTTCGAAGGGCGGATGTCTCTGCATTCCCTCTGACGAAGATCGCATGAACGACTTGAGTGGAGCAATGCGGAGAATGCAAGTCACCTATGCTGGCCTGACACCTTCGGTGGCCCGCATATTGGACCCGGATGTTGTGGCATCGCTCAGTGCCCTGGGTCTCGGAGGCGAGGCAGCCACTGCAAGAGAAGTGACGCGCTGGGGCAAAGTCACTAGGATCGTCATAGGCTATGGCCCGTCCGAATGCACGATCGGATGTACAATCAACAGCAGCGCTGCCACCGGCAGGGACTATGTCTCCCTTGGGAGAGGCAATGGGGCAGCAATATGGATCGTTGACCCCGATGATCACGAATTGCTTATGCCAGTCGGCGCTGTGGGCGAATTGCTTGTCGAGGGGCCTATTGTGGGACAAGGTTACTTAAATGATCCTGACAAAACCGCGGCGGCTTTTATCAGTGACCCATTGTGGCTCACCGCAGGCCATAATGGCTATGAAGGTCGGCGAGGCCGCTTATACAAGACCGGAGATCTTGGAAAATATGATCCCGATGGCTCTGGGGGCATTGTCTTCATTGGGCGAAAGGATACGCAGGTAAAATTGCGTGGACAACGTGTCGAGCTTGGAGAAATCGAGTACCAGCTCAAAGCTAGACTCCCTCCAGGCACCAACGTGATTGCAGAGGTGATTGTGGCTTCAGCCTCTCAAGGTCAACCTTTGTTGATGGCGTTCGTTGCATTCCAGTCTAAGAAAGGACAGGAGTCTTCCGATCTACAGTGGGCACATCCACCTAAAAATCTACAGGAAATGCTATTTACGGCTGACACGGAGTTGGCCAAAGTCCTGCCACGATACATGGTGCCCACCGCATATGTACCAGTCAACTACATTCCTGTGATGATATCAGGCAAGACCGATCGCAAAAGACTTCGACAATTCGGTGCCACATTCGACCTGCGACAACTAGACCAAGGCACGACTAGTATTGCTCCTCGACAGCTAAGCGACCTTGAGCAACTTGTGCGGCTGGCCTGGAGCCAGACATTGCGACTTCATCCAGAAACCATTCGGCCTGATGACAATTTTTTTGCCCTAGGGGGCGATTCGTTAATGGCAATGAAACTTGTCTCTCTGTGTAGAGCACAGGGTCTCGCTGTCACAGTGGCGAATATTTTTCTCTGCCCTACACTCTTAGCGATGGCCGAAGTTGTCCAAACTTGCAGCACTCAAACACGGATAGAAACGCCAGCATTTTCGATGATCTCCCAAGATATTGATAGTGCCTGTCTCGAAGCGTCACAATGGTGTGGTGCAGATCCAGCCACCATCGAAGATATCTATCCCTGCACACCATCACAAGAATCTCTTTTTACCTTCTCCATCAAATCAACACGAGCGTACATTGCTCAGAGAGTCGCTTGTATACCCTCACAAATCAGCCTTGATACCTGGAAAAAGGCCTGGGAGGAGGTTGTCGCTGCAAGTCCTATGCTTCGCACTCGCTTAGTGCAACTCCAAGACCCTGGTTTGCAGCAAGTTGTGTTGAGAGAAAGCATATACTGGAGATATTCGACTGATTTAGCGCAATACCTTGATGATGATCAGAGTGAGAAGATGGAACTTGGTCAAAGCCTAGCTCGATATGCCATCGTCGACAGCTCAAGGGATGACAAACGATACATGGTCTGGACCATTCATCACGTCGTCTACGATGGGTGGTCCGAGCCTCTGATACTCCAGAAAATCAGCAATGCCCTGCGAGGTGAGCAAAGCGAGCCACAAGCTGAAATGAAGGATTTTGTCAGATATGTGCGAGACGTGAATGAAGTCGGCGCTCAAGAGTTTTGGCGACAGGAATTGGAGGGAGCCGTAGGACCTCAATTCCCGCGTCTGCCCTCTAGAGACTATTTGCCGACCCCCAACAGCATGCCTGAACATCAATTTGCACTTGAGACAAACCTTGGATCGACTTTCACAATAGCTACATTGATCCGCGGTGCATGGTCGCTCGTGATGTCACAGTACACAGGAAGCGACGACATCGTCTTCGGCGAGACGCTCACAGGTCGAGACATTCCTTTAGCGAAAGTCGAAAGTATTGAGGGCCCATTGATCGCGACTTTACCATTGCGCATACATATCAACCGAACGAGCTCTGTGGAGTCTTACCTACAAACTGTACAGGAAGCCGTACTTGTGCGCACACCGTACCAACATGTTGGGATGCAAAACATAAGAAAGGTCAGCCGGGATGCTCAACACGCATGCGAAACCGGTGCGGGCCTGGTCATCCAACCAGAACCAGAATACGTGGGCGCCGAACTTGGATTTGGGCAGACTGATATCATCCATGAAGCGCTACATTTTAACCCGTATCCACTTATGTTGGCGTTTGGCACACAAAAGGGTAGCTTGAGGGTCTGCGCGAGCTTTGACACCAGCCTCATTGACGTCGCACAGATGAAACGAATACTCACCCAGGTGGAGATGGCCTGCTTGCAGTTGATGGAGGATCCTTCCAGGAGAATAAACGAGATTTCTTGTCTGCCCAAAATGGAACTCGACCAGATCTGGCGTTGGAACACAACTCCTCCGTTGTCCTTGGACAAGTTATCCCGAAGGCTTCGAGCAAATGCCGGTATCAATCAAGGATCAACATATCCTCCTGCGGTGGTCCCTTGGGTATGTAACCCACAGAATCCGTCCCTCTTGTCGCCAATCGGCAGTGTTGGCGAGCTTTGGCTCGAAGGGTCTTTCTTTGCAGGTGATACCACCTCCTCTCCCATCTGGCTTCTGGCTGGAAGCTCCACTTGTGCTGGTCGATCTGGAACAGTGCAATCGACCGGTGACTTGGTCCAACTACGAGACGACGGCAGCTTAGTCTTCATCGGTCCAAAAGAGAATCGCCCAACAATCCAGGGCCATGTAATGGACATGGCAGACCTCGAAGCTCATGTCACAAGGCAACTTCCATCAACAACCCGTGCTGCTGCTGCGGTCTTCCAATCGCCACTGGACGGAGAAAAGCAGCCAGCCGAGCCTGAATTGGTCGTTTTCATCGAGCAACAACCCTCTCAGGAAGGGCATATTCCGCTCATGCCAGCGAAACATGACATAACTTTCGACGCACCCGGGCAAATCGGAACACGCCTGACTATCCATGCTACGATTCATCCCGTCCTTGCTATTGCCCTGAAAAAGCTCGACAAATTCATCCAAGATTCTCTTCCACCATACATGCTTCCCTCTGCGTACATCGTGGTTGACAAAATACCGACTGAGATGGGACGGGTCGATCATAACCTGTTAAATCAGCTAGCATCTGTAATTCCTCGGTCCATCCTTGCCACCCTACAGGAAAGCTTGAAGGAGGCATGGAAGAAAACCACCACGCAAACAAACTTGACCACGCAAGAGAACATTGTGCGGTCCGCCTGGGAGAAGATACTTAGAATAAGTCCAGACAAGATTGACCTGGACGACAACTTCTTCCGCCTTGGAGGGGATTCTGTGCTGGCCATGAAATTAGCATCGAGCCTTCGGGCTCAGGGACATACTTTGACGGTGGCCGACATCTTTCAGAACATGAAGCTTCGCGACGCGGCTAGAGTGTTGAAAGTGGAGCAGGTGTCCATGGAGAAGACGCAGGTTTACAAGCCATTCTCGTTACTGGACGGAGTGGACGTTGGCCCGTTCTTGTCCGACGTTGTGCAACCGAAGCTGGCTGATCCACATTGGTCTATTCAAGATGTACTGCCAGTAACCGAGTCTCAAGCGATCGACATCAAGGCCACAATTAAGATCCCGCGAACGTCCATACAATACACCATGTTGTACTTTGAAAAGGGCATCAATCTAGACAAGTTGATCCGCACCTGCAACGAGCTGGTCACGATTCACGACATTCTGCGCACAGTCTTCATCGAGCACGAGTTGTCGCTCTTTCAAGTTATTCTGGATAAGCTGGAGTCTCCCGTGACCATGAAACAATCTGAAAAAGACCTTGAACAGTACGTTGTCACGCTCTGCGAGGCGGACATAGAATCAGATTTGCGCCTAGGATCACCTTTCCTCAAGGTGTTCCATGTCCAGGGTACGGATGGCAAAGTGTGCCTCGTTATAAGACTATCCCATGCTCAATACGATGGCATCTCTTTGCCCAGGCTGCTTCGAGATTTGGAAACCTTATGTACGGGGGGAAGAGTTGTCGATTTCAGGCCGTTCTCGGCTTACATGGCACGACGTGGCATTGAACAAATCAAGAAACCGGCGCTGAATTACTGGCGCAATCTTCTGCACGGCTCCAAACTGTCGATTTTGGACGGAGTGTCCGCTCAGCACGCCACAAAATCGATATTCTTAACCAAACCGGTCGATGCTTCCCGCCATCCCACCGAGATCACAATAGCGAGCCTACTAACTGGGGCATGGGCACTCGTTCTAGCTCGCCGTCTCCAGCAACGGGATGTGACCTTTGGCAGCATCACTTCAGGCCGCAACCTATACATGCCAGACGTGGAGAAAGTCATGGGTCCGTGCTACCAGTTTACCCCGGTCCGAGTCCCATTCGAAGCTGGATGGACGGCGATGGACCTCCTGCGCTTCGTCCAGAGGCAGGGCGCCGAGTCTGCAGCCTACGACTTCCTCGGTTTTGCGGAGATATCCAAAAGCTGTAATACGCAATGGTCGTCGCCAGAGTCCTCGTCGTCATCACACTTCTTCGACTCTATTGTCCACCACCAGGATTTTGAAGACTATGACACAATGCCTTTTGCGGGGGGGACTTGCAAGGTGGAGATTCAGAACCCGCACGGCGACGCGGCTCATCCTCTGAAGGCCGTCTCGTTCGTCCAGAGCGGACAGACGCATGTTGGTGTTGTCGGAAGTGAAAGTGATCACGCCTTGATTGAAGCGCTCCTCGCTGAATTGGCTGCAGCTGTCGAAGAAATTTCTGCCAATCGACCAGATGAGATCCTTCAGCTTAGGGGCAAATCATCCGAACCGGCGAATTGATCATGGCCCAGAGTAGCTCGCTTGCTTGCTCTTACAGGACATCTACACATGCACACATGCTCTTCATAGGTATATACGGACACAAGAAGAGAGTGGCCATATATGCAATATTGGACAGCAGAAGGCATAGCGGCGCCCACCCCGAACTTGCTCTTTGTCGGATTCGTCGTTGCTATGCTGGGGATGGCTCTAGTTCTTTCATGCGATAGATCGGGTTGACCGGAAGTGACTCTGCGGAGCAGTTTCCAGCCATAAGAGGGACTTTTGTTGAGCTATGTATGAGAAGAGAGGTAGCTGCAACCTCATCCGTCCTGCTGTTCGGAGCTACCCAGATAGTATTTGAAGAAATCTCGTCATATCTCCCATCAGGCAGACAAAACCACGATTCGCACTCTTCTCTTTCCCTTTTCTCTCGCACCACTCTTCTCCTCTGAGCTCACTCTGACTTTCAGCTGCTGGAAGAGCTCAACTGTAACCTCATCCTGTTCATGGCCTTTCTCAAAGACTGTGAGACGGTAGGCCTCTGGGTCAAACTTGCTCTCCCTTTTCAAAGCCTCGCCGGATTTTAAGTGGAAATCCTCAAGTCGAACCAGTCCTTCAATGCCAAACTGCGGTACAAAGACCACCATACCGTTTTCGAACACTCGCATCACGTACCCGTCAACGTCGATGGCAGCATCTGGAGATTTCTCAGCCCGTGCCTTGAGCGCTTGCCCGACATAATACTCGATACTGGCGCGGCCTGCTAGCTGGGCATTTCGGTGTCGGAAGTTGAGATTTTGACAAACCCGCTCTAACTTACCCTTGTTGCGAAGGTCATAGTCGACGACCTCGCTCCCCTGGCCTTCATATCCGATCGCGTAGGCCAATTGACGATGGACGAGCAGATCAGCGTATCGGCGAATGGGACTTGTAAAATGGGTGTAGATCTCACTGGCGAGACCGTAGTGTCGGTATTCTGGTTCAGCGTGTGATCCACTGCAGAAGTATTCGGCCGACGTCATACACCGTGTCGCCATGATTCGAATTAAGGTGTTGAAGAATGGATGTTTAGGATCTACGCAAAGATCCAATGAATCTGCAAGTGCTTTCGAACTTGACACGTCCAGTTCGAAACCACGCATTCTCTTCAGCTGCTCACTAAGGTCTGAAAAATTCGAGGCTGGTGGTGTTGCATGCCGCCGCAGCAATGCAGTTTGAGGGAAGACCGATTGGATCTTCCTCGCAACCGTGATGTTGGCGAGAAGCATGAATTCCTCGACGAGTGAGTTGGTAGCCAAACTCGCCTTCGTCTTCACATCGGCTAGAGAATCCGAAGACTCGCTGTCTGCTTCAATTCTGACCTCTGGGCTCGACAGGTTTAATGCCCCGGCATCCATCCGCTTTTGACGAAGCTTTTGCGAGAGTGACAACAATGCCCGCATGCCTTGGGTGAGTTCATCCGTTGCACCTGGGTCGTCAATGCGCTTCTGAGCTTGTTCATATGAGAAGCCCTCCTTGGACAAGATCACAGATTTGGTGAAAGAAGATGACACCACTTCGGCATCTGGAGTGATCTCCCATATTGTGGAAAATGCATATCTTTCAACATGGGGTTTGAGGGAGCAAAGATCTGTCCCCAGCAACATAGGCAACATGTCAATTCTCTTATCGACGAGGTATACAGTCGTACCCCGAGCGGAAGCCTCGTCATCCATGGCATTATTAGGCTTGACAAAGTGAGACACGTCTGCGATATGAACACCCACTTCGAAGTTTCCATTCGAGAGTTTCCTTGCATGGAGAGCATCGTCGATATCTTGACACCCGGGAGGATCGATCGAGCAAACAAATAGATGTCGGAGATCCTGCCGGCCTTTCCAACCAGGATCCGATAAAGCAGCTGGGACTTTCCAGGAGTGGCCCTCCGAAGGTAAACAGTCCAAAACCGTTTTTGGGAAGGGCCGATACTGGACATCATACTCGAGGAGCAACGCTTCAGTCTCAGCATCCTTGGTCTCCAATTCTCCAAGCGAGCGGATGTAGTGACCAACTGGATATCTGGTGTCTCGGTCCCATGAGTCAATCGTTGCAAGGATCCGCTTGCCTATTAACTCATCGACCTGACGTGTTCGAATTCGAATCTTTGGGATGCGCTTGTCCATTGGAACCAAAAAGACGGTGGTCTGTCTGTTTCCAGTCGTGCTGCCAGATGCGGCGTCAATTGTTCCAACGAGTTGTCTCCAGTTCCGCTTGACAACTCCGACTACTTTGCAGGTTGGCTGGGCCTTTGTCTCGGCACCGGCAATATGTGCACGTCGAACCTCCTCCTGGAGAGCACGTCTCTCATTTTCCGTGACCACAGTCTCCTCTTGTTCCTCGTCTTCCGGGTTCTCGTTTTTGTTGATTGTTTCCTCGTCGAGGATCTGAGCCGAGGGTGCTTTCCATTGGTCTCGGGGCAGAATCTCAACGACCACGACATCGCCAGATATGGATCGATTGCTGCTCTCCCTTCCAAGGACTAGCAAGGGCTTGTCAAACGCGGGGACTTTAACTGTTCCTTCAAGGTAGTTGTAAGGAGAAACATTGAAGGACCCCTGATGCAGCGTCCCGGCCTTGATTCCCGTCATCATCCTTGACGTAGAGTAATATTCTGGATAGAAGACCTGCCCTTGGGCAGCGCGGACTTCTTGAGCCTCAGCACCTTGGCTCACCATGTCGAGTAGTCTATCGGCATCTTCCAACCCTTCCACATATTCCCGTAGTGACAAAGCTGTCACATTCTCTTTCTTCGCTTTTTCTCTATTCTCTCGATCATTGGTGAGGACCACGATTGTGGGAGGCTTTTTCGTCACTTGCGATAGATGATCGGTGTACCACTGCGCCGCTCTTCTCACTGAACGATCGTTTCTGTCATTTATTGACTCGCCGCTTGTTCTTCGTACCGCAGTTTCAGACCGGAACTCGTTAAAGAAAAGATAGAAACGCTTGTCGTCGCTTTGGGTTATTGCCATCAGTCTGTTGTAGAGAGGAAGACTCCTATTCTTCAACTCTTCAAGGACTGTCTGCAGTATGATGACGTCGTGGAAGTGTGCAGGCTCTTCGAAGAGGTCCATTGCACTAAGCAAGACATTGGTGTCGGGAATAATGTAGTGGCCGTTTGGGAACGTTTTGGTGCCAGTTGGTCGCTTTGACAGAACGAACTTGGGTACTAGTGATCTTGTCAGGGTATGACAGTCTAGATAATGTGGCGAGAGTCACTTACCAACTCCATTGGCATCTGGCGCGGCCGTGGAAGCGCAAGCAGTACACAATTGCGACGAACAGGGAATATCTTTCCTGAGATACTGTTCTCTCACAACTTTCTGGACTCGACCACTTTTGGTAGACCGAATGAAGACCTTGCTGGAGATACTGCCGGCTTTCGGATCGGCGGCGAGCCCTCGCTTCAGGCTTTTCATCTTGTCAGCCTCGACCCCGAAACTGGTACAGATCAAGTGTGAGGTATGAGTGTGCTCTCGACATACATACTAGGTACTGGAGGCCGCTTGAAATTGTCGCAGGTCCCCCGCATGCTTGTGCGGAGACTGCGCTATAGAGATAAGCTCTCCACAGTACTGATCCTACGGTTAGGTAGTCGAGCTGCGTATGCAAAGTCCAGACGAACTTAAGTCTCCAAAAGCAAAATCAACTTGGAAATGGGAGGGGATCATCAATTCCATCCCGCCGGCTCCCCGCGCAGAGCTGATCCCAACTGGCACTTCGTTTGTCCGATCTGCTGCTTGTTTAATTTCTTGTTTTCCTTCGTGAGGCTTGTCTTTACGATGGGATACGATCCACTTGGTTGCCTCATTGGAGGCCACTGCAGCTGAAAATCCCTCCGTCAGGATGCTGATGTTCTCCCTTCATCCCCCTTCTGTGCTTCCCCTTCCCTCTGCCCCGATCGCTACCTCGGTATCGGTAGACAAACCTTTTGTCCACAGGACCATGAAACGATAGTTGGCAGAAAACAGCAGCCATGTCCGAGAAGCCACCGTACGTCGTCCCGCCCACAGCCGACTCATCTTCTACCGCCCGTCCTGCCACGTTCATCTTCCTTCATGGCTATGGAGACGACGCCGAAGGCCTCCCGCTGGGGCTGGCACAACAATTCCAGTTCTACAACAAGATGCAATATCTGAAATGGGTCCTTCCGAATGCACCACACAATCACGAGGCCATGACCCGGGCATGGTATGTTCCCAAGGCCTTGCCCAATGCCATGAAGCCCCGAGTGCCTGGCCACGAAGACGAGGAGGATGCCCCGGATGACGAGGCTGGGATTATGCAGAGCGTGGATGTGGTGGACCGGCTTGTCGAGCAGGAGATCAAAAACGGGACACCTCCAGAAAGGATTGTCGTTGGCGGATTCAGTCAAGGTTGTGCAGTGAGCTTGGTTTGGGGTCTGACAGGGAGACTCAGAAACAAAGTCGCGGGAATGCTCTGTTTGTCCGGGTACCTGCCTCTGCGGGATCGGATAGCGGAACTGAGAAATGAGAGGGGAACCCAGGACGACGACAAGGACTCGAAAAAATGGTTCTACGTTCATGGCACAATGGACATGCTGGTCCCCACAAAGTTCTTCGTGCAAGGCAAGGAAGAACTGGCAAAATGGGTGGACAAGGAGAATATCGAAGAGCATCTGTACCAGGGCATGGGCCATTCTACGAATTCAGCCGAGTTGAGAGATATGCTGGCATTCTTTGAAAAGGTCATCCCTGAATGAAAGCCGCCGCCATCTGCCATTCGGCCGGTCCTCAGTCCATATTAAAAGGTCATCGAGATGTTCAGCACAAGCATTCCATGATAGTCATCAGCCTGCTGGAAAGCGAAGCACAAAAGAGCGACTTCTCGAAGCAGATGGGATCCAGGAGTGTCCAACTCTGTAGAACGTCCTCAATTCATATCATCTGTTCTCGTATCTCATCATATCTCCTCTCAAGATTTGTCTAGCTTCTGCGCCTTGACACATCTTCAGAATATTGCCGCTATTTCATCGTGGGCAGGTCTGCATGATTCTCGCCAATTTCGTTAGCAAACACTATTCTCCGTTCGACCATGCTTCCGAAGCCCACTCAAAAGCCAAAAGCCACAAGCCTGGCCAAAAAGAAAAAAGAAAAAGATGTTGCGACGATCATTCAAACCTCTCCGCCTGCCGTCCACAGGCTCCTTGACAACCATGGCATGTTGATGAGCCCGGGAAAAAAAGAAAAGAACAGAACGGCACCAGCACCAGCAGAAAGAAGAAAACGTACCGCTCCACAAGATCCGCAAGTCTTGCTCCCAGAAGAAATAGTCGCTCCACATTTGGGACACCCTGCGTGAGACATGGTCCTGCTTGCTGAGGGAGTGTTCGGTTGGATCAGTGAGACGGCTGGAACAAGAGGTGATGGTCTCCGGGCGTGGATGGGACAATAATATGCAAAGGAGGCGCGCGATCTGAGGACACTTTATCGAGAGTTGTTGGGAATATTGCTGGAGGTACTGCGTGGGAAAGGAAATGTATACCTCGTAGGTGATGTGAGCTTGACGAGAGGGGCTTTTTGGTCGAGTCTCAGTGTTTTATGTATCTCGGCCGACGATGCCCCTCCATGCGTGTAGCGCCGCTTACAATCGGCACTGCCCATTCTCAAAAGATCCCTGAAATGGATGCATGCCCCGACGACACATGCCTTTTTCCCAATGCTCACAACCCTATTAATGGGACACGGTCACAAGGCTGAGCCATGTGCTTGCATCTTGTCCCACGGTAAGAGTGGCTTCTAGAGGAGGGTGTGCTACCTGATATGTCCGGTGACAAGGGTCTCTTTGGGCTGACTGCTTACTGACAATGTCGCGACTCCCGACCTTATCTCAAAATACTCCTGTTTGAGCGAGGGAAGTGACCGCGATTGAGTGCGTCAAGCGCTCCAGATGAAGCAGCAATTGAGAGGATAGATTTTTGACCCAGGCTTCTACCTTCTTCTGCCTCGCCAAATTTAGGGACCAAATGAGGCCGACCAACGCCCGCTCCATATGCAATGCTAGATCAAACAACCACTTTCCCCGTGCTTTTTTGCTGAGATCGTTAGTCACAATTTGACTGGGTATTTCTTCCGAATCATCTCGCCATGCTTAAAGAAGACCCAACTCATCGGTGCCATGGCGAGCGCAATAAACGCAAGCAGAGAATTACCCCACCCAAGGCCTAGGGCCACATACATATCGGGCCCTGCCAGTGGGAGGAAAGCACCCATTAAACTCCTCAGAACTGTGTTGGCAGCGATCGCCGAGGCAGCATGAATGTGGTATGCGTCGACGAGATACGTCTGAATCGGCATGAACGTTGCAAGCAAGCCCAGGCCAACCCAGAGAGTGCCGATGATGGGCATGATCCAGTGGATGGCCTTGTCCGCAGACCATCCGTACCAGAACAAGCCAATTGGGATGAACAGACTGCCAGGAAGGAGAGGCGGGAGCCTGTACTCTGGTTTCATTTCACCCTGTGCCGACAACTTCTTGACGACTTTGTCCGACAGCGCTCCAAAAATGACTAGACCAGTCATGGAACCAATTCCAATGCCGAGGAAACTCAGCCCAACTGCGCCCTGGCTGAAATGATATTGCCCCTCGAAGACAATGGTGAGCGTGGTGAAAAGTAGGTAGAGGTAGCCGTAGACCACCGCCATGTAGATAGACAGCAAGAGGACGATCGGGGAGAAGAGGAGCATTTTGGTAGGTCGAACAAGAGCACGGATGAAGAAGTCGCGCATGGGGATGCCCTGGTCGAGCTTAGAGCGAAGATTGGGATTACCCGTCTCCTTTCGAAGTCGCTTTGCCCGCCGCTCGAGGAGAACTGGTTCGAAAGTCTCACGCATGAAGATGGCCGAGAAACCCAACGCGACACCACCAGCAATCGTGATGAGCCAAAAGATCCAGCGCCAGCCTGCGCCTTGTCCCAGATACCCACCTGCCACCGGGCCGATGACAGGGCCCATCAGTGGTCCCAGCGCAAACAGGGCCATTGCGCCACCCCTTTTCTCTTGGACAATGAGATCTGCAATAGAGCCACCGCCGATGGTGAGCGGGCAACTTCCGGCGATTCCTGCCAGGAGACGGAACACCAACAAGGACCCTATGCCTGGTGCCAAAGCACAAGCCATAGTCCAGATAACGAACATAAGGTTGCATGCATGATAGAGGGGGAGTCGACCCCATATTTCGCTGGCAGGGGCAAGGAATAGAGGGCCCAGCGCGTAGCCCAGGATGTAAATGGAGACGATGAAACTGGCAATCGTCTCGTTGGATGAATGGAACTCTTTCATGATCAAGGGTGTGGCTGGGGCGACCATAGATGAAGCCAGCGGTGTCAGGAAGGTGACGCTGGAGATGATGGCCACGTTGGACCATTTCTTCCTGTCGGTCCAGTTCATGGCTTTCTCCGGATCATTTGGCCCATCCCAATCGACGATATTTGGATCGTGGTCAACGGTTGTGACGGGCGGTACCTTCTCGTCTGCATCCTGCGTCGTGTCGATAACCGGAATGCCATGTTCTACATCGGGATCGAGCGCGCTCTGGCTGTGTTCTTCTTGTGCTTTCTCGGAGAGGGAGGCGGAATGGCTGGAGATGTTCGCTTCGTCGCGTTCGAGATCCTTGTCGTGGAAAGCAACAGGATCTGGCGACTTGGCCGCCATGCGATCTGGAACCCCATTGTGCCTCGTCAGTATATTTGCACATCCTACAAGGCGAGCACCTCGAGATATATGAATGGAGTTGATTGTTGTTTGCACACATACAGTTTGTCCCTGGGTGTCAAATGGTAGGTTTGTGGGGCCGAACCCCAGAGTCAGCAAGTAAGCTCGCGTAATGGGCGTCCCGTGCCACGCGCAATGGTTGATCTCTGGAGGGAAGGATGAAGCTTAGAGTAGTGAGATATAATGGCAATCGAATAGATATTCTGCACACGGGAGGAGAACACGAATATCAAAGGCAAGGCAGGCAGATAAATTCACCAGAGGAAGTTCCTCCGCCATCTCGGCGGAAATGTTCAGTTTCTCATTTATTTAGCGGTTCACAGACCCTCTGGGGCTGGTCTCCATCTCCATTACTGCCCTTCAACAAAGGCGACTGGCTTTTTCTGATCTCCCTCTCCACCTTTCGGCAAGGGCGATATCCGTGTAGATGGGCCGGCTATAGAGCAGGGGTTGGGCCTTAACTCCGGTTCTGTCTGGTAAGCCATAAGCAGCAGCGTCCCTTGTATATAGCCCAACTCGTGCGTCAAGGTGAAAACTGAAGTCCGAATTATGGCAAGTGTTCTAACAGATAGCCCTCGGGCTCCGCAGTTCAGTCGTTTAATGGAAGGAAGACTAGGCGGCTTGGTAGGTGTATACGAGGCACACAACAAACCCCATACCAAATGGCGCCAGGGCGTTTTGTGCAACCGACACAAAAAGTTATGCCCGCAGGTGCTTTGAGCACCACAGCGGCAGATTACTCGGTACAGCCTAGAAATGCCCTCCACTTCTCCAAATTACCCAAAGCAGCAGCCACTCCTGGAGCTTCCACGGGGAGCCCGCGGCTCTCAACCCATACAATCAGGCGTGAGGAGAGCAGTCAAAGTGAGCATAGATCATCAAAAGGTTTATTCAAGATACAGCGTGACACACGCTCCTTCTATACCTAGGTATATAGGCCACTTCGAATCACTTTCTCTGCACACTTGTCTATATTGCCAATCCTGCGCTGTTTTTCTGCCTGGGCTCTGTTTGTTGTTAGCCTCAACATGCTGGATTGGAATAGACAAGGGTAGGGCAGGAGAAATCTCCGTCAATCATTCGCTCAAGCTATTGGGCACACTTACCGCCTGCCGCTTCAAATGTGCCGTTGGGTAAACGCCGGATGCTCTGGCATTGTGTCAGCATGGACAAATATTGCAGGGCCATGGAATTGCGCTGTGAGAGGACTCGGGACGGCTTGAGCTGTTCGAATGGGACACTCACCTGAGCTGAACTCTGACCGGTCGCAATCTGCAACCAGAATTGCTGTCAGCCCACATCAAGATGAACTCCTCGGCGCAAGAAGGGGCAATTCTCCCTCGGCCAGGAGAGCAACTCACAAAGGTAATATTATGGCCTCTTGACTTCATGAACGCGACCGTCTCGTTGTTGTACGCGTACTCAAACGACACCTGGTTTGGAATGAGCTGGTCGTGAAGGCGTGGCTGCGCCAGCGCCTGTGGAGCCGTCATATTCTGGTCAAGTACATGAACCAAACTCTGGATTGTCGCCGTAATGATCCGCGACCCTCCTGCAGCTCCAGTCACATAGTACAATGTTCCATTTGCGTCTTCGACTATGGTGGGTGAGATGGATGACAGTGGTCTCTTCCCCGGTCGCACATAGTTGGACGGACTCGGAACGTACCCAAAGGCATTCGACGTTCCAGGGACGGAGAAGTCGTTCATTTCGTTGTTCATAATGACACCTGTTTCTGGAACCAGAACCTGCGACCCAAACAACAAATTGATCGTCGTGGTCAGGGAGACGGCCAACCCCGAGGCATCTGCCGTAACAATATGAGAAGTGCCTGGGGTTTCCAGGGATTCAATGCCTGCCGGGTCATACGCTGAGACATTCAACGTTCGGAGGTCCGAAATCTTTCTCCGGATCTCCCGTGCCGACGCCTCAGAGAGCATTTCATCTTGAAAAGCCGAAAGGTTGTGCACAAACGAAGGGTCGCCGAGACTGGTTCTTTCCCCGTAACCAAATCTAATCGCTTCGTCCAATCGATGCGTGCTGAGATTGACAGTACCTGGGTGATAGAAATCGGGATATAATTCCAGGGTCTTCAGCACGGAGAGGGCAACCTCGCCAGAGCTCGGGGCGCTACAACTGAATAGACGATATCCTCGGTACGTGATGTTAGCTGTTGGCCGAATGGCAACGGTGTAGTTATAGAGATCCTCGAGTGTCATCGTTCCATTCGCTGCTTGCACCGCTGCAATCGTAGCGTCTGCAATCGGGCCACGATAAAACGCATCAGGCCCTTCCTGCGCAATGGTCTCGAGTGTATCTGCATATCTCTTCCGTGTTATCGTGTCTCCGGCTCCGAGCAAAGTTCCATTGGGTGCGAAATCAATCGCCCAGTTTGGATCGTCCACGAGGAAATTTGGCACTGCGGCGGAAGCCATGCCGTATTGCATATACCGCACCAAGTCTTCGCTTACGATCCAGCCATATCTGGCGGTCTTGATCGCTCCTTGCATTACCTGCTTCCATGGAAGTTTCCCATAATTTTGGTGCAAATGAGCCAGGCCTCGGACTTCTCCTGGAACTCCACTGCCGAACATGAGCATGCGAGCATCTCTTGACGCTCAGCCACGTACCTCGCCAATCCCCCGAAGATGCTTGCGTTGGTGTTATTGTTGTACATGTCCTGAAAAGCAGCGGCAGGGGCTGTTTCTCGGAAATCTATCGTTTCGTAGCTCCCATTTGAACCGCGGACAATCATGAAACCTCCTCCACCGATGCCGCTGTGATACATCCCAATAACTCCGGTGCAAAACACAGTACCGACGAGCTGAAAGACTGTTATCTCGGGCTCTGTTGATCGGTTTTTGAGAGGCTGAACTCACCGCATCTGCAGCGTTCCCACCCTGCCGGAGCAGCTCAATCCCGATCTCGCTGCAAATACTGCTCTCACTCGCTACAGCGCCCATCGAATCGGGCGCATACTGTTGCTGAATATGAGGGAGTGGATTGGCACCAGCCTGTTGTACCAACGGCGGGATAATCGAAGCACACGCCAGCTGCAATAACGACAACATGATGAACAGGTAGCCTGACTCCTTGAATGAGCGTGGGGAGTGCAAAGCAAAGAAAGCGCCGGCAAAGAGTGACGATGCCATCTTTTCTGGGGTGGCAGTCCCGCTGCAAGCTTGAAGCCGAAGTAGGCAGCTTCTCACGTTGACCCAGGAACAGGTAAATGTAAATTGAGCTGCGGCTTGCGTCTCAGTTCAGAGGCCGATCGAGGCACGCGAGCCCTGACAAGACCAGTAGGAGCCGTCTGAACGACGCAAGGAACCTTTTTAATCCTCCGCTCAATAACTTCAGCTGTCGTTACAACGCATGACGGCTCGACGATCGACGGACAGCTCGATAAATCAGTAGGGAAAAGTGACCAACGCTGCTAAACACGACCAGCCATGCAAGAGCACACAAAAATGTGTATACAGAGATGGAAAAAGGAATAAAGCAGAGAAAATCCCGAAAACCGGTAGCGCAAAGCAGCCCAGCCAGTGCGCACCGATCACTTACAGCAGACTGGCCCTCGTAACAGTTGTCCACTCCTGTTTCCCATGCTCTGCTCTGCCCAACGGACCGGAAGAGATAAGCGACTCAACGACATCCAAAGTAGCCCTAAGATATACCGACCACCGAACCCGATTCCCGGCGGATTTATCCGCCTTATCGAGAAGCAAGCAGCCCATACATGAACGAAGGAGCGCACAGACGAGGTAATCAATATACTATGCAATAATAACGAGAGCAACTCCTTCCTGTGACTTGCTCTGATATTGGATTTGCACGAGGGAGTCTTGTCTAGGGATCATCTCGGTAGTACCGATGATACAGAGCTCCAGGCTGGTCGTCGCAATGGGTGCTCGTCCTGAATCTCCAAAGCCTGATTTGATCTCGGGGTGTACACATGTATCTGCTACAACTTGGAAGACCTGGCTTCGCCTTCAGCCGAACACACTCCTGTCTTGTGCATTCCCAGCTGCTTCCTCAGTAGCTTGAAGGTCGCGTTTCTGGGTAGCGCTGTCACCTCCCAGATATCTCCCCGCAATCTTTTGTATCCCGCCACTTGCCCGTCGACGGTTTTCTGAATGTCCTTGAGCGCTTGAATCTTGTCTTTCCGCTCCTTGATATGGTCTTTGAGCACCACGTACGCTGTAGGCAGTTCGGTCATCTTGGCAGCATCCCATACGCCTCCAACTGCGGCATCCACAACGGCAGGGTGGGAGATGATATATGCTTCCAGCTCTGTCGGAGATACTTGGAAGCCATTGTACTTGATCAGCTCCTTTGTTCTGCCCACGACCTGTAGATGACCTTCGGGAGAAATGGTACACACGTCCCCCCTTAGAATTGCTGTTAGCCTGAGAAAAGAAAAGTCGCTTTGCACAAAATGTCAAACACTGGACTCGAAGGAATGGAACCTACGTGTTGTACCACCCGTCTCGGTCAAAGGCAGTCTGATTCGCATCAGGATTATCAACATAACCCGCTGACATGTTGGGCCCTTTCAACCACAGCTCACCCGGTCCGCCTTCTGGAGCATCTGCGCCGTTTTCAAGACGCAGAGATGCCAGTATATTCGGCAGTAACGTCCCGCTCTTACCCAGTGGCATGGCTTCTCCGATCTTCTGCCATGTCACATATGGAGCGGCCTCTGTCATTCCGTAAAGAGTTATTGTCTTCCAATGGCCGCGTTGCAGAAAACGTTGATAATCGTCTTGCTTGAGGGGCAACGGACCACAAACCATGTGCCTGATACTGGAGAAGTCATATCTCGAGGCCAGATCTGTGGTTGCTATAGTCAACGCGGTCATTGGCGACACTTGCGCCGCTGTCGCCCTCGTCTGATGAATGGTTCTTGCATAGGTCTCAGTGTCAAACGAACCCATAATGATGTGCAACATGCCGGTCCACGGTCCCAGGAACAAGGGTATCGTAGCTAGAACACCGTTGTCAGTATAAATCGGCATCGAGCATAAACAAGGACTGGTGGGCTTTGTCCCCCAAAAGGCACACTCACTATTGGCGATGTGCACAAAGGGCGTATAGGAGACAATCTTCTCCTCCGGGGACCAATGATCCGGATCGTGTGCCCACATTTGTAATACATTGGCTATGTAATTATATTGCGAGAGTCCGACCCCTTTGGGATTACCTGTGGTGCCTGATGAGAGGTGTATCGATGCTAACCTCGTCTTGGTGTCCGGATAGTGAGGTACAGTTAATTGCTCGGAGGCCATGAAATCTGCATGGAGATGTCGGAGCCCTTGAACAGGAGGGCCGATGGCAGTCAAGACTTCTGGATCCTTCAAGTCTGGACATTTACCTCGCGCCAGGTTGATCGCCTCTTTCACCGTGTCCCAAACTCTGGAGTATACTATCACGAATGTCGGCTTCGACACCGTTAGAGCATGCGCGATCTCGCCCGCCTTCAGCTGATGATTAATGGGACAAAATATGCCACCGAGCCACAAAACCGCGTGGACAGCTTCGAGGTAGGCGACACTGTTGGGAAGGATAATAGCCCACCGACTTTGATCATGAGGGCTGTACTGCCGTGTCAGGCCTGTTGCAAGTCTTCCAGCATTCGAGCGTAGCTGACCTATAGTCAGGGTGCGATCTTCTACATCGTCCTGAGCGATGACGTGGTCGGAATGTAGGGGTGGAGAGCGAGCGCTGCCGTGGAGGAGTTCTGTGAGATTAAGATCCTCAGGAATGGCAATGTCTGGATCTCCAGATCTGTATGTCTTCATTTCCAGGTTTTTCTGATCTGCTTTCTTACTTGTGGAAGAAGTTCTGTATCAGGAACGTGTTGGGTGATGGGTGTCCAAGGCATAGCTACCACTTCTACGGAGAGGTTCCAAGCGCTCGAGTCGACATTCAAGAAAGTAAGTCAACGAATGCTTCGCGAGTATCGCTCTGAGTACCTCGGAAAGACCGTTCAACTCCTTGGAAGCTTATCCAGTGACACAGGAGCATCAAAAGCCGGGGCCCCGCAGGAAAACAAGAACCCCTCATAGACACCTCGGTTCTTGCGACGTCTGGCTGCACGGCTGTCGATTTGCATGCACCGAGAGCACTGCGTCAAATGGCGGGCAATTACAGGCCGAATATCGGTGCACATTTTGTTTGCTCAGCTTGTAACACCTTGGCTCGCACGGCAGAGGGCGACACGGCGAGGCGCCATCCAGGGCGAAGCAGGTGGCCGACACGTGGTTCTTAATAACGTACACTGTACATGACAGCTTTCCTGCCTGCTTCCCTTCAGTCGTACACCATCCGGGCATTCTCCGAGCGTTGCAGCGTGCGTCGTGCGTGGCTTGAGAGCACTCGGGCAGGATCATGGGGAGGCACCATAGGGCAGTGATCGACAATTCCAGCACAGCCAGAGCAGATGATTTCGCCTGTGCATGGGAACCGCATGCCGGACTCGATTTCCCATCCCTCGTGCTGATCTGAACGAAACTGGTCATGCTCTGTCGAGTTGTGCCTCACAGTACCTACCCAGGTCCGTCCACGAAATTCTTGATAAGCCCCTCGTCAATACTTACCCGTTGGATCTGTCAAGCTTTAGATGCCAGATTTTGAGCATATGACCCAGCTCGTTGAGTTTCAAGCTCGAAGCAGAACTGTGCATTTTCTCGTAATGGACAAAAAGGGGGTAGCCAGTCAGGGTCCTGAGTGTTCCCTGATCTGCCGGAGAATTTTTGAAGGTCGCCGTGACTCTGTGATTGGGGGTGGCCTAGGATGGGTCTCCAGGTCTGCTGCTGAGAAGCGAACCAGTATGATAGTTGCCGACTTAACCGGAGCGGAAAGGCTTAATGATGTCAATGGCGTGGGATAGAAGGTCGGTGGATAGCCTAGAACCTTTGATGGACATGAGATTTACCACATTGATCCAAGGTGGCAGCGTTAAGCATCTCACCTCTTCCCCCAACCCCTTCGGACTTTCCAGATCTGATCTGCTCAAGGGGCTTCTAGAGGTCGGCGATCTCATTCTGCTCATTCGAATCAGAGCCGGTGGAGGGAGCGAATCTGCCCGCAGCCCCTGGTATCGGAGCTTGGTTGTTGTTGATTCTCTCTGGGAAGGGATTGCTGGCGCGTGCGTGTACTCGGTCCAGCATAAGCAGTCCGGAGCACACGGTCCCTGGGCCGAGTACCTAGCCAGGACCAGCTGCGTGAAGACCCAATGAAAGAGGATTGACGGCCCATCTGCACAACGGTGGGTTAGCCGGAGCAGAGTCTATCAAGGCCTAGACCGCCGTGACTGCTGGGTTTGTCCAACGACATGTCTCCATCTCCCTCCCAAGGTTCTTTTTTCTGTCCTCACACCCTGACAAAACGCTCACTCAGGGCCAGCATGGCCTTTGCTGACGCCCGCCAAAGATTCTTTCCGAAGGATCGATGCCACTGGCGTCATGCCACATGCAGTCTGCAGTAATTAGCCTCTGGCTTGTATCATTAAAAACAACTTCCACAATTCATACACCTGCACGGGACGGGTTCTAGCATATGCCAGAGAGTAACTCTAGGCGACCTTTTCCTGTACGGCGTCTTTCCATGCGACTCCTATACCCTTCGACCCCTATACCCTTTATGCTCTTCAGAATAATGTGTATACTCACTCCATAAGGATGTGTCGGAGCTGCGTGTGAGCTGAAAGCTGAGCTTCAGGCCTTGTCGGGGGCCGTCACTAAAGTTTGCCTCGGCCAGTTGGATGTTGCAATGGTGGATTTCAGCCCAGTGTGCTCTGTGCACAAGACCTAGGTTAAGGAAGGTTTAAAGGGGGAAAAGTCAAAAGGTTTTGTACGATTCTCTGAGACGGGAGAGTTTGGTGGCACCATTGGCGCATAGTGGTACGAGTTGTTGGCCGTACCTGGTAGAGATTTTGTTCAGAAATTCAGTCCAAGCAAAGCACGCACTGGCAGGCTACGTACTCCGTCCCTCTTAGCTTCTCCAGGACCAAATACGACTCTGCCTGACAGTGAATCAATAATCCCGCCGCACGGTCTCACTCGGTCTGCGCACGTCCCTAACGGTCTGGCACTCGGACGTGGTCTTGGTCCTGGGACTGTCTATGCTTTCCGCCTCCGCAGCCCTTTTCCTGGCTCCAGTCTCCCGTCCTGGACCAACAGTACCACCAGCACCATACGATTCCTCTTCCCGATTTCACCATATTCCTTCCGCTCCCCTCGGCTACCTAGACAACAGGCCATCGTCCTGTTCGACTTTCTATTCTCTGCTCCCCGTTTCCTGGGAGCTAACCAGTTATATCGATACCTGCTAGTTCTGGACCTCACATTGCGACGGCATATCCTTCTTACAAATCCGTACTTCGAGCGTGACTGTATCACCCTGCGACTTGCGACAAATGAAGCCCTGGGCGGCCTCGACTTGGATACGCTATAGAACGTCTAAGACCTGCAGACCCTACGAATGTCTATGAGAATAGATATTCCCCTAATACGTCAGAGCGAGGTGTTCAAAAGAGGGAGGTAACACCAAATGGCAGTGATGGCTGAACCACCTCATCCTCGGCCGTCCCTGCCGCTTATCGAGCGACAATCGTTATGTCTTCCCAGCGTCGAGCCCGGCGTGCCCGCCCAGTACGGTGAAGAAGGTTTCCTTCAGAACCTTGCGAAGCATTTCCCGTCCCACGAGAACAATGCTCTCGAGAAGCTGGTGCAGCTGAAACGGGAACTCAAGACAGCGGACACTGAATCCTTTTGGAAAAAGCTGATGGAGGGCATGACGGAGATTTGCCATGCGCAATACGGCTTTGTTGCAAAGAGAATACTGTCGGACGACCACAATGCGGCAGTAGAAATGCCTCCGCTCGGCGAGTCAGGTTCTTGTCTTCTCGGCGTCGCTTTCTATTATAACGATGGGGACAAGCAGAAAGCCATGCACCGCGACTATAAGTATCTCGCTTGGGGTTCGCCTTGCGCCTACATGAAGCACGACAAAGTTTTCCTGATCCCAGAGCACATGAGTTCGTTCATCACTCACAATCCTAACGCTCTTCCGTTCCCGGCAGAAGGCTACCTTGGGATTCCCTTGTTTGCAGATGACAAGTGTTTTGCCCATTTTGGTATGATGTGGACACAAGAAGGCCTCGACCGGCGAGACGCTACATGGAGTTACACTGAACTTCTGCTGCATTCATTGGAGGACATGATTGTCGAACGTCTTTTGAGCGGCCAAGGGTTCGTAAAGCCTCGGAATCGCAATACAAGCACGGCCAGACTTACTCACGTCATCCCGCGTGAAGCTATCACCCCTGGCACCCAGTCTTTAAAGCCATATGCCAAAAATCTGTCACATGAACTAAGAACGCCAATGCAGGGTGTGGTGGGAATGCTGGATGTCATGCATGCAACGGTGCAGGAACAGATCGAGTGCGTCTCCGACGCCCCCCTCCGCCAGGTCTTCCGGGGCCTGAGAGAGAACATCGAGATCATTCAAGACAGCGCCAAACGGGCTGTTGAAGCCGCCGACAACGTCGTCCATGCGTACGACATGAACATGCAAATCCCCGATACCCCCTCGAATGAGCACGAATCACCAGCAACTAAAGCCACTGGCTACTTCGATTACAAACCTGCCAGACTGATTGAAGGGAGTGATATCCACTTCAATTCATGCAAGCGCCGCCGAAGTAGTCCGACGTCGTGGTACTTTGGTAACGCCACGAAGATGCGACAACTTGGACCATCAACTCGTGTCGACGTCTCTCCCAAAAGCAACGTGGGCAAATTTCAACCTCCACAGACAATTCCTTCCGACGACAGCGTTCCCACCATCATCACCACCGTACAGGATTCCACTACACCTGGGGACCTGCATACTCCATCAACCAAGCTGTCTTCAGCAGAAAGTGACGCGTTTCCGACACCAGGGCTGAAACACTGTCGGATCCGAGAGCTGATACCCATGGTGATCTACGAATCTTTGCGTGTCGGAGGCAGACCTGATTCAGCCATCGGCGAACCCACTGACTTGGGCGAAAGAATCGTGGTTAGGTCGCGCTCTTCAAATGGCCACATTTCCCAGAAAACCATTGAATGGTTAGTGGCCAAAGATGTACCTGAGACTCTTTTCGCAGACGAACGAGACTTGACCAAATTGGTGTCTGCTGTACTGCTGAACGCCATCAAGTTCACAGAACAAGGCAGCATTACTCTGCATGCCCGACTCTCAAAGACCCACCGATTCCTGGTTATCAATTGCAAGGACACTGGCGACGGGATTCCGGAGGATTTCCAACCAGAGCTATTTAAACCATTCTCTCGGGAGGACGACTCGTTGACCCGGTCAAAGGAAGGTCTCGGTCTCGGTCTTCTGGTTGCTAAAGGACTAGCACGCCGGCTTGGTGGAGACATCGTCCTCGTAGCTTCAGACGTCTCTGGTCCAAACAAGGGTTCTGAGTTTGAGATCAAGGTGCCTTTTGAGCCTAACGAGAGTCCGACAAGTCGTTCTTGCACTCCTGGTAGCAAGACCCCAGAGAGATCGAAGACTGCCTCCCAGCCAGCCGCTACTTTAGCACCTCCGGATTTATCACCCAAGGGCCACAGACATTCGAGACCTTCAAAAATATCTATGCCATCTTCTGAAGAGTACCCCTCCCGCGCACCACGAACTCCGGCGCAGACCAGTCCGTTGAAGAGGGACACGTACGATCGGTTCCTAGCACAGAAGCATCCTCTTACATTCTTGGTTGCAGAAGATAATAAAATCAACCGAAAATTGCTCGTGAATATGCTCGGAAAGCTGGGATACAAGGACGTGCACGAAGCTTTTGACGGGAAGGAAGCTGTGAGAATCATGCGGGAAATACATAGCAGAGGAAGAAGTTGCGGCAAAACAAACGGGAAACGACCCACCAGAAAAGTCGACGTCGTCTTGATGGACCTCTGGATGCCGGAAATGGATGGCTATCAGGCGACTGAGCATATCTTGGGCATGTTCCAACATCCTCAAAGCGAAGAGGGATCCGACTGTAGCCGCATGACCCCTCCCATTGTCCTAGCTGTCAGCGCTGATGTCACGGATGAGGCCATTGACCGTGCCACAAAGACAGGGATGGAAGGTTTCATGACGAAGCCGTACAAACTGGCAGACTTACAGAAATTGATCGTTGAATTCTGCGTCCGAAGCGAAGGCGTTGTTTCTGTCCCGGATTGATACAGAAGGAGTTCAATAAGGAGAAAGCCAGATCTCTCATGGGTAGAGGTTCATGTGTTCCTTCCATGGTCTTGTATATATTCAAATATGCTCTATATTTCACGATACACATGACGAGATGGCTAGAAACAATGTGATACCCATTAATGACACATGTGGAACTTGGTCTACTACTTGATGCATCATTCTCATGACGGGAGCGCGCCTTACAACCAGCTGATGTGTTGCTAAGACGAGACTGTCACAAGTTGGCCCGAAGCTGGGCTGGAAATGTACCTACCTAGGTACCTAGGTAGGCATTCCTGCACCTGGGAGTTGGGAATTGGTGTTCCTTTGTTGTGTGTGGCCAATCATAAGGCTTCCACTCCAATCCCTGATCGCCATTTCAAGGCAACATCCATATTGACATTTAGTAGTTTCTCCCGCGTGCTATTCATTACTGCCGCCTACACTTCTCTGGATTCAGTATCCTTTCTTCCTAGAAGAAGACGTGAGGACACTGTCCCGTCTGTCAACACTTGAAGCCTGTGTTCATCAATACCTCCGCACTTGACGAACTATCAACTACATAGTAATTTTGATACCCTGAGAAAGTGGGTTAACATGCCTACACCGTTGGATAAGGCAATGCAATCTCGTGTACGTGGCATCTCCTGATCCTAAATATACGCATGGCACGACGTCTCGACACTTTTATTTCGTCACTATCGCAAAGTCACACTTGCACCCCAGTGATATTACACTGCTCGAACTGATGTGGTCACTAGAATTTATTCTTCGGTTTGTCCACCTTGCATCTAAATCCGAGAGTTCGACCTAGGGGGATATCCTGGTATTCCTTGTATCCTTGGATGAGCTGTATCGTCAACGGCAGCACCAGGAACTTTTCTGACCTCTCGGAATTTCCTTCATGAACACGACAGCTTTTCCAGTCCAAGACTAGGAATGGCCCCTGACTTATTCTATCTCTTCTTAGGTTTTGCGGGGATAGTGACCCTTGCATCACTATGGAGTATGTGGGGAGGAGATATGTTCCCTGCTGAGGGTGATCCCACCGGCGGTATGAACTTGTCCCTGATGCCCAAGGACGTTCTCACAACACTAAGCCAATGTGCTGATTGGTACAGATCCGGAATATTGGACTGAAACCGAGTTGAGGCGGTGGCTGAAGCTGGTAAGTCTGCGGTTGTGTTGAAAATGTTCTACCGTCGGTCAGCCGCAATAATCAAATGATGCAAAGCTGATGACGCGGTCAAAGAGGAAGTTGATGCCCGACACCAAGATGACCAGGGCTGAGCTTTTGGAACGAGTCAAGGCGAACATGAGACCCCAGACGACTTCTTGAATCCCACACGATGGGCTCGACTGGCAACATGAGCAACGCTGCCGAGGTTAGCCATACCTTGTTGACGATTGGAACGTATTGCATGAATTATGGTTTGAGAGCTGGTGCGGTGGCGATTGAGAGTATTTTCCGGTAATGCGCAATTGCTGCAACTATATGAGCATACTTAGCTTTTCCTGTTAACGTGCATGAATTCATTCTCCCGAGCAAGGTGTCGACATATACTTCTACGTGATCGCTACTGTGCCCCGGCTTCTGTCATGTAATAGAGGCCGTCTGGCCACCCTCGCCACCTCGCACTCAGCCTTGTAGCCTTGTAGCCTTGTAGCCTCGCCGACAAATGGGGGAGGCCAGAATGCGATGCGGAGAAAATTGGCTCGTAGCTTCGAAAAATAATTGGAGCAAGTTGACTTCTGCCCTCGTGGGCACATGTCCAGCTCTTGAAGCTCTTTCTTTCAGCATGCTGGCTCTCGAGCGCAATGCTCGTAGTTTCTTCCTCCAGTGTCGAGCTTCTGCGCGATGTCGACCATCGCTACCCATCCTGTTTTGCGGAAAGCCCCAGCGACGCGGTCTAGCAGCGGCGATCGAACCAGAAAGACCTGCAAATGCCGCTGCAGGGAAACCTTACTACGTGACAAGTCCCATCTTCTATGTCAACTCAGGTATGTGTGCTCATTCCCCATCCTGATAGCAACTGGCTGACCATGGATGCTGCAGCACCCCATGTCGGCCACCTCTACACGTTAGTCCTCGCAGACGTCCTCAAACGGTGGGCAAAGCTTCGCGGCGACGAGAAGGCGACCCTGCTGACCGGAACCGATGAACATGGCATGAAGGTGCAAAAGGCTGCTCAAAAGGCGAATGCCGATATTAAGTTGTTCTGCGACCACCACGCTGAGCAGTTCAAGACGCTGTGTCACGCAGCCAATATCGACTATGATCGCTTCATCCGGACCACTGACGAGGACCATAAGGATGTTGTCCGATATGTCTGGGAAGAGCTGAATCGCAGTGGGTATATCTATGAAGCCAAGCATGAGGGATGGTACTCTGTCAGCGACGAAACATTCTACCCCTCAACCCAAGTCCACAAAGTCCTCGACCCCTCAACGGGTCTAACGAAGATCGTCTCCATCGAGACTGGGAAAGATGTGGAATGGACTTCGGAGCTGAATTATCATTTCAGGTTGTCCGCTTTCCAGGCCCCCCTGCTAAAGTACTACGAGGAACACGCAGGCGCCATTGTCCCGAAGCAACGCATGGCCTTCGTTATGGACGAGATTCGAAGTGGACTTAAAGACCTCTCTATTTCCAGACCCTCGTCACGGTTGACATGGGGAATTCAGGTTCCAGGTGATGAGAGTCAGACCATCTACGTCTGGCTCGATGCCTTATTCAATTACTTGACGATGACAGGATATCCATTTGTCAACAGAAATGACCCGAATATGGTTTGGCCACCCAATTGTCAAGTCATCGGCAAAGATATCATTCGTTTTCACACCATATATTGGCCTGCTTTTCTAATGGCGTTGGGGCTTCCTGTGACTGAAAAGTTCCTGACCCACGCTCACTGGACGATGAACAATGAGAAAATGTCCAAGTCAGCCGGCAACGGAGTCAATCCGTTCTACGCCATGGATCGATTCGGAGTGGATTGTATTCGGTTCTTCATGGCACACAATGGGGGTATTGTCGACGATGCTACGTACGACAACTCTTTCATCGAAGAAACATACAATCATTTGCTGAGGGGTGGTTTCGGAAATCTGATCCATCGCGTCTTTAAGAGCAAGCACTTCGATGTCCGCGAAGCGGTCAGGCTGGTCAAGGAAGACGAAGATTTCTCGAAATTCATCGCTCAAGACCAACAGGCCGCCAGTAACCCGGAAAAACAGACCATTCGTGCCAGTCTTAGAAGTCATCATGCCAAGTTATGCTCTGTGAGAGAGATTGCAGACAACCACATGAAAGAGCCAGATCCCCGCAAGGCTGTCCAGTCAATTTGTGAACTGATCGGAGAGGTATGGAGTGTTGCGCATTTCTGTTGAAGCTGCAGACCTGACTAAATTGCAGACAAACAAGTTCTTCCACAACACTGAAGTCTGGAAGATTATCAAAAGTGCCGACCCCGAAACAAGACGTATCGCGAATTATGTCCTTTTCACGAGTGCGGAATCTGTCCGAATCATGGCCATTCTGCTTCAGCCGTTTATGCCCGAGAGGATGAAAGCCGCCCTTGACTTGATGGAAGTCGACGAATCAAAGAGGTCACTGGATGACGCTCTTTTTGGTGCAGATTTCACATATGGTCCTCCAGCGCTGAAGGCTGATTCAAGGTCGGCCGGTGGCGTCATTTTCCCTATGCTATTGTCAGCCCATTGAAGACAACATGGGAAGCCATAGAATCTGGCACTGGCCCAGGCACAGGTACAGATCTGGTTTATCCTCCGACTGGAGCATGGAAGCTCGACTCAACTTCCCCATTATCTCTCGCAATCTGACTTCCCCTCGCTTCATCCATTTGGAGCCTCATATCAGAGAGGCATCCTGACAACGAGCCCTACCACGAGCAGATATACTCAACAGTTCCTCTTAGTCAGGCAGAAAACTTCACGGAGTTCCAACCAAATGGGATATTCCGTGGTCAAATCACTCCTTTGTCCTGAAGTTCGATCGGACAAGGATGGGTTCCCCAACCACTTTTTTCATTGTGGTACCCGCAACAACCCCACGAAAAGGGTTTGACATGAGTTGCACCACTGTTGTATTTATACCTCCAGGATACCCATGTATTTTGAAACTTTTCTCAGCAATACCACTTATGATGTGCTTCTGGAATACCTAGTCACATCAGTTGACCCTTCAACCGAAACGACAAAGTTCCAAGGTGGATCGAGACTCCACTCGTCGAATCCCTAACTCTCTCACGTGCAGCTGGGTGGTACAAGATGCGTTGCCTCTTATGCTGATGATCTTGTGTCCGTGAAGTTTTGGAAAATGAATGGCAATGAAGATGTATGTAAGGGGCATGTGCCATTTGGGTCCAAGACATGCATTCCAGTGACTGGCCCATCTAATTGTTGTAACAACTATATACAGAGGCGAACCAGGATGTTAACAGATTCCAGCCTCAATTGGTGGAGCGCAAGCATTTTTGCTGATTTGGTTCTAACCATCCTGCCGGTGAGAGATCGAAGACGGAACTCTCGCGGTCGTTGAGACATGAGCCTGCATAAGTGTAAATGGAGACACAAGCAAAACTTGCGTCCCCATATGAGCAAGGCGGACGTGCAGTCTCGTGTTGAAAGCCAAAAAGTGGTCGACTCAGGATTTCACACGTGATTTCCCCGTCATTGACAGCTGTCTGGTCAATTTGTAGTCTCGTCCTCTTCATCCGCAGCCTTTGTGTATGGCGGCTTCCATTCAAATCAGTCCTTCAGGAATCGCAATACCCAGGAGATTTGCCTCCACTGCTCCCCGCCCACTGCTGGATCGTCAAGACAGTCGTATACACACAACTCGCCAGTCCAAAAGCAAACATCAGATAATCCAACCATCTCTGCAAGTTGGTCTTTGCCACGGCCTTGAGATGCAACAAAGGAGGATAGCAATATACCAGCGGAATGCACGCGAAGCTGCCGACCAGAGCGACAAACTTGTCCAAATCGCCGGCCCCACCCCATGCAATGAGCGCACATACACAAACGAGGAAGAAGCGGAAGATGTTCTTCTGCCACTTGATGTAAGGGTTGTATTTGCCCGAACGACTGAATAGCTCATTTTCCATAATACGGATGGCGGGAAACAGTTGGAGTGGTGTGCTCAGGAGAATAGCCAGGGAGTAGAGAAATTGAACAGCGTTGACCATCTTACTATCTTGAGGCAGATTGAGTATGACGACTGTCTTTGTTTTCGATCCATACGCAGCGTACGAGAGCGCGCCGATGGAGGTGAAGAGAATGGTGATGATGACCATGACCGTGGCCAAGACGCCGGGGAAATCTCGAGGTCTTTTCATTGATTCTTGAATCGGGATGATCAGTCCCACACCCTCAAAAGTGAAGATAGCCGTGCCGATGAAAAGTGTCCAGGTTGAAGGGTTAAACATGGTGATATCTGAAGGTCCTTTGTTGTCAACGATGGTGGCAATATCGTAGTAGTACAGGTAGATGAGTCCCACGAGAATGAAGGCGTCAGCAATGAGAGCCGTGAAGCCGAGTTTTCCAATATCCCTGATCAAGCTCAGTGGCAGGAATATGACAAGTTGCATCAAGATCATGAACTTAATGTCGATAAAAGTTCTGCACTTGGATACTGCAAGGACAAATGCCTGCAGATTCTCCGAGGTGAAGACAGTGTATGCCGATACAAAACCAACCTGGCTAAGGACGATGGAGAATAGAATCATCGCTCTCATCCACTTCCCGTAGAGAATGCCGCCGATGTCGCCAAATGAAGCCTCGACCTTGTTCCGTGTGCTGATGAGCAAGACAAAGCAGTGATAGCTGAGGACAGCTACAGCAAGAAGGACAAGGGAAGAGAAGAGCATTCCGCCGTTCAGAAAAGCCCGAGGCAGGAAAAGGACTCCTGTGCCAACAAAAGATTTCAGGAGCAATAGGGCTGCATTAAAACTGCTACCCGTTCCAGTCGGCGGGCGCTCCCTATGTCGTCTCCGTCGGAGTCCACCTGGCGTGAGTAGAGCACTATCCTCCAAAGGCTCTCGATCGCTGCCCTCATCATAGGCATCCGACGAGAAATATTCGTCTGGTTCAAGAACCTCGTCGTCTTCCTCTAGGTCTTCACCTGCGAAGTGTCCATAAAGCGTGAGAAACTCCAGAAAATTATTAGTAAAAAGCCTTGGTCGAGTATCGCTCGCAGAAGCGTCTTGACCGTCTGCTGCAGGAGAGCTCTTCCAGGCTCGACCAGAGGGGGTAGGACTCTCAGCAGCTCGACGCAAAAAGTTTCTGCGGAATCCGCCAGGCACTCGGATGTTTTGTATGTCCAGAGTGTCACTTTCAGGCTCCGGTCTCGGCATAGTGAAACTCTTGCTCCTCTGAGCCTTTCCAGGTTGGTTTCCTTCCTGCTCTTCTGCCCAACGATAGACGGCGCGCGTCATGTCCCCGCCTTGTAACCGGAGGCTGGAAAACTCGGCTGAATCCAAACCAGTGCCTGGCTCATTTAGATCTATTCGGAGTGGTCTCCCCCTTGACGAGCCTTGGTCTGGTTGCACCAAGTGTCTTTTTACCACCTCAGGATCCTCTGTTGGACCTGGGCTCCCTTCCATGTCGCGAGGATTGAAAGAGCCATAATTGCTCCTGGGTAATCTGTCGTGACTCCCCAACCCGCCTGCGGTGCTCAAGAGCGGCTGTCTCGGGGAAGGGTCGTGTGCAGGAACAGGTGGTGTATGACTCCTAGGAGGAGTTTGGTTCCCTGTATCGGCTAGAGCCGTGGAAAGGGCAGATCGACCTGGGCCTGGTAATGACCCGGATTGATCAAGCTTGGGCAGGGCCGAATCATTGTTATCGGCTGCGATCTGCTGAGGCGTCGGGACCTGCTGGACAGGAGGCGTATTAAGCCGCTGGGAGGGCACAGGGGAGGCTAATCGTGCTATTGACGCATTGCGCGAATGCGGACTGCCTCTTGCGGGACTACTTGAGCGTATGTCCACAGGACTGGTTCGAGATGTTGTTGACGACATTGAGAGATCGCTGAGGTCAAGACAGAGTGAGGGGCGGCAGATACGACGACATATGCAGAGTGAGACGGCTTGCCCAAAATCCAAGATCCCCAGGATATAGCATGTGACAGGTACGAATGATCAATAAGTGCTTGTGTGGTGCGCTTGTGGCAGAAAGAAATAATGGGCAGTGCTTTTTTACCTGCGACGTAACTGGCCAGCATGATGCAAGCGGCGAAATTCCCTGTGGCGCCTGCGCCTGTACGAGGTACTGTAGGTACTCGGTGCAGTGGAAGCCTCGGGGCGGTCTGCTTCTGCGGCCAAGGCCGAGAATAGGCGCTGCACCAATAAGTGCCTTAAGCCATGCCGCCCAAGACCCCCAGCACCGGTCGCTTCTCGTGGCCCGTGGGTAAGGCGGTCCCCCCACGCTGCCTGCACTAGCAAAGCTTAGGAGCAAAAATTCCCCTTTCGACATCCCTTCAACATCCGTCCATAGAAACAAACATCCAGCTTCATCGCCTGTGCTTTGGCGTAATATTTGTACCACACTCTCCCCTTCTGTTTCATATTGGCCCCGCATTCATTCTTTTTCTTTTCTCTGGTCAACCCTGGTTGATTTGGCAAGCCAGCTACATCCTAAGTGGGAACAAGTTCAACAGCTACTAGGTAATTACCTGGTATCATTCGGACAGGCTCCTCACCCTGTGGTTGACAGCGGTTGACAACTTCCACTCGAGTCCCTTTCAAGGTTATTGCAGGGGTTGCCTGTCTTCACTCGTCCGAACGGAAGGATGCATTGATTATGGATCGAAATCGAAAGGCGATCCTAAATAATCATGGCCAGCACAGGAGGAAAAAAGGGCTGGCCGGACTTTGGAACGGGACGAGGCTCTGTAACTCGACGCGGTCCCGCCTTTTTGACGCGCACAGCTACTGATGAGGCTGCTCAATTACTACGAAGGTCATCTTTCCCAGGCACTCCAGAAGAGCATCGTCCTGCATCAGCCCACGATGGCTCAGCATATACTCTGTCAAGACCTGCGACCGCCCAGTCTTCTGTGTCTGTTCCGCCGCTTGCGCCGGTTGACATATCGACTTCTTCAAAAGCTTATGGGACTTTCGATGGCCCTCAAGACTCACGAGGCGACGCTCAGCCGCCAACGTCAACAGCTGCGGATCAAGGTTTGCCAGGACATTCACTTATAACCTATAGCCGTGGTACAGCTGGCAAGGTTGAGAAATCGGGTCTGCACAATGATGGCACGGCTCCGCGCCCAGCTGGAGGCTCGGAAAAGTTGGGAACGTTCTCAGGAGTCTTTGTTCCTACAAGTCTGAACGTCCTAAGCATCCTCATGTTCATCCGCTTCGGTTTCATACTTGGGCAGAGCGGTGTGATAGGCATGCTGGCCATGCTGGTCGCAGCTTATGTCATCAATTTGATCACGACCATGTCCCTTTCGGCGGTAGCTTCCAACGGCACGGTCAGAGGAGGAGGGGCCTATTATCTGATCTCCAGATCCCTTGGTCCTGAATTTGGTGGAGCCATCGGGTTGGTGTCGTATCTCGGCTTCGTCTTCAACACGGGAATGAATGCAGTCGCTCTAGTCGACTGTCTCTCCTACAACTTTGGTGCCAAGTCTGGGAACTGGGCCAACACTCTTCCTGAAGGTCAGTGGTGGGAGTATCTCTGGAGTACTTTGGTTGTGGTACTATGTGTCACTATCTGTATGGCCGGAAGTGCGATTTTCGCGCGTGCGAGCAATGGCCTGCTTTTCATTCTGCTTCTGGCAACGTTTAGCGTTCCCTTTTCAGCCATTATTCGAACACCATTCGAGACCCAAAAACAATTTCTGCAGTTTACTGGCCTTCGCCTTGACACTCTCAAAGAGAACCTGCTACCTCATTTCACCAAGGGAGCTGCTGGTAGCGAGCTCAAAGGCAAAGAGAACTATCAAGATCTGTTTGGCATTTTGTTCCCCGCAACTGGAGGTATTCTCGCCGGAGCGAGCATGTCAGGCGATCTGAAGAATCCTAGTGCATCCATTCCCAGGGGCACACTCGGTGGATTGGCCTTGACCTTCGTTGCATACGCTTTGGTGGTCTTAGCCATGGCTGCAAGCATAACCAGGGAATCCTTCTACCGGAACGTCAACGTTGTGCAAGACGCCAGCGTGTCGGGGATGCTAATCCTGGCCGGAGAGTTGGCATCGACATTCTTCTCTGTGTTGATGGGTATTATTGGGCCAGCGAAGCAACTGCAAGCCATCGCCAGAGACAAGGTTGTTCCAGGTCTCTCTATATTCGGGCAGGGGACGAAGAAGAAGGATGAGCCAATTTACGCGATCCTTTGCACTTTCGCTGTCACTCAGCTGGTGCTTCTTCTCGACATTAATCAAATTGCGTCGCTGATTACCATGACTTACCTCATGTGAGTGTCGTTTCAGACTGTTTCGAGAGTGGTACTGATCGCGTTTGCAGGACCTTTTTTGCTTTGAATGTGGCCACGTTTCTTTTGAAGATTGGCTCTGCCCCGAATTTTCGGCCGTCGTTCTCGTACTTCAACTGGTGGACGGCGGCCTCTGGTGCGCTTCTCAGCGCGGGCAGCATGTTCTTTGTTGATGGACTTTCGGCATCTGGGTCGGTTTGCATTCTACTCATCCTCATCATAATGATCCACTACACGACTCCGCCAAAACCCTGGGGCTCGATTTCGGAAGTCCTCATCTATCACCAAGTCCGAAAATATCTCCTGAGACTCAAGACTGAGCACGTCAAATTCTGGCGCCCGCAAATCCTTCTGCTCGTGAATGACCCTAGAAGGAGCTACAAACTCATTCACTTCTGTAATTCGCTCAAGAAAGGTGCCTTATTCATCATTGGCCATGTCATTGTTACGCAAAACTTCGGCGCCTCTGTGCCCGAAGCACGTCGTCAGCAAGCAGCTTGGAACAAATTTATCGATATTTCCAAAATCAAAGCTTTTGTGAACGTGGCAATTTCACCTTCTATTGAATGGGGGGCTAGAAATGTCTTTCTCTCCGCCGGCTTGGGGGGCATGCGCCCGAACATTGTTGTCCTCGGTTTCTACAATTTGCAACAGTTCAGATCAGAGCAACCTCTGGTCGACGTGCCGAGCCCGCCCCCAGAAAGAAAAGCTAGTTCGCTTAGACGCCGTCGTACCAGCAGGAGCCAGGTCAGAGGCGAACTGCCTACAGACGTCTGCTATGTGGAGAAAAGAACAGATATCCAGAGTTATGTTATGGTTTTGGAAGATATGATCCTCAAGCTGCGGACTAACGTTGCGGTGGCAATAGGGTTTGCCGACCTGGAACTTCCTAAAGCAAAAGCCGCTGTCACAAAGAAGTACATAGATCTGTGGCCCATCCAGATGTCCGCGGAACTCACATCTGAAACGGATGGTCAACCGCAGAATGTCACAACCACCAACTTCGACACGTATACCCTCATCCTGCAGCTTGGGTGCATTCTCAACACAGTGACATCGTGGAAGCGATCCTACGACCTTCGAGTCGCAGTCTTTGTTGAGTACGAGGCTGATGTGGAAGAGGAAAGAGCTCGGGTTACGTCCCTCTTAGAAAATCTACGGATTAGGGCTCAGGTTCTGGTGTTCTGGCTGGCTTGTGGCACCATCAAAAGTTACAACTATGTCGTCAACGGGCAAGATGTCGACGAAGAGACGCAAGACCAAGTCAACAAAGTTCTGGAAGATGAAACATGGTGGCAAGAACTTCTCAGACTCCGAGGCAAGTCCAGATCTGGCGATGTTACAGCTGGGGATGCCTCTTCGATGGCCGATGATTTTATATGGCCAAGCTCGTCTCTACCAAGCAGAAGAGATAGTGCTTTCGTTCGTATGGACGGTCTTCGCAGGATATTGACGCATCCGAGAAAGAGGTCATCATTTGGCAACTTGTCCAGTCTTGGGGTGAGCCTTTCTATGAGAACCTCACGGATAGACGACGACATGCTTAGCCGACATGCATCCCATCCAAGTGACTCTGAACGCTCTGAATCCGAGGATGAGGACGAAGACGAAGAAGATGGTGAGGAAGAGGAGACGTCCGATGATCAAGACTCGGGCGCGAGTCTATCAGAACGCGACAGAGAGCAGATGCACGAATCGTCTGGCAGCCTTAGGTCCGCTCTCAAAACTAAATCCTCATCGTCCAGGAAGAGTAGCCGGGCAAGCTCGAAAAAGTCGAGCCGCAAAAGGCAAAGGGAGGAAGCTTCGAGGATGGAACGCTCTACCTCGGCTGAGCCAGAATTGCAATTTGATGAAGAGATTCTCCCTTCAGGGAACGAGGAAGTCCTTCGAGGCCGTAGTCCGGCCGCGTCGGATTCCGGCGCACCATCGCTCAAACAAAACCTTGAGACTGTGGCCTCATCGCTAAGATCTCGAGCAGCTTCACCAAATTTCACATCTGAGCCTGTCCCTCTCACCAAAGTGCCTAGTGACGAAGGGGCCGGTCCCTCAATCATGTTCGCCGAAAGTCCACACCCGCGGCGACAAATGCCTGAAGATACCATCCCAGCTGCAGGACGATCAATTTACCAACGGACAAGAGAGGACAGCACTGCTCCCCAACCGTCCGCTTCTGGCTTTCCAACAGCGGCCTCGATTCCATTGTCCTTCAACGACTTACCGAGCCGTGCACAACATCTGATCTTGAATGAACTGATATCGCAGAACAGCGATGACACTGCCGTCATCTTCACAACATTGCCGGCACCGGTGGAAGGAACATACCGCAGCGAGACGGACAGCCTTGGGTATATCAGTGACTTGGAAGTGCTGGCTGGTGGACTCCCGCCGACATTGCTGGTGCACAGTAACAGCATGACTGTTACTACGAATTTATGAGAGGCCCAGCGATCCATTCGCGGGGCCAAAGAAGACCTTTAGACACCCCAGCTTTCTCTGAAGCCTAGAATAGATAGTACATATTTGAATTTTCAGGTCTTCCCTGAGAAGCTTTCCTTGCTCTGCTCCTTCGTTGCCTCTGCGAGACTGAACATTTCACACAATATGATTCTCTCTATATTTACATTGGCCTCTGGATTCGCTCATCTGGTGTGATGGCCAGGTCAATTCAACCAGGTCTCGATTCTCCCGTGGGGATTATGTGCAAGCCTCAAAACTAGCAATACTCGAGGCCATCGGATCCATTGTTTTCAAGCTGTCTTCCTGGGTGTTTCGGATGCGAAGGCTGCAGGGTGATTTGAAATGCAAGCACTTTCTCCCATGCATATATTCTTGCACATGGATAGCCTCGTACAAGACAAGAAAAGCCAGTCTAATAGCGCTCCGCCCTGTTGAGTTTTCTCGCCGTTTTGATCTGGCTCCTGGTATTCTGTCCTCTTACTGGCAGATTCATCGCGTGTCTGCGGCCCCTGTATGTCCCGGTATCTCTCAGTCTTGTTATGTCCTGCTGCACTTGCCGCCTCAAGTGGTTCTCAATCTTCATAGAATCCAAGTGGGCAGTCAGGTCCAGAACTTGGTTCTGCGAGAGCTCGCCGACTTTGATGGTGTTGTGTAGGTGGAAACGCGACATGATGCGGGCGCGGGTGGCAGGGCCGATGCCGAAAAATGTTTCGAGCGACCTCTGAGAGAAAGTCAGGCGGACTGAATAGAGGACGTAAAGCTTTCGACAGTGAGATCTGGTTACATACCCATACAAAACGGTGTTCGGGGAAATTGACCCCCAGAATAAAGACCTGATAGACCTCTCGTCAGTACTGTCGGCTGGCAAAGCAGTGTTCAGAGAGATATACCATCTCTGCTCCTCCGCTCCCGCCGTCTGCTTCTGTCTTTCTCGTTGATGGTGGCTTGACCTTAGAGTCTCTCGATGAAACGAGGTTTTGTCTTCAAAAGTTGCGATGGTTTCAGCCTTGCCGCCGCTTTTAAGTGGGTATATTCTGGGTGCCGCAGCTCGACCCTTCGAACCCCCCAATTGAGAGGCTGGCTGAAACGTCCACCTTGTCATCAGCCAGCTACCACCGCCCAATCCGTTGCTTCTTCTACCTCCTCAGTCCATCTCTCCATTACTTGACCCTCATAGTTCAATGTGGCTCGAGATGGCTAATATCCAGCGGATCGTCATTTCGCTGATGGTCATTTTGACCGCTACCTTCCTTTTCATGGGACAGACAGCACAGGCGGCCAAGGGTCCCAAGATCACCCACAAGGTCTACTTCGACATTGAGCATGATGGCCAACCGCTAGGTCGCATTGTTATGGGTCTCTACGGCAAGACTGTTCCCAAGGTAACGCTACCTTTGAACCACCTAATTGTTTCGCGTGCTGCTGGCTAACAGTTTACTGGCTATGTGCAGACCGCAGAGAACTTCCGAGCATTGGCCACTGGCGAAAAGGGTTTCGGCTATGAAGGATCATCCTTCCACCGCGTTATCAAACAGTTCATGATTCAGGGTGGTGACTTTACAAAAGGAGATGGTACTGGGGGCAAGTCAATCTACGGTGACAGGTTTGAAGATGAGAACTTCAAGTTGAAGCACACGAAGAAGGGCCTGCTAAGCATGGCCAATGCGGGCAAGGACACAAACGGGTCACAATTCTTCATCACCACCGTTGTTACAAGGTAAATTCGCCCCTAGGCTACGTGCCCTGCGTCGGGCATCCTTGGTTAACAGTGTATAGCTGGCTCGATGGCCGTCATGTCGTTTTTGGGGAAGTGCTCGAGGGCTACGATGTGGTCGAGCAGATTGAAAATGTACCCAAGGGGTCGGGTGACCGTCCAGCCAAGCCGGTCAAGATCGTCAAGAGCGGAGAGCTGCCTGTGCCGCCCGAAGGTATTCACAACGAACTTTAGGATTTGAGGGCAGGTACTGCTCTCGGATTGCTATCAAAGTCTGAAGAAGGGCTAAGACACATTTTGACAGAACAACCCATCTATTCGAACGTGCATCCCGAGTACATGGATGACGACGATGTGGAAGATGAACCTGGGACGAAATTGCCAGCAGCGGAGGATCAGATTGAAGCACCGTCCAAGGATATCTCTGCAATTGAGGAATCGTCTAGTCCTGTCGAAGGTCTAGTTACTCAAGCTTATATGCAGAAAGGAGTGTTTTTTCTCCTGATCATGCTGGTTGTTGTGGTCATAGTTAAGAGACGCAGAACCCCATCCCAGAAGTTGGACGATAAAAGCATGGCGTAAGTAGAGGCTGTAGAGAATATGACATGGAGTTTGGTTCCATTGTGAGTTTGCCTACGGGGAGGCGTCGTTGCGCATCCTACGTGCGTAGACAATTGGTGGGTATACGAACCGGGTACTTGTACTCTGTGCCAGCAATCCACGAGCACGGAGTATATGATGGTCTCTCCGCTGGTGAGTCAATGGTGACACAAATCTCTCGCCCCTTGGTGGCAATCGCCTGGAGGCAAATACGGCATAGGCTGGCTCTTGGCGAACTGCCTTTTCATTTCATTGTCCAGTAGCTTCTAGCCTGGCCGATCGGGCCCATGTCATGATCACCTGCTCGCCGCTCCCTAAAAATTTTAGGCTGCGCTTTCAAGACTTTTTCATCCTTCAAACTCAACTTCCATCAACCTCTTCTCATCCACACAATAACTACAACCGCCAATTCTACGGTCCTTCTTGTTTCTGTCTTTCGTTTTCACTTTCGGATAGACTTGGAGAGGCGTTCTGTGTCTCTCATTCTATCTGCCGGACACGAAAGACCAAGCAATCATCAGCGATTGAAACATTAGACGCCTCAACCGTCTCACTTCACCTTTCGAGCAGCGACTATCACAACTGCCTCTTTTCTTCACTCAAGCAAACCATTTCAGATATCGACTACCTATTCGATCCCGTTCAATCCGTGAGTGCCACCGTTGCCCGCTGACCGACCTCAACGTCTGAAGCTTTTCTACACTCTCTGCAACCCTTCTGCGGATGGGAACTTCAGGAATTTTCTAAGATCCCATCTGAACTTCTATAACTCAAAGTCAATTGAATCTCAACTGACGCGTCCATTTGCAGCAAAAAACAGATCTCACTCAACCAAAATGGCTGATTCCTTGAACATGAACGGACTCTCTCTAAACGAATCCAAGCACGCTCCTGGCGGTCAGATGCCGGCTCGTGCGTACATCCCACCTCACCTCCGTGGCCAGAGTGCTCGTGGACCTCCAGTGATGGGTATGGACGGAGCAGGTGCTGCGCCTGCGCCTGCGCCTGCACCTGCACCTAACGCTGGGAACCAAGGTTTGAATGGAAGTGCCTGGGCTACCAACACGTATGTGAAAGAAAATCCTGAAGATAGCCAAGTTATACTTACAAAACTCAGTCAAAACAATGGCAGCTGGGCAGCGGCTCCTGATTTCAAGCCTGGTCCTGGCGCCCCCGCTCCTGCGTCTGCCCCTGGTCCTGCTCCTCAAGCAAATGGCTGGGGTGCGGGTCACAATCCTCGTCCCTTCAACCCGAACGCCTATGGTGCTCCCGGTGGTGGCCATGGTGGTGGTCACGGCGGCGGCTACGCTGGAAACTACGGTGGCAACTCTGCCCGTGGTTCAGGAGACGGACAATGGCGAGATGGTCAACACATTGCAGGCCCTCCAAACCCCAAAATCGAACGTGAACTGTTTGGCACTCCAAACGACCCGACCAAGGCTCAAACTGGAATCAACTTTGCCAACTACGACGACATCCCTGTAGAGGCTAGTGGTCACGATGTCCCGGAACCGGTCAATGCGTTCACCAATCCTCCTCTCGATGATCATCTCCTGGGCAATATCAAGCTCGCACGATACACCACACCGACACCTGTGCAGAAGTACTCTATTCCCATCGTCATGGGTGGCCGAGACCTCATGGCTTGTGCCCAGACTGGTTCTGGCAAAACTGGTGGTTTCTTGTTCCCCATCCTCTCCCAGGCTTTTCAGAATGGCCCATCTGTCACACCCGCAAGTGGAGGTGGCTTCCGCCAACGCAAGGCTTTCCCGACGTCTTTGATCTTGGCCCCCACTCGTGAATTGGTCTCCCAGATCTACGACGAGGCGCGAAAATTCGCTTATCGTTCCTGGGTCAGACCCTGCGTGGTTTACGGTGGTGCCGACATCGGTACTCAACTTCGCTCTATTGAACGAGGTTGTGACTTGCTTGTTGCTACTCCAGGCCGTCTTGTCGACCTCATAGAGCGAGGCCGCATCTCCCTGGCAAACATCAAGTACTTGGTTCTCGACGAGGCCGATCGTATGCTTGACATGGGTTTCGAACCCCAGATTCGTCGCATTGTGGAGGGCGAGGATATGCCTTCAGTCCAGAACCGCCAAACTCTCATGTTTTCGGCCACTTTCCCGCGCGATATTCAGATGTTGGCGAGAGATTTCCTCAAGGACTACGTCTTCTTGTCAGTCGGCCGAGTGGGTTCTACGTCGGAGAACATCACCCAGAAAGTTGAATATGTCGAAGACAACGACAAGCGCTCCGTCTTACTCGACATCCTTCACACTCACCGTAACGGTCTCACCCTGATCTTCGTGGAGACTAAACGCATGGCTGATACCTTGTCCGACTTCTTGATCAACCAAGGCTTCCCAGCTACTGCAATCCACGGTGATCGCACTCAACGTGAGCGTGAGAGAGCATTGGAATTCTTCCGAAATGGCAGATGCCCAATCATGGTTGCTACAGCTGTTGCCGCTAGAGGATTGGACATCCCGCACGTGACTCATGTCATCAACTACGACCTTCCGACTGACATTGACGACTATGTGCACCGAATTGGTCGTACCGGTCGTGCTGGAAATACCGGTCTGTCGACTGCCTTCTTCAACCGCGGCAACCGTGGCATTGTTCGTGATCTCATTGAGCTTCTCAAAGAGGCAAACCAAGAGGTTCCTGGCTTCTTGGAAAACATTGCTCGTGAAAGTTCTGGTTTCGGCGGTGGCCGTGGCGGGCGTGGTCGTGGGGGTGCTGGCCGTGGTGCTTCTTCTACTCGTGACATGCGTCGCGTTGGCGGTGGGATGGGCGGCGGTCCTCCTTCCTACAGCGGCGGCTATGGCGGCAGCAACTACGGCGGCGGTAGTAGTGGTGGTAAGTCCCGGCAAGATTCCATTTCCCCAAATCATCCACTGACACGATCAGGCTATTCTGGTGGGGCACCATATGGTGGTGGGGCCTATGGCGGCGGATACAGCAGTGGCGGTGGAGGCAGCTATGGCAACCCAGGAGGTGCCACAGGCCCTTCTTCGTGGTGGTAAACGGCTACCGGCGTTTTCTGGTAGAGCGACCTTTCCATCTCTTCTCGGCAGGGGGATTTTCCTTTTTACTTCGACATTTGCACTCTCGAACAGTGACCTGGCGTTGCCCTCCAAGCGAATGGGCGGGCTCCTTAAGCATAGGCTTGCTTCTTCCGTGACGACGACGACGGCCACGGCTTTTTTCTTCCGAGACGAACTGTTTATTATCGGGCACAGCATGATACACTGATAGATAGCGTTGGCTTTTTTCCGGATCGATTTCCAGATACCCCTCAGCATGTCGAATTGCCTCATGTGAACAGAGGGAACGGACGATACGTGCAGACGAACACCAGACTCACACCACGGCGTCGGTTTGAGACGAAAGAGAGTGTGACGGCGCAAACTCGAAGCTTGAAACAATGGGATGATGAGACTCATCAGAAGGCTCCGACATGAATGGGGGCCACGGGGTCGGAAGGACAGACCTTTCCGGCCTTTGACGAGATTCGTTTTTCACCAAAAGAACCAAAAGTTATTTGCGGGTTTCTCTCTCTTTCGACATCCTGTGGGACATGATGAAATCAATAGACTTTTTCGACATGGACATGACACCAAAATCAAATCACGAGCTTTTATGGGAGGCCGACAGGAAAGCCTGGGAATCAACGGGAAATAAATGGATGGGGATATTCTGCCACGGCAAATGGGGGAGAAGAATAATACTGCGAAAGACCATCTGTGCATCTTCCCGGAGTTTTTTCTGCCCAGGACTTGATCCACACTCGAGAGCTTGTGCTTTGATGATGACGGAGCTTTTCATACGAGACCCAGAGGGAAAAGGTCTTTGCTGGCCGTTGTTAGATCAGGCTCGCCAGGCCACCATTGCACTTTTGTTAGCCAAAATCAAATCAAGCATTCCATGCAACTATGGTCCATTGATGTCTTTTGTTCCCTCGAGATGAGACATACTTGTCACATCCATCCACAGACGTGCGGGAGTTGGGCCTATACAAGGTCATAGTCCACGTCTGAGTGCTTGTGCCAGCAGTTTGATGGCGCAATCATGTATGCGCCGCCTTTCTTATCTCCATGTACCTAGATATTAATTCCACCGTGTCCTGTCCATTGAGGTGTCCATTTAGGTGTCACAACATTGCATTCGTCTTGGCCGCGTTCGGCCGACCATGGACCAGCCCAGATCAAGGGCCACCTTTACACCCACAAAGCGGAGCCCGGCATGGAGGCCTGGGTGGCGTCAATCGAGGAACGGCACTCGTCGCACCCACCTCCAGTACTGACTCGGCAGAGAGCTTTACACCTTTGACTGACACAGGTGCCGGATCAGAACTCGAGCTCGCCAAACTCGCGGGAGTTGACTCCGTTTTGCTCTCTAGCCTAGCCACTTCGTTAATGCACGCTGCACCAGGGATGCTCGCTCGGGCAAACCATGGAGATATGACAGGAAAAGTCAGTGCCTTGCAGATTCGCCCAGGGCAGTCTACCGAGTAGTAGCCTCCGCAACCCATCGCGGGGGAAAGCAAACCCCTAGACGAAATATGGAGCATGGACCAGTTGCAGAAGTTTCGCTCCCGTGAGCCCCTGCTATTGGATGTATCATGCTTTTCTCACTTCGTCATGTCGAGAAGGGTAGGTGGTCGGTGGTATAAGAAGGACCAGGTGCCTTCTTTCTGGGACTTGGGCGTCTACCGATCGACATCCCTTCCCATCGACTTTCTTCTAGCTTGGATCAACAACCTCAATCCCAGAGAATTTCCCGTTTATAACTTCCGGAAAGGCGACTAGGCAATCATGAGTGAACGATTCGGTCCCGCTCCAGAACCGCCCACCGAGTTGGGTCGGTATCGAGTGCTGTCTCCCACCGCCGGCATTAGAGTGTCGCCTCTATGTCTGGGTGCCATGTCCCTCGGAGACGCCTGGAGCCAAGTGAGTGCCCTCCAAACCCGTGATGGCCGTGCTTTTTCCAGCCCCGAGGCACGGCATGGCATGGCAAGGCTAACGAGCGAGCCATCTTTACTGGTCATTTTAGGGCCTTGGAAGCATGAACAAAGAACAATCCTTCAAACTCCTCGATGCGTATTACGAGGCCGGTGGGAATTTCATCGACACCGCTGTACGTTCAAATCCCCCAGCTCTTCTCGATGAGGGCCGAAATGCCTAGGTATTCTGTGCTTCGAGGGCCGTGTGACTGAACCTCCTTTAGAACAACTACCAAGACGAACAATCGGAAAAGTGGATTGGTGAATGGATGGCAGAGAGGAAGAACAGGGATCTCATGGTCATCGCTACCAAGTATGCCACTTTTTGCCCACGCCTTTCTCACAAAGCGCAAGCTTCTAACACGATTTCATCAAAGGTATACCACACACTACCGAAGCTGGGAGCTCGGCAAAGGCAAGACGGTCAACTACTGCGGAAACCATAAGAAGAGTCTCCACCTCTCCATCAGGGATTCTCTTGCGAAGCTCCAGACCGACTACATTGACCTGCTGTACGTTCATTGGTGGGTAAGTCTTGTCACACAACATTCCTTACGAAGTTCCCCAATATACGGCCTCGTCCCGAAGCTGAACTGAACAGGATTGGACTACCTCTATCGAGGAAGTGATGGACAGCCTTCATCTTCTGGTGGAATCCGGCAAAGTTCTGTACTTGGGCATCTCGGACACGCCAGCATGGATCGTCGCGGCGGCCAACACGTACGCGCGCGCCCAGGGCAAGACGCCCTTCTGCGTGTACCAGGGCCAGTGGAACGTGATGCAACGGGACTTTGAGCGCGAAATCATCCCCATGGCGCGGCACTTTGGCATGGCATTGGCACCGTGGGACGTGTTGGGCGGAGGCAAGTTCCAGACCAAGAAACAGATCGAAGAGCGCAAGAAGCAGGGCGAGGGACTGCGCAGCATGTTCGGCTCGGGCGACCAGACTCCGCAACAGGAGAAAATGTCGGCCGCGCTGGAGAAGGTCGCGCAGGAACACGGCGTCGAGTCGCTCAGCGTCATCGCCCTGGCCTACGTCATGCAGAAGACGGTCAATGTCTTCCCCATCGTCGGCGGCCGCAAGGTCGAGCACTTGCAGGCCAACATCAAGGCCCTCTCGATCAAGTTGACCGACGAGCAGATCCAGTTCCTGGAGAGCCAGTCGGATTTCAGCCCCGGGTTCCCGTCGTCATTTGTGGGAGAGTCGCCCAGGGCCACGGGGAAGACCACCTGGATCCTCGCGTCGAGTGCCCCGCTGGCGTGGACGACGCCGGAGAAACCTGCCGGACATTAGAAAGGGGGAGAAACTAGGATGAGAGAAGAGGAAGATGGAGGTGCAAGGGAAGCCATCTTGTACGGACGATGAGAGAAGATGGGAGAGTAGGGATGAGCAAGAAAATGGGGATTCTGATTGCACGCAGGGGGTGAAAAGGGGAGGTCTCTTCGAGAAAGATTCCTGGAAGCAAGAACTAGAGTCTCAGAGCAGTTCGACGAGTCACAAAAAGAATCAGTACATCCATCCCCCCTTCAATTGTACTTGCAGGTTCGTGCGCTCTACTAGGTCCTTACAGACTTTCACACCTGAACATTTTCCCCCTAGTATTATTAAGCAGGGGGAGCTCCATGTCTCTCCTTCAAACCCCTTCACACATACCGCGTCCTTCATAACGCACCTCTAGCTGAATAAAACCTCTACTGGACCCTTCATCGATCATTCCAGCTCGACCTCCAACATAGCCAAGTCCGAATTGACCGGAATCTCGACCTTGCTAATCTTCAATCTCTGATCGGCCTGCTCAAACAGGGCCTTCCACTCCTCCAAACTCCGCTCCTTGCCGCCCACGATGTTGTACATCAACAAATCCAAGCTCCGCATCAGCGCCTCCTGGTGCAAGGGGATCTCGCCCGGCCTGTCTGGCAGGACGCGGTCGACGATGAACAGTTTCGTCTTGCCCTTCCCCTTCCCACCTCTCTCCAAGACTGGGACCAGGTTCTTGAGGATCTTGACGCAGTCACTGTCCGGCCAGTCGTGCAGGACTCTGCTGAGCAGATAGGCTTTTGGTGGTGACTGGACCAGTCCCGAAGGCTGGGGTTGGAAGAAATCCTGAGCTTGGAATGTCACCCGGTCTTGAAGCTCCGTTGGTATTGCAGCCTTGGCCGGCGCGGCGTTGGTCTCCAGATCCTGAATGATGATCTCGAGATTTTGGTGAGCCCGCGCAATGGGGACAGCAATGTGGCCGCTGCCACCGCCAAGATCAACGACGACCGCCTTGCCCAGACCGTCCCAGTCAAAGCCTTGCGTGTACTGTGTGTACTTGGGGCCCACGATAGCCTGCCCAACTACCCTCATTGCAGCACTGAATTTGGCCATTCCGTCCGGCTCCTGTTGAACTATCTGCCAATAGCTCTTGTGTTGTGGGAAAGCCAAATTGACAGGGATCGCGGGCTTGTTGTTGGCCTCGCTGCTCTCGCCTCCGGAACCAACACGAAGACTATCCCCGACTTTCAATCCACCTACTATGATGGGGAGAGAAAGCATTAGTTGGGTGTATGGCGAGAAAGCCGGAATGGCGGCCGACAGCGCCGTGTGGGCGACGTAGCCCGGTTTCGGTTCGTAGAACATATGCAAGCTGTAGGCATACCGGAGGATTCGCTGCAAAGGTGCCTTATGGAGCTGGAGATCTGATGCCAACGTCTCCACGGCGATGGGCGTGCCATCAAGAGGCACTGCCTCCGCGAGTTTCAGTTGATCGATTGCTCCCAGCACCACGAGATTCGTTCGGTCCGTGCTGACCAGTGCGCGCAGTGCCTCGGTCGGCCCGCGAGCAAGCGTACACATGGACTGGCTTGCGTCGATAAGTCGAGCTCGAGCCTCGAGGATCTCGGCATGTTCTGCGGCGTCGTGGTAGTCCTTGGGACCCGTGGCTCCAAACGATGGCTGAGGTAGAGATTTGGCATCCAGTCCCTGCTGGAGGATTTTGGCAGCTTCCAAGATCTCAGTGGCGAGGTCGACGAGTGACGGTGTTGCCGCCATCTTTGGCATTCGTCGTCAACAATTGATCTCGAAAGAAGGACACAGATTCGCGGTTGAAGAGGGAGATAGCTTGCTTTTCCATGCTTGGATATGCCTCTTAGCTGAAGCGGCCTCTTTTGTACTCGTAACTTTAAGCAAGTTAAGCAACGCTTGTGCGGCTTCTTGACACGGGGTTGGACGACACCTCGTGTTCAGCCTCAGCTGATACGAGCTGAAAGGGAGCAGTACCCCTCGTTATCGCAGAATACACACTCCCCAGGCCCAGGCGTGTGAGCCATTTGAACTGTAGAACGAACAACCGGTCGAGCTTTTCCCGGTTTGATCCAACGAAGCCGAGAAAGGCAACTGTTGATGGTGGTCTCGACTCCGATTTCATCCTGAGGTGTTCACAGATGTCATGACAGAGCACACAGTTCTTGAAGAGTCAAGACAGAGCATTGGATAAGGCGGGATCGATGCTATCGGTCCACGTTCCATGGAGTGTATTCGTCGTTGACATATCAAGGCAGTTTGCTCAAGGCAGTCTGCCGATGCTCGCCTCGGACAACATTCTCAGCCACTCTGTTCATATGCACATTCTAAGGGCGGGCTCTCTGTCGGGGTCTATGGGAGATTGAATTATGTTACAGTGGAATGTTTGCACGAGTTCGTGCTCGAGAAACGACTAGGAGCAATCCGCCAGGACAAGAATAACTTCTCTTCTTCATTCCAATGAGAGTTTCTCGATCCTGAAACACATCTCATGGCGACAAACATGAGATGTTGTCCGGCCTCAAACCAGCGGGAACCGCCTTTGTTCGGTGTTGTCTTTTCTTTGTTTCATCGGTTCAATGTTTGATCGGGTCAGGCAGCCCCATCAACAACATTGCAAAATATGGATAGAACAGCTGTGCATCAAACAAAGAACAAACAAAGCCATTGTCAATGTCGCTGCTAATTTTGAATCCACGCCGTCGCTTCTTTCTTTGTCGCTTCAGTGAGAAATCCGATCCGAGCAAGACACGCTCTTGCATATCAATGCCCCAGGCGGCATCCACCGACAGTGGCTCAGGGCGGTGCGCTTCTCGCAGTCAAACATTTCATCCATTGTGCTGGGAAATCCAAGCCAGGCCTGCGAGAAGTCGGATAGATATAGTTGACGGAAATCCACCTGGACTGATCTTCCCATCAAGTTCACAGTCTCTCAAAGCTATCCAATCCAGCAAAAATGTGCACCACCAAGCGGTATCTGTTCCTCTGCTGTCACCCCGCCACACATCGCTTCCGCAACACCCTGTGCGACTCACCCAGCGTTCGTGGATGTCAGGTCCGAGACTTCAACATCATCCTTGGACACCCGTGCAAAAAGTGCAGCGACCACGGTCTAGCCTCAATGCACATGGACCTCGGTGCAGAACAAGAATCTGGCGCTGATGATGTTTGGTATATCCCCACCAGATGTTTCGTCGACGCCGGGTTTCGCACACTGGACCCTTTCAAGAAAGCCGAGACCTCAGAACCCTCAACGCCAACCTCACAGTCCACCAGACATTCAGTGGACGAGGACCCCTTGACACCGCCACTGACTCCGACCAAGATCAAGGCCAGCGACCCAAACTTTTGCAGAAGACTCCTTCGTCGACTGACGTTGAAGAAGCTTAGCCCCTGTTGTACTCTCGAGACCCAGTACGGGGGATACGAAGCCACGAGGATTGAAGGACTGGATAACCGCGTTGATGGAGTCATCAGGGACAGTTTTTGCGAATCGCAGTTTTGACATGGAGGACAAGGTCACAAGATGCGAGGGTAGGGTTTCCGCGTTGACTTTGTAATGATAGTCCCAGAGAACAAGGTGTCCATTCCTTGGGCTGCCCAATGTACAAAGCGCTGTTTTCAACCGCCTCTTGTTTCCCCTTCAACCTCAATCTCAACGGGTTCCTGCTTCGCGCTGATCCCTTGGGTGGCGATAGCCTCACTCTTCGCGCCAGCCCGGGCAATTTCTTCCTTCTCGTCATCTGCACAACCGCAGTCATAGAAATCTCCAATGTTGGCACAGTCAAAGATCGGTTTGCCCTTGCTTTCGTTCACCACGTTGTGCACGAAGCAGGCCCAGGCGGCCGCAGTCGACCGCGAAGACGTCTGAGGAGGATATTTCTTGAGTATCTGCTGGAAGTGCTCCGCACATTCGCCGCACGGGTACAGGCGGGCGAAGAGGTAGACGTAGCTCTTGAGGGCATCGCTCTCGTCCTTTGTCGGCTCGTCCGGGAATCGTGCCATGGTCGTGTGAAGGACTTTCCAGGCTGCGCGGCCGAGTTCTGCTTTGAGGGTTTCGTTGCCGAGCTTGCCCATGACGTGCTCGCCGTGTAACGTCTCCGGGGTGGCTGTTATATTGGGGATGTCGGCCACCACTTCTTGTGATTGTTGAAACGCATGTCGGAAGCGGTCGGCGTGGGAGAGCGCGTCAATGGGTCGCTCGTGGCCGCGAGTCCAGATGATGTACCATACAAAGAGGGCAATTGCGGACACCAACACCATAGCAGGGGGCGGGCCTCGAGGCATGGCGAATGAGGAAGCGAAAGGGAGGTGTGAGATAGAACTGGCGCTCAGAACGCAACGATTAAAGCATTCAAGAGAGAGGAGAGGAACAGAGCAACGCTGGAAGACTGGGATGGAGAGATGTATATCGAACAGAGAACGAAGCTAGATGGGTCGCAGATTAGTCGGTACAGGAGGGCGCAGCAGGCACTCAGGTGATGATGTCTCGGATGCTTCTCTCGCAAATATCTCAGCAGCGATTTGTCCGCATTCGACAAGCTCGGAAAATCCGGGGTTCAGCCACTCAAGCCACTGCACCTTGTGTCGCTCGTCTCCCTCGTCTCCCTCGTGTCGCTCGTCTCCGCAAGTCTAAAGCAGCAGGTGGAATTTCTCAAGACCTCGTACTCGGTACAAGACGTGCTCCGATCTCGCTCATCCAGACAGGACCAGAGTGAGAAAAACAGAATTCAGAAAAGTGTCACAGTCGTCTCACCGGCACCCCTCCTGATTGACCTGGCACCGTGGTACGACACGCTCTTGAGTTGCCACACCATACCACATCACACGAGTTAGAAAGCTAGGAGATCTGCTTACTGGCCTGGGCCTTCGAGAACACACCTCGAGTCCGCGTGGGGAAAAGATTTTTTTTTATATCCGGACAAGAGCCTCGGGTGTCGACTCATTTTTGTGACTTCTGCGCTCTCAAGGCTGCCCATTCTCATCCTACTAGTATTTTGCAAATTCGAAGACGAAAACAGTGAAGTCTAGTGGACTTACTTTGCCATTGAAGAAGTCACAAACGCCAAAGCAGGTCAACGACACCTGAGAGCCTTCTCGGCCACCGTTCAACCCGAAATGGCTCCCTTCCCTCCTCCGCCAGTGAGCTCGATTGGTAGGCCTCTTTCCCTGCCTCACTTCTTGAACGCGCAGCCTTCATAGAACAGAATCTTGCGCCAAAAGTTCCTGAGATCCCCGCTGACTATACCATCCAGACTGGAGCAACGTCGGTTTCAAAGTCCGCGAAGTCAACGGCCATATTGAATCCACCTTCCGCCATTCCTCACCCAAACCAGAATGGAGTACACCACGTTTTGTGACCTCTCCTCATCTGTCGATCCATGGCATGGCGCCCGGTCTCAATTATGGCGTCCAGTGCTACGAGGGCATGAAAGCCTTCCGACAGCCAGATGGGTCGATCGCCATCTTCCGTCCCGATCAGAATGCTCTACGCATGCAACGTTCTGCCGAATTCATTTCTGTTCCCCCTGTGCCTGAGGCACATTTCATAGAATGTGTGAATCTGGCCGTGGCTATGAACGCCGAATTTGTGCCTCCTCACGAGACCGGCGCTGCCATGTATATCCGCCCGTTGTTGTTCGGCTCGAGCGCGCAGCTGGGACTGAGCCCTCCAGATGAGTACACCTTCGTCGTGTTTGTGATGCCCACGGGGGTGTACCACGGTGTACATGCCGTCGACGCGCTTATCTTGGAAGACTTCGACCGAGCGGCGCCTGAGGGCACGGGCAGCGCAAAAGTGGGCGGCAACTACGCGCCTGTGCTGCGGCATAGCGAAAAAGCACGTAATCAAGGGTTTGGTATTACCCTGCACTTGGACAGCAAGACACGGAGCGAAATCGACGAGTTCTCCACTTCAGGATTCTTGGGCGTCCGGAAAGACGGGGACAAGACGACAATCGTGGTGCCCGACTCGAAAAATGTGATCAAGTCTGTGACTTCGGAATCCGCTTGCGAACTCGCCAAAGACTTGTTCGGCTACGGCGTGGAGAGACGCCGTATTGACTATAGCGAGCTTCCTCAATTCACAGAAATCATGGCCGCCGGCACCGCGGCCAGTCTGGTACCCATCAAGAGCATCACCATGAAATCTAAAGGAGACAAATTCGAATACCCGGTCAACGAGAATCTAGACCCTGGTCCGGTCTGTGCACAGCTGTTGAGCACATTAAAAGGTATCCAAATGGGGAAGGTGAAGGATCAGTTCGGATGGAACATGAAAGTGACGGAGCCACCCAAGGAGTTCCTTCACGCGGCGACGAATGGCGGCGTCCACGGCGACGGCGTGGATGAGCTACCGTAAGAGTGTGAGATGATGACCGCTTCAGTGCTGGATATTGACAACAAAATCAATGGGAGATGTAAGACCTGATCAGGTTCGGATGGGAGCGAGGTGCGGTAGAATTGTGTTTGCCCAAGCAACAAAAGCCTGTCTCCAAAATCAAATAGTCCCAACAGCACTCTCTGTACAGACGCAGCCACCGTCCATAGCACAAAACAAGCTTTTCCCTCTTGCAAGGCCAGCGCCGTCCACAATTAGGCGTTCGCACGTTGACCACTCCAAGTCCTGGCAATGTCTATCAACGGGTATCAATATCATGAATCATCGAGTGTCGTAAAGGATCCGAACAAAGTAATATACCCTGTGCCGCCGACAAGGACCACAAGGGCACCGGTGTTCACTCAGGTATGGGTAGTTGGAAGTCCTCGTCGTCCAACTTTGCATTTTCGAAAGGGAAGAAGTCGGTTTCGAAGAGGTCATTGGCAAGATCATCACCCTCATCCTGGGCCATGTCTTGCTCCAGCAACTCATACTGCTTGAGCCGGAACCACATATCGCTTTCCTCAGGTGGTGAGCCGTATAAATCACGAAAATCGCGTGGATGAATCGACGCTTGCGAGATCTTGATGGGCTTGGAGGCTGAGGTAATTCCACATCTTCCAGTTTCAGCACTTCTGGGAATGATAGAGGGAGCCTTCTTTGCTTTGGGGAACCCAATTGTATTCTTAGACACGGCGGTATGAGTAGTGCGAGATGATGACAAGCGTCGTGGTCGAGTCGATTGCGTGACTCTCGTGACGGGAAGAATCGCTTTCTTCTTTTGTTCTGATGCCTGGGTAGTTTTCCTGGTAGCAGCAGGCAGATGCAATCGTGAGCCAGAGAGCGCGGCAGCAGCAGACTTCGCCTGCATCGTGTCAACTCTTGAAAGTTCTGGTCGTTTCTTCTTTGGTCCTGCTGCAATCATGCTGTCAACCTCCGCGTCTAGTTTGCCAGGTGTAGGAAACACAGGCTCAGCAATGCCTTCGAGGCTTTTGTTCACACGTTCTGCATCGAATTTCTGCCACTCCTCTTCTTCCTTTTTATGGCGAATCGACATGCCGCTCTCATCTTTTGGGGAACCGTATGGGTAGACCACTCCGTAGCCGGCACGCAGCTCTTCTGTAAGTAGCACATCTTCTTCAAACTCGATCGGCGGATCCGGTAGCTCGACTGGTGGTGGTGGCGCGTATCCAAAATCTGGCTCTTGTTCTTGTGTATCTCTTTTCACCAAAAGATCGCCATCAACTGGTTCCGAAGACGCGACTGTGATCTTAGATCTGCCTGAGTGGCGAGCTGCGGAGTGCTTTGGGCCAGTTCCAAGCCGCTTTGTCGCGAGAGGAGCCGGAGCAGGTGTCTGAAAGGCTTGAGCTTTGGCGTTGGTCGTCTTGACTCCAAGCGGTGCTCGGTTGCGTGGAATCAAAGGTGTAACAAATGTGCTCTTGTCTAGCTTGCTGGCTCCATCTCTACCCAAAGCCTTCTGTCCATTGAGAAGGACAGGTCGGTTCTCATCGTTCTTCGCCAGTCGAAAAGGAGTCTTCAGATTTCCCGGTGTCTTAGGATGCAGGGTCCGCGTGGTTTGGTTCAAGGGCTTCCCAGCAGCTGTGGTCTGCTGCGCGTGGATGATGTTCTCTTGGTCTCGTGAGGCTAGAATACTTGCCATGGTAGATACTGTCGATTAGTCCAGAGAATCGTAATTATCGTCTGCGGTCGATATCGACTACACGCAGTAGTATTGTTGGAGATTGATTCCTGTGCCAGAAACGCGGACTGAATTGTTGACGCGGTTGCCCCCAGCAACGTGTTCCGGGAGGCTCCTGGCAGTGGTCGATCGAACCGTTAGAGCCTGAAACCGGCCTTGCGGCCTAGAGCGCAAACGGCGAGGCCTCAAGCCACCCAAAGCCCACGTAGCCTCACCCCTAGACGCCCGCGAGAGCCCGCGAGAGCCCGGTGTCATTGGTCTGATCATCGATGACTTCCCCTCTACGCCGCAGCTGACTCCTAGCGAATGCATCAGTGACCGCCAGTTGAGCCTTTCCCTGCGATCAAGTATCATTCATCTCCAACATCACTTAACGCAATTGCTCTCACCTATCTACCTTTCTGCCAGACCTCGATTCCGGGAACCTTTAGCCTTTAGAAATATTCGCCATGGATCGGATCAAGGAGGTACGTCCCAGTCACCTCTGCTGCACCTGCACCCTTCCCCCTCGTGCTCCTCCCAGGCACCACGCAATTCACTCAGGGCTGCCTTCTGCCGCAACGCATTCAATCAGTCACATTCTACTTGGCTGCTGCAGTCCTGTTCAAAACAGCCCGCACCATCCTTCATCCCTCGTGCCCTAAAGACCCAACGAGTCCGGCATCCTCCTCACCCGATCTCATCTTCGATCCACCCATCATGGCGTCCGTATTCGCTAATTTCCAACAGAAAATGAACTCTCTCCGCATTGAGGCGGATGAGAATGCGGCCAAAGCAGAAGAACTCAAGCAGAAAGTCAAGACTCTCGAACAAGACAACCTCCAAAAGGAACAAGAGATCACTTCTCTCAACCACCGCAACCAACTCCTCGAGGCCGAAGTTGAGAAACTCGAAACAGGCCTCAAGGAAGCAAAGGCGCTTGCCGGCGAGTCGGCACAACATAGCACTGCAAATGAATCCCTTCAGCGGAAACTCCAAGTTCTCGAGGAGGAAGCTGAGCAGGCCGACAAGACCCTGAGGGAGACCAACGAGAAGTATGCGTGGCCGTGGTTGGACACATTATTCCTGCTAACAACTCCGTCTTCAGACTCCGACAAACCGATGTCAAAGCTGGCCACTTCGAGCGCAAAGTCCAGGCACTGGAGCAAGCACGCGACGAGTGGGAGAACAAGTACGAGGAAATGGCCAAGAAGTACGCGGATTTGCAGAAGGAACTGCAGGAGTTGGAGCAAAGCATGGGCAATATCTAGAGTGGGCGACATACTTGGTGTTGGCGATTGTGTTTGGCAAGTGCATGGAACACAATGCAAAGAGCACGGCCATACCTATGATACCATGGGCATTTGATAAACGGCACACCCGAATGCGAGCGTTGAAGGTCTTGAAAGAGAATCCAGAATAGCATTATCGTCGATCACCCCTTCGTTCTCGAGCCTGTTTCCGATTTCTGGCCTTCTCTTTTGTACGAGCCTCTTTCCTTTCCGCTCTGCTCTCGTATCTAAAATTTCGCTTCTTTCGCTTCTTAATGTCCCTTGGCCGATCTTTTGTCCATTGGCTTTTCTGCTTCTTGCCTTGACCATTTTCTGGGGCCTCTGACGCTTCTTCACTGTGTTGCTGGGTATGCTCGTCCCGCTGCTGCTCCGCCTTGGACAGCCCTTCTCTCGAAACATCCATTGCTTCAACCGTCACTGTGGTGTACTTGTCTTCGTCGACGTATTCAGTCTCATGATTGAGCAGGGGTTGCTCCGAGTCTGAGATGCCGCTCCATTCCTCTTCCGAGTTCTCTTCACCCCCCTCCCCATTATCGTCCTCCTCATCCTGATCTAAAGTCGGTCTCAACAAAGCATTCACTTCCTGCACGTGTCGTTCGAGCTCGGCTTTTCGCTGTTCTCGTAGCTGGCACGCACGTTGTCAGTACAGCAAAGCATACCACAGACTGATACTAGGAGCGTAGTCTCACCCTCTTCCGCTCCTCGACTCTCTCCGCCCGTGCCCTCCGCTCAGCAGCCTCCTGCGCCTGCTTCGCCCTCTGTAACTTGCGCTTGTGGAAGCCGGTCAGAAATTCATGGCGCGCAGTTGTGTCAAAGGATATTTCTTCGACAACAGTGGGCTCTGTGCGCCGGCGCTTTGTTGGCGGAGGCATGTTCCTGCGCGCTCTATGAGACACAGTACCTCTTGAGACTATTTGTATATGGACAAAGTCGCAGCCTCGTGGCGCCGCTGCGGGAAGGGAAAATTGTTGTGCAAACGCGTCAAACCTTCCAAGAAAGGTAAGAATCCCGGGGAACTGGAAATCCTCTGTCGATTCTGTCGACTCTTCAGAAGATGGGGCTGGTGGTCCGTGGATGCCGTTGACTATGGCAGAGGAGGGTCAGAGCTACGATCATCATGTCTTTCAAGGATCGCTTTTCCTTGTGGCGTGGCAAGCGTTATAGAAATTCCTACAAGCCAGAGAGAAAGACAATTTTGCTTTGCGTGTCATTCCGTTGCTTTCTTCTCTTAAAGCGTGTGACTGCTCTCTATTGGGAGCTACTACTTAACAACCCATTCCTTCTGGGATGCTTGCTGGCTGCTGCAGACCTTGAGACGAAGCCATGATCACGGAAGGGCTAGTTCGCTCCGGGATTTTAGTCCTGCGTTATCCCGTTGCCGGCTCTTGTTCGCAATTGTCGATTTATGAGTTTGGAGTTTGCCTGCTGTTTTTAATCTTGGTCTCCCATGTGACGTGCCCGATCACTTAGCCTCGACGGGCTGCCGCCTGGCAATGCTCCCAACAGCAACATAGCAGTAGCTGGTGAAACAACGAAGCCATGGGGCGTCCTGAATCTGCCGGTTTTGATGTAACCTCTTCTGTGCAAATGCAGTGTGGACAACCCTTGATGTTTTGCATCTTTGTTCGTTGAAACGATATTGTGATCCAACCCTGTGTGGGCGTAGGATGTTCATTGGTCGTTTCCTGCTCTCTATTACATACCCCCATTTACCTCCCTCCGAATCCCGGAGGTGGGAATCCTCTTCCAGGACCTGGTGGTCCACCTTGAAATCCCGGAGGCATACCTGCTGGCGGACCTCCAGGTGGTCCTCCGAACCCAGGAGGAGGGCCCCCAAAGCCAGGAGGTGGGCCTCCCGGAGGCCCAGGCAGTCCACCTCTTCCAGCTCCTGCGAATCCAGGTGGCGGCGCTCCACCTGGGAATCCCGCTGGCGGTTGAGGCGGGAACCCAAAGCCTCCAGGTGGCACTCCTCCCGGTGGTGGCGGTCCACCCATCCCAACGCCTGCCACAGGACCACCCAGCCCGACGGGAAGACCTCTGCCAGCAGGTCTCGAGATACCTGTGCCAGCCTGCAGAGTTGTCGGTGCCCCTCCCGGAGCAGATTGTCCCAGTCTAGCGCTAGGATCGGATGGAGGAGGTCCTTCAACCGAACAGCTCACGATATTCGTTCCTCTCAGAATCACAAGGCCCAAGGTTCGTTTCTCTTCGGTCTCGACGGTCGCAGCTGCAGAGCCTGGTGCTGCAGGAGCGGAGGTTTTGGCCTGCTTGCGTTTGACTTTGCGGAATTCTTCAGTGTCGGCGAGGACGAGGTTCATGTGCTGTCACCGAGGGACGGATGGTTAGCAATTCGTTCGGTCAAGGAAGGGAGGTTCCAGGATGGCTTGATGGAGATATTGAGCGCAGGACTCACTTTGTCGAATGCAAGCATTTGGCCAGTCATTTGACGGCCGTCGTTCATGGTCACTCGCATACGGTAATTAATCTTGTCACTGTGGTCAGAGTGCTTCTTGTAAGTCATGGTAGGAATGGTCCAGCATACCAGGTTTTGCTAGACACAAGTTAGCCGTTAATCGTGAAAGAATGGAGAGTACGGTCAGTGCTTACCATCTTCCCCTGCTTGTTGGCCATCTTGCCTCACGTTGCGCACGAATGCGGCTTGACCTTCTTTCACAGCGTCGATGTAACAGAAGTTGTTTTGCTTGTGCCTCAAAAAAATAGATTTGCGCAAAGTGTAGAGCCGCAGCTCAACTGCGCCTGCCAGACGATGGCTACAACACTCCTGTATCAGAGGAAGCGAAGCAGGCCCGAACTGGTAGCTGGTAGTATTATTGTTTGTGGTTCGGCGGAATTGACCTTGGTCGCGCGACTGCAGCATACTGTACAAAAATTGGTGCCGCAGCTCCGAATGCAGCCTAGTCGGATTTCCTGTCTCTTGGCATTTGCCAAGCCACGCCCACCCCAGACGCACCACCAGAATTTCGAACAATCGGTCAATTGCGGTGTCCTCTCGCTTTTTCTCAATTTCGCACCAGCACCAACGCCCTCGAAACTTGTACTCTGTCGCAATCGTTAACACCACCATTTTTCTGGACAAAATGGCGGAAGGCAACGACAAGAGCTCAAATCCCATGCGCGAACTGCGCATCGAGAAGCTGGTGCTGAACATTTCCGTCGGCGAATCTGGTGATCGTCTCACCCGTGCTGCAAAGGTGTTGGAACAACTGTCGGGTCAAACTCCTGTCTACAGTACGCCCTTGTATCCTTCAGTCGAACTCCTGCTCCCTTCGTGCTAACAAGGTTTCGCACAGGCAAAGCCCGTTACACCGTCCGCTCCTTCGGCATCCGTCGCAACGAAAAGATCGCCGTCCATGTCACCGTCCGTGGGCCCAAGGCCGAAGAAATCCTCGAACGCGGCCTGAAAGTCAAGGAATACGAACTGAGGAAGAAGAACTTCAGCGAGACCGGAAACTTCGGCTTCGGCATCTCCGAGCACATCGATTTGGGAATCAAGTACGACCCGGCCATTGGGATTTACGGGATGGATTTCTACTGTTGCATGGGCAGACCCGGAGCGAGAGTTGCCAGGAGGAGACGCTGCAAGAGCAAGGTGGGACGCAGCCACCAGGTCTCTAAGGACGATTCGATCAAGTGGTTCAAGACGAGATTCGAGGGTATTGTCCGATAGGTGATGGGCTGGGAGAATCTCATGTTGGGCGCCCGATGGAGAGATCAAAAAATTGGTCTACCCAGGCAGAGATGTGCTTTCGACAACTAGCCAAGGAGTGTATGAAGCCTCGTCGGCGGTCGTCCCACAAAAAGCAAGAGAGTCGATGACGGCTGTTAATATTATGGCAGTCTGGAAAACCGACCATTCCCCTGATGTCGAAACAATAGATCCGACTAGATCGGGGCAGCACCAAAGACACACCCCGGGGCACCCTTCCACAAGGGTCTTCGATTTTATTTCCTTCATAGCATTGCTGAAGTGGGAACAAATGTCTATCAACCAATCCGTTGTTACTTCCCTCTTCCTATCTGGATTTTAATCGCTTCCCTGCCATCTCTGTTTACCTTGGACTGTGCCTATCCGTGCTCGGATGATTTCTCATGAAGATGATGCTGTACCCTTCTTTGAGGACACATGTGACTACCCGAGATTAGCACATGCCTCCTACATACCTACTATCTACGATAGTGAGTAAGCTTAGTGAGTTGAATCGTATACAAAGGAGAAAAGATTGCAGCAACAAATCGATCCACAAGATGTGGAATTGCTTGGTGACAAGAACACCAATATTCAAATTGAATATGACCACTACATTGTTTGTTGCCCTCGGACATCCCAAGTCGAGTAGCGACAAGATACCCCCAGCGCCGCGCTTTCATGCAATGCGGTACATGTTCGCGGTACATGTTCCAAATATGACAACCCCATCATAAATTTCATGCTCACATTTTCCATAATAGACCTTTGTTGCCCTATTTTGAGGAAGGACCCGCTGACCCAATTACATCGTCTACCATCTCATGTACAAACTCCTCAATTCTGATGCGCATCTGCAGAATTAGAGGTCGTTTCCATACTTGGATGCTCGACCACTGTATGCATGCTCGTCGTTGCCACAGGCGAGATTGGTGTATCTCCAGTATTGGATGCAGAAGCCGATTGCACTTCCGGCGATACAGGCGTGTTGGGCTCTGTGGCCCCAGATACCCTGATCCGAGGAAGATTGAGCTGTGGCAGTTGAGGAGCAACGCTTGCATTGGTGGGAGCCCTGCTCGGAATACCCGCAGCACGACTTGCATTGCTAGCTGCGCGACGAGCAACAGCAGCCTCGTAGGAGGGAGCATCGCCCCAGTCCAGGAACTCGTAGTCGGGTGGCTGATTTACATCACCAATGTCGGGAGGTAGTGGGATACGTGATTCCCCAATGTCGTCTGATCCGGTGCTTTCATCAGGAGTGAATCTGTTGGCGGTGGGGGAAGAGTTGGACGTACCGCCGCTTTGGGGCTCGTCACTTTGGCGCCGGTGGGTGTCGTCGGGAATGGTTGAGCCTGGTGTCGGTTGAGGTTCCATGTCAGACCCCATCGTTGACACACTCACTGCGCTGTTTGAACGTTCGCGGCTGTGTAGAGATGTAGCGTCGGACAGGAGACGAGGGCGTCCACCAGCTTCGCCCATAGGAGCTGCTCCACTTAGTAGTCCGCCTCGCTCAGAGTCATTGCTGTTTGCTCGAATCCGGGTACCGTCATGTCGTACCTCTCCCAGTGCAGCATATGCCACGCTCGATACCCTTCGTTCTCGTCCGCGAGACTGATGTTCGGCAATCAAGGTGGCTGCAGATACACTCACACCACCATTGAGGGAAGCAGTACTCTCGTTTGCTCGCTGCCGGGACTCTCGCCTCAGCTCCTCTAATCTAGCCGTATCTCCTCTCTCGCGAGCTTCTCTTCGCTCTCGCCGGCGTTCTTCTCGTTCCGCAATTTCGCGGCGGCGTGCCAGTCGAATTTGGTACAATGACTCCATCTGGTCTTCGCGACGGGTCTCTTCTTCGTCGGCCGTCTCTGGGAATTCCACCACTGTGTCCATGCCAGCTCTTTCGCCTTCTCGCCCAATTACTTGTTCGGTGTCCTTTGGCGTCCTCGAATATGCCGGAAGCGTCATGACGCTGCGAACGCTGGTATTGCGATCGACTCCTGCCCCAGTTCCTGCTTCGCCGCCGATGTCATTGCCATTGTACGCCGTGTTGGTGGATGTAAGTTCTCGGTTGCGGACGGCCTTGTATTTCCCGGCCGGTTGCCAGGTCTGCCATTTGCTCTTCAAAAATTTCGTGGGAATGTACTTGGGCTTCTTGCCTTGTACCCTCCACCTCCGCAGCATTATGTAAAATACCACACAAGCAGTGAGGAGGATTCCAACGGCAGCAACGATCTGGAGCAATTAGATAGTGTGCTCGTAGCCAACGTTTAGGGGACTTACGCCGACTATTACAGCACTTCCACCCATCCCTCCGCCTCTGCCTCCACCTCCATCGCCATCTTTCGGTGGTCCCTGCCTCGAAGCTAATCGATTCACATGTACGCTGCGTTTGTCTAGCATCTTTATAGGTGAACTGACCGCCATGGCGGTGGCTGGTGGTGAAAGAAGATCAAATCTCGTGGAAGTGAGCGCTGAGGCCTTGTTATCGGGACATTTGATCACGTTGGTCAAAGTTGGACACGGATGTACTCGTAAAATCGCAAGGTTCAGAGGAGGTACAGCAGGTTCGCACAAGCTGTCAAGCGGAGAATTTTCTCACAGACAGATTCGTAAGTGGTGATACAAGCAAGGGAATGATGCACTACGGGGAAATTGAAGCAGAGACAATGGACTCAAGCATACGTATGCAAATGCAAAAGTGTGGTGAGATCCTTTGACGGTTGCCAGCTGTGGCAGTGGGCGGCCTCGAAGAGCCTTTGGAGTTGGCAGAAGCAAGGTTCAGATCAGAGAAGTAGCGCATGCCGTCAGCCTCCAGCGGCGGAGGCGAGTGGCAGGCTTGTGCTCATCCACCCAGGGCAGTGAGGGCATAGCAGCGGCGGATTGGTTCGGCGGGCCATGGTAGGGCGGATAGCCTGGATAGGCGGTAGGCTGTGGCTTCCCAGGGCCTGTGAGGGCCAGAAGACGCTGAGACACGCAGCCAGGATCCGCCCCGACGCACCCGCCTTTTCTGTTCGCGTAGCGTAATCCCGCGTCCAGCTGCAACTCTGGGTTTGGCTCATCACAAGAAGTTTACGAATAAATAGAACGCCCGATGAAACGTCTGGTCGGTTAACCACTCGTCCACCATTGCCTAGATTTTTGTCCATCTTGAGATCGTTTCTGCCGAGTCAAAGGGCTGTCGTTGTATCGAGTCTCGCTTCGCTTCCTGACGCTCCTCGTAGATTTTTGAGTCAGCTCTAGTGGACCGTCTCACTCGAGGCCACCTTCCCCGCAAACGATGCTTTCCTGTACATAAAGTTTTTTTGCGTACCTAGGAAGATGATTGTAGCGAGCGAACCATACCCACAGTGAGGATGGGTTTGACCATGTCTGCTGCTAATGGGCTAACAGAGAGGGACTGGCAAGGCTGCCACTGGGCAAGTCCAGCAGTAGCGGCAAGGCTGAAGCTCTAGGCGCTCACTTGGTGCTTGAACTGCCAGTGGCTTGGCTCAACAGGCGCCGGATATGTTGCCTCTTTTAGCCGCGCCCGCCCTTTCCCCTTCCAGAAATCCCATAACAAACACAAACCTCGAGGCACATGTCTTTTCCACTCTTAAAGACTTGGTCCTTCAAAACGACCTATCCTCGATTGCTCCGGTATCTTACTCCCAACATCCTACAGGACGAGCCATGGCTCCTTCGAGGTTCGATCACGGCACAATGAACACAAATTATAGCAGCATTCATTCCCATGAGGCCTTCATTGGGGATTACCAGGTAGATATACTTTACATTCCCGGAGAACATAACTGATCACCCTTCAGGTCATGTACACTCCTGGTTCGACATCTCCACAGTTCGATCGTGTCAAGAAGTCCACTCGCTTCAGCAGAGTTGCTTCGTCCAAGTCGCAGAATCCCAGCCAGTCCTTCATGCTGCCCACCAATATTCCCAATACTTCTCAGATCATGCCAGACCACGGTTCCCTGCCAAATGTCCAGATCCACTACAGCATCCCCGCCGATGAGAAACAGATCGTCGCGTCTTTACGCACTCTCCAACGCGATCTCAATGAGGCCATGCAAACCATCAATTCCCTAACCCGCGAACGTGATGAAGCCCTACTTGAGCTTAGACTGCTCCGTGCTACGACCAAGAAACAAAACACTTCGGCAAAGAAGAGCAAAGCAAAGTCTCGCGTGGAGGAAGAACTGTTTGATATCAGCAGATCCATGTCGTCTCCCCCCAGATCCCCTGTTCGAAGGAGTTCCATGAGAGACACGTCTGCGGACACTAAAGATGCCCCAAAGACTACAAACTCTGACGACGCCCGAGTGCTCTCTCCTGTCGTCAACGGAGCGATGTCCCCGGTCTCAGAAAAGCGACCGACAAGCAAGTCGGATATCACTGCCAAAAGCAAAGCCCAATCCTACCAGCCACCCACTGTACATGACACCGAAAACAGCGTCATTGAAGACCCAACCGCTGCATCAAATACCTCACGCCGACGGCGCCGGCCGTCCCTTGACGAAAACATGACTTCAGCATACATCTTGCCCGATATCACAATGAGCCAGCCCGTAAGATCAGCAAGAGTTCAAGTGTCAAAGGAAGCTCAAAATGTTCTGCATCGTCATGGCGACCCCGAGCATATTGGTAACTGTACTGTCTGTCAACGTCTCACAGGAAGAAAATCGAAACAAGTTACCCACGCTACACGCTCCACCTCTGCCCCCGCTGCTGAAAAGACTGATTTCACGGCTCAAATTACACAGCTCATGAAAGACGCAATGTTAGAGGAACCCACTCTACGTCCCAAGATCAACCCCTGGCATGCCCTTGCTAATGTCAAGAAACTTCTGATGGACCAATTCGAAGAGGCAAAGAGCAAGCACGCCCAGGCTTGGGAGAAATATGATGCCATTGAGGCGCCGTTGAACAGCAAGAAACATGCCGCTGCCAGTCAAGATCTGTTCTACTGGTCCAAGAAGATGGAAGAGTGCCGCATCAATCTGGATCAGCTAAGAGATGTAGAAGAGGGAATGAAGGAGCAAGAAAATGGGGTATGAGCATCGTGCTCCGGAGACTGATGTGCTACAAAACCGGGGTTGCAGACGCAATGCTCAGGAGACTGATGATGAGAGAGTCATGTCATGCCAGGCTATGCTGTGCGAATATGTCAACGAATTGCTCTGTTCCTGTGGGTTGCTTGCTGGGATTGGAAAAGCTGAACAGTCCAGGCCTTCATTTTGGAAACGAAAGTCTCAGAGACCAGATGATTCGCTTGACGCGTCGAATGGGAAAATAGAGATCGAGTTGCGAGACTTCAGGTAGAGAACCTTGATTTGCTTTACAGACATGTGAATCGGAGATCCTCATTTCCCGTATTTGGGAAGCCCTGTTGAGAACTCGTTTGTCATGCTCTGCAGGAGTAAGTATCCCAGATGGACACTTCCGCATAAGATCTATCATTCACGCATTGCTAGACCGTTCCATGATTGACGATACGAGAGCCATCCAAATGCAAGTAAACTCATACTCTGCCTTCGATATGAAGTCAAATCCAGGGAAAAGGACCACCCTCATCTCGATGACCTGACAAGGGTTTTTGTTGTTTTACTGCACAACTTCCTCTGTCTCCTCAATCACCTCCTCCACCACCTCCTCAACAACCTTTTCGCCCTCTTCTTCCACACTTCTGGTCCGCTGGAGCGCCAACTCCTCGTCCGGATCCTTCAAGCCGAGCTCCTCTCTCTCCTGTCTCAACAGCTCCTTCTCCCTCGCCACCCAGCTGTACCACTCCATGTACAGTCTCCGTCTCGCGTCGATGACGGCCTGGTTCGCTCCTTCTTCCATCTCCTTGTCCAGCTCGTCGAATTCTTTCGAGTATTCGCGCAGGTTGCGGCGGATGGTGCGCTGTTCTTCTTTGCTGAGCAAGGTAGGTGGCCGCGGCCGCCAGATCAATTGTTTGAATTTCTCGGTCGGGTGTTCGGAGAGGAGGGAGCCGTAAAAGGTCCATAGCCGCCAGCCGTTTTCCATCTAGACAACCATCATCGTCACGTTAGCATTTCAAAACTTTGCTGCTTGGACTTGTGTCCGAAAGGTGGGAGATTGAAACAGGTTTTCTTACCTGATGAGTCCACACACTAGCACTCGTAGTCACATATCTCCCCGTGGGGTCCCAATCCACATCCGTCATACCATAGTGATCCTCACTATTCATCAACATGAGGTTCGCATTTAGATTGGCAGCAACATCGGTCTCGGATTTTTCGCCCTCGTAGTCCAGATCATAAAAGTCAATGTCCGAATGCTGTTGCACACTGACTGTGGCAACGACTACGAATCGACCTTTGGGCGACCAGTAGATGCCGTTGGAATTTTTCTTATCGTATGTGCGCACAAGCTTGAACGCTCCAGTACCGGGACCCTTGATCTTCTCGGGAGCGAAGAAAGAGACGGATGTTTTGGGCAGGACGTTACTGCCAGCAACTGCTTCCCCCGCGGTGATCAGCACAAATCTATCACCTTTGGGTTCCCACGCGAAGTTAATGACGGTATCCTTGAGAGAGTCGACAACTTCGACAGGGACGCCCTTTTCTCTGATGCGGAAGATTTCAAGGTTCGTGGCGTTAGATTTCTTGGATTTGGAGTGGCGGTCTACTTTGACACAGATGAACTTCCCTTCAGACTGCCAGTGGAGTTTTGCGTCGGTGACGTTGAAGAGATTCCGAGTTCTCACAATCTCCTTGGACGGGACGGACATCAATGCCACCTTCGCAGGGTTAGAGCCGATCTCGGGGGTCCAGAAGCAGAGGAGTGATTCGTAGGTCTTGATTCCTTCCCGTTGGGTCGTGGAGGGGGCCCATTCAAAATCCATGATTCCTTCAGCCTTGACAGATGTCTTGTCCAGGAGGTTCATTCTGGGAAGTTCGTAGATCGAGACGCTCTCATGAGGCTTCATCCTCGCAACGTACTTTTCATCCGCAGACCATTTGAACGCTGGCCATTGGACTTTCGCTTTTGGTGGGATGGCTGCTGGGTCCGCGCCTGGGGGAGGCGTGAGGTCGTGTGCGACAAAAGATCGGAGTGGTTTGCCCGTGGTGATGTCCCAGACGACGATGTGCTTGCCTTCTTCGTCGATGGTGAGAGGCCCTTTCCCTTCTTCCACGGTGATGGGCTGATTAGACCAGGTGGTCAAGTATGATTCACCCGGTGAAAATTCGATCAGGCTGACAAAGGGATGGGGGAACTGTCTAATTCTCTTGAAAGACTGGCCACCCCATAATTGAACACCTTGCTGGTGAATAGAAGCAAGGTACGTCCCCTGTGGCGACCACGAAACAAAGAGTTGTGTCCAGTGTTTGCGGTCGACGATGGGCTCGGGAGGTTCCTTTTTGTTGTTCCAGAAAACTCCCACGTTGTCTCCTCGGAACATGACGAATTGATCTCGAGCTTGAGGATCAAAGAGCCATGATCTGAGATGTTCATGCTCTACAAATGGTTCGATCTCAGGAGGGACATATTCTTCATCTATCCTTCCTTCTCTGCCATATTTTTCAATGTCAGTAAGCTTGTTCACTGCCAGTGTGTGTCTTTTGTCCAAGGCTGTTCCGTGCAATTGTTTGGTGGCTGCGATGGCCTGTTCTGGAGTTTGATACTCGACAAAGGCGAAACTGTGGTACAATTAGTAGGTTATAAACAAGAGATATATATATGGCAGCATACCCTTCGGACATTCCCTGCTCATTCATGGGCATGAAGACTGACTCCTCGCCATCTTTTATGCGCCCAACAGAGTTTAGCCTCTTGAGCAAGAATTTGACGAGTTTTGATTTTTGTTCTTGGTTCACGATTGGGAGGCCATCGATAACCTAGCTAGTCAGCATGGCATTCGAAAGTCCTTCTGCACCTGTACATACGACAAAAGTGTCGAGGCCTTCCTCCATGCGCACATCATATCGTTCTTTGAGGTCACTGAAGTCGATGTTCTCTGCTTCATCTTCGAAATCGTGGTCGGAGAGCTGGTCGAATCCTGGAGCCATGATTGCGGTATGCTTTTCCGACTGCACAGGTGAAATGGTTCGAAAGGGAATTGTCGTCGACGCACAGAAATGATCCCTCAAGGCGCAAACGAGCAACTGTCACGAAACTTCAAGTGGGTGACCTAGAATTGTGGATATCGCCAAGATTTCATGGTCACGTGCAGGAGCTTAGTCACCCGCATGTGCCCTTGCGCGAGCAACTGTGAATCCCGCATCTTCACTCCGCACCTTCTCCAGCCTTCTATGTTTCGTCGGGCGCATCACAGGCCTTGATCTGCTGAGGCGGTTGTGATTGACTCGGCTCCTCTACCATTCTATTTAACGAATAGAGTCATTCCTCTCGCATATCTGACTAGTTGGTGGTTGCTCAGCGCAACTCCGACGGCATTGATGCACTTTGGTCCAAGTTGGAGGGAGCGGATGGCGCATGACTTTACTCTGACTGTGGCATGACCCTATCCAATATCGACATTCGCTAGCTCGACCTTTGCCCGCTTGATCCAATCTGTATCTCGTTCCTTGCTTGTTTCAGTCGTCATGTCGTGTAAGTTGCTCTGGGATCGCACTCCTTGACCTGATCTTGCTGACCCTTGCCAGTACCGCCAGAGGTCCGCGCGGCGTACATCACCATCATTGATTCCATCCTCGAGAGGGCTGATCTTACGACTATATCGGTTAAGGGGATTCGGCAAGGCATACAGGATCAAGTTGAATATGACATCACGCCGCAGAAGGTGCGTACAGCTGGGTTCAAGAGGGAACAACCACGGACTGACAAAGCGTAGAATGCTATCAGGGAGTTGATTGGCGAGAGATTCGATCTCGCGAATGCGAAGCGAAATGGCGAGACTACTGTGGTTCAGTCAGTTGAGACAAACGAAGCTGTCGAACCTGCCCCTCAGACTAATGGCATCCATCATTCTTCCGCACAATCCTCGAGCTCACCCGCCAAACGTGAGGCAGAAAGCGAGGATGTTCTCGATGGTATAGACGCACAGCCTCCAAAGAAAAAACAGAAATCGGTCCTCGACGCAGATGCTGCCTACGCAGCTCGTCTACAAGCTGAAGAAGACAAATTGGCTCGGCCTACCCGCGGTGGAGCGAATCGGAAGACAGCTCCTGTCAAAAAGAAGAAGAGGACGAAGAAGGAGCGAGTGACTGGGTCGGATGACTCGGAGATCGAAGGAGACGAGCGCAAGCAAAAACCCAAGCGAGAAACCGGTTTCCACGTACGTTGTGGTGATATAAGGGTGTTTACTAGCACTAATATGACACAGAAGCCGCTCAATCTTTCGCAAGCATTGTCAAATCTATTCGATGGGGCAACCCAGGTGAGCATTTAACCCCCCTCCCGATTATGCTAATGCTAAATCTCAAATAGCTGTCACGGCCAGAGACCACCAAACGCATATGGGCGTACATCAAAGCGAATGATCTTCAAGATCCCAGCGACAAGCGTTACATCATCTGCGACGCGAGGATGCGAGACGTTTTCAAGCAAGACAAGGTCCACATGTTCACCATGACCAAATTGATTTCGCAGCAAATGTATAACCCTGACGAATAAAGACTTGATGGTACACCTGGAAACAATTCTTGGGCAAGCTGAGGACATCAAAATTCCCATTTTGCCTTCTTCCACGGTGATTTAATGAGCCAGTTTTGAGCGGCACAGGATTGGGAACGAAGTTGGGCGTTTGATCCATAAAGGGATAATTCGGATTAGTTGGTCAAAATCTTCGGACGAGGTTTGATTTACTCGCACGCGCTCCGGCATGGCTTTGGGTCACGACAGCTAAACGATCAAAGCATAGATGGAAATATGAGATAGATGATTCAGCTGCGTGTGGGCTGTTATGTGGCTCTCCCTTAACGAGCAGCCAGGCATCCGAAAGGAGTGCTCAGCCTCGCTGACTAAACAACCACCAGAAACGCCTTGCTGCTTTTTCCCAGTCTTGGAGACACCCATCGTGACTCACTTAGTTACTAGGTACTGTGACTCGACCATGAGCTGGAATGTGCGAGACCGACCTCTAATTTCCAAGCCGATTCCCATAACGGACTTTGTAGCGAAGAAGTGTCCGTAGAATTGCTGTAAAAAGAAAGCGGCCGCGGGCTGTGTTGAAATGCCTGTGGAGAAAGTACTGTCCAAAGAAAGCGGCTAAAGGCGAATAATATGGCTTTATTCGTTGTGTCCCTGAAAGTCGCCCGGCCTAATAAAATATTTAGTAACTATGATTGATTACCCCACTATTATACCTGCGAATTATTTTGGTGGGCAAGGAACTTGGAGTTCGTCACTGCTGAAGACATCATTCAACGCAGCATAAACCCCCGACTCCTACAGGGGGACCCAGTTTTGCACCTCCTTACAGACTTGTCGATTCTCACACACATAAACATGTCGAACTCTGCGACCGCCACCGAAGCAACCTCTTCACCACGCGGAGCACATCGAGGCCGAGGCAATCGCTCAAACCAGCACAACCGTGCTGGATCCTACGATCGAGAGTCGCCTGACAATCGAGGTAGAGGAGCTGGAAATCGAGGGGCCAGAGGTTCAAGAGGAGGCAGAGGCAGAGCTAGGGGACATGGGAGAGACGCCACATCTTCAACACCACTGTCTCCTCAATCTACAGCAGAAACTACCTCTGGAAGACCACCTGGAGGCGGCTTCGGTGCGCGCCTGACCGGAGCTGCCTCAGAATTCGAAGGCGATTCAAGTGAACCTCATCCTCGGGAGAATGACAAGGAGCCTGAACTCGCAGAAGAAGCGGAACTCTGCTTCATCTGCGCCAGTCCCATCGAGCATGTCTCCATTGCTCCTTGCAACCATCAAACCTGCCACATTTGCTCATTGAGGCTGAGGGCACTTTATAAGACACGAGCTTGCGCACACTGCAGGGTGAGTTCTTTTTCAGGTATACTCTCTAAACAGCAGACTAACCAGCGTGCAGACAGAAGCGCCTTTCGTGATCTTTACCGACGATGCGGAGAAACGGTACGAAGACTTCAAGGACAATGAATTCGTCAAGATCGATGAAAACCTGGGAATCAAGTACGAAAAGGACATCATCCTAGAAGATACCATTCTCCTACTGCGATACAATTGTCCAGACAAAGATTGTGATGTTGCATGCCTGGGTTGGCCAGATCTGCACCGTCATGTCAGAACCAAGCATGGAAAGGTCATGTGCGATTTATGCACGAGAAACAAGAAAGTTTTCACGCATGAGCACGAGTTGTTCACGTTTGGCGAGTTACGCAGGCACGAGAAATTCGGCGACGACAACCCAGGAGCCATTGATCAGTCCGGCTTCAAGGGACATCCTGAATGCGGGTTTTGCAAACAAAGATTCTACGGAGACGACGAGCTTTATGCCCACTGCCGAGAGAAACATGAGAGGTGCCACATTTGTGATAGACGGAACGGTGGAAGAAATCCACAGTACTACCTCAACTATCAAGAACTGGAGAAACATTTTGCAGCGGACCATTTTGTCTGCCTGGACGCCGAATGTCAGGCCAACAAAACGAACGTCTTCGAGTCGGAGATGGATCTCAAAGCACATCAATTATCCGAACACCCAAATGGGCTTTCTAAGGATGCTCGTAGGGACGCTCGTCTTGTCGATTTGTCCGGTTTTGCTCTTCGGGAGCCCTACCAACCGCCTCGAAGAGGTGATCGAGCAAATCGTGGTGCCGGAAGAGGTCGTGATCCCAATGCCGAACCATTGCCCGTATCAAGTGCTCAACCAATTGGCCGTGCAGAACTGGCTTACCAACGCCAACTTGCGATACAAAGCTCTCAGTCAGTGTCGAGTAGGAACTTTGGCGGTCAATTGACACAAAACACTCCTATCGCACGCCGTCAGCCAGCGTCTCCGCAAGCCACCCCATCATTACCTGCTGTTGAAAATCTCGCCATCGACGACAGACCTATACCTGCTGCAGCCATGACGCCTCAGGAGCAGGCACGAGCGTTGCGCCACCAGGCAGTAACTGACCGCGCCACATCGCTCCTCAAGAACGACAAGAACAAGCTTTCCCAGTTTCGAACCCATGTCTCCGCCTTCCGCAGCGGCACTAGCTCTGCAAACAACCTCATTGACTCATTCTTCTCCCTTTTCGACTGTCCAAGTTCTGAACTGGGTAAGCTCATCCGCGAACTGGCAGATCTGTATGAAGACGAGACGAAGCGTCAGGCCCTGCTGCAGGCGTGGAACAATTGGCGCAGTATCAACGAAGATTATCCCAGCCTCCCCGGTCCCAGTGGCACTCTCCCGGGCGTCTCGAGTGGCCCGGCAAGTTCTGGCCGGAGGGTGTTGACCTTGAAGAAGAGCACAGCCCAGTCATCCCGCTCAGCAGTGTCAAGACAAGGTTCATGGGGGAATGCCATTACTCGGGGAACAAGTCAAGATCCATTTCCTGCCTTGTCAGTTGCAGCAGATAAGAGCGCTCCGCGCGCAAATGCACCTACAGCAGTTCCTGCATGGGGCAATACATCTGCGCCCACAGTTACCAACACCACCCCAAGCGCCGTACGTCCAACAGCAGCACCTCCTACGACTGCGTCCACGATCCGTCAGAAAACCAACAACACCCGTGGTATGGCTCCGCCGCGTCCCACGGAGGACGCTTTCCCCTCGTTACCTGCCGCACCAAAGCCGAACACGATGATGGCCGGCTTCAACACGCGCGGCTCGGTGCGATGGCTCAGCTCACCTTCCAGCTCGGGAACCACTACACCTGTAGTAAATCCATGGGGAAACGGAGGGCTGACGCCCACACCGGCACAGGCACAGGCAACAGCCGGAGCTGCTGTAAGTGCAGGTGCAGGTCGTTTCGAAGGAGGAGCTGCTGGTGACAACACTACCAACGATGGTGAAGCGCCTTCGGCAGGGAAGAGGAAAGGAAAGAAGGGAAAGAAGGGAGAGACGTTGTTTCATTTCGGGTAGATCGACTAGACTATCCGCTAATACCGTGGCGTAACACACTGGAAGAGAAAACCCGATAGCATCACACGAAGTTAACGGCCGAAAGCTTTATGGCTGTTCGAATTTGTGCAGGGTCAAAAAGTGATCTTGTGCAAGTTGTTGCTGGCAGGAGATGCCAACGAGACAGACAGATAACGAGACCTTATTGAAATGGTACTTCCTTAAAATAAGAGATAACTTGAGCAATCGACTAGTGGGTGTTAGTAGTCGCTCACCCTGGCTGTCGTTTCCTGAACTATCATCAGATTTCAAGAACGTTGCACTGTTGGATGTCCCAAAGTCTCATTGTAGCTGGGACTCATACAGGATTATTGAATCTTCGACTCAGTAAAGAGAGTGTATGGGAGTACTTTTACCAAGAAATCGCAGACTTCGGGCGGGCGAGGTGAACATGCTGAGGAGTTGATGATCATCAAAGAATTCATATATGCGATTGAGACTGCGAATATTCCGAGTCGCGTAGGGAAGAAGCACAAGCTGCATGTCATCTGGAAATGAAACCAAGGCTTTGCATTTGCTCAGTTCTACCCTCTTTGCCATCTCTGACAGCCCGCGGCTATTTGCAAGCTCAATCTGTAGCTCCTGTACGATTTGATAATTGTTTGGAAGTGTATTCATGCCAACTTCTCGGTCTTCTGCCTCATCAACGCCATCTCAATTGCCCATCTCCTCTCCCTTGACGTACGGCGTACACGTGTAGTCAGTATCGTACTGGAGACTGCCATTCCAGAAATCTTCATCCATCTTCAACAAACCCATCACCTTGATGGCAGTCTTGACATTGGTGAATTCGATCGATGCGCAGCCATCAGGTGTGTAGCTGTACTCAATGACATGTTGAGCATGAGGGTGTTTGACCTTGAATGGGATCGTATTGTAGATGTACTCATCTATGTCACTGATGAGGATGATCCGGGAAGCACCAGAGCTGCCCAAGACTTTGCGTTCAAGCTCCTCATTTCGGGGATAAGTTGGATCCGTGGGCATCCAGCATCGAACGGCAACCCCCTTTATCTTGAATCGGTTCGAGTCATTGTCTTCCCCAGCTTTAGCTTCTTGGTGTTTGATCATGTTGTGCGCAGACTCTTCATAATTGAACACAACTCGAGCAGTCATGAAGTTTGTCACTTTGCCGATGGGTGGGAAAAGCTGGATTGACTCCAGGGAACCGCCCTTGACAATACTCAGCACATCCGGAAAAGTGCTGCCGATAGGAATGGCGTCGATCATGACAGTGCGATATGCATCAGTGGTGCCAGCTGCATCCTCAGGAAGGTAGCGCACTGGATGGTCCATGAAGGGGCTGTTTTGGCGCCAGGCAATCCCGTTCTCCCCGAGGGCGTGCCACTTTTCTTCCTCACTATCAAAAATTGGATTGTCTTTCGTAATCAACCATTTCGGCTCCCCATGAAGGTTATCGCCGACCTGAAGAGTGATGCGAGATTTTGGCTGAGCTGCGGTGGAAGGGACCACATCGGTGGCGGGTTGGCCATGACGGTCGTCGGCGAGAGAAGAAGGCGGGCTGAGTCTGCCATATTGCTCGTCGCTGGACGGCTTGCTCGGTGTTTCGTTATGCAGGAACACCTCAGCCTTTGACAGATGCAGCTTCACTCCGTTTGACTATTAGAACACGTCAATAACTCTCGGCCCTCGGCCCTCGCAAGATTGAACAGACCTTTTCTCCGGAGGCCTGCGCCTCTGCATCGACAGGTTTTTGCCCATACTTAGCAACAAATTCCGCAGGCTAAGTAAGGGTTAGTGCATTTTTCCAGATAGAGTCAAAGGAGATGGCCATTACCAGCTCGAGGACAGGATTTTCCGTAGTCTACCCTGGTCAGTCAACATTCACCATCAACACTCACCAGAGAAGCATGTCTCTCACTCACCAGAAGGCGGACTTGACTTTTGCTGTTTGTTGAAACTTTCAGTCGTTGCTGAATTTCGTTTGCAAGATCATCGACCCGGCTTTCTTCCTTTGGAGCAGCCATGTCACCTTCGCCTTCAGTTTTTTCCTTCTCCTTTGCTTCTCCGAGTGACTCTGGGGAGATGTCGATGAGTCTGTTGATACTTGGACGACGCCTAGCAGGAGTGGTGGGGGCTTTGCCGTCGTCAACGTTCTCGTCGATGGAGAAGTGCTTGCGAAGAGTTCGCCGTAAAATGGAGTCGGCAGAATCATCAAACGTGGGCTTCTTCAGCAGTTCAAGATTGTAGAGCTGCGCATCATCGACGACATCGTTGAATGGCGCGACATTCACATCAGCCGTGTCTTTCTTGGCTGAGACACCAGTTCCGGAACGTTCTTTTTCTGTTTGTTGTTCCTTTTCTTTACGCTGTTCCTTCTCCTTGGCAGCGTCTTTGGCTTTTTGGTATTCACGGTAGAACTCTTTCAAAGCTGCCTCTTCTTCTGATTCGTCTGGAAAGTTGGCGATTTTCAGTTTATCAGGCCATACACCAGGCCGTTCAAGAGGCCATACACCAGGGGCGACGCGGTGATACTTGTTGGTATTGTATTTGATGATGTCACCTAGGTTTTTGATTGTCATTGTCATGCTCGAGATCTGTTGTCTATATTGCTTGAGTTGATCCTCCGCCTCAGTGCGTTTTCTAATCTGGTAGTTCAAGACTGCTTTGGTCACACTGTGAGCTCGCTGCTCGTTCGCGAGGGCCACACACAACGTTTCGCTGAAAGAAGTTTCGTCATTCAGGCTTTGACCGCTGTATTCCCCCTCTTGTGGGAATGCAGTAGACATTGGATCCAAGGGTGGGACTTGAATTTGGGATAGCCCCAATTCTGGAGCCTGCACGAGTTATCAGTAAGACGGAGGCAATGAGAAGCAGGTGGCAAATGACCTCTGAATGCACACCTACGTTGAAAGAGGTACTTTGTCGCTGTTCTCTCAGGACAGCATTGGGTTCCTGCTGTACCTGAATCACGGAGACGTTCTTTGTCGGGCTTGCAGCACCTGCAACAGCAGAACGGAGCGCTGCAGGACCAAGTCGCAGACGAGAATCGCCAAGATCAGGTTTGATGTGTTTGTTGAAGAAGTTTGCATCGGCCGAAGAAGAGTTTGAGTATGATAGAGGTTTCTCAGGTGACACATTAGTGACAGTGTGGAGCTTGTTCTGTGAAGTGCCCGCTGCAACGCGAGGCAGCCTCCGGCTGAGCTGCTCTTCAAGGTAGAGCTTTGCTGACTGGGTGAGGGTTTGAATGCTGCTGCTGCTGCTGACAGGATCCACAGGAGTGAATTTGAAGCTGCCGAGCTGAGACTGATTGAGGTCCTGACGCTCCATGGGAGGGTATTTGAACAGCCGCTCAGAAGCGTTGTTCGAAGCCATGGCGAGCTGCTGATCAGAAAGCGAAGAAGAAGATGCACATAAGAAGAAATCAACAGCATGAATTTAGGAAGTGAGTGAGCAAGTGATGAGTACCGGGAATGTTCAAGACTCGGATGTGTAGTTGTGGGAGTCTGGGAGATCAAAGGAAAGACCGCCGTGACCTGGAGAGTCTATTTCGCACAGCTTCGCACAGCTTCGAACCGGAACCTGCGCAGCTGCACCTGCAAAACCCCTTGTCGACAACGAGTCCTCACTTACCAGCACATCCCTCCTAGGAACTTCTGCACGTATATGATTGATCCAGTGGCATCTCTCTGCAAGTCTGGAATGTCCTCAGCATCCAGATTTCGTCCCAGCCCAGCGTCACGTTCCTCCCAATTTCTCCGACCAGAGCCATAGCTTCCACATTCATTCGATGCTCCTGACCGGCCATGCTCTACATGGCTGCATTTTTGCAAAGTGCTGCATGCACCAACGAGCCTATTGCTTCCAGACATTCATCAAGCACACTGCGCACAGCTGCCCCGGTCGCTGGGCACTGAATCTGCGAGGAGGATAACGATGTCCTCATTGTGCACGGTTATCAATTCTTTCCTTGCGCTGGTCACATCCTCTGCCAGCAATACCAAAGTGCTGGGAAATCTTACGACCAAGCCCGCCACTGAGCAGCTCATGAGCCAGCCCGCATGACACGACGATTTCAACAAGAAAAAGAGCTGTGGTTGAGAAACATTGGAGCGTTTCTCCAAAATGGTTGATGCTCGCAAGTGGAGGGTCCCCTCAAGCTTTCGGTAGAGAGCGCCGATGGTCCGTGTCCACAAATGCCGATAGTTTCACAGGACATGCATGAGGCAGTCAGGCGACGTGACATTGGGATAACCCCCCTTTCAACCGAAAAGTCGCTGAGCCTATGAATGTACCTGCTCGAGCCAATCATCCGTGTAGCGACCGACTCTCTCCGCCTAAATCCTTAGGCGGAATGGGAGGCATCAAGCATCAGAATCGCCGCAACCTCGTGTTTTGCAATGGATGTGGCAAAACATTGTGGACTGATATGCCCATATCGGCAAGTGACCGTTGCTACCCCAATCCCCCGATTTGCCTTGGCTGACAACATCCACCCATCGCCGGAGTTTGGAAAGCTTGGAAGCCACTGGGAGCTTTATCCAGTATCTTCTAGCGCGTCTTGGATGCGGGAAGCTTAGAATGACTCGGACAACTATATCTCTTGGATCGACGTCAATGGCTGGTTGCAATTCGTTGATGGTTTCACACGACGATCGACGTATGTCCATCATCCACGTTCATTCCACCACGAGTCCCTGCCGCCAACCGTCACATACGGAACTAGAACCCCATGAGGAAGGACAGTATGACAATGCAAGGATATCCTTCTGGCCTGACGTCCCTTCGTCCTTCTGAACCAGAATATCTACCCCGGCAAGGCATCCTTGTGGACCATCCATCATGGTAAGCGGTTGTCCTCCGTTGCTCCAGATTAAAAATATCCTTGGTTGAGTCTGTGCGATCCTCCATCCACCTCCTTCGACATCTGGCCATATATACACCGTGTCTCTGTCCCATTGATCTAGTCTACACAAAGCACCTGTTGTAGCTTGCGATCATGGAAAAAGCTAATCCCAAAGTATCAGACTCCGACGATACTCGTTCTCCATCTGAGAATGAGAAACACATCGAAGGCGGTGTTCCTGTCAATGTTGTCACCGTCCCTGATCCAGACGAAGGGCTCAGCGAAGAAGAGCGGAAGCGAATCGTAGGCGATACTTTGTTGCGTTCTCCGAGAAATGAATAGCTGATAGTCTCCAGGATCGCAAATTGCTCTGGAAACTCGACATCCAGCTGATCCCATGGCTTTGCTTGCTCTACCTGATTTCCTTCTTGGACCGAACCAATATCGGAAATGCCAAAATCGACGGCCTGCAAGAAGACTTGAATCTGACTAATAACGAATACAATGATACCTTGACCATTTTTTTCATTTCGTATTCGCTATTCGAGCCTTTGACCCAGATTTTATTGAAACGTTTCCGGCCGTCGATATTCCTTCCTACGATCATGGTTCTATGGGGTGAGTAGACTGAGATAGCCAAAGTTCCACCCTCCAATTCGGTGTGCGTCTTATTTCCGTACCAGACTGCTGATCGGAGTCCTATCTCCCCAGGTATCTGTATGACCACGATGGGTCTTGTCCACAACTTTTCCGGCCTCATGGCATCGCGATGGTTCCTTGGGCTTACTGAAGCTGGGCTTTTTCCTGGTTCGTCAAATGTTGGAGCCGCTCGAGATTCTCTCTGACCTCATCACAGGCGTCAATTACTACCTGTCTTGTTGGTACAGGCGCTCTGAGTTTGGTATTCGAGCGGCCATCTTCTTCTCAGCGGCTGCTCTTGCCGGTTCATTTGGTGGGCTATTAGCTGCCGCTATCGTCCAGATGGACGGGGTGGGGGGCAAGCCGGGCTGGGCATGGATCTTTATCCTCGAAGGTCTGGCGACGATCATCATAGCCGGGTTATCATACTTCATGGTGAGTTCCATGGTGTCATTCCGAATGGACATACGCAAGCTGACGCATTGTAGGTCCACGATTTCCCCGACGAAGCGAAATTTCTCAGCGAAGATGACCGGCGTCGTGTGATTCGGCGCCTGAAACTCGATAAGCAATCGAGCGCCGAGCACGAAGCGTTCAAGATGCAGTATTTTTGGTCAGCGGCAAAGGACTGGAAGACTTGGACGGGCGCCATCATTTATATGGGGTGTGACGGCGGTGAGGAAAACTATGCTAGTGATATTGGCGATTGCACTAATCTCCAACAGCTCTTTATGCATTTTCACTTTTCATTCCCACCATTATTCAGCAAATGGGCTATAAAAGTATACACGCGCAGCTGCTCAGCGTACCTCCTTATGCTGTGGCCGCGGTGGTAACGATCTTCGTGGGGTTTGTTGCAGACAGGACTGGGATGAGAGGTATGTCTCGCCTTTTTCTCCCTGCCCTCTTCAAGACCTCTTACGCTGATTTACCAATTAGGATACTGCAACATGGTTATGGCCTTGTTCGGTATAGTCGGCTTCGCCATGCTTCTGGGCTCGGGAGTACCCCATGTCCAATACGCTGGGGTGTTCTTGGGCGCGATGGGAATATACCCATGCATTCCAAATACGATCACCTGGACGGCGAACAACGTTGAGGGTGTCTATAAGCGAGGTATTGCCTTGGGATTCGTGATTGGATGGGGCAACCTGAACGGTACGTGGAAAAGCTCCTCTCCTCTGCGCTTCTCTGCATCGAGTTCTACATCTCCTATACACGGGTGTAGTGTCCTCTGGGGGTTATCCTGGAGTGATTCGGAATTTCTTTTCAGATCGAAGAGAGTGTTCTAGAAGCACATACCACAAATACTGACAGCGTGGGACAGGAATCATGTCCAGCAACATCTATCGTGCACAAGACAAGCCTCGCTACCGACCCGGCCACGCCGTCGTTCTCGGCTACGAAGCTCTCTTCCTTCTGGGCGGCAGTTTCTTGCAGCATGTCCTGTTGAGGAGAGAGAATGCCAAGCGTAGGGCGGGAGAGAGGGATGTCTGGGTGGAGGGTAAGACGGAGGAGGAGATCGACAAGCTTGGTGATTTGAGGCCGGATTTCATCTACACCCTTTAGTGTTTCGGGGGTATCCTGGGAGAGAATTGAGGGCCGAAAGCCACTGTAGGGCAGCAGCGAAATGAGGGCAAATTCCCGTGCTTTGCTGGTAGAAGAGACAAAATAGACGCCGGACAGGGCAGTGCGGCGTTCTCAAGCAGAAAGAGATTCGTATCAGTGGAGGTGACCGATGCACAGAGTCACGCGAGAACGATTGGGTTGGGGACTGCGGGATGAAATCGGAATGGTCTGTGCCAGTGCCAGTGCCACGGCCAATCCTGGTCTGAAGGCCAACCTCAAAATGACGCTTGCAGAACTATCAGGGTGCCAGGTTCACAGAGAGTTTAGAGACAAAGAGCGCCTCTCTCCAGCGTTCCATTGATGAATACCTAGGTATCTGACTGGATCTTCTGCTCGAGCAAAATATCAGGACCGACCCTGGCCACATGATCCAGCCCTGCCATCGGGCCCTGACCGATGTTATTTACCTAGGTAGATATCTTCCAGGTAGAATACTTGGTACAGCATCTCATATCCATCATATCCCAAAGGAGGTGGAAAACCAGTTCTGCAGCTCTCGGCTGGTAACACAAAGCATATGAAGCGCTCTCTTCCACCCTTTCTCGGGGAAGGGCACGGTTCATGACAACATATCCTTTTTCGTTCATGCAGATGCATGCCTTTTCCGAGTCGTGTTCTTCCGTGTCGTGTTCAAGCCGTGTCAGGTGTCAGGATCAATTCATTGGTTCATTGCTTTTAGCTCTCGTGTTGGGCGAATCTATCCGCGGTGGTGATTTGGACTTCCGGCCCGGGTGAGGGGAGTTGCTTACTCTGGCACGCTGGTTAACCATGCCTTGACCTCTGTCGTGACTCCGAAAGCGGAGAATACGGCACAAGGGGTAGAACGAATCCGGGACTTACGATCTTCTTCTCTCGCCCTCTCGACGAAATTCCTCAATAATGCGCAACATCTCCTTCCTCCCGGCCGAAGCGTCAACTCTCCTACCACCCAGGCTCATACTAACTTTTGCGTCCGTCCTGACCATCAAGAGCCTCTTCAAAAGTAAATGTCGCATGTTCAAACACACAAACACCCCACAGTCGCTCGAGTTGTCCTGCAACGGCGAGTCGGTCAGTTGGATGAACCGGAGAGGTCTGTTGATGAGCCGGGAGAGCTTTTGGGTGACGTAGTGTGCTTCGTTCTGGTTTCCGGGGGGCATGCTGTCGTAATGGAATGCCACGCCGTCGACGATGGAGACCAAGAGCAGGGACCAGTGTGTGCCGCCTTCGGCGATGGAGGCAGAGTGGTTGTCATTGATGGGGAGGAAGATGTGTGAGACGTTGGTGAAGTCGGGGAGAGCGTCCTACAAGTCCAGTAAGTGAAAGGTTTAGAAAAGGGCCGACCGCCATGGCCACCGTGTGTAGTGTGTGTTGTTGACGGCAGAATATACCTTTATCGTCCGAGGATCTGGGGTCTGCATGAGCATGAAGGACATGGTAGGGCGGAGGAGGACGATGTGCGAGTGTTTGTAGTTTGTGAGATATTCTCGCTCCAGATACCTTTGACAGCGAATTCTTGTTAGGTCTTGTATCTCTCTTCTTGATACGTTGTGGGATGTGGGATGTGGCCTACTCTTCCCAAAATGAGATGACCTGTACAGGCAATCAAAACCGTCAGTCTCAGCAGCCTTGTTATCGTGATGATGGATCACAAGCATACATTGTCCGTTAACCAGTCATTCTTCAGCACCGATATGTCTTCTCTTGTCACTATAACCTCTCCCTTTATCTCAGCACGTGGATTTTGTTGTGGGAAAGCAATCAGGTGTAGATACAGGGACGAAGGTGGTACCGACATCGAACATCGTAGTCTGCATGGCCTTGGTCAGAATGGAATTGCGGGAGTGAGACCAGAGGCTACTCACAGCTCAAGTACGCATCTTCCGGAGCAAGCTTCGTGTCCATAGCGTATCAGTTAGCTTATCGATACAATCGGTATCGATAACATGTAGAAGTGTGGCAGCGATACGCAGCGATATGCAGCGGTAGTGGGAGGGGTGGTGGAGATGGGAGAAAGTCTCTTTGTGTCTTGTGCACCTACCGATCTCCCAAATGTTCGGCTTATTCGCCCTCCAAATGGATGAATATCAGGCATAGTTGCCGAGCTTCTCGCCGAGATGCTCAGTTGTCTGTTCAATGCTAACGCCAGTCGCGATGATGTCGTCGAGACGCAAAGTATGAGGCTGCGGGTGAGGCTGCGGGTGCGGCAGCGGCAATTGGTGATAGCTTCACAGGTCACCAGTCAGTGCCGGGTCGACGAGGTTTCATGCTGAATTTATAGTTGGGAGAGGCAAAACGTCTGTACAGCGACACGCAAATGTGCAATGCGCACTGAGCGCCTCTCGCGGTCAAAATGTGTTGTTGAGCGAGATGAGGCTCGTTCCGTTGCACCACTGCATCTTCTGCGCGGTGGTGGGACTCGCTGCGGACGACGGACGACGGACGTCACTATCGCCCGCGCCAGTCGACAGCCTCACAGCCTCACAGCCTCGTCAGCCTCATCCTAGGCTCCACACTCAACAATAGCCTGCGCGCCTTGGCCCTTGCTGCGTTTACCGAGCACAAAGTAAGTTCGTCCTTAGGCTGGCTAGGTTCGAGGCGGCAGACTGTTCATATCTTTCACATATGCTTTTCATTTTCTCTCTTCAGTGTAGAGCGTGTCCAACTACAAGGTCTCTTCAACACCTGGCATCTCAGGCTGCCTTCCATCAAGTCATGGCCCTCTCTGATAATACTGTACATTTGCTTCCCTCCTTTTTTGCTTTGTGGTACATGCCAACGCCGACCGTCCTTTAAATCCGCTAGAACGCTTCAACCGTAAAGAAATAAAGAAGAAAAAATCCATCGTTGAAACCTGGTAAGCCCTGCACTCGTCAAGCCAACAACCCATCTTGATTGAAACGCACGAGCATTGTCCTGTCAAAGGTCGCAGGTGGTTCCCTTATACGGAGAGGGAGTCCCGTCCAGTCCAGTACGTGTCGCGTGAGCCATGTATGCCCCCGACCGGTTTATCCAAGATCATGCCATGAAGTACGATATCGCGAACCATTTCACCAGCTCATTCCGCCAGTTTGGCAAAATGCTTGTTCCAGATCCAGCCAATTTCTCTGGTCGGGTCGTCTTGGTTGATCGCCAGCCATAGTTCTCCATGTTCAGCAATAATGTCGAAGATCTCCCCAATCACGTATGTGAGGTAGCGGAACCCGCCTTGCTGCCGCGAGCGATCAATATTGAACTCATAGACACTAGCCGCAGTAAATAGAACACCGGGCTCTCTGCGTGGCTCCGGAACCGCTGGTGTTGTCTCCGGCTCCGGGGTTTCTTCCATAGGCATTGCGGAAGAGAACACACTGGCTCCACTTGTAGCCGGCAGATGGGGTTGTGACTGACTTGGTCCTGGAGCTGCCGAGTAGAACGTAGATGAGGATGCGTGTCGCACTGCCATAGGAGATTCGGTTAACAGTTCGCCAAGTGATGGAGACGGCGCTTCGAAGCTCAACCGAGGAGCCGGCTGGTTACTATCCGCTGATAGTCCTGGACTAGTCCCCGGCCGAGACACGTTCGTGCTATTGACGGTATGAAGAGACGCAGAAACACCTCGACTTCCTGTCTCGGGAGTTTTGGGGATCCGCCCAGATGCAGCTGAGCCGGTCCGAATCCGCCCATTGGCAAATGTAGAAGAACTCCATTCCGTGTGGTCATCACTTTGAGAACTCATTGGACCCCCGCTGTTCCGGTGATAGTGGTCCTTTAATGGCAACGGGGGCATGTCTTCAGATGTCGAGACAGATCGCTTCGGTGCGCTGTTCCATGACGGTTGACGGGGCGACTCGTCACCCATCAATGTCGAGCCTGGAGTTAAGAACGATACCATGTTCACTGCCTCTGCTAGCAATGATCCATTACAGATGCTCAGGGACAATGCAGTCGCTTCTTGAAAATCAAAGTCTTCTTGCCAGTCTTTGACGATATCGGCCGTTTCCAGCTTGTCCAAGGGTATCTCCATTGCGGCCGAGAATTTTTGCCGGCACATGGCCATCCAATTGAGATGCAACTGAATAAGATTGGCCTGACAAGCGTGTACAAGATCAGCCGTTGATCGGAGAAGTCGCTTCATTCTCTCTTTGGCCTCGAGGTTCAGAGCTTCCCATTGTTCCATGCGCTCAGTCATCTTCTTGTCAATCTTTTCGCCTCTGTCTTTCTTGTTTTTGAACTGGTTGTAGTCCAGAAGCCGCTTGTCCCGCTTTTGGATCAGTCCTTTGGAATCGGATTTAAACCTTTCGAGCATCGTTGCCGTCTTTTCCATGGGCTGGACAACGCGTTTTATGATCTGCTCGTTGTGGTCGGGAAGTGCAATTGAATGGACGCCTCGAACAACAATGGCAAACTGTCGAAGTTTGCTCTCGGCTTGCGCATGGTTCGTATGTCCAACATCGACCCATGCCTCGGCTGCGGCTGCCAACTCCACCAGGCGATTAACCCACTTGGTGATCTCTTCAATATAGCCTTGACAATCCTTCGTAACCAAGAAAAGGTGCGCAATGTTGTTATCATAGTTGATCTTGAGTTTGGTATACTCTGCATCCTCGTGCATCTCGTTGATGCCCACATGTTGCCTTAACTTTTCTGCACGCCGACCAAACGCCTTGGTCAACCCATTTCGAACATCAGACTCTTTCCGCTTGCGGTTGAGAACCTGATCGACAAGCTCGGTGTGCTTCTTTACTTCATTGATCCGCACATTGACCTCAGTCACCTCAAGTGCAGCTCTTCGGATAAACTCGACGTCAGGATGAGTATCCGGGGTGGCTTCCAGGAGTTGATTGAGTAAGAGCGGATACTTGGTGATGCGTTGTATCGGTTTGACAAGAAGTGCGTCCAGACTCCAAGCATTCGTAATGTCGCTTGAATTCTCGCTGCATTCTTTAAGCCACTCTCGTACAGCGGCCGACGATTGCAGCGCCTCCAACCTTTTGTTTGCTGCATGTCGCGTGCGAATGTAGTCGGTGTATACTTTCTCCATGTCGCCTATTGAGGCTTCGAATGCGGTCCCCACCCTTGTAAGTTCGTCCCGTTCGAAGTCGGTCAGCTCACCAATGCCGTCAATAGAAGCTTCAGAGCTCTGAACTGTCGAGGTCCGATTGCCATCTTTTCGTCGATCAGATCTTTCCATTACGTAAGCTGGCCTAACGACCTGCTTCAAATACGCCAGGAAGTCTTTGGAAAACTGTTGTACAAGATCCACATTGCCAAATAAAATCTTGATATCCTCGTCATTTATGGCGGCAATTGCAGTTTGCTTATAGATGTCGCACAGGACTCTCATGTCTCTTTCGTATGTATATTCGGTATCAACCAATTCTTTGAGGACGTGTCTTCTTTTGTTCAGGCGGCGTTGCTCAGGACTTTGGTCATCCATGGATGGCCTGGTATCCTGCAAGCTGGATTGTGTCGTCTGTTGGTCAATGCTTGATCTGGCAGACATCTGCGATAACGCCGTGAGCGGTCTGGCTGGTGGCGCCGTTTGGGGCATGGCTGGTCTCATTCCAGTTGGGGCAGACCAGGCAGTCTGATCAATGGTGGGCATTTTCACAAGCGGAGGGGGCGGTGGAGAGTGAGATGGTGGGCGTGGAATGTTACTTTCAGCTCCCACTGGTAGAAAATCGTGCGGCGGCTGCTCAGGCTCATTTGGGTTAACGCTTTGATAGTTTTCGGTCTTCGAGAATCCTGATCCAGCGTCTGCAAAGGTTTCGTGAGCCAAGGCAGATGGTTGCCTTTCTTCAGTTGGTGATCTCAGAGCAAATTGCATCCAGTCACCCACTGATGGCGAAGTCTCAGCCCAGTCTTCTGCACTGTCCAAGCTGGATTTGTATCGATGATGCGTTCGGTAGCTTGATGGTGGCACCGGCGGCGCTGGTGGGGTAACTTGGCTTGGACCGTGAATATCTGGAGATTTGGTGGTATTGTCATGCTGCTCCTCGCTCGTGTCATGGCCAGAATAGGGTTCTGCTTCGGCGTGAAAAGACTCGGCTGATTGCGGACGTGAAGTTTCGAGCTGGTCCCATTGACGGGTATACTCGTCTAGTTCCTCCAGACACAACCGCTGCACTTTTTCCTCATTTGCGTTTTCCGCGTCGGCCAGGTCTGGCGAAGCCTGAATGATGCGATGGTAAATATCATCTACAAGCTGCTGGTCGACGACTCCCGAGGGCGTTTGTTGCTGTAGAACTTTATTCACTATTGTGTAGGCGTCACTGGCATGGTGCTCACCATGCGAGCCACCCTCAAGACTCAACTGATCGGACGCCGAATGTGAATCAGATTCTATATGAGTAGTCTCTGCTTCATGCTGAAACTGCGGAGGCGGCTGGACAACAGAAGGAGGCTCGTCACCTGCCTCAGATTCAGGTATATCTTCTATTGAAGAAGTCCACGAGTTTCTTCCGTCGCTTTGCGGGCGCGCGTGTTCCGGCTGAGGAAGGGGCACCAAGGGTCGATAACCTTTCTCTGCAGCTTCATCGTCGTCGAGATATGTCGTGTCGCGAAGCATCAGATGAACAGATACCTGATCAGCGTGATCAGAAAGCTCGCCAGACGCTTGAGAAGCAGACGAGAGAGGTGGGGTAGAGTCCTGACTTCGAAGCGCATTTATTTGATTGCGAAGTGATAGCCCAGTAGTCTGGAGCCGCGATGTATCCGTTTGCGGCTCAGCATCGATCATGGTGGCCTCAGTCGCCACGGTACCCTCTGTGACTGCAGACTGAGGCTCTTGTTCGTCACGTGCAGGTTGTAGATGTGTGTTCAGACTAAAAGGGATGCCATTGAAGGCAGGCTCGGCATGACCAAGCGTAGGCGAATCCACATCATCAGCCGAATGTTGCACATTTCCTTCAACGATCTTCAAAGCCGTTTGGGTAAATGCCCGTTGATCTTGAGAGACCTCTCCATTGCCGGTGTAGAACGCACGCTCCTCAGACGTGTCTGTGGGCACTTCATTCACAACGACAGCAGGAATCTCAAGCGTTTCTTGCCGTTGGTCCGAAGTGTCGGAATCTTCGAAGGAAGGCGTCATAGTATCTGCACGGCTGGCTGAATTGTCACGATTCTCTGGGTTGCCACCTTTCAGATCCTGACCTTCTCGGGACCGGCTCAAAGCTTGTGTGATCTTTAGCCGCCGAGCCTTCAAATCGATATCACTAAGTTCTGGAGGTCTCTGTCGTCTGAAAGCTTTTCTGTCACTTTGCTGCTTGGCCATAGTCTGGAATTTTTCGGCCATCTTCGCACGGGACGCGGCTGTGGTAGCGGAAGACACAGGGAGTCTGGGCCTCGAGCTTCTGAGGGGGGGAGAGACCTTCGGCGGAGGGGCAATGATGTTTGCTCGAAGAGAAGGACTCTTTTCACCACTTGCTGTTGTAGAAGGGCGCCCTCGGTTATTCGGACTCTTTATTTGCACTGGAGATCGTGGCTGCCGCTTAGGACTGTGCTGCTTTCGCTCTCCTGATGGAGAAGGATTTGATGCCTTCAATCCCGATTCTAGAGCCCGGAAAGGAAGCTGTTGGTGAGGGACGATAGCTGGACGACCAGTCGGAGATATCGCCGCAGAGTCTGATGCAATACGTTGATGTCTCGTACTTACTGGGATTCGAGATTGCGCGTTTGATTTTGACGACGAATCGGCCGCGTGCTTATGACTGCTGCCCCGGGTGCTGATCGACGGCGTTTGATCTTCATGCAAGAAGGTCTTCGAGGCTGGTCCAGGCACATCACTATTTGCTCGCCGGTGTGGAGGTCGGGAATGGGGATGGCCATTAGAAGCATAACCAGACGTATGGGAGTGCATGGCTGAAGGTGAGATTGGGGGCCCTGGCGAATGAAGATGGCCACGTCTCGTTGAAAACATTGGATTAGGACTATGCATGGGGGACCCTTCTGAGCCTCGTCGCCGACGAGCATTGTAAATGCCATATCCCGGCGCTGCTGGAAGATTGGCCGCAGAGGAGGGAACTTCGCCGAACAGCAATTGCCGGCCAGCAGCCGGGACTTCGGGATTGCTGGCTACTTGACTCAACCCTCCAGCAGAAGATGCATTCCTCGAGTGAGTAGACTGGTCATTTGCGGCGGCTCTGAATCCCAGTGCGCTTCCTGCTCTCCTTGAAGCATCTGAGACTCTTGATGACAGTCGCTTGACTTGAGGGTGATAAGAGTGAGAAGTCTCCACAGAGGCATATGGCATAGGACTTGCGGTTCTCGAGGCGGGTCGAGAAACTTGCTGAGTAGGCAGAGGTGGGACGTCGTCAGGCGAGGCATCAAACCGAGCTACCAGATCTTTGAATGAAGCTTTCCTTGACTTCAAAGAATTGGGCATCGGTCCAGAAGATTTCGCATGTCCACCATCATACGTACCATTAGGCAAAGTCTGAGTATTCAACGATAATTTCCGAGAACCACCCGAGCTTTTGGCTCCCCTTGCCATTCTGTCATCAGTGGTGAAGCTGGAGGTTCGAGCGGTGACGGGCGGCTCTTCTGCCCGTTCAATTGGGTCGGTTCGTATGGCCTCTTGGTGCAGGGCCACGAGGGATGAATTCCCCAAAGGATCCTGATACTGGCGATAGAACTCGCGTGGGTCATTTTGGATATCCTCATTGGGGACAGAATCCAGCCTCGAGGTTGACCTTGAAAGGTTAGAGACTGAGGACGTCCTAGAACGTTGAGTCGCAGGTTGCGATGGAGAATAGGCTGTGGACGGGAGGAAGACCAGTGATCGATTTGGCGACTGGAGTTGAGGGCCAGCATTTCTGATCTGATCGGGCAGGTTTGTTTGCGACTGAGAAGATTGACGCCGGTGGTGGGCGGTATAGTAGTTGCTCTGGTTCGACACCGCCGAAGGCATGTTGAGAAGGCCCAAGGCAGGGAGACACCTTCCTTCTTGGACGGTGATGGTGAATACTACGGCGCAGATGCATGACCCAAGCTAGACATGGTCGATTTATTTGGACCTTCTCTTTTGTTCTTCCCCTGTCGTCAAGATGTGTCCCAATGGTTCCTCCTCTTGTGCAAAACCTCATCAACGGACGCGGGTCGCTCAACGGCCCGTCACCACGGAGTCCAAGGCGATGGACACAGGAGATCGGCCTTGGAGTCTGCCAAACTCTGGCCAAAGACGTCTGAGACTTCAATCGATGGAAAGAGAACGTTGATGGACTTGTGGCCAAGAGATTGACGGGGGAATCGTAGCGGTTTGTTTGTGGTTGTTTCTGGTTCAGTCGAAAGCCGGAGACGGGGGAGGTAGGGGCACTTGACGTCTTGATTTGCCGCCTTCAACGAGGCCTGAGAGACGTGATAGCGCCCTTCGATCGACTAGAGATATGGCGAGAAGTGATGCAGGAGAAAAATCTATGTTTGAATGAATGGAGATGGCATAGTCAGGCTGCGGTGCATGTTCATGCAAGAGATATAGTGGTACTGGTCGATGGGTTTGTGAATATGACAACTAGCATCGGCCCAGCAAGCGCGGCATAGAGGGAATGGCGGCGTGGGCGGCACACTAAGGTCCCTCTGCTCACTGGCACTAGTTGCGGGTGGTCCAGAAGTGCTAGGCGGGCTCAACCGGTACGGGGGACCGAGGGGCCTCAAGATCCAGGGTGCAATGTTCAAGCATTGGCCAGTAGAATAGGCGAGGTTTTAGCGATAGCAGGCTACGGAGTAACTGAACAGTGAGCGCCCTTTGCACCCTCCCACTAACAACTATAACTAACCTAGGTACCTAGGTAGGTAAGGTTCTAGTACTTCCATTGTTTGCAACATGCCGGACATGGAAAGCCGGAGCAACTGACAACATAAAGAGACACTCATTGATTGAGGACTGTTCATCCTAACCACCACAATATCATTGTCTTGTCATTGCCGAGTGTATCTCCGAGACTCTGACCTCCATCAAGTAAGACCTTTGGGGATTCATCCTTTCAGGCGGGATAGTGATGATCTAAACTTCAGTTCTCTCCGCCCACCGTTCGCCGATTCCCCGTTTTTACGAGTGCATTCCCACTCACTATCCCCATTCAGCCGTCCCTAGTAGATATTGTCAAACCCGTAGAAGACGAAGAACCGCCCACCTCCACCATTATCTACCTAGGTACTGTTAATGCTTGGATACGAGGTACACCCTCAACGCCTATCTTCAGTTTCAAGAGTCTGTTCTCGGTGGGAGCCAAAAAGCCCGTCTCAACGAATGCAATCTGCGGCACAGTGGCACACCATTCCAATCATCTCTTGCGATCTACTCGTACTTCCCCCAACACCAAGGTTGTCTGAGACCTCTTCGGCGCGCACGAAAATCTTACTACTATGGTACGCGTTGTTTGAACGGGGTTGACCTTCTTGACACTGTGACCGTTAGACGGTAGCTACAACGCGTTGAATCTTGTTACTGCAACATATATATGCCTGGTCCTTGTCGCGTCTGAGCTGAACGAGAAACACACGGCGCCTCCGCCCCTCCTTCTGAGAATCACATATTAATTTCCTCGAGGATGAATGTTGATTCTTACAGCGACAGGGGTCATTCTTGTTGAAAAGAAAGCATCTTGGATTTCCTCGCGGAGAAAGTCTCCATATCCCTCATCCTGGGAAAACGCGTCCCTCTGTCCATCCTCCCAGGCCCTATGCAACAGTCGCGTCTCACCCACGTAAATAATCGCGCTCATGGCCAGAAAACGAAGATGCGCACAGACCGCGTCCAATCGTCCTACCAAGCAACAGAAATCAGCCAATCATGACCACGCCGACCCACACCACCTGGTGTCCTCTGTACACCATGCCGTGCTGTCATCCTACTATCCGAGGGTTTGCACACTGAGGAGTTATCTTCTGGCAGCCTTGCCTGCCACGTCTCGTGTTCGAAGACACAATCTTACAGAATTTGGAAAGAATGATGCTGATGGCGTACTTGACACCTGCCTGGTTGGTATTCTCAAAACTGCCTCAGTGTCTGTCAAGGAGTCGAGGAAAACCGACTTTGCTACATTCACTCAAAGCCAGTTCCGCGCCACTGATGCTAACACTGACCGAGCGCAGCCATGTTGTATGAACGAGGTAGGACACATCTCAGATCGTTGCATTGTATGTCGAACGATCTTCTAATTGATCGTTCCAGGTTGTCGATTTCGTCATTTGGTCACTCTTCAAAGGCAATTTTGCGAACAGGGTTCGGCCACAGCACATTCTTTGCCATGGTCTCCAAAGAGGCATCCTTCCTCAGGATCATGGATATCAGCATGGCGGACCGGCACCTTTTCTGCCTGGTATCATCCGAAAGCATCCCAATGATAATCTAATCACTCTTAAGTCGTCTCCATGGTCTGATATCTTATCTTTGCTCGGAGCAGACGGTGAAGTTATCTTCGCAAGCCTGCTCCTGGATTGTGGTGTCTTCACACGAATAGCAGGCGGAAGAGACAACTATTTTCAGTTGAGCGGTGTTCCAATCTCGGAGCTGCCTCAAATTCACACCACACCTCCAGGAAGAGCCATTTTGCCGAAGAGACGGGATATCCAACGACAGCGACCTGGGGACATTCGTTTCGTTAGAAATCGCATGTTTTATGCTAGACCATTTCTTAACACTGTTGGCAAGGTCAAAGTGGGACTTCACCATACTCATATCCTGCAAAGATTACCGGACGCTGCGGAACAACACCAAGCAGTCCATATTTTGAAGTATATCTTCCCACGCCAGTTCGGTCTACACAATGTTTTCACATCAGTGGTGCATTCAAGCGAGACGTCACATCGGTTCAAGGACTACACAGTCCGCGAACAGGAAATTACCGTGCAGAAAAAAAGGCCGTTGGCTTGGGCGCCACGTCGCCTTCGTGGCGAGCCGATACGGCTCGTCCAGAAAATCTATCAAAATCACAGATCATGTTCCTACAGTCAGCTTCTGAGACACTACTGTCCTCTTATGTCTACTGGCTATGAAGCCCCTGTCATCCAGAGTAACGAAATACTGTCGTCCATGGCGGGCTCGGAACTCTTCGCCACACAGATCAATCCATCTGGAATGCCAGGAACGAACTTGGACACGGCTTGCAGCAGCAACGATGGAGATTCTTCATTTTTACCACATTCAACTCCTGTGGCCAGAGTCTCAGCATTTTGCCGCTCGGTCATCTCCCATCTGCTCCCCCGTCACACATTTGGAAGCGGCCCAGGTGGTCAGCGGAATCATGAAATGATGATGAACAAGATCGATGAATTCGTTCGAATGCGCCGGTTTGAGACCATGAGCTTGCATGAGGCAGTCCAAGGAATCCATGTAACGTCGATTGCATGGCTGCGAGGACTAAAATGTTTGGATCAGAAAATGTCCAGGTCCGATTTCACGAAGCGGCTCGAGATTTTTCACGAATTTGTCTACTATGTCTTTGACTCTTTGCTCATACCGATCGTTCGAGCGCACTTCTACGTTACCGAGAGCTCAACGCACCGCCATCGTTTATTCTATTTCCGGCAGGACGTATGGCGCAAACTATCCGAGCCCAGTCTTGCAATGCTAAGGCTGAACATGTATATTCCTGTCAGACCCGGCAAAGCTCGGCTCGAGTTACGATCTCGAACATTGGGATATAGCCATCTTCGGCTGCTGCCAAAAGATCAAGGTGCAAGACCCATTACAAATTTGAGGCGACGCCAACCAAAGCTGGATGCTGGGAGAAGACTCCTCGGAGACAGCATCAACGCCCAACTTGCTCCTATCTTCCAAGTGCTCAATTTCGAACGAGGACGCAATCCTGTACCATTAGGCTCTGCTTTGTTATCAGTTGGTGACATACACAGAAAGGTGGCGGAATTCAAGAAGGTCATTCGGTCGCAATCTCCTCTGTTCTTTGTTAAGGTTGATATCAAATCATGTTTCGACACCATTCCACAGGAGCCTCTTCTGCAAATGGCCAGCTCCTTGCTTGAAGAAAATTCGTACCGGACAACGAAACATCTTGAAGTCAAGTCAAGGAAGTCTGGACAGCGTGCGGTTCAGGAAGGTATGAGACGACGATTCGCCGGCACGGCTCGTCCAGCCGACGCTCGTGCGGTGCTCTCGGAGGCATCGATTTCCAGCATAGCCTCTGGGAAACGTCATACAGTCATTGCGGACACAGGAATCAACAGAATATGGAATCGAGATTCGTTGCTGAAGCTTCTTCAAAATCATGTGGGAGACAATATGATTAAGATCGGCAAAAAGTACTTGAAGCAGATTGACGGCATCCCCCAAGGTTCAATTGTCAGCAGCCTTCTCTGCAGCTACTTTTACGGTGCGTTTGAGCGGAATGAATTAGGCTTTTTGGTGCCAGAATCGTGCTTGCTATTGAGGCTCATTGACGATTTCCTGTTGATCACGACAGACGATAAGCTTGCTCGACGATTTCTGGAGGTCATGGCAAGTGGTGACCAGCGTTATGGAATCCGGGTCAATGCTGAAAAGTCCCTGGTCAATTTTGAGGCGACTATCAATAGTGAGAAAGTGCCACGAATACACGGCAGCACCTTTTTCCCATACTGTGGGATGGGTATCCACATGGAGACTTTGGAGTTGAAGAAAGACCGAGAGAAGAGAGACGCATTCATCAGCAATGCGCTGACGGTGGAAAGCTGTACGAGACCTGGAATGACTCTGAAAAGGAAAATCCTATCGTCTCTCAAGCTGCAGATGCATCCCATGTTGCTGGATATGTCACTGAACAGCCGGAGCCAAGTGGTCTCGACGTTGCTTGGGAACTTCACGGAGTCAGCAATGAAGATGCATCAGTATGTTACGGGGTTGGGTCCAAAGAGACAGCCGTCGCAGAGACTCCTTCAAGACCTGATAGAAGATCTCATCTCGGCAGGGAACAAGATTTGTTGCGAGAAGAATGACAACAATGCGCACGTCAGGCACATCAGCCGGCGGCAAATGTGTTGGATTGCCGCAACGGCCTTTGAGGGTGTCCTAGAGCGCAAACAGAGCCAGTACAAGGATCTGCTCATTTGGTTGAGATGGCTGCGAGAAAGCGCACAGCCCAGTATGAACATGGAAGAAGCGGCCATGGGACGGCTTGTGCAAGAAAACAAGAGAGCCTTCCGCAGCTATGTGTATTGAGAGATCAGTCAACGAATAACGAATACCTACCTAGGTAGGTAGGGATAAATGCAATGGCTAGTGAAGCCTGCCTTGCCATGGCGACAGCATTGGAATGCTGCGAGTGCTCCATACCTCGTACCTCGTAGTCTGGACTCAACCATGGCATCTCGATGTGCTCTTGCCAGCACCAGCACCAGCACCAGCCACCTCACAATTCGCAGGCTGCTAAAACACCAATACCGACGCCTGCCCTGCCTGCCGCAGTCAACAACACGACTTCTCCCTTTATCCATCTTTCTCTTTCTACATACTCGTCGCACTGATTTCCGTACTCCGTACTTGTTACTCCTTTACTTTTGTACCCCGTACGACTTTCTGTCGCACCTCACCACAACGAGCCTCTCGCTCATTTACACTTAGCGACGCTACGAGTGCATGCCTACAATAGGATAACCGAAGACACACGCCACGCCTGGCAGATCGAATTCAGATCTCAGACACACCCGCATTTGATTGTCGTGAAACAGCCACACTGCTCAGACTGCCTCAGCGTCCGATCCTCCCCCTTGCCATCGGCCCAATCCTATCGCGGGCTGTCAGCGGCCGCATCTTCCTGCGTAACTTTGACCAAAAAGCCACGAGTCTCAGCGTGACGCCTGTCCCACCTGCGACGCACATCCTTGGGCATGAAACACTCCCGAAAACCTCATCTTGACGACTGACACTTGGAAAAACATTATATACTCTCGACCCCCCCGGACCTGGCAATCCACCTGGACGGCACGAGCTCGTCTCGATTGCATCAGGGACATCCACAGGGATTTCCCACCAAGCACCACAAAGTGCGACGGACCCTCCAACCATCGGTGGGCCATGACGGACACTTGCTAATCCTTGAAACCTCCCCAATCGATGTCCGCCAACCCAGAGCAGAAATCCTGCCAGCCACTCTTGGAACTCACCAACTTTCCCACTCTTTGTGGCGGTCGCAGCGTCGGTGCTACAGTTCTCCGGCAAGGCCACCCCTGACCGGACTCCTAGCTGCTCCTGACAGCCAGTCAAAGGCCAAACAAAGCAGATGGAGGAGCCCCTAACTCGGCCAGTTCTTCCCCATGTTTGGCATAGTCTCCTGGCTGGAGCCCTGCCACCGTCATGCCCTGGGTGTCCATCCTCCACAATGTCAGCACCTTCCGCAATCCCACCAATCGCCCCAACACCCCTACCAGGGGCTGGGCCAAAGGCGCCATTGGGAACTATCCCAGTTGTTTGCGATCAAGCTTCGACGTCCAAGTTGGCGGACCTTGGAATTGTCGAGCTCGATTGTGAAGACAGCCTCTGGCATACATCGACACTCGTTTCTTCAAAGTCAGCACATCGTCGACATGCAGATATAATATTGTTTGAACGAGATCAACTCGTCATCAACACCTTTCGTTCCTCGGAAATTAGCTTCGCCCCGCTAACTGCACAACTTCTCAAGACCTATTCACGCAACACCCACAATTGCGACCACATCAATGATTTCTCATTGAAGTCGGTGCAAGGCTCAGACCTTGAAATTCGCTCGCTTACTCCCTTATCGAACGCACATAATATCATCAGCACGATGTCCACGACAGTTACCAGTGTTCCGGGTTCACCACCCGACCTGTCGGCCTCTCGATCTTCCAAATCGTCCTCTTATTCCTCGACCTTCTCGAGTCCCGATGGCTTGGAAGCAGACATAATCAATTTCGAGGAAATCGGCCTGGAAGACGACAAACATGCAACGCCCAGATTCTGTCATTCGCGCGACGTTTCAACGCAGTCTGTAGGTTCGCAACACGAACTGATCAAGACGAAAGACTCTGGCTCGGGGGAGAGAAAGCCCACGCTACCACAAATACAGACTCAAGTCTCGGTGCCAGGACCTAGGCACGATTCAGCACCGCCACGAATAGCTGGCTCGAGACTGGCAGCTTTCAAGCGTGGGTTTACGACCCCGGAGACATTTTACTCCAGTATGAGAACTAGATCGTCCTCGCCCCCAGAACAAAGGAATCCTGCCTCCTTCTCGACTCCGTCACTCAGTGCTGGCGGTCTTCAACCTATTCCCCAATCACCGGCAAACACTCTGGGAGTGCAAGGCAGGCGGGCCTCATGGCAGCCTCACAGAAAAAGTGTCAAAGAATTGGAGGCAGAATATCATGATTCCGATGATGAGCTCCCTGAGGATGCAAGTTTATGGAACGTCCCTCTCTCTCCTCATGCTGCAGGACAAAGATCACACCGTTCCAGCTTCCGCGGAAGCCCGGAAAGGGATCAACCAGCTCCGAGTCCACGACCCATACCTCTTGAACACGCCCGAACAGCTCCAGAAGTACCACCGCGGCCAGGACTGCACTCTCAAAGCCTACCAAAGAACAGAGCCCCTCCGAGGTCATTCTCACTCACACCCGCAACGTCAAATCCATCATCCCCACGCAAATCTGGCCATACTCTCAATGGCAGGACAAAATCGTGGAACATTGCCATGGCCGACTTGAGCGAGGAAGCAAGAATCATTTCTGAGGCGTTGGAGTATCATGCCGAGGCGAAGGAACAAGAACGACTCGAAAGAGTTCGAGGGGGATCATCTCGGGGCAGCCCTGAAACCTCGATGGACCGAGGTTCGAGATCCTCATCCATTCAGCTTCCTCCAATCCAAAAGAGTGCGTTGGATTTCATGCCGATTTCCAGGGAAAAAGAGGCCATCCTGTCACGGACGAGACCATCGTGGTTACCACCAAAAGATCCGAAGGAGGAGAGACGGCATCTGAGAGAGTACCAGCGGATGATGGCCGCATCAATTGAAGCCGAAAAGAAACGTCGCACAAAGCTGCAGGTTCAGCAGTGCGAAAAAGATGACACCAGAGAGTCTTTAAATCGGATCTGGCATTATTATATTGACGAGACTACGGATATCACAACCATCGACAAACGAGTCAATGACCTTTGCTGGCGTGGAGTCAGTCCAAATCTTCGCGGGAAGGTTTGGCAAAGAGCAGTGGGAAATTCTCTTGGTCTTACTGTCCAGAGCTACGAAAAAGCTTTGCAGCGAGCAAAGGAAATCAAAAATCGAAGTGGCGGCCGGCTTGACCGAGACGAGAAGAGCATGGAAAGATGGTTTGTCGATATCGAACGAGACGCAGAGACAGCTTTCCCTGAGCTCAACCTGTTCCAAAGGCACGGACCACTCTGGCAGGATCTCATTGACGTTTGTGAAGCGTACGCATGTTATCGGAGTGACGTGGGGTACATCTACGGGATTCAACTTATTGCTGCATTACTGCTATTACAACTATCAACCCCGACCGACGCCTTTATCCTACTGGCCAATTGTCTGAACCGTGCTGTGCCGCTGGCATTCCAGACCGATGATACAACTATTACAAATCGCACCTATAATCACGCTGTGTCGACTTTGGGAATCAAGTTCCCGCGTCTATATGAATATCTGTTTGGGTCCGTCGAACAAGGGGGTCTTGGTTTCCGCGGAGAGGAAGTTTTCGAACCAATGCTCCGGACAATCTTTTCAAATGGGCTGGATGTCGACCGTCTTTGTCGGATCTGGGACATTTGGATCTTTGAGGGCGACCGGACACTGGTCAATGCGGCGGTGGCTATCTTGGGCAGCCTCCAACAGCAACTCTACGATGTGCAGGGTGACACTGATTTGAAAAGGCGCAACATCCAAGAGATGTTGGGATGGGGTCCCTTCAACCGTCTCCCTCAATCCGGGCATTGGAACCTCCAGTTGATGGGTGATGAAGACAAGTTTGTGGAAGAAGTGCGACTCGCGGGAATGCTCGACTATACCGGCAAATAAATATTAATGACGACAGTGTACACAAGATTGTACAGACGAATATGCATAAGCATCTTTGACAGCAAGAGACGCTTTGATTCGATGGTATTGCTTTTTAATCAATGACGGCCTGACCATGATGATTTCTTGTCAGAGGAAGAATATTTTGGGACACATTGGTATCTTTGGATTGGACTGCCGTTGCTGTCGGCCCTAATGTTCAACACGGTTGAGAAGGCACACCTTCGATGACCGCGCACCTATAATGCGAGAAATTCATACTGAGCATATGCCCTGCTGATTCGTCCCGTGCCTTACAAGTGCCACGGCCATAGCCATTCAAGTACCGAGTACCGAGTAGAGATTTTGTCAAGCGGTCTCTGTTGTGAAGCGCCGCTCCTGCCCCCATTTGCGGTTTCTTTTTGTCACTGCTCAAGGAGAAGGAAGCCGGCCTCATCCCCCGAGAAAAGGTCCTCGTATGTAGGAACACGGCCACACCGGGTGCGCTGACGAAGAACGAGGTACAGTCAACGTCGTGAGTGTGGCCAGTCATAAGTCCAATCTACCGAGTACAGTATCTTTTGTTTACTCCTGGGTCCGAATTAGTGCGCTTCGCGGAACATTCCGAGCTTTCTACAAGGTATTCCAAATGTTACCCTGTACGACGCAATGTAGATATCGCATGCCAGAAGCAGAAAGGGTCACAAGATGATTAACTCGTACACCGTTCCCACTTTGGCACTTTCCTTGAGGTCCTCGCGCGCTATGTCTGCAGTGTCAGTCTTTAGTATAGCTTGAATATCTAGGTAGGTAGTGAGGAGCAGTCTTGCAGGTGATTGCTGCTCTCTCTCTCTCTCTCTTTTCTGCGTCTGGACCGTTCCGACGAGTCCATGTTCTTGTTTCGACACCAATCTATCTCCATGGTATGCTAAAGTCTAGCCTTCAACCCCCTCACCCACGCCTCACCATATTCCGCCCCCGAGTCATCATCACCACCGACCAAACGATCTGGGATCTCCATCTCAAGGACCTTTGTGTTGACGAACGACGGGTTCAGTTGGTCGAGGGACGTCACGCCCATGCACCGCATTGTGGTTTCGATTTCTTCAGATAGAACTGGGAACAAAGAGGATGGGGGTTTAGCATGTGAAACTGTTTCGTCTTTTCACATAAATGGCAAGGGGAGGGGAGCGGTGTTGGGTAAGAAATGGATCAAGGGGGGCCCTTTCCTCCGAGAATAGACTGGAAATAGGCAGCTGAGGGGGTAGCACACTTACGTTGAATGACCTTGGCGACGCCCTCGTCCCCCATGGCGACAGAATACATGAACGGCCTGCCCAAAGACACGCCCCTGGCCCCAAGACACAAGGCTTTGATGACATCGGCGCCCCTCCTCACCCCGCCGTCCAAGTAGATCTCTGTCCTCTTGAGCAGCTCCGGGTAGAACTTGCGGATCTCGAGTAAAGTGCGGATGGACGAGGGGGCGTCGTCGCACTGTCGGCCGCCGTGGTTGCTGAGATAGATGGCGTCGACGCCGTGCTCGTAGACGGCGAGCGCGGCGTCTTCGGCGGTCTGGATGCCCTTGATGGCGATGGGGCCCGCGTCTTCCCGACCCTGGCGCCACGCCTCGCGGATCCAGGGCAAGTCGTCCCAGTTCAGGGTGGACGAGTGGTGGCCCCGGAGGGGGGGACTGTTTTCGTCGTCCTCATTAGCCGGCTTGTACCATTCCGTCAGGACGGAATTGTCGCCGCTCGCCGTGGCCAGCTCGGCCCGGTAGCGTTCGTCCTCCTCGCGCTTGCCCACCACGGGCGTGTCCACGGTGATGACCAGCGCCTTGTACCCCAGGTCGCGCGCCATGGCGACCAGCTCGAGCGTGCGTGCTTTCTCGTGCGCCACGTACAGCTGGAACCACAGCGTGCCGCCGTCCTCGGCGCCAAAGTTGCGGAATCGCACCTTCTTCTTCTCCGCCACGAGGCACTGCATCAGCTCGTCGTGCGGCACCGTCGAGTACGTGCTCGGGCAGTAAGGGATGCCTCGCCTGGCCGCCCCTCGCGCCAGACACAGCTCGCCGTCCTCGTGCACCAGCCTCGCCCGCGCGGCCGGGGCGATGAAGAAAGGTAGGCGGGATTTGGTCCCCAGCATCGTCCGGGTCATGTCGACCCGTCGCACATTGCGCATCACCCGCGGGCGCAGCGTCACCTTCTTCCAGTCCTGTCGGTTGTTGGTCAGGGACCCCAGGCTGTCGGCTGCCGAGCTGAAGTAGACGTAGGCGCTGTGGGGGATGATGCGCGTGGCGGCCTTCTCGACGTCGTCCAGGTTCATGCAGTGCGCGAGCGGGATCCGGGCCATCTTGTCGAGATCGCGCGTCACTTGCGGCGTCGCCAAACTCGATACCGTGGCCGGATCGACCGGTCCCAGGTGTTTGTCCTGCGGTAGCGAGCGTTCAATCGTGCCCGGCGGGTGGATGGGTTCGTACATGGCCGTGGCGTCCTTGCCGCCGTACTGCAACAGGATCTGGGCGCCGCCGGGGTGTTTTTCGAGATAGTCGGTGACATCGTAGACTTTGCCCGACACGATGACCCAGCACGAGTCGCGTGAAGCGTGCTGGGCAACTTCGTTGCCGTTGAGCAATTTCGACATTTTTTTTTTGGAGTTGTAGCTGTGATGTTTCTTCCACACACAGACACACACAAACACACACACAGAGAGAGAGAAAGAGACAGAGCAAGCAAAGACGCGATACCTGCCCTGGTGGTTTCGATGCCTCTTTCTCCTGGACCCGAGAAATGATAGAAGTCTGACAATAGAGGAAGAAGATGAGACAGTCCACTTTCTTTAATATCAATCCCGCCGGCTCTGTAGATGGCTCGGGAGATATGGGGCGACGGCGAAAATCCCGGCTTGTGGGGGGCTGGGGACGGGCGGTAAATGATAACCACTTCTCGATCCCCAAACCGAGGCCCCTTTAGAGGTCGTGATGAGGCCTTAAGAAAAAGGCTTAGTTAGTCCTTCCCCGCATCCAGCAATCGAGAAGAATGCCGCGGGTATCCAGTGGTGCCTGTAATACTAATGCTAGCATTACTATTTGCCCTTCTCCGTGTCAGTCCTTGTCTGGGCATGTCCATGGGCTCGAGGCTGAGGGGTAAGGGGCGCCCAAGGTCGCGGCGACATGTTCTTCGTATCTCGTACTTATATACAGTATATGCTCATACAACCAGAAGAGCAGGAGTTGATCTGCTTCCCATTCGCTGTTTGCCCACACACTCAGACCAAGGTGAAAACCTCGTTTGGCAGCCCTTGTCTCTTCTGCTCGTCGATACCACGGCCGCCCATGTATTCCTCCAGGAAGCATTCTCCAACAAATTCGTATCTCGTTTCCCTTTCTCGCGTCTCTTCTCCTTCTGTCCCTGTGTCGTGCTTCTGCTCCCTGACCACGTACGGAACAGACCCTCCGTAGAGGATGACCACGAGGTCCCCGACCCGCGCTCCCGCGGGACAGAGTCCTGTCAATCCTTTCTCCTGTGTTCGGAACAAACAGTGGTTATGACACCCAACAGCACCAGTTTCTGCGGCGTACTCGTCGTGAACTGCAAAATGGCTCTCCCACAAATCGGGACTGTCGTTGGTCGTATACGTCTCGTGGTTCTTGGATCCAAGCTGGTAAACCCATTTCCCTGTCAGGTTCAGAGGATCGAATATCCCGACGTACGTCCTGTGAATGGCTTCGCTATGTTCCCACGGCTTGAAATACGGATACGGTCCAATGGACGAAATCAAGTCGATTCGGATCCCCAACAGCGGAAGTAGGGGGGAGTATCGCGACGTGGTCAGGAGGTTCATATCTAGCTGGGTATCCCCACAAGCCCGATAATTTCGCTTGTGGTCCAGTCCAAGCAGTCCAAGAGCCCAGTTGCTGTGACCCCGATACGACCATGACCACGACGGGAAGCCAGGCGCAACCCATCGTTTCCCCGGAAACGTCGTGCTGAGCCACGACCGACCATCCAATGCTTGTATGGCAGATAGGATCCGTAGAGAGCGATGGTGCATGATCCACCAACGCGTGAAATTTCCAAATACCTCCGGCGCTGCCTTCCGGTAGTCAGGGACAATCTCGGCTGGCAACGAGCCCAAATCGGCCGTCTCTTGATCAAATTGCAACATAGCAAAGATCTTGTCCCGAGGGTCCTCGGCATCCAGGTCCAGACCTTTGATGAGGATTTCGAGAATTCCAAGTTCCGTGGAAGAGCCCGTGAAGGAATCCCGCCAGACTCGGGAGCTTAGAGAATCAAAAATATCTTGGTAGATCGGGGGCAGTTGAGCCTTGTAGGACGAGTTCATTTTCAGATCCGTCAGCCGTATACACTTGTTGACTCGCAGCAGCGCTGGCCAATCAAGAGTATCTTCACCACAATGGACGACTATCCCTCTTGCATTGAAAACCTCCTGGACAACCCAGGTCCTGCGAAACCAGGGCGATTCAAAGAGTGCCAAGTCATCAACAAATTCGTCCACCCCCAGCTCGGCTTCCATTAGAGGATGATGGAGGTCTGCAAGCTCCCAAGCCTTTGTTTTGAAGTGTCTGTCATTGATGGCTCGGATTGTCTGAATGGCGCTTTTCGTCACACTGTTTCCCTCTCCTAACCAAACAATCACCCTCGAGGCGTTCATAAAAGTCATGGTCATCAGCCTCACCTGGCTCGATCGTTCGTCCAAGTCAGCCTGATTGATGCTGATCGCATCGATCCATATAGTACGAGGCGGACCGGTCTGGGTTCTGAGCGTCCTCAACGCAGAGTAGAGGTTCGATGTGATAGACATTGTCAATTCTGACGGCTGGCCGCCATTGTGCACTCTCACCACGATATTTTCCCGGTTTCTTGGATCTCCCCAGCAGTATGAAAGAGCCTCATAAGAGACCGAGCACTTATACAAGGAGGTGTGGATCAGCGTACAGCTTAGGGGTTCTTCAGAGAGACCAGGTTGCAATAGGACCAGCCGAATTTCGCCCACGGACTGATTTAGAGGTCGATAGCAGGAACTGGAGGCACCGGCAGCGTCGCCCGTTTCTACGAGCCTCGGAAGATATGAAGGAACGGTGTCTGGAGATTTTTGGATTCCGTGTACCTCGATCTCAGCCTCCCGCACGTGGTTGATCCAGCCCGCGAATTGTGCTTTGGGGGTCACTCTAAGGGTATCACCTGGCCGAACAAGGCGGACCCATGCCGAGGTCATGTTATTGTTGCTGTCAGCTTCCCAAGTGACCTCATGGTGGCGGTATTCGTCACTAGCATGGACGTTGTACTGAAATACCATCCTTGGAGCGCGATAATGGCCTCCTGGAGTGATGACTGTGGCTACAAACCAGGTGAACGAGCGTTCAAAAGTACCGCCATAGATATGGGACTCATCACTGAAGCCTGACCGAGTGAGATACGTCTGCAGACATATTTGATGGGAGGTGGGTCACCTTGATCATGAGAGCATATTTTGAAAGTCACTCGTGTGACGAAACGCATGGCTTCGGGCACCTGGAGCTCAACATAGGGCTTTTCGGGGCAATTTCTCCCAACTTTGACATATCGTTTTTCCTTTGCCTTGACAATCATAAGTTTTGTCGAGTCCCATCTCCTTGGTAGATAGGTCGATCGCTTTTTGGAGCAAAAGGTGGATCAGCAAGTGCGAGGACTCAGAGAGTGTATGAATGGCGACCTCTCTTGTAGAGGTCCATATTTGGGAGCAGAGCAGGCTCTGCCTGGTGAAGCAGCTCAATCGCCAGCATGGATGCTAGTCCACCAGATAGCATGATGTTCGCCCACGTGGACAGTATGTCCATAGCGCTAGCCCAGGATCATTGGGTCTTAGACATTGAGATCTTCGCCGATATTTGTTTCTGAGATCTCAAACTATACAAACCGGGCGCATTGATGAGCAGTCTAGGAAAGGGTCGATGCATGCCGAGGTTTCCGGGCCCTCAAGGCAGTCTCTGTGCAACCACACCCTATCTGTCACCAATCGCTCTCAATGCGTTGAAACCGAGAAGCCTCAGACGGCAAACGTTGACACTGATTTCTCCCAGCAATATTGGGTCACTGGATCCCTATAGCCTCGATCATAGCAATCGCCTCGTTTTTGATCTCTCTCGGTAAGTCGTAGACAAGGCTATGCTTTCTCGTGCGACTGCGTTTGATTTCGCAGTGGCCCAGGCCTCTATCCCGTGTGTCGTTGAAGATCCCGAGGTATGGATCGTGTTGGATGGTACCATGAGAATCCTTGAATGGGGAGATCAGAAGTGGTTGCGTGCCAAAGGCAGAACTCGACAGGGTGCGGGTTCATGTATCATTCTTGTGATTTAGCTCCCAGGGAATTTGGTGCGTACCAGGTGTTTCTGCGCGATTTTGGAGAGGGGGGTGAGCGATGGTCCCGTCCTGTTGGGGTCGGTCGTGATGGAACTGAAAGTGTCAGCTGGTGACGGGGTGGTAGGTGTTATGGATGTGAAAAAGACCCAAGACAAGAAGAATTGAAAATTGCCGTTGGCTCAGCTCCATCCTCAGCCTTGACCTCATCCTGACATTCACGCACCCGCTACCTAGGTAACCATCAGCACCTGCAAGAAGAGCAATCTGTCGTGTGATGAAATTATTGTCTCAACTCATATCCCCAGTTGCTGGACTCGGTACAATTTAAGGAGGTGGCTGGCCCTATTATTGCCCCATCGACCTTGATGACCCAGTTGCGACGACCGTGTCAGCAACCTGCATCTGGATTCTGATTCTGGTACCTCATTATCTCCGAATAATGGATGCCCTGCACCTTCACTCTCCCTCCTTTTGCTGTCGTCTTTGGCAAGATGACCACATTTGAAGCTTTGGCTGATGCCTGTATCTCCGATCACTGCCCCTGGAGCTGCTAAGAGATCTACAGCTAGCCGCAATGCGCTGTGTACCAAGGACGCACGGATGGTGGACAAGGTGGGTGCAAGGACAATTGGGTCTGATACTCATATTTATTAGCAGCCAAGTTCGCTGTCGTCTGACCCCTTCAATGCTCTACTGCAGCGAAAGAGAGTATCATTGTCCTGGACTAACACTGCGTCTCGATTGAGTGTCTATAAGGTCTCGCAGCCTTCTCGTATTGATTGATTGACCTCCATCGTTCCTGCAGGTGGACAGCAACAATGGTCCATCTGATCCTGACCGGGGCCACAGGACTAGTTGGATCTTCGGTCCTCTCGCACATCCTCTCCCTCCCAGCAACCAGTACGCCGACCATCCACAAGCTGTCCATCATCAGCCGCTCCACCTCAATCCCCTGGCTATCGGAGACTCCTCCGCCTGGAACGCCCGCCGTCAACAAGCACACCAAGATCGAGGTGATCGAGCACAAGGACTTCACCTCGTACCCGCCGGAGCTGTTGGAGAAGCTCAAGGGCGCCGACGCTTGCATATGGGCCCTTGGGATAAGTCAGAGCGACGTCTCCAAGGAGCAGTATGTGAAAATCACCAAGGACTATGCGCTCGAGGCGGCCAAGGCATTCTCCTCGCTCCGGGAGGAGTCCGCGTCGCCCTCTGGTAGCGATGGGAACAAGTTCAAATTCATCTACATCTCAGGCGAAGGCGCCACTCTGCACCCACGCCCTTGGACGCCCCTTTTCGGCCGCGTCAAGGGCGAAACAGAACATTCTCTCCTCCAACTCTCCAAGACACCGCTCTACTCCAACCTGCTCTCGGTCTATTCCGTTCGCCCTGCCGCCGTGGACGGCAGCAACCAGCCCTGGCTGTGGGACCATATCCTGCGGGAGAAGCGCAGCGCTTTCCAGCGGTTTTACCTCAAAACGCTCGTGGGGCCGATTCGATGGGGCGTTTTTGGGAATGCAGTCCACAGCCCGACCGAGGAATTGGGCCGCGTGCTGGTCGAGATGGCGGTGAGCGAGCAGTCAAGTCCGTTTCCGATTGGGGACGGTGTAGACAAGGAAGGAGAGGGACGAACACTGGGGAATAAGAGGTTGAGGATGTTGGCTAGGGGGCAGGGATGGTGGAAATAGGAAGAATCGAAAAAGAGGATGGTCAGGAAAGGGCGTAGTAGGAAAACAACAACCGTTTCAACTTCAGGATATGGCGGATTAATATGTATTCAATGGTGGTTCAAAATGTACTTCTCATATACATGGATCCACAGCCCGTTTTACCTTGATCGTTCAATCATAACACGACATGCAACGCTCTATGCGTGTATACTTCCAGATGCTTCGGACAAAGACCAGTTCTGTGACGGCCCAGCGCTGTATGTCTCCATTCTGTCGTTTGGGCAAAATGTCGACCGAAAACAGGAAGGGAGCGGAGATCCATTATCAGGACATTCCCAGTCCGAACAACACAGCCGCCAGCGTCACACACACAGTAACGAGCAGGCTTCGTCTATCCATCTCCACCATCGGGGCCCCAATGGACTCACCACCCGTACTGCTCGCCGTTGCCGTCGCGGCTGGATTATTCGAAGCTGCTGAAGTACCCGTCGACGTCGGCGTCCCCCCCGTCGCACCCACCGTCGCGCTCAGCTCGTCGAATCCGGTGTCCCCACCGGCTCGTTCCGAGTCGACGTTTGTTTTGAAGAAGAAGTTGTTTTCACCCACCACATTTCCGGGCGGCCAGTACTCGCACACCAAGTACACGCCTTCCAGGCCGTTCTTGCCGTTGCAGTTTGTCCATCCACATCCCGTGGCCTGCGTGCTCTGCCATACCAGCTGGGTGAAGTGACCCGTCGCCTCACTAAAGCCCGTCGGATCGGTAGCTGAGAAGTTGTACAGTGCCCGCTCATTGCCCCAGGCGTCGACTGCTGAGATGACGTCGGGGTATCCTCTGGCCAGATTCTCGCCGTACGGCCCGTGCGAGTGCGCCCATACGCAGTTTTGGGAGTACTGCTGAGCATACGACGCGAGAGTCTCGTTCCAGTATATGTAACCCGCTGAATGCTCGTAACGGTAGAAGTTTGTAGAGTTGAGGATCGACTCTTTGAAGGTAAGCGAGTCCGTGTATTGTGGGGAGAGAGGTGTCGTGGAGGCAGCTGCAGTGAAGGTCTGCGTAATGGTTGTGCCAATCACTGTGACTGTAGAGGGATCCTGACACAGGACTTGGAGAGGGAGGAGGGATAGGGAGATGACGATGGCTGCGAGGGAGGGCAGAACAACCATGATGGGTGGTTTATTTTGCGACGTGGTTTGTATTTCTTCCTTTTTCTCTTCTCTTTCCTATGCGATGCCTTCCTATAACAACATAATGTGGCAATGCAGAGTAATGTTCAATATGCTCGGCGTTTGTGATATGGTCTTTTGACTTGCTGTACTCGGTATACACTCGCAGGCTGAACGATAGACGAAACGAGAGAGGTCGAAGCAGATTTACAAGCAAAGACACAGCGTCAGGACAAAAGGTCAAGATGAATGACACACGCCATATTTGAGATAGCTCCAGGCAGGTAGGGTGTATATGTCATGGATGAGGCGGAGTCGCCTTGGGTGCCTTGCTTCTTCGCAACGAGGGCCACTCGGGTAAGGAGTCAAGGGTGTTTAGGAAGCAGATGGTGGTGGTGGAAGCCCTGGTGGTGAGTTGCCTGGCAGTGATCGGTGGTCAGATGCGACGTCATCCGTCATCCGGAGCTACCAGTGCTTAACCAGCCTCCCAGCGAGCCGATAGGCGCGTTTAGCACCTCTAGGCAAGGGCCCAGCCACCGAGATACAGCCCTGGGCAGCCCTAGTCGCCCATGTGGAGGCTTGCCTAGCCCAAAGACTGCCACTGAGCGGATCTCCAAACGGCCGATGCCCGGAGCCTCAATATTAATAGATTGGGATCTGAAACTTCCATCGCTGTACTCGGTACATCATATGGAGTACCTCGTACATGTATACTCTCAGGATGACGGCCGTGACAATCAGCCTGCGGATGGGTGCCGCTCTTCTGCGATCCAACATCTGTAGACCATTTCGTGAGAAAGTTGAAGAGTATCGACCATCAATCCAAGACGTACCAGCTCCAGCCAGGGTTGTGGCATCCAAAAATGATGAGACACAAGGCTCCAGGTAGGAAGAACAAAGACACAAGCGAAGGAGATCAGAGGAGAACCGTTTGTCTTCTAGGAGGGCCCCCGCAATGTCGATATCGCCATCGCCCTGCATGCTCCCGGGTCCGACAGCGATAGCAAACTCAGTGAAATGTCTTTGTTTGTTTATTCACGCCAACACAGAGAACAAAAATTGTTTCGTGTCTTTTTCCCACTCACATGTTCCTCAGTTGGAAATATTCGTTGTCTTGGAAGACTAGATATAAACATTTTCATTGCTGTCTTTGAACAAGCCCGCTGCCCTTGCCTTGTGCTGTGAACTTGTTGGACGGCGCCTGCCCTGAGCCCAGATTCCCCTTCACGTCGTGGCGATATGGGCCCTCGGTTAAGCCCTTGTGGACATCGGTCGACAGTCAAAGAAATGGCTTCTAATCAGGAAAAGTTGGACAAACCCAGTAGGTTTAAGAAAGTGGCAAAGTGATCGAGACAAGATGCTGATAAACAACTCGCAGTCGCAGCTGGGATCGTGCAGGGTGAAAAGAATGACAACCCCCTAGTCTTTTCAAGCCCCGAGCCTTCCACGCAAGACAGCTCGCGACATGGGGACAAAGAACATCAGGCTCAAGAGGAGCATCCATCGCCGCAGCAACCTATCCTAGAGGAGACGTCGAAAGATTTCACGACCATGCCTCCCGGCCCAGCTCCTGAGCCTTTTCCAGAGCAGAATCTCCCAAGACCCACGAGCGAATTCACGAACGAATTCATGAACCCTGCTGCGGACAAGATCCCAAAAGAATCCATCCTCGCTTTGTTTCCCAACGAGGAAGCATGGAAAATCCAGTCGACTACCGCGAGGGAGAACTCTCGCTTGCACAGAAAGGCCGTCATGGCACAAGTCCTGCACCTCAGCTGTCTCAAGAACTGCGTCCTCCCAGAACTGCTGCATCGAGGCAATCTGCTCGCCCAAGCCACCACCTTCCCTTCCTCGGTCATTACTCAAAGCATCATTGACAACCAACGCGCGTGGATCACCTGGGCCGTCTCACTCAACGAGACCATAACCAACGTCCTCAAGCAGATCAATTGGCTCGACCTCCTCGAAGCCGAGTACGTGGCCGCCGATCCGCTGTGGACAAGTTTCTGGCGCCTACACCAAGAAGAAGTCGAGCAACAACAAAAACCTGCCTCCGCCGACCCGCCCTCGGCGGACCAAGAGATGCCACCACCATCCGCCACTGCGACCATGCTTGAATTGGAAGAGATATATGTGAGACTGGCCAACCATAACCGACGCAGACTGTTCCTGCAGATGAAGATGATGGATGGCAGAGACTGGGTGGCGCGACTGTTTGAGGAATTGCCCCCGTGGATCGAGTGGGAAGAGGCTGTCAGGGCCATGTTGAATGCCGAGGCAGGTCGGCGATATCAGGACGACGAATCGGGCCAGGAGCAGGAAAGTGGCTTTGTCGAGGAAATGGAGGACGAGGAAGAATTCGAGTTGTAAGTAGGAACCTGAGATAGCCGCCTTGCTTGAGTGTCCGTGGCGGGGAGATGAGCCAGGCGGAATTCAATGCAGCAAAAGCTGGAAGCTGTTCTGGCAGCAAGGGTGCGGCACAGAGCGACAATGAGAGGCCCCTGCGCAGAGCCCATGATACACGCCTCAAGAGCAAAATGAAGAGTTTTCGATAGACTGACACAAAATTGCTGCGGGAATCAGACTGCAGCCTACATAACTATGCAGCCATCGCCTTTCACCTTGCCCTCCACTCTCGCTCTCAGCGAAAACCAATCACTCCTCCTCTCGGCGAACTCCACGACCTCCTCAACAGTAAACACACCTTTATACCTGTCTTGGTCCGCAATGATCGTGCTCATTTCCCTCACATCCCTATCACTGGTTCCCTGGATCAGGTATATCTGCGCCAAGGACCTCAGGGCCGTGAAATAACTGTTCAAGTCCGGGTTCTTGAACGTGGCGATGAACTGCGAGTACGCGGAGAGGTCGCTCAGCAAGTTGAGCGAGCCCGCGCATGAAATCCGCTGGCGTTTGATGTGTTTCGTCAGCGTGGTGAAGAGCCGCAGTCCCACTTCTGCGGTGAAGACGTCGAGGAGAGTCTTTTCGGTCGCGCCTGTGAGCATCCCCGTGTGGTGGGCGACGAGCTTGATGACGCGCGATGCAGTCGCCGTTGGCTTGCCGGAAAAGTCCATCACGGGCATTGTACTGTTCGCCATACTGGTTGGTCTGCCGCTCATGCCACCGTTCAAGATAGAGGTCATGGTGCTTGCATGATGATGCGTGGCAGAGGCGCCTTCTGCTATGGCCAGTTCCGGATAGAAGTCGGTGGGCAACTGAGTAGTGGCGCAGATATACTCAACTTCATCCATCAGCACGTCGATACCTTTTCCCAAACCGGCGGCGACGCTCTCATCGAGCATAGCCTCAAACTTGCGCTTCTCCTTCACGTTAACGTCTAGGAAATCGTCCCGGTTAGAAATGCGTAAGCGCACTAACTCGGACTCATAGAAGACATCGAGCATTTGCTGAATAAGGTCGCCCACGTTGACGAGCTCGAGGAACGTCGTGAGCGGAGCGACTTGGACGGTCGTGGACGAGTCGTCACCGTCGGAGTTGGTGTTCGTCTCGCGAGCCGAATAATGCGACAGGTGGTCAATGGCCTTGTCGAAGCCGGCCTTGACGTGACGGATGCCCACCGTCTGTACGAGCAAGATGAAGATTGCAGAACATTGTGTGCGAGCTGAGTGGCCGGCTTCTCCTCCCAACGCGATGAATTGCGCGGCACGGTCTAAAGAAGACTTGGCGGCATGGACGAGGTTGAGAGCAACTTCAATAGAGAACAGAGACCGGATATTCTCCAGCTTGGAGTTCATGAGGGCAGCTTTAGCAGCGAGTTCATTAGGTGGGGCCTCTTGAAGGTGGGACGGAGTCAAGGCTCGAGAGCCGAGTTGGCTAGGAGTGGCAGGCCTCGACAAGGGAGCAATATCGGCATCGAGGTGCTTGGGAACGGCTTTCTGAGTGGAGGTGCCGGTGAAGACAGGCAAAATGTTGACCGGCATCATGAGCACTTGCTTGAACGATGACATGAAGTCTTTCTTATCGGCTTGCCGATTCACGTTAGACATGAGAAAACTCTCGGTCGAGGCGGCCTGTTCGGACAAGGCTCGATCCCATTGTTCGACTTCGGAATCTGCCTTGTGGCGAAAGAAAGCTAATTCTTCAGCAAGATAGGTTTCGAGATGAGGTGCAAAAATCTCGGTTCCAATGGCATTGCATCGTGCTATAGTTGATTCATCGACGTCCTCGGGCAGAGCGACATTTTCAATAAACTGCCTGGTCGCCTGGAACGTTCCCGATATGATTCGGAGATATATGGACGTTCCCCGAGTCCGAGCATCTTCGAACAATGCCGATAGAAAAGGCGAGAGAATCTCCTTGGCTACCTCTTCGAGGAGGAGAAGAGAGACCTCCTCGGCGTTGGGAAATACAGCTCGAACAATGCCGTTCTCCTGCATGAAGGCATTGCCCAGTCGTTCAAAGTATGCTTGGACCCTTTCTAAGGACAGCTCGCCGTAACCTAGGGAGTAGTCGATGCAATCCGCCACGGAGCCGAGCTCTGCTCGTTGGTTGATCATGTTGTTGTCATGCAAGAATAGGTCGACACCACTCTTCCCACCGTTGAGAATATGCATGACCCGTGCATACTGACGCATTCGTCCCTGGATATCCTTGAACTCGTACCCTTTTCGGAACTCCAGGAGAGCTGCGGTGTCAAACATACCGACGGCTTCCAAGATTTGCCGGTCTCTCTCTCCCGAACCAGGCGAGAAATCGCTGGCAGAGAAGATTCGAACATTGACCAATAGCTGAGCTTGCTGTTCCGGGAGAGAAAAATCCTTGAACGTACGGCTATGCATCGGATTGGACGCAGAGAGCAGATCCGTGTAGTATGGAGCCAGAAGTTTGTAAATCTTGCCATACTCTTGTCTGGCCCGTCCTCTGATGGATTTAACTCTGGAGAAAGCTGACAACGGCGCATCGTGGTCAATAGGGAGCCCTGTAGAGGCCGGAGTCCGCGGGCTCGAAATCTCAGCCACGTCAAACCCATCCGCTGCCGCCGAGCGAGGCCGCAAGGGCGAAAAGAGGTTCGTTTGACGGGATTGATTGACCGGAGAGGCATCCATGTCAAACAGAACTTCTGGTCTTCCCTTCCCGTTCACCAAGTTGCGATCTATTGCACTCCGCCTTTGACCTGGAGTGGTTGGTGTCTTTTGGGGCTCTGCTCTTCTCCTCGCTTCAGCGTCATTCCAGCAGCCCATCATCCTCAGGCGTTTGACCCATCGTGTATCGTCATATACCATCTCATGCATCCGGCGTGACACCCGGGCGAATCGAAGCAGATCAGGCACCGTTAGGTTGTCGATGACAGTAGCCAGAACCTCTAGAATGGTTTAGCCCACACCGAAGCGATTTGCGACAGGGAGAAGACTGCACCTGCTGGAAGAGTTGGTTTTGATATTAACATATCGGCCATCTTCAAGGAAGCCAGCGGATCTCTCCGTGGCACCTTGTTCAGCGCCGGCGGCTTCTTGGGCTTCGACATTATGAAGAGTTCGGCACCTGCGGTGGAGAGGGAGATACAGCTGCTTTTGCTTTAGGATTTCATCTTTCTGGGAGACCCATCTCTGTAGAAGCAGTGGATGCGTCGAGAAGGCGGCTCTTGACGGAGCGTCGGCCAGAGTGCAGCTTGGTTGCAACAAAATTGTGTCGGTTCTTCAGGAGAAAACGAACCCTGGCACGCTGGATGCCTGCGAGAATGCATGAGGTGGTGGTGCGGAAGTTTGCCTGACGAAATGCGACGCTGGTGACGGCGCTGTACCTCGTATGCGCCGATTGGTGAAGACCGCAAGGCTGACACTCCAACAATCACAACGCCGGCAACGTAACACCTTTTATCCATGCAGCTGTATGTGATGGACATCATGAAACCTCGAAGCTTTACATCCTCAACGAGACGAGCAGATATGATCTAGTCCTGCAGTACCAATAATGAAATGTATTGTGCAATGAACCGGCTGTACGGACGCTATGCACCTTTCTGGTCGAACCATGAAGAGCCTCCCAAAAGCAGCCCAGCAAAATAGGCCGTTGCATAATAAGCTAAGGTTGTTTTGCCCCCGAAGTTGTTCGCCTGCGTTTGCCTCCCTGCTTCTTTCTCGCTGGAGAAGTGCTGCTGCGACCATCACTGTTCTGAGGAGTACTGCTGTCCTACACCGGCTCTTCAGATCCATCTTCTCCTTCGTATTCGCCGTCTCCATTTGCGCCATCGCCATCATCTTCAGCCCTTCTCTTTCCTCTCTGCCCATCCCTACGAATAGGTATTTTGATCCCTTGGTCCGCAAAAATTCTACTCAGATGCGTGGTTTCGACCACCCCAGGGAACTTTTTCGCGCTGAAGACCTTGAACGGCAGCGTGAATGTCGAAGCCAGACAGGGTGCTTCTTGATATAGCTCATTCGAGGTAGGGTCGCTGTCGTCATCATCGTCCATGACGAGCTTCGCCAAGCAAAACAGGGCACACTTGAGTCGAAACCAGCCCTCCGTCCGCACACTCAAGTCCTGGAAGATGAAGTAGAGTCCTACCTCCTTATTCTCATCGTCCAACCTTTGGACACTAGTGTGGCACTGGCCGATGAGGTTCTTGGAAGGTTCACCCCTGACCGGGGTTAGATGTCCCAGGTCTTGCGAAGATCGAGCGGAACGTAGCGGTGCGGCTGACGAAGGGTTTGGCTCATGAGGGGAGGTTCGGCGATGTGAAGGATTGTCGTAGCCATTCTGGTGTTGACCATTGTAATGCATGTCGTTATTGTATGGGTACGATGGATTACGTTGTTCCAAGGAATCGTTGTTGTAGGTAGAAGAGGCAGATGTGGGGGCACTCGTTGGTGTGGACGAGGAGCCGGGATCTCTGGCTCCACGCCAACTTGGGAGATTTGTAACATCATAAGGGCGAAGTTGCTGCACCGAACGCAACCCACCGGTGGCGACTGGAGGATAAGGAGTGGTGATGGTTGACGATATCGAGGGAGATGTTGTGTTGTTTCTGACACAGTTGTCTTCGTGAGTGCCATACACGTCCCACAAATCAACGCCGAGGATAAATTTTGACAGGTCGACGACTTTGCTGTCTTTTGGTCAGCAGGCATATAGAGAAGGGGAAGTTGAACCACTCACCTATAATCGATCTCTTTATGGGTCTCTGGATCAAAGATGTGGAGCTTGGCAATAAGAGGCGGCGTGATAGGACGGCGATCCTGTAAACACGAGGGAAAGGGTCAGCCTCCACTGATATCAATACACCGCCAGGTACTTGATAATCACCTTGTCCCCAAACCCACACATGCGAGCACGTTTGGGCTGTTGAATGATCTCTACTGCGAACCCATATTTTCCCCAGATCCTGGAAATTGGTGGAATTTCTGGTAGGCCATAGAACGATTCGTCATCCGCAGTGCTACTGTGGCTGGGACTTGCAGGCGGCATATTGCTGCTACCGCCATTGCTGTTGCTGTTCGTCGCGGTATGCATGTTGTTGTTTGTCAGGGGGAGCTTGTTGTTTGCCGCCATCTGATTTGCCGAGTGATATGGAGTATAGGGTGCTATCGAGGGAATCTGCAGAGGTGCAGGTGCTGGAGCAGGATGCTGGAGCAGATGAGGATGAGCTCTCGGAGGAGCAAACTTATGCTGATCGGTTGGATACATAGTCCAAAGAGTTGGTGGAAGAGTTGTTGAAGGATGCAAGGAAAAGTGGCTGAGAGAGACCTCTATATATGCAAATCCCAAATGGGGCGAGAGCGATCCGCGCGTGGCAAGGTGGTTCTGTCCAAATCGAACCTTCCAAAACAATGACGGTATTCCAGTAAAGACAGGAGCGAGGGAGGCTCAAGAAAATTCAGACTCAAGAAGCCAGCGGCAACTGATTCTTCCAGCTCTCTGGATCCTCAATACAAGAAAACTGTCTCAGGGTTTTCAAAACTCTAACACTCGATCCATTCCCCGAGCTCTAAACACTCATCCAGGTACCTCAAAGACTGAAACCCAAACAGGACGTCTGACTGAGGTAGGACGAAAAGATGGAGGCGTCGCTAATCAGGCAAAAGTGTTGAGGTGACACAGAATGGCCGGAAGACGAGGCCGCTTCAGGTGTACAGATATCGACCGTCGAGGGACTCGAGGTGGAGCACGACCAACCCGTGACCTTGAGGTTTTGCTAATCCTCAGGTTTTGGCGGTTGACTCCAGCGTCGAAGAACTCGGTTGCAGAGGATGACAGTCAGTCCCGGTAGTGGTGAGACTGATCCTGTTCACCTCACTGTCCAACGCGACCGGCCGTGTCAGACGGCCAGATGAGAGATATTGCTGACAAGAGAAAACTCTTGGTGCAGCGAAGAGCGTTTGCAGATCCAAAGAATGGACTGCGGCTTAGTGACTGGGCGAAGGTGGTTTTGCTGGCAGTCTTGTTATCGTGGCGGCAGTTCAAGACTCGGAACGTCTTGGTATAAGATTTTGCTCCCCCAAAGTACGATAAGAGAATTTTCGATCGGTGGGAGATCAAGCCAGTTGTAACAAAGCATGAACAACAAACTCTTTGAGTCAGTGGCACAGCAGATTTTCTCTTGGGTCGTTTAGATGAAATGTCGAGGCAAAGGTTCATGCCATGGCGTAGTTGTGGTAGAATTTGAGATACCGATGATATAACCGGGTGGTGATCAGTGGTGACGGATGGCACATCTGGTAGCTGAAGTCAAGAGATGTGAACCAGGAATCAGACAGGGGATTGATAGAGGACTGTCGAGTCAAGAGCCAGATTGATAAACAGGCCCAAGTGCTCGATACGGAGGACAGATGTCAGATGTCAGAGGTCAAGGCGAGCCGGGTTGGAGACTCAAGGTGAGAGTTCGAGACAAGAATACATTCTAGTCAAAGAAAGACGCGCACTAGACTATCAGTCTTGGGTTTCTCCAAGATCATACAGACCGAGAAATTGCACTGTATACTGGATGGGCTCGGTCGTGATACCATAGAAAAGGCCCGCAAGCAAGAGGCAGGAGGATCAGATCACGAACGCAACCCTCACTTGGACGCAAATCCCCCCAGGGCCTTTTCCTTCGGCTAAGGTGGTAACTAACTGGAGGAAGAGGCGAATGGGGGAACAACAGTGGGTATGTGTTTTAGGACCGTAAGAAAAGGTCAAGCATTCGGTCTTTCGGACGAGCTGGCAGCCGTAGGGGCGACCGGGGGGGAGAAAGAAAAGCGACGCTGAGGCGAGGATCGGTCGCCTTAGTTGCAGTCACCAAGTCACCAAGAGAGTTTCTTTCAACACTGCGGGCGAGTGTCTGGCCACGCCACCGACCCCAAGGAAAAACAAAACACGACGAGGCGCCGGGTGGAAAAGAAACAACACACCGCACACACTGCTCGGTAAATACCGAGTACCTCGTACGCACCTCCAACTGTTCCTCCAGGCCCAAGCCGTCGGATCAGTCTGAGATCGACCTATCGCTTGAAGCATGAACACAACTTGGTTTCAACGTTTGGACAGCACACAGCGAATGGCCCGGGGCCTCCCAACAGAGCAGGCGGATGAGCATCCGACAGGCTTACTAGCACTTAGCTACAGTAGCTGGCCCTTGACTCTTGACGCTACCTGCTTAACCCAAAGGTACGAGTTGTAGGTACCTATCTAGGTAGGTAGGGTTTATCCACCGCCCCTGGCATGATCACCGTCCCGCTACAAGCACCTGCACTCTGCTTCCATCTGCTTTGACTCTTTGGATGGCGCTGAGAGTTGTTATTATTATTGCTGGGAGGTGGCTGCTGGTGCTCCTCCTGCAGCCTGAGGCGAGTCCTTTCTCTACCTAGGTAGGTCTCTCTACCTACATGTACCTACCTAGGTAGGTACACGTACTCCGCAGAGCATGCAAACTGCCCGCTGATTCGGTATCCTCATGATTGAAACCACAGAGCAGCTTGCCTCTCTCCGGAGTGGTCCATTAGCCCCCTTCCCCTCTCTTCTCCCCCCTCTTCAGTAGTCGCTTTGACCTCCGGGGCTCGCGGCAAACGCACCAAGTCGTCGATCTTGCGCATCTGCCGCAATTTAGTCCCAATTAAATTCCCCTCTCCTCACCCCCCAAAAGCTACAGCCCCGTATTTGTAGGTATCTTACAAAAATAGTTATAGTTTGCGTTACATATCAAAAGTCGAAGGGAAGATTGAAAGGATGGGATAATGGACAAGGAATCAAAAAAACGCCTTGCTCCACCAACGCCAGCCGTAGCTTTCTGCCTACTGCGAGCCACTGTCAACACGCTTCCACACCCACCCCTTCTAGATTGTTGTTCAAACGACTGCTACGATGCTCGGTATGAGGTCGGTGGCTGATGCCCCGTGTGACACGTCACATTTTGGGTGGATTGCCTGTTTGGCAACCTAATTAGAATTCAAGCGTCAAAAGCCCGCACAGGAAAAAGGGCCACGAGGTTGACATGGCTCCAACATTTCGGCGCTGTGTAACCTATGGAATTCGGAATTCGTGCGCGCTACGGCGTGTTCTGTTGTGTTCGTTGGCAGCTGGCCGGTTTGTTGATCTACGGACACTCCATTGTTTTGGCCACCAGTGCCGGTCCCGACTTTCCTCTTTGAATAGATAGCTACTCGTAAGTGACGCGCAGTAGTAAGGCGCCGGGGACGGCTTGAGTCAAGAGTTGCCTTTTCAATGGTACCGCGTTCCCAAATTCATTCGCCTCTTGCATAACACCTACAGGACTGATACCGAAGTCGGAACCAATCAATATTCGCGCGGCATTCGACTCCGCCTCGCGGCGTAGCTCTGGCTTGGTCTATCTGCGAACAGGATGACTGGACGGGGAAGACCAAGGACGCATCCTCAAAATCCTCATCACAGCCAGCAAAGTGGCTCCGATGACCGTCCATGTCCAGCAGGCAATAACACACAGCGAATCAGTCTTGGCGGTGTCAAAATTGCACTAGAATTCTTATCTGGACGGGGCAGGATTTTGGGCATCCTCGTTCCTTCTTGGTCACTTGTCGCCGTGATGCTTGCCTGTCAGCGTGTCCTTTGTCTTGTCTGCTAGTGATCGGATAGTGCCCCTTTCTTTGTTGAAGGATTCGGACCGCACTTTTTCATTGTGTGCTCGAGCCTCGCGCTGTTCATCTTCAGTGGGCTTGTACAGGTTGGCGGCACCGCCTGTGGATCAAATTTTAGCTGGACACAATTCCACTCAAGGTTTGTCTTGCATAGTTTTGTCGTGCATACCTCTGCCGGTGTGATGGACACCTTCCGGAATTGTAATTACAGGGACATCGACATCTTGAGCACGGCGAGCTTCTTCTGGGCGGTCAGGGTCATTCTTGGCCATGTTGCCAGTTCCACCTCGCCCGGTGGTATACGTCTTGGACTTCAGCGAAGGAGTAGTCTGGGGCTCAAAAGCAGGCGACTTGCTGTCTTTGGTGGTGACGTTGCCTGATGGACATGTCAGGAAAGAGTGGCTCGCAAAAGCAAACTGCTAGCTGCTGGAGCATGTACTGACCGGCGCCACCACGCCCATAGGTGACTGTTGGGTTGGTCATGCTGCCTTTCTGCCGCAACAAAATCAAATCCAACCACTCAGGCCTTTTAAAAAGACGCGGAGTCTTCTCGCAGGATCGAGTTGGTTTTCAGCGCCAAATTGTAGACTGTGGAACTGCTACGAAGCCCAATCAAGGGGCGCAAGGGGCGGAAAGGACTTTAGAGGAGAAAACGCGGGTATGGAAACAGAAACCAGAGCCTGAGAATGTAGAGTATATTGAGGCGGCGAAATTTGAGATGGAAGGGTTGGAGAAGTGAAGAAAACTACAAGGAGTGATTTCTCTTTCGTGGCTTTCCTATACTGGCTTGCATCATGACGGCTTCGGATGACCAAAAATCTTCAGGTGACACACGTGCAGTGAGAAAAAAAAGAAGCCTTGTTAAATAGGACGGTTAAAGCTGAGCGAAGGAGGAGAACCAAAACTAGACGTAACAGAAACAGCCTCATTGAATGGAAGTTGGAGGCTAAGAAGGCTGGGCATTGATTCAACGCTCTTGTCCTTCCCCTCGCTATTTGAGGGGTTCAAGTCTTCATGTTTCGGCTGATTCGAGCCTGTCTTCCCTGTTCAAAACCATTGCTTGAAGACCTTCCGAGTTTGTAAGTATGCGCCCACGTTTGGCGCTCATATTTCCAGGTACGCTGCTCCTCAGGCGGCGGCAGCAGCAGCAGCGGGAAATTCAAACCCAGAGCCAAACCAATGCAAAGACAACAGGCTGTCACCACGTTCCCCAGAGTCCCATCGATCTGCAAGTTACCTAGGTATGATGTAGATTCCCGCTGCTCCAAATCCTACGTCTCCGCGCCCGCACTCGCTAGCTAGGGGAAGAAAAGGTAAGGTCTCCTTCAAGCGTCAATATCTCTCTTGCGTCGATCGTGACACCCACCAATTGTCAGATTGTCCATGAGTTTCCAGCCAAGAGAAAAACAATCCCCTCTGGAAAGGTGCGAAAGAGGACTGCCTCCACCCCAGTTCCACTAGCTAGGTCCACAGCGCAAGATGCTTGTCCACACATGACCAAGAAGGGGCAAAACGTTGAAATTTTCTGGACTAGCAAGAAACCCCTACCAAGTCCCAATGCTGGTCAGAGGTGTTGGTCATTGGCCGCAGACCTCACCGGATGTTATTGCCAGGGCGCCGGGCACTCAGAGGTCGCTGTCGTTGACACCGCATACGCCATGGCGTCTTGTTCCCCTGGCCCTCAGGATCCTTTCAATGGTTGGCAAGATCATCGTTTTTCAAAGACACCCAGAGAACGAATGATCCATGGTGTCGGCTCTGTGGATGTGCAAGTGGTTCTACATGTTATCGTGGACGTCTGCCGTGCCCTAGAATTGATGGTTGAGTTGGACAACAGTATCTAGTTGAGGCGGTCAAGAGTTGGCTTGACCGACTCCGTTCGGTTGATCGACTGGGACTCCGGTACCCGGTCCCCGCCAGTCCTGACCTGAGCCTGAGCGCGAGAGATCTGTGAGAAAGCGAATGCAAGCGCGTACTCGGTACCTCCAACCTGGTCCCGCGTTCCGCAGCTCTGGCACTCGTGGTGCCCGGAGCCAGCCACTGACGCCACTTGGGTGCCACTGGAATGAGCAATGAATCAGACAAATTGATCTCGAGCCTTGGACGGACCTCCCGCTTAACGATAAGCACCCGCTACTAGGCGTCATTTAGGCGTGGTCCCGCCCAGAAAATCCTGCTTTGCTTCCCCACTGTTCGCCCGGTATAGGCTGGCATTTTCTCCGTTGGACCTGAGAGTGGGATGCAGGAACGGGCCTGAGTTTTGGACTTTTCCATCTCAAATCACCCATTCACCACCTGGACACTTGATCCACCACTCAGCAGAGCCCAAAGAGACACTTGGTCAACATAGTACAAGGTACACCAGCATGGGGACAAACGTGGCTTCCTGGTGCGCGGGGGTTGAGTGGCTGCTGCTCCTGCTCCCGCTTTCTGCTTTCTGCTTTCTGCTTAGCACTGTCCTCATTATGGAATAATAATGACCTGAGCTCTACACACCACTGTTGCAATATTTCTTCCTCATCACCCGCCCTTCGGTGAGCGACCATTCCCTTCACAGTTCCTCATCCTCATACCTTGTATTGATACAACAAGTCTGTCTCTCGAGCAACTATCTTTCCACCAGGATTGTTACAAGCCTGCGCCTCCATTTCCTGCAGCGTTCAGCTTCGCCGGTCCAGCAGTAGTCTCCAGACAATGCTTTGAAAGAGCCACGCAAGAGCACACATCCTGAAGTACGCTTCAGGCCGTCATTGAGCAGGCAACATGCCTCCCAAAACTCGTCAGAGCACCCGCCAAGTCTATCTTCTCCCACTCACCGATGCTGGGGCTCCGGATGTTCCCAATGAGTACATTTACTTGCCTGCGCCGACCGAGCCTGCGTACTACCTGAGATTTGCTATTGAGGGGACTAGCTCGATATGCCGTCAGGGAAGTCTCTGGGTCAACTTCCCCTTGAAAGGTCAACCGTTCGATCGTAAGCGGTACCACGAATTCAAGCTGCACCCAGATTTCAATCGGACTCTTGAGATCGACATTCCCATCACTTCCGCCGGCGCATTCTCGTTTTACACTACCTACAGCCCTTTGCCCGAGTTTTCTACCTCCGATGTCGAGCCTCCTAAACCTACCCGTACTCCTACCTACTATGTCGACATTGAGCCGAGTCTGCGCCTTGGTGGGAGCTGCTTGCCCCTCGATGCTCTGGGCATCTTCTCGGTCGTCTCCAAATTCATGGGTGACTACCCTGGAGACTGGAACAAGCATTTGAGGGGGATCAGTGCAAGAGGCTACAATATGGTCCACTTTACGCCACTGCAGCAAAGAGGAGAGTCAAACTCGCCATACAGCTTGTACGATCAGCTGGCTTTTGACACGGAACTTTTTCCCGGCGGTGAAAAGGATCTGGCACGAATGGTCAAGTCCATGGAAGAGGAACACGAACTATTGGGTCTGACTGATGTTGTCTTCAACCATACCGCGAACAATAGCAAATGGCTCGAAGAACACCCTGAAGCAGGGTACAATGTGGAAACTGCTCCTTGGTTGGAATCTGCGCTTGAGGTTGACAATGCTCTGCTCGAGTATAGCGACAAGCTCAAGTCCCTCGGTCTCCCAACTGTCTTCAACAGTGACCAAGATCTGGACACGGTCGTTGCGGGCATAAGAGAGCATGTTATCGCCAAGATCCGGCTGTGGGAATACTTTGTTTGCGATGTCGAGTCAGACACTGAGGCCGTGGTCAACGCATGGAAGAAAGGCGCTGTCAAACTACCTCCCGAAGGCTTTGAGAGTGCCATTGGCGGTGGTGTCGACTCTTTCAGATCGTGGTCTCTTGCCCAGAAAGCGGCATTCATTCTTGATAAAGGTATGCTGGATAGTCTACGCGTCGATGGTCAGTACTCGCGTCTTCGGATCGATGGGCGATATTCGCGCAAAGTTGACCCTGGGATTGGAGCTGCTATCCTTACGGCTTCTTTCGGTCGGTACGAAGATGGAGCGGACACTAAGCCAGCAGAGGAAGAGACCAAGGCAATCATAAACGAGCTCAATCTTCCTTTCTACAAAGAGTTTGATGCGGACTGCGCTGCAATCCTCGAACAGACTAGAGGAAGACTGCAATATACGAGAATGGACTCGCATGGCCCAAGGCTTGGGCCCATCACCAAGGAGAATCCTCTGATTGAGACATATTTCGCTCGGCTACCGCAGAATGAGACGACAGCGAAACATGACCCAAAGGCACTGTTCCTGGCGGTCAATGGGTGGATTTGGGCGGCCGATGCCATGAAAGACAATGCAGGCCCTGACTGGAGGCCATATCTAAGGAGAGAACTCATTCCATGGAGTGACTGTGTCAAACTGAGATATGGCAAAGGCCCTGAAGATAACCCTTATCTATGGGACCATATGACAAAGTACGTCCGGTTGATGGCCAAATACTTCACCGCGTTTCGAATCGACAATTGCCACTCTACACCAATCCATGTCGCCGAATACCTTCTGGACGAGGCGCGAAAAGTACAGCCGAATTTGGCAGTGTTTGCTGAGCTGTTTACTGGCAATGAAGCAATGGATTACGTGTTTGTCAAACGGCTTGGACTTAGTGCCTTGATTCGCGAAGCTATGCAAGCTTGGAGCACGCAAGAACTGAGCAGGGTCGTGCATCGGCACTGCGGCCGACCGATTGGCAGCTTCGAACTCAATGTTCCGTCGAGGTTGGGAAACAAACCCGAGAACGCGGTGGTTAATGGGGCTGGTCCCCAAACCCGAGAGGTAGTCAAGCATATCAGAGAATCGCCGGTACATGCTCTGTTCATGGATTGTACTCATGACAACGAAATGCCCGCTCAAAAGAGAGATGCCAGAGATACGTTACCCACGGCTGCGCTTGTGAATATGTGTGGCTGTGCAACGGGCAGCGTTATGGGTTTCGATGAGATCTACCCGAAGCTTGTCGATCTTGTACACGAGGGTCGTAAATACGCATCAATCAGCTCTGAGGGTGAAGTCCACACCGGTGCCGGCGAAGGAGGGATAGCTGGCGTCAAGAAGCTCATGAATCATATCCACACCATGATGGGCAAGGATGGCTACGATGAGACCTTCCTTCACCATGAGGGTGAGCTCATCACCCTCCACAGAGTACATCCGGATTCGCGAAAAGGGTATTTCCTCATTGCTCATACTGCTTTCCCTGGCTTCGGTAATGGAAATGGCGGCCTGAGCCCTGTACACCTCGCTGGAACCAAAGTCCGCCCACTCGGTGCATGGGTGCTGGAGGTTGACCAAAGCGAGCAGGCTAAAAAAGAGGCGCTAGGCGACAAAGAATATCTTGTTGGTCTACCGTCTCGTGTGAGAAACATCAAGGGGAGCACAATTCACACCGAAAATGGCGACACCACCATCACCATTGCCGACTTTTTCCCGCCGGGCTCGATTGCACTTTTCGAGACTTGGGTCCCTTCTGCCGAGCACTCTCTTGGCCTTGGAACCTTCATCTCCAGCGGCACGGATGAGGCGTTCGGCGAGCTCGATCTCATCGATCTCAACTTTGTTCTCTATCGATGCGACGCTGAGGAACGGGATACTAGCGACGGGCAAGACGGGGTCTACAATATCCCCAACTATGGTCCGTTGGTATATGCAGGTCTTCAGGGCTGGTGGAGCGTCATGGAGCCGATTGTTCGACGTAATGATCTGGGCCACCCGCTGTGCAACCATCTTCGTCAAGGGCAGTGGGCTCTGGATTTCTTGGTTGGACGGATGGAGAGAATAGCCAAGAGAGAAGATTATACTCGACTACAAAAGCCTGCACAATGGCTGAAAGAACGGTTTGACGCAGTCCGAGTCATTCCGAGCTTCCTTCTGCCGCGTTATTTTGCCCTCATCCTCCAGACAGCGTACGACGCAGCATTCAAGAGAGCCATTGAGCTGATGAGCCCGAACATCCAACACGGTCAAAACTTCCTGCAAGGCCTAGCCGCGGTGAGCATCCAACAAACAGGGTATGTCAAGTCTGCATCATTGTGGCCAGACAAGACTGTACCGTCACTTGCTGCTGGATTGCCTCACTTTTCAGTATCGTGGGCTAGATGCTGGGGCCGGGATGTCTTCATCTCTCTGCGAGGTCTATTTTTGTGTACCGGTCGCTTTGCAGAAGCCAAGGAGCATATTAAAGCCTTTGGAAGTGTGTTGAAACATGGCCTGATACCCAACCTGTTGAGCAGCGGGGCTGCCCCAAGGTACAACTCGCGAGACTCGCCGTGGTTCTTTTTGCAGAACATTCAAGACTATACCAAGATTGTGCCCGATGGTCTGTCTATTCTGCAGGAGAAAGTTCGTCGTCGATTCCTTCCGTACGATGACACATGGTTTCCTTGGGACGACCCGCGAGCCTTTTCAAAAGAATCCACCGTCCAAGAGATCATCCAAGAGATCCTGCAACGGCATGCATCCGGCCTGTCTTTCCGAGAACACAATGCTGGGCCTCAACTGGACATGCAAATGAAACCGGAAGGATTTCAGATCGATGTCCATGTCGACTGGAATACCGGCATCATTTTCGGAGGTAGCCAGTTCAACTGCGGAACGTGGATGGACAAAATGGGTGAAAGTGAACGAGCTGGCAGCAAAGGAGTTCCTGGCACACCGCGAGACGGGGCTGCCGTTGAAATCACAGGGCTTCTATACAGTGCGCTGAAATGGGTTGCCCAGCTCCACAAGGCAGGGAACTATCAATGGTCAGGTGTGGAAACTGACTCGGGCGAGAAGATCTCCTTCGAAGAGTGGGCTGACCGGATCAAAGCCAACTTCGAAAAATGTTACTGGATTCCGGTGGATCCCAAGGATGATATTGACGACGATGTGGATCCCAAGATTATCAATCGGAGGGGAATCTATAAAGATCTCTACAAGTCTGGAAAGGAGTACGAGGATTACCAGTTGCGACCGAACTTCCCGATCGCGATGGTGGTCGCACCGGATCTCTTCACCCCAGAACGAGCACTACACGCGTTGAAAGTGGCAGATGATGTCCTTCGTGGGCCCACGGGGATGGCGACACTGGATCCGTCTGACTTGAACTACCGGCCCTACTACAACAACTCCGAAGACTCGACGGACTTTGCAACGTCTAAAGGGAGGAATTACCATCAGGGCCCGGAATGGTTATGGCCAACAGGCTTTTTCTTGCGCGCATTACTCTACTTTGACCTGAAGCGCCGGGCAGACGCTGCAGGCAGGATGGAGTCCTTCCAGCAGGTCACGAGACGGCTTGCAGGATGCAAGCAAGCGATCAAAGATAGCCCCTGGAAGGGGTTGACAGAATTGACGAACAAGAACGGGTCGTTCTGTGCAGATTCGGTAAGTTTGGCAGCATGAGAAACATGGTGAGAGCAATATGCTAATGTTCTGGACTGTAGTCACCCACTCAAGCATGGTCAGCAGGTTGTCTGATCGATCTGTTCCACGATGCATCGTCCTTGGAACCGGAAACTAACGGATTTTGATGAAGACCACTGGCAACAAAGCGGATTTCGCTTGATGGATAGAAGGAAGGTCAAAGAAGGGGCACGGTGCACCGTCTTGGGACCTGCAAAAAGGCTACCACGTTGAACCCAAAGAATGTAAGAAACCTAGAGCGCGACAGGGGTAGATGGAATATACTGTTAGGAGACAGAGCCGCACGGGGGAAGAAGAAGAGCGTTACCCGTGAAAGACTCGGACTTTTGTATGAGCCAAACATTAATACAAATGTATCTAATACACCACTGCATCTTCGTTTCGTGACGGCGAGGCTGGGCTGCGTGGCTGCTGACAGACGAGAGACGAGAGGCTCGTGGCGTGAAATGGGGCGAAGGCACCCAGCGAGCCAGAAGGGGCCGAGGGGCCTATCGGGGACTTGACAATGGACAGCAATGGACATGCTCTCGATGCGTCATGCAAGGCACAGAATAGGTTCGAGACTCCGAGTCATCGGGCCCCTCAGCTACCGAGGAATTATCACGATAACTTTTTTTTTGAAGACCCTTAGACCGCCTCCGCAGTTTGCTTCCAGGTTCTTTTTATTCCTCCACCAGCCAATTTGTCTTCTCGGACCAGCTCTCTGGTCTTCTGTTCACCAGTATTCTGTCCGTCTCTACACCGCTTCTTAGTATCTGCCCCGCTCACTCACACAAACATGCCTGTAAGTTCTTCGCCTCCTGCAAACTCCAGATCCGCGGGGTCTTCCTGCGACCGAAACTGACTCATCTGATCGCTGCTTCAGTCCTACTACATCACCAACCCCAACGTTGGGAACAAGGAGTCAACCGAAGACTGGCGAAGTGAGTAGCTATTTGTGTTCCCTTCGTTCCACTTTTCCGTCATCCAAGACTCGGCACGATTCGCAGCTCAAGGTCACTGACCAGGATTGCGAGGCACAGTTCGAGGCTACAACCCCCTCACACCCCCAGACCTGCTTCAACATGAGATACCTCAGACCGCCGAGAGCAAATCCACGGTCCTCCAAGGCCGCTCAGACTGTGTCGCCGTTGTCCAAGACACGGATGCCCTCCGCCGCCTCCTCGTGATCATCGGCCCCTGTAGCATCCATGACCCGGTCTCCGCCCTGGAATACTGCGATCGCTTACTCAAGATGAAGGAGAAACACAAAGACGAACTAGTCATTGTGATGAGGTCCTACCTGGAAAAGCCGCGAACGACGGTGGGGTGGAAGGGCCTGATCAACGACCCGGAGATCGACGGCAGTTTCCTGATCAACAAAGGATTGAGGTTGTCCAGGCAGCTATTCGTCGATTTGACATCGAAAGGAATGCCGATAGCCAGTGAGATGCTGGATACGATCTCCCCCCAGTTCCTGGCCGATCTACTATCGATCGGAGCTGTGGGTGCCAGGACGACAGAGAGTCAGTTACACAGGGAACTTGCGTCCGGTCTGAGTTTCCCCGTGGGTTTCAAGAATGGCACGGACGGGACGCTCGGTGTGGCCATCGATGCGATCGGTGCGGTGAAACATCCCCATCATTTCCTGTCAGTGACCAAGCCTGGCGTTGTGGCGATTGTCGGCACCGTGGGCAACGAGGACTGCTTTGTCATTCTGAGGGGCGGAACCACGGGTACGAACTATGATGCCCAATCGATAAAGCACGCCAAAGAGATGCTGCGGAAGAAGGGATTGAGCGAGCGAGTCATGGTGGATTGCAGCCATGGGAACAGCGAGAAGCAGCACAAGAACCAGCCCAAGGTCGCAAAGGCGTTGGCAGACCAGATCGCCTCGGGAGAGGAGGCGATAATGGGGGTTATGATCGAGAGCCACATCAATGAAGGTGAGCATTTTCCCAGTCTAAACCCAGAGAACACTCATAAGGAGGTCCCTTCGTCCTTGCCGACGCGACTATTCCCAAATTCACCTCATAAGGTTTTTCAGCCATGCTGACTTTTGTTCTCTTGTCGTCTAGGAAACCAAAAAGTGCCACCGGAGGGCAAGGCCGGGCTGAAATACGGCGTCTCCATCACCGATGCATGCATAGGATGGGAAGACACCGAGACCGTGCTGGAAACCCTTGCCGACGCCGTCAAACGACGGAGGGAGTTGCTGGGAAAGAAGGAGGTGGTCAATGGAACCGCGGATGCGCAGTCGAATGGTCAGAACGGGCATGCTTGAAGAAATCTTTCTGGTTGACCAGGCGTGCGAAAACAGGAGAGTGCGTGCGAACCTGAGTCAGACTTGTCGGGAAGTTGTCGACACTGCGGACGACCGAAAAAACAAGCGAGATTTCGCAGCAGCAGCAGCCAGCTGAAGCCGCTTCCACAACGCAGAACATGAACAAGCGAATGCAACCTTCTGCAACATTTGCGACGAGAGAGAGACGAGAGGAGATTCCGAAGAATATAGCACGCATGGAAGATGAACTACCTATCGCTACTGGGACGAATTTCATGGGACGGATTTGATACGGAAAGGTTGGATGGATAGATCCGGAACTCTGGGAGCGAAAAGAGGCGTAACAAAAGTCTTTTGCAATACTTTTCAATTCAACTACTAGTAGTAGTAGTGCATTTCATCCAGGTGGATGAATAGCGGTGCATCGTGCATTGGGAACGGCAGAGGAGAGGAGGAGATGATGGGGGAATAAATCTTCTTCTTAGAGAGTTCTTGCAGAAGAAAGAGCCGAGAAAAGAACGAAAAAACAAATCAAAACAAGAAGCTCCGGATGTCTTTCATCGACACGCTTGATCGATGCGATGCGATTCGAAATTGTATCGTCATTTCTCTCCGGGTACGATGCATCTAAGTGCCCAAGTACCCAGTATGGAAGGGACGTACCTACCTACATACCTACCTACATACCTACCTACCTACCTAACTAGGTACGCTTGATCCCATATCATGTCCGCACAACGCAAATTGTCCCAGACTCGAAAAAGAAATAAAGCGTGAACGAAGACAAGAGGAGAAATAGAGAAGCGGGAAGGGCAAGAGAAGAGTAGATATCAATTGAAGTGAAGTCAAATCTTGATTTCTGCAATGTTATTTCCAACCAAAGCAGCGCCAAAGGTCCCAAGTTGGATGGAATCTGGATGGTAGACCTCAGCAAGCTGCTCTTTCATTTTCGAATTTCGAAGAAAGGGGGGGTCAACAGGGATTCCGTATCTGAGTATGTCTGCCTGCCTGTCTGACTTTGCGTATGTGTGCACAGAGTAATCCGCCCTGGAATATACATACTTTTCTGGAGGAGGGAGGGTAGGGCATTAGGGCAGGAAACACGGGGAATGTTGTTGTTGTTATTCGGTGGATATATAAGCTGAGAGCCGTAGGTCGGGGGGTTTTGAAGACGAAAAGACCAGCCCCAAGAATAAAACATAATAGAAGCTCTCGCGCGCCGTCGTCGACGTCCGTCTGTCTCTGACGAGACGAGTTCCTCCATCCCCCCGTGCAGTGGAAAGAAGGGATGGACCTCGAAACGAGAAGACATGGGTCGAAGAACCATGAAGACGCCTGTCTATTGCAATACTGCGGCTCGGCAAATGAGTGTGGGATGTGTGCCATTGTCTTGTGAGTCCTTCTGGACTGCTATGCCGGCAAAGCGAGAGAGCATGTTGCTGCAGACTAGACTATGGCGCAGTTAGGGGGGCCGAGCCGGGAAGAAGTGAAAGGTTCGTAAAGTAAGGTCCATGTTTGGAGCGAGTGAAGAAAAAAAAAGAAACAGGAGCGTCGGATATCACGACGGGCGAAAATATAGAGGCCGTCTGCCCCAGAATGAGGTCTTTTCGATGCTGGGTTGGAAAGCAATGCTGGAAGGTAAAGTGGATTTCGTGCGCCGCTGATGGAAATAATGAAAGGCCTTTCATTTCTCGTTGCTGTAAGAGGTTTGAAGTTTTGTATAAAGAGGCAGGGTTGGGTGCGTCTATCGACTTGGAAGCATACGCCAGCGTTCGTTCTCCTAGACAGTCGACCGGACCGCTGTCCCTTTTGCCAGCGTGAAGAGTGGCGGATATGTCGAGTCAATCGCCAGCAACTTCTCACAGCTGCGCCGCTGAGATCCCAGCGCTTTTATGCCTCGTCATCAGCCATGGGTCCCTTGCCGCGATTCTGTCCCCATTGCTTCCACTGAGCACTTGCTCCCGTGACTTGAGGACGTTTGCCTTGCTCGTCGAAGTGGTCCATGCCCATCCACTTGCCACTTGCATGCTGCGTGTGAGAGGCTCCCGGAGCACCAGCAGTGGCAGTCGCGGCGTCAGGATCGCGCTTCTTAAACTCCTTGGGTTCCAGATCCTGCTCCTTGACGTTCGCAAGCGGCCGGACGTCCGGGTTGCCCACCACGATGTTCATAAACTTGCCAGTGTCGCCTTGTTGCTGCCACCAGTGAAACTTGGTGGCCTGAATGGCTCGGCGGGCGATTTGCTGGACTTCCGGGTCCGGGTGGTCGAATAAGGGGCTCAGGTCGACGGAGTCACTGTCGTCGTCTTCTCCTGGCATGGGTCCATGTTGACCCTTGCCCATGCCTTTCCACTTGTGTTCGCCATGGCCTTCACCGCTGTGTGAGCCGTGGATTTGGCCTTGTGAGTCGCGCTTCTCCACGTCTGCATCCTCGACGTAGTAAATGGGAGTATCGGCAGGAGGGGATTGGCTCGCAGCGACAGATCCGTCGTTGGCTTGAGGCGAAGGGAGGGCGCCAACTTGAGCCAAAGTGAAGGCAAGTACAGCTGCCGCTGTAGTCGACGTGAACTTCATGTCAAAATAGATTGGTACAATTGGTTTGGTGAAGGAATGTTTTTCGGGTCTATGGTTTGTATGGGACATGGAACCAGCCGCGAATCCATACTTGTACCTTATAATGTGCCTCGGACAGCGCAACCAGTTCTTTGAGACATCTGAGATAAAGAACAACAGGCATTGAACATGCTGGAGCAGGCGACTACAAGACGTGTATCGGGTAGGAGAAAGGAATTGCACGAAGAGTGTTCCGCAAAGGGAGGTGAATAAGGACCACCAAAGGGGAGGCCCATCAAAGACGCAATGCAAAGGACCTCCAGGGCCAAGCTCAAGCTAGACTTGATCTCGACTTGAATAGAGAGCAGATAGCTGGGCTAGGCCCGAAGTCGACTTGAATAGGACGAATTGGGCGATTGTGAGGCCGGAAAGGTGTATCAATAGAGATGATGGCGCTTTACCCTTTTCGGACAAACATAAGGCTCACCGCTTCACAAGGCCATCACTGTGAACTGCATACCTCGTATTTCGCCCGCCACCAGCTTGGAAATTGCTGTTGCAGATATGACCGTGCATATCTGTTGGTCCAGATCGATTAGTACTTGCTGCTTGCGTTCCGGGGCCGTCAGCTCCACGCGATTTCTCTCAGTCGGAGCTTGACTGGACTGGCAGAGCAGGAAACCTAGAGAACCTACTTGACTTCGTGCTTGTCCTTCTCCAGCTGGCGCTCATTGTTATGGCCGTTTTTTAATCCGAAGTGCAAATCTCCAAGAACAAAGGCGCTTCAAGGTGGAACATGAGACACAATATCAATGACATTCGACGCCAGCAGGAAAAAATTGCTGTCAATACCAGAAATCGCTAAATCGCTGATAGGTGAATAATCACAAATGAAACTGGGGTATTTGAAAATGAATGCAATCAAAATGGATGGTCCCCCTTTAATCCAGCTCGTCAGCTTCACCACTGACCTTCTGTGCCGGTACCATCGGCTCAGGAGCAGGCGGCTCCTCTTCGGCATGGCCATTCATCGGATCCTCCTTGACAACTTCCAGCGGTGAAGGGTGTGCTACATCTGGTAGAGTATTCGCATCAATGTCGGAGTAATTTTCCTTGTTCTCTTCGGCCGTCATAGGTGTTTCAACATGTGTTTGCGGCTGCGTCTTCTCCTTACTAGGTTGTCTGACTTTGTTTGGAGCCACCGACTTGTGTTTAGGTGGACTACTGACATGCACCTTTTCGTGGACCTTTTGTGCACTGCTTGCCGTGGGCCTCATCATTCTGGCCAGGAAACTTTCATCTGGTTTGGCCGTGCTCACTCGAGACTTCGGTCTATCGTGGCCGTTGGTCAGTGACGTACGGGATGCCTTCTTCGCCAACGAAAACGTGCTGGCTGAGCTACTAGCCCGAGGCTGTCGTGTTGACGATGTAGTGGTTGTTTTCTTCACGGATTTGCGCTCAGGTTCGGTTGGTGAATGCTGCGTATCGTGCTTGGCAGCCGTTGAAGCTGTAGTGGCAGTGGCCGCGGCTGGGAGTTTCCCAGGTACTGTAGGGGGTTTCGGTTTGACTGCAGTGGGAGATCTGGTAGCTTTTGGAGTTGCAGGGGTTTGCTCCTTCTTGATGCTTTCTGGGGCAGCTCTCGGTCTTGCACTTGTGTCTTTCGTCGGCGCCGAGGCGCGCGTCTTTTCTGTCTTCTCGGCATTCAATCTTGCTGCTTCTCTTGCCCTTTGTGCTTCTTTTGCCGATTCCATCACACCCTTGATTTTCGCAGGTCCTCCTCTGAGATGGAGCTTTGGCGAAGTTGGGGTTCGAGGGGAAGGCCTTGTCACTGTGGGGGATCTAGGGATAGGCTTGGTATTAACCTGCTGTCTCGTAGGTGGCGGCTTGACTAGTTCTGCATCCTTGGTGGTTTGGAGGGTAGTGGTCGGAGGTGGCCCAGGATTGGTTCCTTCTGTCGCCTGCATTTTCTTGACCATTTCTGCCGCATTTGACTCATCCTTCGGCTTTGATGGGGATCGAGGGATTTTGTCTTGTATTCGACCAGATGCAATTGCTTCAGTGAGATTTTTTGCTTCCGGAGCCAGCTTGGAAGGGGTATGCTCGACAAAAGCAGATCCCTTCAAAATGGCACCTAGTCCACCTTCATCCGTCCCGTCGTTTGCAGAGGGTGCCAATTGTGGATCTGACGTTGGCTCGCCCTTTTTCGTAGTGACAGCTGGCGTTGACGACTTCATGCTCTCTGTATCCTCAATAGCGGTCTCTTTAATCTCCCCCATACTGCTCACTTCGCTGGCCCTTCTGAGGCCTATCAGGGGTGCGCCTCCGTTCTCACTGGGTCTTTCAACGGCAACGAAGCTTGCACGGACTTTACTGACAGGTCTGCTGTTGTTGGATATTTCGGAGGGGTTTGGAGAGCGGCCTCGACTGGGGGGAGATGTGGACTGATCGCTGGCTTTGTTCTCGAACATTGCCCGCAGATTTTTGACTCCGCTGTTTCCAGAGTTGGTCGACATGGCTGTAGTTTCCATCACAAGATTAGCATGTGAGTCCAAAGGCAGAGAACCTCAGAGTTGAAGAAGGGAAGAGCGACACAATCGACAAAGGATTTCTCCAAGAAAATGTCAGGCGGTTGCATGGAGCAAAGAACGGTGGTGAGCAGGACGCAGGTGGATCCGGGGTTTTTTGGACAGGGGCTGTTTGGGCTCGCATTGGGCTCGGTTCTCTTGTCAATGCTAGGCCATCACCCGAGACGCGTTTCGCCTCACATGCAACGCGGTGCTCCCGGTGCGCTGATGCTCAGCTGGTGATGTTGAAATGATGGTCTCCGGAGGATCAGCAATTGGGAGACTACTCACACACGGGGTTCACCTAGTGCCCAATCGATGCTGCCAATTCTGGTGGGAAATGTGATATCGAAAGATTGGATGCAAAATCACAAAGACGTGCGTCGAGTTTCCCCCCCTTTGGGACGAGCTGCAGCAACTTGGACCGCGGAATTGGGCCACCGCCATACACGTGACGGACACTTTCGTTCGCGTCGTCCTCGCGGCGTTGTTGTCTTGTCCTTCACTGCCTAGTTACTTAGGTAGGTAGATATCAACTGTGACTGCTATTGATATTATGATTATCTATCTAGGGAGCCATGTGGGCTATCTGGACGTCCCGGACTCCGTCAATTCTATTTCCCCCACAACGCCCAGAGACCTCTATGTCTCCTGCTGTGCTATGTTCATGGACACATTCCACCCGGCATTATATTCAGACATCTAAGACCTCTGCCGCTTGCTCAGTGACCACCACGCCGACGAGATTCTTGGTAATCGTCTTGACTGGCTTTGCGCTCACCAGGTAAACAAGCTTCTCTGTCCAGAAATGAGAAACTATGGCCTGGAGCAGAGGTACACTTCCAAACATTGTGCCCGCAATCGGGAAGAGCACGTAGTCGATCATGGTGACGAGAGAGAATCTTTTGCGGTAAGAAAACTCGTCAGCCAGTTCCTCATACAGGCCGACTCTCTTCATCTCCCTTTCCCGCGCTTCAATGCAAGCCCGATGGTAACCTTCGTAGAAAATAACGAAGTATATCGTCATCAACGCGAAGCTGACGCCCCGCAGGACTGAGGTAAGATCCATTGCAGCGGTCAAAAGTCGACAGGAGGTGATCGGATATGGGAGCGCCGTGTAGATGGCCGATGCCAGCAGAACAAGGAACAGGTGAATCGGCAAGAAGTGCGCTTCAAAAAGTCGACTGAACAAGATCAGATTTCGCCAGGTAAATCTTCGAAGATTGGGGCCGTGAAGGGCGTGTTGGCTGAGTTTCAGGCAGATTTCAACGTGACGAGGTCGATTTGGTCGGTCGGAATCGGAAGCGCTCCCTTCGCTTGACGGAGTAGACGGATTCAGAGGAAGAGATTCTGGCCGAATCTTGCACCATTGGCGAACGGCATATCCAGTGTCGAGACATCCCCACATGTGTCGAAGACCTTGCGCGTATCGGGCGGAATGGTTTGCCAGCCAGCCGCGGATACCAGCATTTCCAGTCGTCACATTGCACTGGCTTGCCGGACTCGGAATTGGTCTTATCTGCATGCGCCCGTTCGTGGCAAAGTAGCACTTCAACATCATGTGCATGTCTTCGCCGATGGCTTCGGATCCAGTGTCCCAACCACCAGCCAGACAAACAAGAGGAAGTGGGAGAGTGTAGACTGCGGTCGGGATTGCAACGGTCGATCTGGTGGGTTTGCTCGTGAAACAAGAGAGCCCGGCTCCGCACCACATCAGGTCCGCGATACGCACCATCTGTGGTACCGAATGCGCATTGCGATCAAAGATAATGGGCGGCATGTACAAGGTCATATCGGTCAATCCCTGGTCTTTGCGGTTGCCGAGGTGGTGGACGAGGACGGTCTCAAAATATTGACTGAGGAGGTGAGTGTCACCTAAACCGGTGTCAGTATGTTTCCCTTGCATATTTGTCCTTTTGGCTAGATCACTGACTGTCCATCACCGTCACGAGCACGCTTGACCAGTCAAGGTCGTTCAGGTATTTTTGCTCTATCTGCCGTGCTGCCCAACTCACATTGCTGCTCTTTCCGGGGGCTTCTCCAGGCAGACCGGCAGGATGGACAGTGTATTGCATGTCTCGAAACTTTCCGGAGAACAGCTGGATCAAGTTCTGAGCCACGTTGACCCCGTTTGGATCTCGCTCCTCCATGGCCAAGAAGATCTGTATCTTTGTCAGTGGTGCATCCGCCAAAATTTTGCGAGATACTGCCTACATCGTACGATGATTTGGCCAGTGTGTGGCTGGCGAGCACTCTCAGCGAGGTCTCGAGTATCTCAATATCTTCCTTGTAGCTGGGCAAGACCACTGCCATGGTCACGGTCCTTGACCGCTTCGCCGTCTCTTGCTGGAGTTCAAGTCCCCGTGGTTCGTCTCGAAAATTGTCGCATTGAAGAGCGTCGCCGTGAGCGAGTTTCGACCGTCGATGAAGGGCTTGGATCTCACGGGTTGCAGCGTATGCGGAGGCGCATAGTCGTAGAGGAAACATCAGGGCAAGGATATGCAGGAAGACCGAGTAGGAGATGAAGATAGTCTGGGCGACGACAGGACTTGCGATATGTCTGAGGAAGGGAGGGTAGAAGAAGCTGAGCCACTCGGTCTCGACAATCTTCAGGGCGGACTCGAGCAGGATCAGGAGGCCAAAGACTGACAGGCCAGGAATGCAACGAAGCGACCACCTGAGAAAGCCCATCGTCGCGATGCCTGTTGGGATGAATCGCAGCAGTGGTCTCGAGCGTGCCGTAGAGAGGAAGGAGGGGAGCAGCGGTAGGACTCAGGACTCAGGACTCAGGACTCAGGAGAGAGGGGGCAGCAGGTGACAACGAGGAGAGCGAGGAGAGCGAGGACAGCGAGGTAATGACCGATGCAAGTCTTAAGAATTAAGCTGCAGACAAGACAAATTCCTGGATGCTGGATGCCAGACACTGGACACTGGACAGAGTGTTAGAGCTAGGAGAATCCACCGGGCGTGCACCTCTTCTTCTTTCTCTTCACTTTGCCCCCTTACCGCACCATTGATGGCCCGCTCCTTCTCGCTGTTCTTGTCACACGCTTCTTTATTTTTCCACCCTTGCAACGGACACCGGCAGCTGGGGAGCTGGGCAGCTGGGCACCCTGGCTGGACACTGGGCAGCGTGACCATTCTCGCTATCAACCACCACTGGATGCACGCGGTGTCATGGCCAGCTCGCATCTCACCAGCTCACAACTAACAGGAAACATTCCCTCCACTTGCCCATTTGGCCTGTTGTGGTCATGTTAGCGCCAGCAACGGTGAGTCCAGGTGATCCGCATTGGGGAGGGCAGCAAGGACGACGAAAAAGATGCGATGGCGTGTATACCAAACAACGAGGCTCGTGGGCTTACCGTCAAACTTACCTAACCAGTCGAAACCAGTCGAAACCAGTCATCTGCACCACCTGAACCTTTCACATGTTGTGCGGTTTTGGTTCCGCCAATCAGTGCAGGGGGGAATGGCCATCGTCCTCCACGTGCCTCTATGGGCGGTCGCTCCAGGCTCAGGCAATTTTCCGAATCAAGGGAACGTGAAATCGGGCATTTCAGGGATTTGCAGCATCTTGAGGTCATGGTGTCGACCTGGGTTGCGAGGGGGGAAGAAGAAGTGGAAAACTCATCCAGGGCCCCAAAGCATTCAAATATAGGGCAACATCTCCCCGGATTGCTTTTGACCATGCAACAGTCAGCGAGGATTGGGGCACGGCTGCAGGCAGCCAATGACTGTAGCCAAATGGCCGGAACAACGCGGCTCCTTGTGTCTGCTGCACAAAAATGGCCCATGGAAAATGTGCGATCAGCCAGCGACCGGCTGCAGTTGTTCGAGATCCTGATCCTGGGAGATCTGAGATACGAGTACAACTTGGACGGCGTTGGACATGGTCTGGTCAACTCGGCCCATGCATCATGCGACCAGCTACTCCCTGCTAGCCAGCGGGGGTAGACGCAGGCGCAATCGGTGGAAACTTTGCAGAACGCCACTCATCTTGGTCCTGGTCACCTTGGTCGGCCTCTGGCTCATGGTGCGGATACTTTGGCGAAGAGGAAGTATCCCCGCCAATTTGTCGCGGTATCCTGACCCCGAATTGATCAGAGGCAATGTCACTGTCCCCTTTGATCCGCACGATCGCCTTTTCAGTCCGCCACTCAGCACTCGAGGCCGCGACATCGTCGACAAGGATGGCAAGCGTGTCAAGCTCGTCTCAGCGAACTGGTACGGCGCCAGTGACATATATATGGTCCCCGGTGGCCTGGACGTCCAGAATCGAACCAAAATTGCCCGCATCATTCGTGAGCTCGGATTCAATAGCGTGCGACTACCGTACGCCGATGAGATTGTTCGCAAGAATCCCATCATCGACCCCGAACTTCTGACAGCCAACCAAGACCTCGTTGGATTTCGAGCGTTGGATGTCTATGCCGCGGTCGTTCGCACCCTGACCGAGACAGGGCTGGCCGTCATCATCAACAACCATATCACCCAAGCGAGATGGTGCTGTGATGGCTATCCCTGCGACATGGGATGGTCCAACAGTGACCTCGGCCCTCTATGCCCTGTCCGTCAGACCGAGGAAGATTGGATTCAAGATCTCATAACAGTGATGAAACCTCACATCAACGATCCGCTGGTCGTTGGCGTGGACCTGCGCAATGAGGTTCGTGGTTTTGCGGGCAGATTCATGTGGGATTCATGGGCAACTGCCGCCGAACATGCGTCGGAACGACTACACCAGCTTCAACCCAGGTGGTTGATGATAGTGGAGGGTGTCCAGTCTGCCAATGATATCAGGGGAGCCCAGGATCGGCCTGTCCGCCTGACACAGCAGAACAAGTTGGTGTATTCGTCTCACGTGTATGGATGGTCAGGCTGGGGATCCCTCGTGCCGTATTGGTACCGAACGTACAAGTCGTTCGCTGAGGACATGGACAAGAACTGGGAGTACCTCCGTCAGACCGATACGGCGCCGGTCTGGGTCGGTGAGATAGGAGCTCCAAATTCCCCGTCAAGACGAGACTACCACTACTGGAGGAATCTCATGAGGTATTTGAGGAAATGTGACGCCGATTTTGCCTACTGGGCAATCAACCCGCGCAAGCCGAAGAGTGATGCTACCGAGACGTATGGACTTTTGCAGGACGACTGGCAAACACCAGTCTATGACTACAGGTTGCTGGACATGGCGGCGCTGAGACAGAAGTAGGCCGGGACTGGTTTCGAGCCAAACAAAGAGCAATTGAACGAGATCTCTTATGATGCCTGGACTGATCTAGATCATCTCGGGTACAATATAGCAGCCTCGACAGAGGGTAATAGCTCTGCCCGGGTACTTCGGATCGATAACGGATCAATTTTATTGCGTTGCCGATATCGTTATCATGGTTTCCAATTGCGGAGACGACCGTTATTACTCCGTCCTCCGTGTATCATGCGGAAGCTGTCTCTCTCTCTCTCTCTCTCTCTCTCTCTCTCACACACACACACACATGGGATGTCGAGTTTATTCTTAGTCCGAGACGGAGATGTAGCTTTGAAAAGAGGGAGAACCTTTGAAATACTTTCTCGACTTGTCATTGATTCTCAAAATTCCCTCCCCTAGTTCAAGTACAAGTGCTTCCCCGTCTTCCAGGGCCTGATCGATGTCTTCCAAAACCGAGCTCGATCCTCTCCTGCCCCAGAACGAACCGGCGCCGGAGATCCAGGGGTACGGCTTCTCCAGATACAGGGGCTACGAAGGCATACAGCCTGCAAAAGAATATAAGGAGCCTTCGAGGCAATGGAATGAAGAGATTCAGCCTGGAGGGGAGGGTGGAGATGCCGGGGAAGAGGAGGAGGAGGAGGATGATGGACAGGCGTTTGAATCTACAAAGGCGGCATTGAATAGGATCGCCTCGATTTTCTTCGTCGTGGTCTTCTTTGGTCTTGTGGTCACTTTCCTGAGCGGCCGCTCTGGTGACAGTGGGTGGGAACCCAAACCGACACCGAGACCCAGACCTCTGCCCGGCCCAAATCCGCGTCCAGGTCAGACGATCGAGGAACGAGCGCAGGCCATCCTCGCCCACACGCCCTTGATCGACGGCCACAACGACCTGGCCATCTTCATCCGCGGCGCGTACAAGAATAAATTGCACACCAAGGAATTCCGGGACAAGTTTGAAAACGGAGACATGGAGTTGAACGTCGACCTGCCCCGACTTCGCAACGGAAGGGTGGGCGGGGCGTTTTGGAGCGCCTTCGTCGTTTGCCCGGAGAATGCGAGCGAGGACTTTTCAGACGAGCAGTATGCCTCGGCTGTGGCGCACACATTGTCCCAGATTGATCTGATCCGTCGATTGCAAGGCGAGTATACCGGGAACTTTACATCGGCGACCTCGCCGCTCGATGTGGCGTTGGCAAATTTCCACAGCTCGAGGCGCCTGATCTCGCCGATCAGTATCGAGGGACTGCATCAGATTCCACAGTCGGCACCGCTGTCCACACTACGGCTGTACTATGCCCTGGGCGTGCGGGCGGCGACGCTGACCTGGAACTGTCACAATGCATTTGCCGATGCGGCGTTGATTTCATCTCTGAAGAACGGCACAAAAGTAGCCCCTTACCATCGCGGTGGACTCACTTCGGCCGGGCGCGACGTGATCCGCGAGATGAACCGACTCGGGATGCTTGTCGATATCTCGCATACTTCATACTGGACGCAGAAAGCTGTGTTGAGCAACAAAACCTCGGCGGCGCCCGTCATATACTCACACTCTTCGGCATTCGCACTATGTCCACACCCGAGAAACGTCCACGACGATATGCTAGACCTGGTCAAGCAGACAAAATCCCTGGTGATGATCAATTTCAGTCCCGGGTTCATCTCATGCTTGCCTCCGGCGAATGAGACCGTGTTGCCGGAGTTCTATGAGAAAAACAATACCTTGCACCAGGTGGCGCGACATGTCATGTACGTGGGCGAGAAGATTGGTTATGATTATGTCGGCTTGGGCAGCGACTTTGACGGAATGGGTGAGCTGACTCCCAAGGGGTTGGAGGGAGTGGATAAGTATCCTGATCTGATTGCGGAGCTGTTGAGGCTGGGTGTCAGTGATGCAGATACCGCGAAGATCGCTGGAGGAAACCTCATCAGAGTATGGAAGGCCGTGGAGGCGGTTGCAAAAAGATTGCAGCGGCAGACCCTGGAGGGCGAGGACGAAGTGAGCGGGTGGTAGTGGCCTCGCTCAGGCTGACCGAGAATAGAATAATGAGAAATGACCACGCTTATGAGATCAGGCCCCATGTGCGCACATAACTGAGATGCTCACAAAGAAACCCATGCATGAAAAAACCAAGACCAAAAAAAGGCACTAAAAGTCATGTAGGGGGTTGGTACATGGCCATTTCGAACCCTGCAACTAGTGGGCTGGGAGAAAGAGAAAAAAGGAAACGACTCTCTGGCGAGGAATTGCTATACAGATGATCAGTTCTCATTCCGGCCAAGTGAAGAAAGGCAAGCAACTTACAACCTCGGCCACCGGCGTGACAAGCCGGTATTCTACCACTGAACTACCAGAGACGGCACTGCAATGGAAGGCTTTGAGGGCTTCCCGAATTGCTGCGAAAATATGCGATACTGTAAATGATAAACACATGTCATGTCCCTTGGTGATTCCTGGCGAATTTGCAAAATGGGAAAATGGGAACATGAAACGAGGTGAGTCAGCATGAGTGATGAGTAGAAGGTCCAATCACGTGCTGGGGAGGATTGGTCGACAGCCTCCTTTCCGAGATGCTCCTTGGGTCTTGTGATAAGCGCAGGCGATTGTGATTGTCGGCTGCTGGGCCTGGATAGCGAGTCGTATAAAGCATGGTTGGGTGTTTCGTCGCCGGGGTGGTTGAGCCGTTTCGTCCTCCTTCCGGGTATCTGAGCTGGAAACGGGGAACAGCAAGTCCATCGTAGCCACCTGAAGATGTTCTCGGACCCCATTGACATGAGATGGAGGAATTTGAATGATGGTCTCAATCGTGAATGGTATGCATGGCTGATGAAGATGCCCACAAGGGTAGCGATTGATCACTTTGGCGGAACCATACGTTGGGTGCATCATATATGGCCTCGCTGTCCGAGCCGCTGCCAGGTGTCTTGATGGAGAAGGGGAACAGCGTCAGAGTTCCTTGGACAATCTTGAAGGAAAGCGAGCATCTTTCTTACGACTTCACCAAGCTGGCTCAAGCAATTGGTTCATAGCCTTCTGCAGTGCAGGGTTGGAACGAGTTGGAGGCGCCATATTTTTTGGGTTCCTCTTTTGGGGGCTCGCTTGACTGTAACTCACATACGAGGTACATGACTGGTGTGATTTTTGACACGTTACCTTGGATGGCTATATCTGTAGAAGTCGTGTCCATTTAGTCATGCGAGTTGTAGATGGTTTGTAGCGTGGATAAACCTCCTAATGAGTGCGCACATTCTTCCTTTGAAATCTCCAGATACACAATTTTGCAGCAGCTGTACCTGCCGAGGCTGCATGGTGCGCGCCTGCCAAGACGCAAGATGCAGTCAGCAAAAGCAGCATCGCGCCCCACCCCAGATTGGGACGCGGGGTCCTGCCGCCCTGTACTCACTACTTACCGCTCACTGCTCACTGCTCACTGCCGGCTTGCGCGCAGCAGGGTGTTCAATACTGCCGTCTGAGATTGTAACCATGTCCAATATTAAATGAAGCCGCGAGCCTTGTTGGCAGAACGCGGATCCGGAAGAGAGAAGTGCGATCTGCAAAGGGGTTGACGCCAAATTCCCTGACTCACAGCCTCGCAGCCTCGCAGCCTCGCAGCCTTGGGTTGGCTTCTACTTACTCAAGCTTACCGAGTCTCTCCATGTAAGGGCCAGGAAGGCGCCGTGAGAGAAGGAATGTGGTCCTGCTTGGGATTGGCCAGAGAGGCAAACTACTACACGACATCAATGGCTATGTACACAAGATCATGCCCCTCTTTCATATATGACTCTGGCTTGAAGGCAACTGGGATTGTGCCGAGAGTGAATAATTCAAATTTCAACGACTTTTGACTGTCCAACTGTTTTCCTCTCACTCGGCGCAGGTGCCGTACCTGAAACCGGACTTTCACGCCGTAGCCTCCAAGCAATCGTTCCGGCACTACTGAGGTGGAATATTCGCGCTTTGCGCCTGTTGATCATACTGCTGTACCCGGTAGGGTAGAATGACACCCGAAGCCAGAGATGCCGCGGCTGCAGCGGTGACCTCCTTGACGTAGTCGGTATGATTTGGGTATAATTGCTTAAGTAAAGCTGGAGAAAACGGGGTGGTCGATCCAACCAGCGACACCCCGTCCACTAGCCCAATGTATGAAGCGATAGGAACCGTGATTTCTGGTAGACGAATACCGCCGATCACATTGCCCACCTTGTTGCGCGCCAGCATCGGAGTGGAGCCATTGTAGGCAATCTGTATCTTTGGCATACTCGGGGGTGGAGTACCGGTCCTGAGCCAGACAGACACATGGCGATATGCAGCATCTAGGGTGGGCAGCCAGCTGACATCGTCAGACTGATTCCCCACCGGGAAAGGTACGCCTTCAAAAGTTGTGAGCGCCACAGTCTGCTCGAGCAGCGGTGTGTTGAAGTGAGATGCACCGGCCACTTCCCAGTAGCGGAAAGTCTGGGTGTCTGGTTGACGAGAACCGACCACGAAATAGTTGAGTGCTTCTGATTCAGATGCTATCTCCATCACAGGGATCTTGAGATCTGGTCGGACTTTAGATGGGAAGGCAAAACTGAAGTCGGACAAGTTAGGTTGGGCGGGAGCGGAGCTGAAGTCAGAGGCTTCACCACCGCACAGAAGCGGCATAATCACATGGTAGACGTTCTCAAGCTGCTGCACTCCGTTCGCATAGGCAAGCACTCTTCCACCGCTTTGGGAAACCCCTATCCCAATGATGTGCTTGGGCTTGAGGCCCCCCAGGACCAGTGGCTGACCTGAAGCTCCGCTGGCTTCTGCCTGGAGGAGACGCGCAAGTTGTGTGTAAATGTCGTATGAGAGGCCATCGTCAGGGATTGACAAAGTCCCATACCGTTCAGGATCCCATTCGGTGAGTCCTATATTGTGTGGAGGCGCTCCGATAATGCCCACGAACTGGGCAGAAATCCCAACATATACATAGCCGGCCTCGTAGATGCCAGGTGGTTTGGCAATCATGATGTCGAACCCGCTCGATACATTGATCCACTCGACGATCACGTCTCCATTGAATTTTGACGCATTTGCGGGACGTTGGACGACAATGCGTGTTTTGTATGGGGCCGAGGTCGAGGGCGTAATGGTCCACACACCAGTCTCGCTGAGATTTCCGATCGAGTTATACCTGGTAGCATTGTTGGACAGGAAATATTCCTCTTGAAAGTATCCAGGGGTCACATTTTGTGGAGGCGCTCCGAATGGATATCCTTTAATTCCCCCAGTGATAGGCCCCTCCACAGTGGGAATTGACGAAGCAGATACAACGGATGAGATATAGAAGACAAGAAGGCTCAGGACCAGCTTGGGGAGAGTTGATGAACATGCCATGGCGCAAGCCTCGAGGGTAGACTGCCAGTGAGGTTGGGCAGTACAAGGTCCACGAGTGTTCAGGAAGGAGCCCTCATGAAGCTGATGCCAGCTGCGTGAGCGTACATCTGGACGATTCTTATGCTGGAGCGTCCAACATCGCAGTCCTTATGAAGATGTAGATCAGCCGTGTGACGCGTGTCCCGGAAGAAGATAGCCGCTGCAGAATTTGATCGAGGCTATAAGTGAAACATAGTAATTGGAGGTTGCGGAACCCATCAGGTATGATTTCGCAACCACTGCCATCTGTCGAGCTCGAAGTCGAGGCCCGGAGGCATTCCCAGAACCTACCAGGTATAACTTCGCAACAACTGCCACGTTTGTAAATGCAGCGGAATACATTGACGGTTTTCCACAAGTCGGAAAGGGAAAGTACAATGCTAGAGTAACGAATTCCGCATCGCTTTCGAGGGGCTGGGAAAAGACGATCCCCGCTATTAGATGTCAAGGGGATGCCACGGAACAGTGGTACAGTAAGCTAAGCCACAGGAACCCTTCCCCGTCGCCATTCTCAAGTGAGAGGCGACTGTACGAGGTAAGGAGTGGCATTTCACCGCCAAAGTCAAGACGGGTCCAAGCTGCAAGCGTCGCCAGAATTCCCTCTTCCGGTAACGCTGGGCTAACGGCATCTTGCCAGGTACAGAGGCCAACCGTAGGTTTCGTCTTCGAGGTCGGCTGAGGTGGAGGAAGAAGCATCGGAATGGCATCCTCGTTGGCACCGGCCATTTCGGACCCTGTTGGCGGTCCACGGAGTCTGAAATAATATTAGGACGTAGGCTTAAAAAGCGAACAACTGCAGACTGGTTGACACTGTTCGGGCAAGAATTCCACTGCATGTTGCTGGGCATTTCCATTGGGCAACTTGCGCCGTTGCAATGTCTCCGCCCGCTGGCCATCCACCCACCGCACCTCACAGAAGACATCGATCAAATGAGTTGAACTCGCTTCCTCAGTGCAGCCTTCATTCTCTCCATCAGAAAAGTGAAAGGTGACCTTTATCAATATGGAGCCCCAGAAGACCTGGTTCCTTGTTCTAAATGGGAGATACTCTCCTGACGGCGCGCTGGGAGCTCTACTCTCGGACCCGTCAAGGCCTGATCATGCCCTCAACTGAGCAAAGGGAATGGATATCCTACAATTCTGCCCGGGCTTGGAAAATCTGACTGTCATGACGGCTGCAGCACACAGTGGATTTGACATTGCTCGCATTATGCTCTAAAAGGCATGACTTCTTCAACCAGTCTCGTCTCTCCGATCCCCAGACGCCCAAACTGCCTACATTATAACACGCCTATCTCTGGATCTGGATGCTTGCATCGGACATTTCACAACTTCGCCTTTGCTTCCTCAGGTGGAATGATCCTCACTGGCGTGAAGGGGACCCCAAGGTGGTAAAATACCTGATCCCAGCGATCATTTCCAAACCAGTCCCTCCTTTGCCCTTCCGAGTTCACGGCGACGATCCACGGCGCCCCAAAGGCACCGGCTGACATGGTCACGTCGATTACTCTTTGCTTGTTCTCCGGTGTCACGGCCTTCTTCATGATTTCTTTGATTTCCTCTTCGGGGAAAATGCCTTGCAGAGCTTTCAGGATTCCTTCTGGCTTTGAGATGTTGATGCCATGACTCCAATACGCCGTGCTGAAAGCTGGAAAGGTGGCCTCAAACTTCTCTGGCGGATAGTGGTCCTTGATCCAAGTCGCAACACGGACCGCCTGCTCATGTTAATCGTGGTCGAGTCCTTGGGACGGTGGGACTCACAAAGAGAGACAAGATGGGGAATTCCTTGGGCGGAACGACCTTCAGCCCGAGCAGCTTCCCCGTCAATTCGGTGTCTTGCTTTCCAAAAGCCTCCTTGGCTTTGGGTACCGGGGTCCAAGGGTTCCCCACGCCATCACGAGCGGCGCCCAGGAAGAAAGGTATTATATCCACAGACACGCCGTACGCATTCAAGAGTGGCCGGTAGCGGATTGTATTGGTGAAGCCAAACCAGGAGTAAGGGGATACTGGCGCCGCAAGGTGAGCATCAAACAGACCCTTGGAGGGCCTATGTTACACATACCACTATCCACATAGACCTTGAGCTTTCCTCCCTCCGGACGCATCTTTTCCGAGCCGGAACTGGATTCTCTGGCGGGGAAGATGTCAATCTGGGGTTTCCCAAGAGGCTGCGATGATTGGTTCGTTGTAGGTCTTCTAGATGGCGCCGCTGCAGGGTTGTCCGTCTGTTTCCTCAATGTGTCGTGATGATTATTTATGATCAGTCCATGCCGCGAGCAGAATAAATGGGGGTTGATTTAAGCAGAGAGGGTGTCAGAGAGATTGGGTCTGAAGATACCGGGAAAGCCGAGGCTGGAGCCGGGGTCCACGACTAATCATCCAGATACAATTTCCCTTGCCCGGATTCTCCCCCATTCACTCCATTCACTCCGTTCAGCGTCCCTCACTATGGTCCATCGATGATCATTCCTTCAAGCTCGGTCGGGTTCCTACGCACGCAGGGACTTTTCTAATCCTTTCAAACACGGCATTGAACAGTAACGGCGCTCCTTGCTCCCCGTCTAATGTCGACCATGCTATTCCTGGGAGCAGTGCCCTCATGGGCAGCTGGCCCTCCAGCACTACATACATATCCCATCCAAGTACGGCCGATGAAGCAACAGGCCAAATCTGCAGCCTGCCATTGACGCGCTCTTCGCAATGCCTATCGAATCCGCCCATCCGCCCATCTCTATCCCTCCAGTCGATGTCTGGACGTTTCTCTTTGATCGCTCAGACCGAGAGTTCCCCGAGAATCATGGTAGGTGACCTCGAGCCTTGGGCGCAGACCCTACCACGTCCATGCCTTTCTCAGCCTGCTCACAACTCTGATAGTCGTCTATGTCGATGTTTCTGCTCAGAAGCAACATACGCTGCGAGATGTTCAGGACGCTGCCCTCCGCTTCGGGCAAGGCATCCAAAGACAATGGAATTGGCGGAAAGGCGACGTAATGGCTGTCTTTACTCCCAACAGCGCAGAGGTCGCTCCCGTTACCTTTGGCACTCTCTGGGCCGGTGGCGTTTCTTGCCCGCTCAACAACCTCTACACTGTCGGCGAACTCGTGTCACAGCTGAGGTCGTCCCAGGCCAAGGCATTGACAACACACGTCGCATGCCTCGAAGTCGCCCGCGAGGCTGCGTTGCTTGTCGGCTTACCCCTGGACCGGATCATCCTGGTTGGTCCGCGAGATCCCAAGAGTCGATTTCAACACTTTTCGGACATCAAAGACTCTTCTTCGACGGTCGCAGAGAAAGTCTCAATCGACCCAAAAGAAGATCTGGCTTTCCTGGTGTACTCCTCCGGCACAACAGGACTGCCCAAGGGCGTCATGCTGACACACGAGAACATTGTGACGAATCTCCTGCAGGGAATTGTCATGGACGTGAATCGGACACACTGGAGTCGGGATAGAACTATTGGCTTCCTTCCCCTGTACCACATCTACGGTTAGTTGATTCGCGACCGTTTGAACGGGGACCATGCTAAACCCGCCCTCCCTCATTTAGGTCTCGCAGTTCTTCTTCTCAGCCCAGTTAATCGAGGGATAAGAGTCTACATCATGCAGAGATTCGAGTTGGAGCCATTCTGTCGTCTCGTCCAAGAGGAAAACATCACAATGGCTTACGTCGTGCCACCGGTCGTCCTGCTTCTCGCCAAGCACCCGCTCATTGCGAAATACAACTTGGGGTCGTTGCGAATGATGCACTCATCTGCAGCTCCTTTGACGAATGATTTGGTGGAGATGGTCTACAAGCGGCTGAAAGTGCCCATCAAACAAGGATATGGGTTGTCAGAGGCATCCCCGGGTGTCGCTTCGCAGGTATGTGGAATGGCAGTATTCCCTTTTTTGGTCCATCAACAAATGCTAACTCACTACCTGCAGTCCTGGGACCAATGGAACACGACAGTAGGCTCAGCGGGCACTCTCCTCCCATCCATATCCCTCAAATGCATGGACGACGGCAAGGAAGTCGCCCTGGGGGAGACGGGCGAGATCTGGATCAAAGGTCCCAACATCTGTAAAGGATACTACAACAACCCCAAAGCGACCGCCGATTCCATCACTCCCGATGGCTGGTACCGCACCGGTGACGTCGGATACATCGACAAGGACCACAACATCTACATCACCGACCGCGTCAAGGAGCTCATCAAGTACAACGGGTTTCAGGTCGCGCCGGCACAGCTGGAGGGTTTGCTGCTGGCGCATCCGGCCGTCAACGACGTCGCCGTCATCGGCGTGTACAGTCCCGAGAGAGCGACCGAGTTGGCCCGAGCGTACGTCGTGCCGGCCAAGGGATTCAGCAGTGGGCCAGAGCTGGAGAAGGAGATTTGTGACTGGTTGCACCAGAAAGTGGCGCCGCATAAGCGGTTGAGGGGTGGCATCAGGTTTGTCGATGCGATTCCAAAGAGCAATGCCGGCAAGGTGCTCCGGAGGGTGCTGGCTGAGCAAGCAAAGAAGGAGATGGCAAGACTGTGATTTGGGAGGAGACTGTGTATGTATGTAGCTATCAATAGACAGTGTGAGAGGTCCACTGATGATGCTTCTGACACCGCACGTACATCGAGCTGGTTGACCCCGAGCCATAGCTGAGGGAGCAATACACATCCATGGACCAAGCATGCCAGCACTCAGACTGTTATGTGATTGATTGCACAAAGATAAAAGGCTTCCGATCCATTGATCTGGCCTGAACCATTTTACGAACGATACCGGCGGGATCCGTTTTGAACAAATTATCGTGTGCCTCTAACCAGACTCGCATTCAAACTCCTATGTACCTAGACACCTATCCAGTCAGCCAGCCATGGCTTCTTCCTCCCTTGAATGATTGGTTACATTTTCGAAAACATGCTCTCCTTCTGCGGCCTCGCGTCCAACTCATGGGTCCACGCGCTCCTCGGCTGCGTGTGCAAGAACCAATACGTCTGGGCCAGATCCGCGGGGCTCACGAGATGCGCGTCGACGTCGTCGAGTTTCTCGCCCTGGCCCGTGCGCTGCCACTGGCGGCGGGACCACTCGCCGATCAACTTGCCGTCGACGGGGCTGTCGACAATGACATGCGCGGCGTGGATGCCCGAGGCCTGGTACTCGCGCGTGATGATCTGGCACAGCGAGCGCAGGCCGAATTTGCCGGGCGAGAAGGACGCGAGGCCCGGGTTGCCGCGCAGGGCGCCCGTCGCGCCGGTGAAGAGGATCGTGCCCCGGCCGGCGGAGAGCATGTCCGGGAGCACGGCCTTGGTGGCCCAGAAGGCGCCGAAGAGGTTGATCTTTGTGAAGTTTTCGAATTCCTCGGACGATGTGTCCAGGATGGAGCGGCCGTTGACGCGTCGTGCGCCGGCGTTGTAGACCAGCACGGCCACGGGGCCCAGCTCGGCTTTGATCCGCGCGAAGCTCGACACCACAGACTCCTCCACCCGTAGGTCCGTGATGTAGTACCGCGCCGACCCCGCGCCAAAGTCGGCCTCGATGCTCTGGGCCATCTTTTGGAGCTTGTCCTCGGTGCGCGCCAGCAGGGCTGCGTAGAAGCCCTCGGCCACGAAGCGGCGGGCGACGGCTTCGCCGATGCCCGGCCCGGCACCTACCACGGCGATGACGGGCTTCTTTTGCGTGTTGAGAGACATGTTGTGCGTGTTTGTGCGTGGGAGATGGGGTTTGTTTGTCTGCTGGAAAGAGGTGTTGCTGGCCTGATGGGAGGTAATCTTTGACCTTTCTTTTTTCTCTCTTCTTTTCTCAGTGTTCTCGCAACGACCGAGCTGCTCTAGGGCTGTGTTGTAGATGGCAAAAACCGAGAAATGGCCGGGAAATGGAGCAGATGGAAGCTAAATTCAAGCAAGAATACAAAGGGATATTTGAAGCATGTTGGAACAAGTTAGAAAGTGATCAAAAGAAGGTTTTTGGGGCTTCGCTCTGAGAAGCAATAAAGGATAAGTAATCCAGCCCTGGCGAGCGTGGCACAAACCTCGGTCTGCCAGGAAGCACGCAAACCCCGTGTCGCCCCGTGGGCCCAGACGGTGTTCCCTTTTGATATTCTGGTGAATGGAATAGTAAGCGGCCCATATTAGACATCTGTACTCGGTAGCAGACTTGCGTACGTAGGAAAGGCTCTGTAACTACCTAGTACGTAGATCACCGCCCTGAGGACCTGTCACAAAACTCTGGAAACCAGACAGGATAGTCTCGGCTCTGCTTGGAAGACAGGCATCCAATTGCCTACAAGCTCTGGTCGGACGGAGTTTGTGCAGAATGCAGATAGACAGACAAGTTTGATACTTGGAATTAAAGAAGACAAGAAAGTTTCTATTCAGTCTAGGCGTCTACTGCCAAAGACAGATTTAATTGCCAGTTGAATGATTCCTAGCTCCTAGCCCCTTTCCATTACAGTGTCTAACAATCGCAGCCCCTGATCAGGAATATCTATAACTTGCTCTTGGGGCCCTGTGGCTGACTTGGTATCGAACTCGAAAGCCTGGACAAGACCTCGCCGGCCTCTTTCTCGATGCGTGCGATGAGTTCCGCACAGGTTGGAATGTCGTAGATCAACCCCATTACTTGGCCAGCGTACCAGACCTATGAAAAAAAGAATTAGCAACAGATGTCAAAGGATCCTCTCAGTGCTGCAAAAGCATGATGACGACGTACCCCGTGTTGAATATCACCACCTGTTAGAACCTCGCGGCCTCGAGCACCGCTCACCACTGGCGCAACCTCCGCAAACTCGCCCGTCTTGCTGGTGGACTCGATCTCGATGGTCTTGGCCGTCATTTGGTTGGTATACATGCGGCTGGTGTTCTTCCACCGCCTCAGAATGAGCGTCGTCTGGTGCTCGTCTCCTTTGACGATGGCTTGCTTGACGTTCAGGTGGATGGGGGCCTCGACCGTGCACATGAACCGCGTGCCCATGTTGATCCCCGCGGCACCCAGGCTGAGGGCCGCCATCAACCCGTATCCATCGGCAAACCCGCCCGACGCGATGAACGGCGTGTCTCCCAGTTCCTGGCGCGCGCGACTGTTCAGGATCAGCGAGGCAATGTCGGACTCCCCGACATGGCCGGCACATTCGAACCCGTCAATCGACAAGATATCCACGCCGAGTTTGATGGCCGCTTTCGCGTGTCTTATCGTCGTGGCTTTGTGGATCACGATGATCCCGGCCTCCTTCAGCTTCCGGATGACGGGACCGGGACTGTTGCCCGCGGTCTCGACGATCTTGACCCCTTCGTCGATGATGGCCTGGGTGAATGCAGGATAGTCTGGAGGGTTGAGAGCGGGTAACAAGGTGAGGTTGACGCCAAACGGGTTTGCTGTTAGTGACCGCGTCTTTCGGATTTCCTGTCGCAGGCGCTCTGGATCGGGCTGCGTCAAGGCGTTGATGATCCCCAGACCGCCGGCGTTACTGACGGCGGCGGCGAGCTCGGCATATGCCACCCATTGAAGACCGCCCTGCACGACGGGGACCCTGATGCCCAACTTGCGTGTCAGGGGTGTGTCGAAAGACATGATTTCAATCTAGAGGCCACAAAAACAAAGACGGAGAAAGGAGGAGGACGAGGTCTAGGGAATGTTTCGTGGGAATAGACCCTGCAGAGGGTAGGGACTTTGCTCGCTCGGCCCTTAGCGGCCTTCATATCCAGAATCATTATCACGAATCAGAGTGTAGTAATCAGACAGCAAGCCAGATAACCTCAGTCTGTTCTGGTCCGAGGTACGTGGTACTTACCTGAAACGTTAGCATTTGTGGTCTTGAGATTGTCAACATGTGATGTGGCGGTACGGAATTCGTGCGTAAGGACATCAAAGAGCCTTTCCCCAGCAACAATCTTGATCACAGCATCGCGCGCCATCGTGTCGCGGCGTACGAGGTGCGCAGTCGAGATTGTCCTTTGTCTGGATTATTAAATAGATAGCACGGAGTGGTCAGGTTGACAGATTGGCATTTGCCAAAGGTAAAACACCTAAACCTCTTCCGCGACAAGCGTATCACTAATATAGAAAATAAAAGATCCCACCGTCAGCCGAGGCGCATCTCCTATGTAAGCCCTATGCTGGACCTCAATTTTTTCCTTTGCAGAAATGCATTCCAGGCTCCGAGAATTCACCAGCCGTAGAGTCTCGAGAGAGTTGCTCGAGAAGGTCCATCTCCCACCATGAGCAGCCGAGAGATCTCCAGGGATGAGGTGTCGCAGAACAACACGGCCGACAGCCTGTGGTGTATCATCGACTCCAAGGTCTACGACCTGACCGACTTTGCCGATGCCCATCCCGGTGGCTCGACGGTGCTGCAGCAAGTCGCGGGGCTTGACGCGACAGTCGACTTCTTCAATCTCCACAGACTGGAAGTCCTCCAGAAGTATGAGAAGTCGCTGTGCATTGGTACGATCAAGGGCGAGAAGCCCCAGGTCATATATCCGCAGCCCGGCGATCTCAGTCTGGTGCCGTATGGAGAACCGACCTGGTTGACACCACAGTTCAAGAGTCCCTACTACAAGGAGAGTCATAGGAAGCTGCAGCGGGCTATGCGAGTATGGGTCGATACGGTCCTGACTCCTGAGGCACAAGAAAAGGAGAGCAGCGGAAAGAGAATCTCCGATGCAACTATCGAGGAGATGGGGTACGTGTCGGATATGCACCTTCGTTGAGCATCATCTAACAGTATTGTGGTCTAGACGCCTTGGAATGAATGCCATGCGCATGGGACCCGGGCCTCACCTCAAAGGACTCACTCTGATGAACGGAGCAGTGACGCCAGAAGAGTTTGACTACTTCCACGAGATGATCATCACCCAGGAACTATGTCGAACTGGTACTCGGTCATTCAATGACGGCAATCTGGGAGGCATGATCATCAGCTTACCGGCCGTTCTGTACCATGCAAAGCCCCATATTCGGAAGCGAGTCGCCGCAGAGTGCTTGTCGGGCAAGAAGAAGATCTGTCTCGCCATCTCAGAGGCATTTGCCGGTTCGGACGTGGCTGGTATGAAGACCACTGCCGTCAAGAGCCCCGACGGCACGCACTACATTGTCAATGGTAAGCCAGCAGCAGTCGCCCGCGTACGGCCTCTCTAACGGTCTGGGACAGGCACCAAAAAATGGATCACCAACGGAGTCTTCTGCGACTATTTCGTCACTGGTGTAAAGACCGAAAAGGGCTTCTCTGTGCTGCTCATCGAAAGACAGGAGGGAGTCGAGACCACCCAGATTAAGACGAGCTATTCCACAACAGCCGGGACAGCATTCATCAAGTTCGACAACGTCAAAGTGCCCGTCGAGAACCTCCTCGGCGTCGAGGACCAAGGATTTAGAGTGATCATGACCAACTTCAACCATGAACGGTGGATGATCACCACATTCAGCGTTCGATCGAGCCGGCAAGCTGTAGAGGACTGCATCAAGTGGGCAAACCAGCGGAGGGTGTTTGGAAAGAGGTTGATAGAAGAGCCAGTGATCAGACAAAAGTATGAAATCTCCCTTTATGCTCTTGGCTTTGCACCTTTGCGCTGACACGCGGGCTGTTGTCCTAGACTGGCCAAAATGATCGCTTACGCCGAAGCCATCCAAAACTACCTCGAGAACATCACCTATCAAATGTGCAATATGACTCCGGAGGAACAGAACCGGCATTTGGCTGGCCCCATAGGGCTCTTCAAGATGTTTGCCACTCGCGCAGCTCACGAGATCGCCGACGACGCCGTCAATATCTTCGGAGGTCGTGGTATCACAACCACCGGTATGGGCAGGAATGTCGAGATGTTCCATCGCACGTACAAGTTTGATGCCATCCTTGGAGGCACGGAGGAGATTTTGGGTGATCTTGGTGTGAGGCAGGCGATGAAATATATGCCGAAAGCAATGCTGTGAAACTCGGGTTTGTATGCTCATGAGGACCGCTAGGCAGTAAAGGAAGTGCTTTTGGACCGCCGCCTCGGAGTCGCTCGAGGAGAAATGAGCCGTAGATGAAAATGATTGATCTCTTCGGAAATGATACCAATACCTTCACTTTGGCCATTGTTCTCTGGAACTGTGCTTCAGGCTGTCGTGGCCAGTGAATCACGGTCCGGCAGAAAAGGCGCTCTTCTTCCTCCTGCACGCTTCACTGGTTTTTTTTTTCTCTTTCTTCATTGTCGCGCCTCCTCTCACTTTCTTCTCTTCTTTCATCTCCACCATCGCGACACTTTCATCAATCTTGATCATCGCCGCCCGCGCCACATCAGAAATTCACATAATCCACACAGAGCAGCGGTCGATTCGCGCCGCTCAACGGTCATCATGTGTCGCGAGACTCCTGACAATGACACCGTGGTACGGCGGTTCTGTCGCGCTCTGAATTCACTGCTCACACGGTAACAGGTCGATCACCTCAGCGACTCGGGCGCCTCTGATAAAGAGTCGAAAAAGCGTTCTTTCTTCAAGATCGAAAGTAAGCTATATATAAAAATACCTTTGAACACATCTCTCTTGCAGAAATGAGCAAGCCGCTAATGGCGTAGGCTCTGGAGATCACCCGAACAATCACAAGAGACTTTGCCTGCCTCCCGTGCTCAAGACTGAGGTTGTCTCTGTCATGGAGATGAAGCGAACCTTCTTCCACGATCATCGTCCACTGTAAGTCTTACCAGCTGACAAGTTTGATTGTCGAATGAACAGTTTCTGACAGAAGTTGTAGGTGTGGCATCAGCTTGAGAGTTGCTGGTGACCAGAATTATGTCAACCTTGTCATGTCTGGCCTTCCTTCTCTCCCTCCCATGTGTTTCTCAGCTAACGCAATCATCAGTCCGATCGAGCTCATCAACGACGAGGACACGAAGATCATAGTCTTCACACATGCAGACACCACATTGTAAGTCTGAAAATCGTCCATGACGAGCCATGCTAATCGCTGAACTTTAGTGCGGACAATCGTCTGCTTATGGAAGACGGCAGTACGGAGGCGGCCGACGGCATGCCAGCAAAGAACGTGGTGTTCCAGGGCACATATCCAAACCTCTACCGCCGAGAAGTTGTTGTGGTGGCTGGAGACTGTTGGTACAAGGTCAATCTCTGCAAAGGCGACGACGTCCTTTGTCTCAACCCGAAAAGCTCCACACCTACCCTCTGCTTCAGCAACGAATGCGAATTTCCTCACAGTTCGTACATCCGACTGACCAGCGACATGCTTATTCCGCACATCCCCCAAAAGATGGAGGCGTGGAATTTTCCGAATCCCGCCCACTTCAACCACACCGTCCCGGCAATTCCCTTGGAGTAGGGACTGCGGAAACAGACAGGGGTTGTAAGAGACGAATTCTGCACAAGACGGCGAAATGGACAGGTTGAATAGCTGTTGTTGACAAGGAGATCGGATAGAAGCTGCTTGCTTCTTGTTCTTCCATCCCTGCAGAGGAGTGCTCGCCAAAACCGAGGTCGATGATGGTCCGGAAACAAGTGCAGATAGTGGTTGGAGAGTGTTTGTGTACAGAATTGGACTACTGCCACGTTGCCATGAGGATTCAAGCGCTCATTCTAGTCCAGACAGAGCCTTCACAGAGTATGTGAATACCATTGTATTGACCTCTTATCCCGGCCATGGTTCTTGGTAGACAGTATGTGGTTCAAGTTCTTGACAAGCAATGACTCAAGGCTTGGCAGCCCCCTTTTCGGCGCTTCTGCCTCAGCCTCGTCCGTGCTTCTGCTCTCCTTTCTGCGACTAAAAATTGCTAAAGTCTCTCTCCCTAGTGTGAACGTGCGTGTGAAATGAGAGAGTAAGCGTCCAAGTAGATCCCGATGATGTTGCGAAGGGCAAGCCAATAACAGCAGGTGGAACCCAACCCCTTCCAGCAGAACAGAGGATGAAAGCCTGCTCTTAACGGCTGCTTCGTGTGCTCGAAGCGAAGCGCCTCTCCATGCAATATCCCATGCAGATAACCTTCGCCTACGAGCTTGGAAGTCCACTTGCGCTGTGTTCTCCGCAGAATGAAAGGTATGGAAGCGCCAAAAGGGACGCAGCAGATGCCTTCGGCGGAGGGCGATCAGTGGTCCCAAACCAAAACATTCCATTTTCGGCGAAGTTGAAGCTTCTTCCTTCGCATACAGATCGCTCCATGTCGGTCAAATACTTCTCGTAGTCTCCATGGACATGATTTTGTGGCGTCCGTAGCAGCTAATCAGCCACTTCCTGCAGACTTTCCCGGAGCCCAAAGCAGGCGGCCGCCGGCAATGTACTTGTGTTGCTGCTCGACATCATCCTCAGCGCGTCGATATCTTGATAGCGCAGCGCAAGAAGTCCAGCTGAGAGCCGTGATTCTGTCGCCAGCATGACACAAGAGAATAGCACGAAATGGCCCCATTGTACCACACTCAGAACAACCTGGAGAACAAGCCGCCAAGCGAAAGCCATCTCGAGAGTATGAACCCATAGAGAACACCCTATTCCGCGCAGCCGTTTCTGCCAGTCCCGATACACATATATAATTAACATGCGCAAATTTATCTCCAAGAACAGCCTTCGACCTGGGTGAGCCCCATACCCGGGCAGTGATCCATTCCAAACAGGCAAGCAGTTTCTTCAACTCAAAAAACACCCGGCTGTGCCTTAATAGGCACCTAGGAACTCGAGTACTAAGTTGCGGCGTTTCTGAAATAGCTTCAGTTTTTGTAGTTTAGGTTGGCAGTTCAAAAGGGGGGTTCTTTCTTTTCTTTCTTTCTTTGGTTTTCTTCTGCACCCTATTTTGAGAATGTGTGAAAGGCTGGGTGTGGTTTGAGAGTCTTGCCACCTGACTGGTCGAGGGTTTCGGCCATGATATTGCTCAGCAGTCCATCCTGAATTCCGATGGCCTATATCAAGTTGAGAGCTTTCCGAAATATCCCAAGCCCCGGCCAGGATATTGAGTTGTATGCCTCACAATATCAACGATCATGCCTCAACATGTAGATCGTCCGCATCAACAACGACTTGTCGTTCAGATTCCGCAGAAGCTTCGTAGCAGAAATCTGGGAAGACGCCAAGATGACGTGCCAAAAGCTCGAGATTGTAGTAAAAGGCCAGCCAAGAAGGAGCAAAGGACTCTTCCACGTTTCTTCGGTGTGGTTAACCGCAGATAGGACCTGAAGCCCGTGGTCTCTTCTCAGCTTCTTCCCGATCAAGGTAAACGTCTTCGTCTGTCTTGTTGTAGGCTGATTTTACAATCAAATCCTCGCAAGACCCAACATGACCCAAGGGATGTCCCGAAAGGACATATACATGGTCCTTCTTCACCCGGCATGACATCCATCGGCCCATGGCAAGTGGTAGATTCTCGATAGTGTCTTCCATCATGGATCATCAAGAGCATGATCATCAGCTAACATGATTGGCACGTCGTGCAAAGATTTGTATTTCGACATGAAAGCAGTATATTCTCTCACAAGAAAAGAGACGTTTACTGCGTCTCCATTCAGATCCTCCTCAAAAAGTACAAGCACTCTTGTTGCAGACCTGTTCCCTTTACCAATAAATGCAACGTGATGGCTTCGTCCTCATGCCGTTTGTTGGTGGATACAGCGTCGGCTGAAAGGATTCGGGATCCGTCTGAGTACCTAAATCTCTTGAAGTCTACATTGAGAGTGACGGTGATGGTAAGAGATCTCCCATTGCAAAGAATCGGAACTGTTTGGGCTGGGTCACCCCAGACATAGGAGATGACCTCGTAGTCAGGATGATGGCCTGGTTCGGCGATCAAAGGACATAGCGAGACAGAGGAGTCGCCCACTCCAGGTTGCAGGCCTACGAGCCTTATCACCTCGCTGTTGAGAAGCGGAAGATGAAAGGGCTGCTCAATGGCTAATTGAGACATTGGCTGTCAAGCATTCCCATAGCCCCAAGATATGTCGATGACCAGAGCGGTCGAAGGTGACAGACCGAGGTGCGGCCCGACATCCGGCATTCTTATGAGCTGCAAATGGGTTCGGAATGGAGGAGAGGCATCTGACAGCCGAGCCAGACTCCGTCGTGCGGTCTCACACAGCTCCCACGGGCAAAAGGCACTGCATCACTCGAGGCTTCCAGGAAGATGGCAATGGGGCGAAACTTGTATTGGATCGGGTGGTGGTCGTGATGTTAGCGCAGGCATGCCCTCCTTATCGATAAGCAAGCGCGGGGGTACGTCAGTGCCTGTCAGGTTGTTCGAGACTCTTGGAGCCTGAGTCACTAGCACCCCTAGCACCCGAGGCACCTAACCTGTACCTAGTGGTAGGCACGAGCTAGGCACCCCTCAGCCTTAGAAAAAGAAATCGTTGGCCTGGTGGAGCTCTGATTCCCCCCACTACCGGGCAGTAAAAGATCAGCTGGACTGATTAACTTCAGTGAGCCTTTCCCCTTATGACATGTTCCTGCGTCACGCGAGATGTTGAATTGACCAACATTTTGCCCAAATCCTTTTGCGTCAAGCCCACCACTCACCAAAATTCGCAACGGGAATTGCTTTTGAAACCCCGTTCTCGCGGCTTTCCAGCACTGGATGCTGTTGCCTTCTCGCCCGCCTTTGTTTCTTCGGTTCTCTAAACTTCTCGTTCCCTCGCATTTGCTCTCGGCCGTTCCAAGACACAGCAGCCCCGTCACTATGGACGGGCTTCGGGTGAAGATGTCTGCTCTGACACCTTTTGCAAAGAAACACAAAATCACCGTTGTCGGTTCCGGAAACTGGTAATGACTATGTCTCCTTCACGAGATCTTCACTGACGCAGACAGGGGATCGACTATTGCGAAAGTTGTTGGAGAAAACACTCTAGAACACCCCGAGCTGTTCGAACGGGAGGTGCAGATGTGGGTGTATGAAGAGGAGGTCGAATTGGACAAGAAATCAAAACACTACGACGAATCCTCCGAGTTCAGCAAAGGGAAACACAAGCTTTCAACTCTCATCAATACCTTCCACGAGAATGTTAAATACCTTCCTGGAATTGCTCTACCTCATAACGTCGTTGCCAATCCTAGCCTGGTCGACTCGGTCAAGAACTCTACCATTTTGATTTTCAATCTGCCTCACCAATTTATTCTCAACCTATGCAAACAGCTCCGTGGCCATATCCTACCCTTCGCTCGAGGCATCTCGTGCATCAAAGGTGTCAATGTCCACGAATCCTCCATCAGCTTGTTTTCCGAGACTATCGGAGAGGAACTGGGAATATACTGCGGTGCCTTGTCTGGAGCAAATATCGCCAGCGAAGTGGCGCAAGAGAAGTTCAGTGAAACCACAGTGGCATATGACCCGCCATTGATGGACTCACAATCACCTACACCCGCCACATCTCAAGGTCCTAGTCCCGCTTCCAGCCATGTTGATTTGACAAAATTGGTACATAAGGATGTCTCGGGCAAACCATCAAAGGTCCAGCTCAAACCACTCCCTGCCGAATATCACTCGATCGACCATGACACATTGAAGAAACTGTTCCACCGTCGGTACTTCCACGTGCGGGTAGTCTCTGATGTGGCTGGCGTCTCCCTCGGTGGTGCTTTGAAGAACGTCGTCGCTGTGGCTGCCGGCTGGGTCGATGGTTTGGGCTGGGGCGACAATGCCAAGGCAGCAGTCATGCGAATTGGTCTCCTGGAGATGAGAGAGTTCGGAAACCGATTCTTCCCCCACACGATTCAATCTGACACTTTCACTGTCGAATCGGCGGGAGTTGCAGATTTGATCACCTCGTGTTCTGGTGGCCGCAACTTTCGGTGCGCAAAAATGAGTATCCAAGAGGGCAAATCAATCGACGAAATTCAGGACAGGGAGCTGAACGGCCAGAAGCTGCAAGGAGCATTGACTGCCCATGAAGTAAACAAATTCCTCAAGCACAAGGGAATGGAGAGAGACTTTCCTCTACTTAGTGCTGTATACGACATCCTGGAAGGCAAGGAGAAGGTTGAGAATCTCCCCGACCTGATCGAACCAGAAGACGAGTAAGTCCGACGCAAATATCTCTGCATGTGTTTTTCTTCGCGAAGCCGGGAAATTTGTTTTGCCGAAACTGGCAGAACTCTGGCCGGGACCACCGGAGGGATCTCGGTGTTGCCCTACAAGTATGACATGATACCCACCAACGAGAAGGGATGGGCTGAGTGCTATGATCTATTGGGCTATGTATGAATATAGCCACCTCAGGGATAGGCGATTGGTCCCTGCAGGAAGACAAACGCCTAGGCGTCAGGTGATAAGACGATCAAGCGCTACTGGCAACCAGACCAGAGACTTGATAAATGAATACTCGTGTTTTATTTCGTGCTCTTTTATTTTTTGACTTCAGCGGATCATTGACTGAGGTCTAGCTAGGTCTATGTCCTCGCCCAAGGCCAATCCGCCGCCTCCGATTGATGCCCAATCTGCAGAAATATCGGAGACTAAAACGGTGAACATGTCGGATCCCAATGTCCGCTCAGGGCCAGGTATAGAAGGAATGCATCATGAAGAACAATCCACCTCTTTACCCTCCCGACCGAAAACCCATTCATCTCCGTCTCCTCTTCTCCCTGCTCCATCCCTCGCTTCTGGCAGGTACAATCGCCAAATGCTCGTTCCTCAAGTCCGGCTCCGCGGCCAAGAATCTCTACTGGCCTCCAAAGTCCTTATCATTGGACTGGGCGGGCTCGGTTCACCTGCGGCACTGTACCTTGCCGGCGCAGGAATTGGCACATTGGGTCTTATGGACGGTGACAATGTGGAACTCAGCAATCTCCACCGTCAAATTGTCCACACCGAATCTGCTGCACGCTCCGGGCAGAGTAAAGTCCAGTCCGCGGTTACGAGATGTCGAGAGCTGAACCCAGATATCGTCTACGTCTGCCATGAGGAACCCGCCAGCGCGAGCAATATTCTGGACATCGTGTCACACTATGACCTTGTGCTCGACTGCACAGATAATCCTGCAACGCGCTATCTAATCTCGGATGCGTGCGTGGTGCTGCAGAAAGTGCTTGTTAGTGGGGCTGCACAGAGAGCTGAGGGAATGCTCATTGTCCTCAATTCCCCTCCCACTCCTTCGGAGGGAAACGAAAAGGGCCCTTGCTATCGTTGTGTCTTTCCTCGTCCGCCAGCCCCGGAGACAGTACGAGGGTGCAGCGAGATAGGGATCCTAGGCCCTGTTGTCGGGGTGATAGGGACTTTGATGGCTGGAGAGGCTATCAAGATCATCACCAGCGGCGGACACCTCTCTCCTCAAACCACAGCAGGACAAAGTGTGGATAACACAAGAGCTTTAGGGGGAACGCCGGGCCAAGAGAGACAACACACTATGCTCCTGTACAACACCTACGCCGCCGATCCACGAAGTATGTTCCGCACAATCGGCATGCGAGGCCGGCGGAAGGATTGTGTCGCATGCGGCGATGACGAGGCTCTGACAACTAAAGGTCTGAGCAAGATCACAGCAGAAGTGATCTCTCACGGTAGAGTGGACTATCAGGCATTTTGTGGTGTTCTTGAGGATGTCACGCTGCTCAGCGACAACAATAGAATCCACGCAAGAGACTTTCTACGGGAGCATGCCGAGGCGGAAGCACAACAAGATCAAACTGGCAGACGGAAAGGCAAGCCTATTGTGGTCGACGTGCGTGAAGAGCACGAATACGAGCTCGGTCCGAAGGTTCGGGACAGTGTCAATATCCCAATCTCGCAGATTCTGAGGCACGGAAGCCAAGCCTTTGGTGTTCTTGAATCTGAGCTGGAGCCCAATCCGCCTCCTGATATGGGACCTGATGGAGGGTTGATCGATCAGGAGTCACACATCCCAGTGACTAGAAGGCACGAAAGCTACCCTACGAGGCCAAGGGGCCAATCCGATCAAATACCACCAACCCCAGCGAGGGAGACAGGCCCCGACCCCGCTCCTGATATGGGGCCAGATGGAGGGATGATTAATCCGGAGTCACATATTCCTGTGACTAGGAGACAAGACAGCTTCCCCACGAAGCCAAGCGGCCAATCTGATCAAATACCTCCGACCCCAGCGCGAGAGACAGGAGATCCCCTGCCTGACCTGGGACCAGATGAAGGGTTGGTTAATCAGGAGTCGCATATCCCTGTGACTAGAAGGCATGACAGCTATCCCACGAAGCCCAAGGGCCAATCTAATGAGATACCGCCGAGTCCAGCAAGAGAGACAGGAGACGATACTGGCGAAGATCAACAGTATCCGTCGGTATACTTCGTCTGCCAGCGCGGAAACGACAGTCAAATCGCAGCACAGAAACTGATAGAAAAGGTCGAATCTGAAGCAGCAGCTGAACAAGGAGCCGTGCGGAAAAAGAAGTGGGGATGGATTGGAGATGTTAAAGGTGGTTTTCTCGCTATGGAAAGGCACGCAAGGTCAATCATATAAGCCTTTGCACAGAGGTCCGAAACCGTTTCGGATCTTTGACCAATTCTACTTGTACAATTCCTAATATTGGCAAAGAGTCAGCAAATTTGAACCGGTGACGGCGGTGCTCGAAATGGATCAGAAAGGAATGAATCTCAGAAGGGGAAAGAAAAGAGGTATTCGCATTGACCGATTAATGGTCTCGACCAAAATAAGTGAATCAGCTAGAAGTTGTATCATCATACGATTGTTTTTCCTTGAGTGCTTTTCGTGTAAAGAGGACACACTGAAGGGCAACGTTCAGAGACCATACGTACCTCAAGTGGGATTGGAACAAACAGAGGTTCCCAAGAGCGAAGCCGATAAAGTCTTCAGGGAGCATCAACCACTCTAGTCTTACTGCTATTGGTGAGTCAGTATCGGGATTGAGATATTCACACTGCTGTCATGATCAACTTCGTGACTGAAGCCTACGGGTCGCAGAACAGAGGAACGAGATTGGAAGTAGTAGCACAAGATTGAAGTCGAGCTCAGTGGGAAAATTTGTCGCCATGTCCATCCAGCCTTATCAGCCACTGCAAACGTCACAAAAGCGCCAAGATATAGACTTCTCCGATTGGCTGTCAGCTGCTGCTCTGGATATACGATGAAGCGGGAGAACTCCAGATGCAGGTTGCGCTCCCCATAGCATCATATCAAAGCTTCAAAGACCTTGCCTCCGTTGAACTGCTGCAACAAAGATAAATCCTCAGCCCCCCCTCAGCGCCATGCGTCTCATTCGGCTGTGCGCTCTGGCGCTGGCCGCTGAATGCGCCCATGGTTATCTCGATTCCACGCCATTCTTCATGTTCTCAACCTCCGAGTACGTTTGCACACCCACCATCTCGAAGTCCAGGCACACCTCAAACTGATCATTGTCCTTTTCTACATATAGACTTCTAGCAACGACCTCCCACGTTCAATCCGCACCCCTACTGACCTCCGAGATCGCATTGACTCTCTCCTCGTGCCCTTCCGACTACTACATCCTTGTGTCGCAACCAGGAGTGTCTGCCAAAGACTACTCCAATTCCAAGAGATCCACACCCTTACTCGCAAGAGCATTGTCGCCTTCCCAGGCGAAAGGATCGGCTGTTCGGAGCAGCTTGACCATTCCGGACGTGTTCGGTCGCCTAGACAGCTCTGCATGGGTAGACGTCCTGAAAACGAAATGTGGCGTCTCGGTCACTTCCATCGACGCCTCGAAAGAAGGAGGAGGTATTCCGACCAAGGAGTTGAGCCCGTCACCGCGTCTGCTCGAACTTGTCCTCCCGGCGCCATCAACTGGCTCAAACAGAGTCGACAACCTCTCATCGAACGACGCATTCCTCGCTTCAGTGCTAGACCTCCTACCGACGCAGAACTACACTGTGCTATACACTACAAGCCGCACACAGGACGGCATATTGGTTGCTCAAGGAGCGGACGGAAAAGACGCCGCGGAATATGACATGGATTCTCAAATACAAGAGAGCATGCATATTGATCTGAAGCGAGATCTCGGTGTGCATGCGTCGGCCAACAAGACCGGGAATAACCAGACCATGATCGACGGGCCGTTGTTTGATAAGTATCAATTTTTCGGTCCAGGTGCGTTTCCCCCTCGCTGTCTTCTCTCTACCTTTATTCGTGGCTCAAACTTGGCCTCGCGTTCTGGCTGACCTGTTCGTGCAGGGATCTTCATGGGCTACCTCGTCGGCTTCCTCCTCTTAACGATCTTGTATGTTGCCATTTCCGGCGTGGCCAGTTTACAAGTCACATACGCTGCGTTCGACAAGGATCAAGGACAGCTCGCGACGAAGAAGCAGTAATGAGGGGATTGAATTGTTGGATTTTGGAACGTCGATGCATATGAATAGAGCACTCGTCCCTGACTTCACTTCGTTTTTGGTGTTGAGTCACCGAGAAAGGCGGCGCAGGGCCAGATCGAATGGCGATTCCCACGGACGATGTGCACTTCTATATTTGAAGCCCCCGGAAACGGGGTTGACTGGCAGGAGATCATGACTCAGTCAGTGGGAATGTATAGCTATTAATGTCATACATGTTTATGATACACCGTCCGCAGAACCGGTTCAATATGAGGCCTAGTATTTTTTTCCTTTTTTTGATGCCGTTGCGAGCCCTGCTCGCTCTCTAGATCTTAAGTTGCCATTGATTTGACCCAAAGCAGTCGAGTTGAAGACGTCTTAGATAAAAGCTGCTTCCAACCCCTTCGTCGCCTGACTCTGTCTACCTATGTAGGTACCCTGGGGACGGCTATATACTAGGAAACATCTCCCACGAAGCTGTGATCTGCCTGAACTTTGGTAACTTTTGTTGGTTCTAGGTCCATTCCCTTCTACATATCCTCCCCGAAAAAGGAGGGCCTTGGATGCGACCATGTCCAAATGAAGTAGACAGACATATAACGCCGCCGTGGTTCAAACTCTCTCGCTGCTCGCAGTTTTGAGCCATCCTTTTTCTTTCAATGGCTATTTCTTCAGCACCTTCTACTACAAGGAGCTAGGGCTAAAGCCTCTTGACAATGTCCTCCACCACCTCGTCCGTCGTGGCCTTGCCGCCCAGATCGGGAGAGACAAACTTGCCCTCTCCCAAGGAGGCATCCACCGCGTTGTACACGAGCTGGGCGGCGTCGGGCAGGTCCAAAAACTCGAGCATGACGCCCACGCTCCGGATGGTGGCGATCGGGTTGGCGATGCCCTTGCCCTCGATGTCTGGGGCGGATCCGTGACAGGGTTCGCCGATGATGATGCCTTCGCCAACATTTGCACTGGGCACGAGCCCCAGAGACCCCACGAGCGCGGCGGCGCCGTCACTCAATAAATCCCCGTACAGGTTCGGCGCGACGATCACGTCGTAGTACTGTGGTTGCAGGAACAGTTTGTACACCATGCTGTCGACGATTTGCTCCTCGATCTTGAGGGAGGAGAATTGTGGTTGCGAGAGGCATTCCCGTGCCGTGGAGCGGAAGAGGCCGTCTGTTTGGGAGAGGACGTTCGACTTATGTGTGATTGTCACCATGCCTTGCTTTTGCGAGCCCTGTTGTTGTTGTTCCCTCATCCGCTGTCGCCGCAGGGCGATCTCGCCTGCAATGTTGGCGATCCGCCAGCTCGCTTTGCTCGATATCCTCTTGATGGCTTCTGCGATCTCTCCCCCTTCACCGTCGCTGTACGTCTTTTCTTCCTTGACATAGAGGTCCTCGGTGTTTTCGCGCACGATGACCATGTCGATCGGGTGCGGGACGGGCGATGAAAAGGCCGGGGAGAGGGTGGTTTTACATGGCCGCACGTTGGCGTAGAGGGACAGTTTCTTGCGCAGGGCCACGATCGGGGACGTGTACCCTTGGACTTTGGTTGTAGGGGAGCTGTTTTGGACAGAGGCAGATTAGTTGGGTGGGTTTTGAAAGCGAGGCTTGTGCGCAACACGCAGGAAGGGAGACGGTATGTAGTGGTCATTCTTTTCAAGGATGTAGATATGCAATGCATGGACTCTTCCTTCGCTTGCTCACCTCACAGCCCCAAACAAGGCGCCGTCACATTCTTTCTGCAGCGTCTCAACCGTTTTATCTGGCAGGGCAGTTCCCGTGCGCTTGAAGCAGTCGAAGCCGGCGTCGAGGTCGACAAAGGAGAATTTCAAGCCGAGCGACGAAGGGAGTGACTCAAGAATGCGTTTACCGGCCTGCAAGCTTGAGGATTAAAACATGAATATGGCTTGGAACTGAGTAGGTAATGTGCAGGAGAGGTGGGAGACGAGTGCGATTCCTACCGGAATTACTTCACGGCCGATCCCATCACCGGGGATCAATCCTGTTCATTGGTGCGCATGTCAGCATGAAGATCTGGAAATTCTGGTAGAAAGAAGAAGGGAAGCATACCTATCCGTAACGTTCGGCCTGCCATATCTACAGCGAGACTTCTTTGAAGGGAAGAAGGTGCTGTTCCTGGACGCGCGAAGCGGAGAAGAAAATATTCCCCCATTGGAGAAGCTTTGGCACGAGGCTGAACCCCCACGGTCTCCGTTATCGGAACCGTTGTCAGCCTTGTCAGGGAACGAGATTCGTGTTCCAGATGAACTTGTTTCCTTTGCAGCTCCCACTAATAGATGAAGTCTAGTCTTTGAAATAACGATAGATTCCCCTCCTCTACGCGGGTCGCCATGGAGGCACAGATGGATGGATCGCTACAAGGGTATTTCCCCAAGGCAGTGGCTAAAATGTCCCTCTCCCGCAACTACTTATGCTGCCCTATATTGGGGACAGAGAGAGGAGGCAAAGCAGAGTTATTCTTTGGGTCTGTGTGGAACTCGTTTATTGTCATTATTTTCATCGTTTCAGCGTATCGTGGTTACGCCCTTGTATAATGGTACCCAAAATCCTGCTCTGACGAGCATGAACTGTAAAAACAAGCCATGCATCGAACCACGGGTCCGTTAGAAGCATAGCCATCAGCCATCCATGACCATTCTTTTCAGATTGTTAACCTCATGACACATCATCAATAACAACATCAAGCAACATTGCCTCTTTCCAGAAACAATGCCATATTCTCCAACTGGGCATTGAACGACATGACCTTATCCAAGATACCATGTCCCGATGCACTGCTGCTCGCTGTCACGCTTCGTATAAGGAACTCGATACTTTCATCATCGGCGTCTGGATTTCTGTCCATCTCCTGCTCCACGCGCCGAGCCGCCTCACTGAGCGTCCACTTCTCCCTTGTAGACTCTTCGCATTGCCAATGCCGTCGTCTGAGCGCGTCACACTTTAATGCAACCTGTTCGCGCTCCTTCCTTAACTCGATATATTCCGTTTGCAGTGCTGCTTTCTCCCGCTTAGTCTTTCGAACGCGGGCTTCCAGGTCGAAGCGGTTCTCTACAGCCTCGGACATGGCGAACAATTCGTCATCAAGGTCTTTTCCGAATGCTTCGAGGGCGCTCCGTTTGTTGTTGAGCGATATCCGTTTATTGGGCTGTTCAGTTTCAGCCAGACGGTCAATTGCGTTCGAGATTGTCTCGCGACAGATCTGCGCGAGCACGTCCACCACATTTGGGTGATTTCGATGATTCGCAACATCAGGGAGTGCATCTCCCATTGAGGCTTCACCTTCTTCGTTGATGGTTGGCAAAATCGAGACACTGGCCAGTCGATGAGTGAGAATAGGGAAGGTCGGTCTGCCTTTGTTGCTCTTAGAAACTTCGGCCGAACCATTTTGGGAGATCTGTTGGCGAGTCTTTCTCTTGCTCTTCATGCTTGCAGCAGGCGTCTCTGCTTCAGAAGAGCTCTGTTCAACGTACGACTCATCCTCCTCCTCTCCTTGGTTCGGGGTTTGTTCTCGGTCGGAGACAGGAGTCACTCCTCTCATGTTCCTCATTCTCGCAAGCTTACTATACTTGGTGATCCGATCCGCCAGAGGCTGGGTCCCAAATGATGGGATTTCCACGACCGGGGTTCGAGAAGAAACAGCAGCAGGCGAGCGTTCCTTTGATGTGTCAACCAACTGATTCTGATTAGATGAACGACGCTTCCTGCGCACGAAAGGACGGGGCTTCCGTTTTCGCCGTTTTGGCTGTCTAGAAGAACCGGGCACATCTGAGTCTGGTAATGTATCGTTATTCATCACCCGCTGACGCGTCCCTTCACCATCCAGTCCTGTAGCTGCCGACGCAGATTCAGTGACGTCTTCGTCCAGTATGAACGGAGCAAGAATTCGCCCGCTCTTTGTAGTCTGCAAATCCCAATCCATTGGGTTTGTCTTTGAGCCTATAGTGTTGGGCGTCTCATTCTCCTTCTCGTACTCGCCCTCCGGCACGAACAAGGGCGATGTCTGCGAATGTTCTCCGGCCTGACTTACGGAGGGAGGCACGCGGGCATCGTCGTCTTCCGCAATTGTGAACATCGGGGTGGAATTTCGCCTTACCGAAGCTCGGGTTGTAGGCATTGGCCTGGGCAGAACAGTTGGAGGTTGTGGAGTTGGTGTAACAACAGCTGGGGATATCTTCCTTCTTTTGCTAGATCGAATATTCGCTCCTATGGGCCCATCGTGCGGTGCAAGTACTTCCGGCTCAGGCGCGGGCGCCGTAGGTTGAGCCGAGTTCTGTCTGCTCGAGTTTCGTCTGGTAGATCTTGCGGACGTGGGTTCTCGGCTTCGTCTAGCTGGCGTATGCGACGACTGGCGCAAAGTAGACCTTCGAGACTGGGGTGTCTTTGTGTGCGAACGCTGTGCTGGAGTCGGAAAGGAAATTCCAAAGTCGACATTGTCAATTTTCCGAGACCTGAGCACGGGATATTAGAGAGAGTCAGACCGGATGTAGGGTTAGCATACCCAGCACCCCTTTGTCGCATCTGTTGACGCTCCAGCCTGTTGTCCCCCAGACCAAAACTGATACCAAAATCAGCAGTTGCAACGGCGCGGGATCTAGGATTGTCAGCATTGACTTTGATTACACTGTTTAAGCAAAGTAAACAAACCCTGCACCACGCTGGCGCATCAGCGCCCGATCTTGCCGACTGTCAGACGCCATGGGAATTGGTAGAGACCATTGAGGCCTGGAAGATCCGTGCCGCCAATGTATATGCGAGGCGAGAAACGAGGACTGTGCTTTCTTGCGAAGACAATAGATGATGACGATCGAGGCCTGGAGAATCCAACGGGGTTGCGGGACGATGTTCTGGGCGCGCCGACACGCGTCAACAACTTGAATAGTACTACCTAGCGAGCCAGGTGCCTACTAGGTAGGTAGCGAGGGTAGTACTGTGGAGCCGTTGCGTCTTGGCGTATACTACGTTGATGGACTGTTGTCTGACGGCATATAATAAATACCTACCTAGGTACCTAATATGGAGGTACCGTCACGCTACTTTGTACTCGGTACATTTATATGAACCCCCAACAACTGCAGGTGAGCACCATGTGAATTTGTGCGATATCTAGACAGATCTGACTGGTTGCAATACACCTTATACACCTATGGGCACTTTTACCCCGGCAGGAATAGGCTGTTGATACCTGTCTGACACCCTCTTTTAGGTATACCTATACCTGCCTGGTTGTCAACCACAAATTACCATACAGCCCCAATACTTTGATCAACGCCTTTCTCTCGTCCCCAGCAAAGCCTGGCCACTCACAACATACCTATCCTCGTACCCGGAGTTTCAAAGCACGGAGCCGGACGGTGGCGTCGCTTGATAGGCACGCCACCGGCGCCACATGATGCAGGTACCGGCCAGGCGAACCACTTGAACGTCTCAGACTAAGTCAGCCCCCTGACCCTCCCCCACATGTGGATTGCATGTGGATTGCATGTGGATTGTCGGCTGAATATATTGATCAAGAATGTGTAAATAAGAACGCGCACCTCATTTTCTCCCTGGTCTGAATTTTCCCTCATCTGCGCCTTTTCTTCATTCTTTTGTTGATTCACCCTCATTGCCCTTTGCTTGCCAGATTCAGTCAGTCATTCATTCATTTTGCACCACCTTCTTTTGCATACCTTCCTTGACGTTTATTTGAACGAATTCCCCTTGCTGCCCCCTTACCAACATGAAGAGCTCGCTCCTTGCAGTCCTCGGTGGCGCGTCCACTGCCCTCGCCGCCGTGAAGGGGTTCAATTATGCCTCTCAAGGTCAAACCTACGATTCCTTTGTGAGCCAATTCAAGACTGCTGCGTCTCTGGCTGGCACCAGTGACTTTACCAGTGCAAGATTGTATACTATGATTCAGGAAGGGACGACCAACACCCCCAGTTCTGCTTTCCAGGCTGCTCTTGATACCAACACGACCCTCCTGCTGGGCCTCTGGGCGTCAGAAGATCAAGACACCTTCAACAACGAACTCAGTGCTCTCCAATCTGCCATCTCCCAGTACGGCTCCGCTTGGGCCGACTTGGTTGTCGGCATTTCGGTGGGCAGTGAGGACCTCTACCGGATCTCGCCTACTGGCATTGCTGCCAACAGCGGCGTGGGTCAATCGCCCGATGTGCTGGTCAGTTACATTGGCCAAGTTAGAAGCGCCATCCAGGGCACCGCTCTTGGTTCTAAGCCCGTTGGTCATGTTGACACCTGGAATGTTTATGTCAATGGTTCCAATGCCGAAGTCATCTCAAACTGTGATTTCCTAGGTCTCGACGAATACCCCTACTTCCAGACCACCGATTCCAACGGCATCGACAACGAAGGCTTCCTTTTCTTCCAGGCCTACGACAGAGTTGCCGCAGTCGCCCAAGGGAAGCCAATCTGGATCACCGAGACTGGCTACCCAGTCTCTGGACCTACCTCGAATCTCGCTGTCCCTGGTGTAGACGCCGCCGAAGAATACTGGCAAGCAGTTGCTTGTGCCCTCGAAAACCGCGGCATCGATTTCTGGTGGTACATCCTTAATGACGAAGGCGCTTCACCATCGTTTGGCGTCAGCAACAATGGTCAACCCCTCTACAATCTTGCCTGTAACTCGACCGCAGGCTACACATCCACCTCATCATCCAACTCCTCGACGCCGGCTACTTCCTCCAAAGGCAGCAACAGCACCTCAACTTGGCACAACGGCTCCGGATCATCAACTACCCCAAGCGCCGGCAGTGCTTCTGCCACGGAATCCAGCAGCCCCGGTGGCACTTCCGTAGCTGCTGAAACTGGTTCGCTCGCATCTGGTTCGAATGGGGCGGCCTCTGCTGCTGCAACAGCCACTGCAACGGCGACCCAGAATGGGGCATCTACTACTTCCGCGTCTTCTTCCTTCACGGGCGCTGCTTCTCGGGTCGAGGGCTCAATGGCAGGCCTGGCAATTGGAGCGGTCGCCGCTGCGCTGCTTTTGTAGCCTCGCGTCCCAAACCGAGGTAAATCAGCATCGCACACATCTCGACATTTAACCGAGCCTCGAATCCATCCGCAGGTTTCCACCTTCCAACATTGCTTCCCATTGTTTCGCGCGTTCCGGTCGCTTTACCTACAAAATAGACTATCGTTCAGGGCGGAGATATAGGGACGCATTATACAAATCTTGATCTTTTGGCACCGCTATCTACAGTCTCCATTCTACAATTGGTGCTTTAGATAAACTCGTGGGGCTAGAGACTAAAAGCAAGACCTGGTAAAAGAGAAGGATCATCTTTGCAGGCTAGGAATCTATAATAAAAAAGCTGTTGGGAATGACTAGCTGAACAAGTAGTGTCCGGCGATTGTGTGCCGACACGTACTCGTATAGTCTATGCACATACTACATATGTATGCATAACAGGATTCCCTCTTACGATTGTGGCCTCTGATGTTCGTGAGACTAATGCCCGTGTTGAACAGTTGTCCTCTGCAAGTAGTATACAAGGTAGGCCAACATACCTTCATTGCGTCTCCACCAGAACCTCGAAATAAGTCCGCAGCTAACGCGATTTGTCCATGATCCGTCATCACTTCTACAAGTCTTCTCCATCTCTCACAACTTTGATGTTGACTTTGCGCAGCGAGCGGGCATTCCCCTGGTCTGACTATGAAGATTGCCTTTGAGTTATCATCTTTGAGCACACCGGTCTTTTCCTCCTGTCGTGAGATCAGGGCATCTTCGGGCACGTGGCTGAGATTCAATACATTCCCGCACTTCGATGGACTACAAGATGTTCGCCTACTCACATCTTACTCGCCAGTTCCTGCCTTTAAATATGTAGTATTTGGAAGAGCCGAAGGCGGCTCGGGCACTTCCCAGGTGAGTAATCCAGCAGTTGTTCCTAAACGCGGGACGAGGTCAGTCGCAGCCGACAAAAGCATTCAACCAGTATTTGAAATAAAGCATTTGGCGAACCGGGATGAAGTCGGTGACATTGTCGATGGGGTAAAGCGACCCATTGTCATTCCACGTTGCAAACCGGACTTTCAACTCACAAGACATAACATCACAGGCTCCAGGTCTAAGCAAGAGAGTATATATTGAGCCATCTTCCCCAGGTGAGAAGTCCACCACACCTCGACACATAAAGAACTCTACGTGCAAACTCGAGACCAGATACTAAGTTCGTGGTTTGAAGTCTACGATTTTGAACCATGCCCGGCTCTGGAAGTTGCGAATGTGGCAGGATTGCCTTCCAATACTCTGGTATGTCACAGAGACTCTCCTTACTGCATCGCCTCATGCGAGACAGCTCAACTTATTGCGATCTCCAAACTCTCCAGGTGAACCCGCAATGACCGCATTGTGCCATTGTACCGATTGCCAGAAATGGGCCGGCAGCGCATTCTCGACCAACGTGGCGGTTCCCACATCGAACTTCTCCCTCACCAAGGGCACGCCGAAAGCGTGGCAGCGCCTCGCTGTGGTTTCTGGGAAACCTAATTATCATTTTTTCTGTGGAGGTGAGTTCCCCTGATGCTGCTGCTGCTGCTGGGTGAGCTCAGCCGTGGCTAGTATATCATCGATTCTGACAAAATTACACAGACTGTGGAAGCAATCTGTATGCACAGCCCCAGGGAATGGCGGGTCTGACCTTGATCAAGGCGGGAAGTCTCGAGCAGACCAATATCTCCATCGTCGCGGAGCTTTTTGTGACCCGGCGTCGAGACTATATTTCCCCTGTCCCTGGCGCCCAGCAGTTGGATCAGATGCCTTGAAGAAACCTCGACCGAGATGCGCGGAGAGTTTGAAGGATATCTGTTGCTGTGATCGTTGTATTCTTATCATTGTTGGACTTGTCCACTTGGAGCCCTTGGACAAATTCTACAGACACTCTTTGGTTTTCTATTTCAAAACCCAACCAGATAGGCACAGTCTCAGCTAGCCTCGAAGGCTCTGTCCTTGAGTACTTGACCTGACCAAATCCGCGCCCGGCTTGTGTACAGCTTAGAACTGCAACATTCGACTAATCGAGTGCTGGCCGTTCGCACCCGGACGGGAACCCTGTCCACTCTCGGACAGAACTGGTAGAAGCACCTGGTCTTTTGGAAACGCGGCGCAATGCCGCTTGCCTGGTGTCGTCTACCTGCTCAAACTACCCTCTGAACCGTCAGAAAAGAAACATACTTCTACTCCAGAGTGGTGACCCCTGGGGAAAACACGTCAGCAGCAACAATTCTATATCAAAACTTGGGAAAGGCCGAGTGTATCGGCTGAGATGTATGAATTCTCCATCTAAGGACGACCTGCAGAGGTAACCTGTATGAAGTTCACACAGTAGCTGGAGCAAGTACATGGAGAAGAACTTTGGAAGATTTCACCTTTTCTAAGAGAGAACAAATTGTTCCAAACATGGGCGGGCCGACAGCCCCTTTACTCCAAAGCCCAAGGTCACATAGGGCGGCGTCACCTGCAATCCCAAATAGGGTGAGCTTGGTGCGGTGCGGTGTTTGCCGTTAAGCTGCGGAGAAATGATTTCTTGAAGGTCAATCCGACTGCTGCTCAAAATTCAGTGGGTGTTCTCGCGCATGGCAGTACAAGCTACAGAGGTCGGGTGGTGATCATGGGTCCTCTTCTCTCACACATATTCTGAAAAAGCTCAGACACTTCTGCAGAGAAATGGGGTGGTTCTGGGGAGGGAGGAGCAACCAAAATGATCCCGCAAAAGCCCTCGACGACGATCTGAAGCAATTCTTGAAAGAGCAACAACCCCGTCCATATGTCCCAGCCGAAGCTCCTGTCGAACCATCAGAGCCCTCCGAAAAACTCGCTCCTAGCGTCAAGCCGTCAGAGCAGACTATTTCAGAACCGGCACAACCTCCTGAGGACAGACCTTTGCCAAAAGAGTCGCTATTTCAAGATGGCCGATACAAACACATCTGGAAGACTTACATTCCTCAGGACGAGATCACCGCAGCTACCTCGACGCCTGTTGAGAGAGTACTCTCGGCAAGAAAAGACAGAAATCAATCCATACACAAGGCTGCGCTGGAGAACTGCGCATTCGAGGAGGAGATGCAACAAATCTGCTTCAAGGGCGGCAACGTGGCGGACAGATTACGTGGAAGAATGACCATGTGCCATGAGGAGACAAAGGCCTTCAACCGCTGCTATACATTGCAGGCCAAATTCCTGCAAGCTTTGGGATACATGACGAGCGCGACCAGTTCTGCCGAGGACGAGGAAAAGATCCAGATGCACGCCGACAAGTTGTATCACAGGATGATGGACTACGAGGCCGAGGTCGATGAGGCAAAACGAAACAACCAGCCCATTCCGCCTCTTTCGTCGCTGTTCAATCCCACTCGACCTGCCCCAACACTGGAGCAAATGGCCCTACCTAAAGCGATGGAGGACAAGATGAAAAAGCCCTTGCATGAGTATCCTCCTCATGAGCGAGAGCTAGCGGCAAGAGCAGCTCTCCAAGAAGCGAAGTTGACGGACTTGTATGCCGAAGATCTTTTCAAGTACAGCGTGACGATGAACGAGGACCGCAAAAATCGACAAGTCTTTCTTACGAGAGTGTTTGGTGAAGTTATTGGGAAATTTCTGATTCCTGATCCGCCAAAAGACCCGAACATCAAACCCTATAGTCTACAACAATTGGAGCGAGATATCTGGCGAGAAGATGACTCACTGCAAGCGCAGAAGCAAGAATCTACCGAGACGAGAAGCCGGGGCTGAAGGCCATTTTTCAAAAGCAGAAATAGATTTCAAGGGCCTTGAACAAGATAAGGAGGCGAATTCCACGCTGAGGGAGTCTCGCAGTGGGCTTGAAGCCAGGATGGCTTTGCCACAGAAGCATGGTGTCCTGGTGCAAAAGTCTGTTGGTCGGCGTACGCAGTTCGGCCACAGGTTCAAGTGGCTGTCACCGGCTTATTACCGAGCATTTGCAGACTTCGCCGACCTCAAAACGATGGAGACGGACAATCGTGTGACGGACCAGAGACACACTCTGGACGTCATCTCTGCGATACGAGAAACCCTTCCAGTCAGACGTCTTGAGGTTCGAGGAAGTAGAAGCATGGCTCGGTCGAGATGTGGCGCTGAGGTGAGGAACAGTGAAAGATCCATCTTATGGCGGACTCGACGAGCGAAGAGGGGAAGATCGATGCGACAGCACTGTAAAGAATACTTCGTTTATGCTTTGCGATCTGCCCTCGTACAGCATGTATAAAATCTCCTGCATTTAAACCTTACCTTTCTCTAGCCTTCACATCGTATCTTTATCAAGACAATGCCGACACTCCAGACCTGGCGGGGCGTCCGATCTCGGTAGCCTTTGACGGGCGGCCTGCTTGCTTCTCACCTTCCTGATCAGTCAAGACCTCGACACCAGTCGAGTTCTCCATCGGCTTTTTCTTCCAATCCAGATTCGGCTTTCCAGATCGCGTGCTTGTCAGCTCAAGAATAAAAAAGCCCAAAGCTGCGGCAGGAAGATGGGCATTGGTCGCAAAAAGGCGGGGTGAAAGTAGGAATCAAGCTTCAGCCTGTTGAGTCAGTGTTGACGACTTCTCCGAAAATGATGTTCATGGTGACCGCGTAATGGTCGATTTTCCACGTTCCTTCATTACCTACCCAAGTATTCCCTTCTGCCTTTACCTCCTTCAACATCGACGATACTAAATGGTCGGTAATATCCCTGGTTCTACCACCAGAGCCACGGGGTTATCGAATCCGGCATTCCAGACAACATAAAGTAGCAACATGGACGGAATGGAGGCCGCATATACCACCTCCATGACAACCACCAACTCGCTGGGCCATCAGAAAGCAGCGCTGGCACGACTCCCCTCGGAGATTCTGAATCAAATCCTCTGCTATCTGCCATGTCAGTCGCTCGTCTCACTCTCTCGCTGTTGTCGCCGGCTACGAGAGTTGGCCTCGGACGATTCTCTCTGGGCCAACCTACTCCGTCCGAATATCCCTCCACAAGACTTTCGCCCAGACCCGTACCCTTCATCATCGTTTCGCGATTTGTACATTACGCACCATCCATACTGGTTCGTGCCCCGAAATAAGATCTGGATCTCCGATGAACCGCACATCGGCCGCGTCATGATCTGCCATTTCGACCCGCGGCGAGGCTGCATTGAAGGATACCGCCTGTTGGCCGAGAGGACTCCCTCAATGGGAGTTCTCTGGCCCTATGAACCCGGTGTGGTGATCCACAACTTCAAACCCCGAGTGCATCTTTGGTTGGACGACCCGATCCTCAAACTCCCGCACGACATTGTCCCCTTCAACACTCGCCAAGGCTGGTGGGAAGCCGAGATCAAGATGACGGTTGGGCGGCCGGGGCACAATACGTCCGCCTCGTTCTTCTTGAGCAAGGACATCCCTCCACATCTACAGGACAAATCCATGGCTCTCTGGCCACCGAGGACAATCCCCAATATGCCTCGTGTGCGTGCCGCCAGCGCCGATAAATTCCGGGGCTCCGGGCATAAACCGCAAAAATACGATCAGATTTCACAAACGACGTTCCGGTTGAGGCATTGGAGTCAGTTTTCGACGGGTATGGCACACTTTGGGATTCGGATAGGTGAAGAAGTCTCGACGTGGAGTACGATCGACCCGGCGCTGTACACGCCGACAAAGGAAAAGCCATATCAAGGTATCTTCGTAGGCGACTATGCAGGCCATGGATGCGAATTCCTGCTGGTCATGCAATCGGAGAAAGGCCCCGAGCTGCCCCAGCGTCGGCCTACGGACGCCTATTTGAGAGAGCTTATTGGTTTACCTGCCGAGGGTGAGGGTGCGGGTCTGGACGAGGCAGAAATGGAAGGACAGCTGCTCGCTGAACAGACAGACGAACAACTATCTCAATCCCAGTCACAATACCAACGCGACATGATGGCAATGTACGAAGAAGAAGGCATCTACAAGGGCTCCATCGAGGCGGTCAAACTGACGGGAGATCCGCACGTCCCGAGAGGAGAGTACACCTTTGTGGCGGACGACATTGGCCACGGCGGATTGATCAGAATTGCAGAGGAACACCCGTTTAGGGGTGCGAGAGTGGTGAGGAGCAGGGGCCACGTCGCCTCCCGGGGATTCCAGAATGGTGAGTTTCCAAGGAGAATATCTGGCCTTGTATCCTTTCTTCACGGACGCTTCTATTTCCTATTCGTGGCAATATCTCGCATCCCCTTATGCTCGCTCAATTTTGAGGGATTCGTCCATACACATATTTTCGAGGGCGACTTTAAGTTGGCTAACACTTGCCGAAACACGGTGTGCAGATGAATTCATCCCCTCTCACCTCATCATGATTTCGCCAAACACATTGGCCCAGTACTGGGTGCCCTATGGCCATATCTCCTTCTACCAGAGAATTGACATCGACCGGTTGATCGACGACACTTTCCGTGGAGGGCATGGATAATGCAGAGAAAACAAACAAAGGTTCAAATCAATTTCTGAGGAAGATTGGGCATATCTTAACACGCAGAATTGGTTGGCTGGGAATAATTATTGTTAATATGATGCTGGATGATAGATATGGTTGTTTCACAGCATGGATAGCGTCGGTTTCCCCTGTCGCAAATGAGAGGAGAGAGTCGGTTGTTCGCAGCTTTCTGCGGATAGAGCGCACTGTGTGCTTTTAGAATGTGTTGTTATTGCGCTCCATCAATGGTCTAGTGTTTGGGACGAAATTCCAGAGCAACGGGATGGCTGAGAAGCCCTGGCCAGTCAGCACAGCAACAAAGCATGATATCTCGTGTGAATTTGACCTAGCGTAAACAATTCGATAACCCGAGGAGTTGAGTGTATCGCAAGAAGGAATTCCAAGGCATAATCCAATTGACCAGAAAGACACCCATGCACTCCCACCGCGTGTCCTACTCTCTTCCAAGGCCCGGAAGGATCCCAACTTTCTCACCCTTGACGCCGGATAGCCATGCTACTCTCCCTTTCTTGGAGCCTCCTTGTATACTCTTGGGAAAACCATACCACCTCCTGCTTTTCGGCTGCACATGGGATTTCCTCTTTGTACACAGCTTTTTGTATGATCCACCACTCAGGGAAAGTGTTTTCAGGTTCCGCTGCGTTCATCGCCTCCGTTCGAACCAACTGCTACTGCCCATGAAGGCAACACTCTGGTCCATCACCCATTCGCCCACGCCAAGATAACGGTCGACCCAGGTTTGCAGTTCTTTGCTTTCGCCGAGAGACGAGGCTTTGACACTGGTTGGTCTGTTGTGTCAGATATCAGAATCAGTGAGTTTGAGATAGTAAGAATGAACACTGGAAACTCCCGCTGCATTCGTATTGAGCACAGCATCCGCGGTCTCCCCTAGCCAGCCTCTGTATGGGCCACTCTGTTCGGCAGAAGGAAAGGGAAGAGGGTGCGCGAGCAAAGCCTGGGATGCCGGTGTACGTACGTGAGACCAGTGCTTCTCTTGATACCCGCGAGAAAGGCGGAGATGAGGACGGCGTCAAAGGCGTAGTGGGTTAGGCGTCCGAGCTATGCATGTGGTTGGCTCACAGATTCTGAGGTCTGATGCGTTTCAATGGAGACTTACCACCATGTCGATAGATATCGTGAGGGATCTTGCTGTGATATTCAGCAGAGGATGAGGTGCAAGAGTTGAAGAAGTCGGGAATCAAGCCTGCCTGTTATTCACATGTGATGTTTAATCGCAGGCGCAAGCGGAGTCGAGATGCGCGGAGGTCACCCGAGCAGCGCCAGCAGCAGCCGGAGGGCGTCCCACGGATTAATATTGTTGCGGTTCCGGGAGTCGCGTATCTTATCACCACCTGCGCTGCGACTCTGCCCCTCACTTGTGTATGTAACTTGGAAGCTGGCGGCCCCTCCTTAGGTGCATCCCTTCAGCTCCCCTGGTGCCGCAAGGTTTCAATGGGATCCATCACCCAGCTGGACCTCCCCCCATCTATTCATGTCCGGCGCCAACCATCTCAATGCCCCCATTCGCGGTTTGCTGAATTCCATTAGCCTATAGTTCGCCTGATACTTACAGCGTGTGAGTCCTGATAAGCGTGACGTGAGAGCTCCATTTCTTATTCACCCTCTGCGGCCCCAGCTAGAAGCTAGGCTTGCTAGGCTGGGTTGAGCTCAACCGTTGTCCGTTGCCCGTCGCGAGCGGCTGCCATTATTTTTTTTGCTGGGCGGTGATACCTTCAACCGCTATTCATTCATTACCTCCTGATTCTTCTTCCTGCTGTATCCCGCTTTGAGTCAATAGTAAGTGTCTTGTCTCTTGTGACAGTCTTTATGACCCTGTCCTGCGTTTGCAACGTTTGTCACTGACAGAGCTTCTCTCCCTATATTTTAGTCCTTCGGCGGCCGACTCCCGCTCTTCTGAGAGACCTACCAGCAATTCTAGGTTCCTCGCCCAACAACCTCACCGCTTGAACTGTATATCCATATCAATCAAACAAAATGGGTGACGCATTGGACCATCTCGCCAACCGCACCAAGCTGGAATGGCAGTGCAACCTCAACATCGACTACTTGCCCAAGAAGAATCACCGCCGGACTAGTATCATTTGCACTATTGGTATGTTTTCCTGCCGAAAGCAATGACATTTAGGACAACAGGAGCTAATTCTGATTTTCTCTGACAGGCCCGAAGACCAATTCTGCTGAGAAGATTACCATGCTGAGGAAGGGTGGGTGAAAAAGGACACTGTTTCAAAAGGAGGGGAATGAATACTGAACCGATCACAGCTGGTCTCAATGTCGTCCGCATGAACTTCTCCCACGGCTCTTATGAGGTATACACACACGTCTCATAACAGGAGTAGCAAGAGTAGCTGATACTGTGCAGTACCACCAATCTGTCATTGACAACACCAGAAAGTCTGCCAAAGACTATCCCGGTCGCCCTGTTGCGATCGCTCTCGACACCGTGGGTGCAGTTACAGAATTCGTCTGAAAGATCATGGCTGATATCTCCAAGAAAGGACCAGAGATCCGGACAGGAAACACTCCCGGAGATGCGGACATTCCCATCAAGGCTGGCCTTGAACTGAACCTCACTACTGACGACAAATATGCTACTGCCAGCGACGACAAGAATCTGTAAGTGGGGAAGCTTGCGAGCCGCAACAGCAAAACTGATCTGTATCAGCTATGTCGACTACAAGAACATTACCAAGGTGATTGATGTCGGCAAGTTGATCTACGTTGACGACGGCATTCAATCCTTCGAAGTCACCAAGATCATCGATGACAAGACTCTTCGTGTGCGAGCGCTCAATGATGGTCAGATCTCCTCCAGGAAGGGCGTAAATCTCCCTGGCACAGACGTCGACCTTCCCGCCTTGTCCAAGAAGGATATTGCCGACTTGGAGTTTGGTGTCAAGAACGGAGTCGATATGATCTTTGCCTCCTTCATCCGGCGAGGAGACGATATCAAGCATATTCGACAAGTCCTGGGCGCCAAAGGCAAGGAAATCCAGATCATTGCCAAGATTGAGAACCAGCAGGGAATGAACAACTTTGACGAGATTCTTGCCGAGACTGACGGTGTCATGGTTGCACGTGGCGACTTGGGCATCGAAATTCCGGCTGCGAAGGTGTTCATTGCCCAAAAGATGATGATCGCCAAGTGTAACATGAAGGGCAAACCCGTCATTTGCGCGACACAGATGTTGGAGTCCATGACCAAGAATCCTCGACCTACCCGAGCCGAAGTTTCGGATGTTGCCAATGCTGTTCTGGATGGAGCTGACTGTGTGATGCTGTCTGGTGAAACGGCCAAAGGTGATTATCCCAAGGAAGCTGTCACCATGATGCACGAAACATGCTTGTTGGCCGAGGTTGCTATCCCCTACGCCAACGTGTTTGATGAGTTGAGGACCAGCTGTCCACGTCCTATTGAGACTGTCGAATCCATTGCCATCTCTGCTGTGGGCGCCAGCATGGAACTGAACGCTGGCGCTATTCTTGTATTGACGACCAGGTAAGTCTACCTAAGCTGGAGCTCTGCGATTTCCTTGACTAACCTCTACGACTAGTGGTTCTTCGGCGCGCCTCCTCTCCAAATACCGCCCAGTGTGCCCCATCATCATGGTGACCCGCAACGCCATTGCTTCACGCTATGCTCACCTATACCGCGGAGTGTATCCATTCCTATTCCCTGAACCGAAACCCGACTTTAGAGGAGTCGACTGGCAACAGGATGTGGATAAGCGCTTAAAGTGGGGCATTGCTTCGGCTATCAAGCTTGGTGTTCTGGCCAAAGGCGACAGCGTGGTCTGCGTTCAGGGCTGGAGAGGTGGCCAGGGTCACACCAACACCATTCGTGTTGTTCCTGCCGAGGAAGATTTGGGTCTTAAGGATTGACTATCCGTTGATGACTTCTTCATCGCACCTGGGAGACAGATGCCGGTCATGTCGTCGTTTACCCCGCCGCAGTCTCCGACGAGGGGTATGAGGCGATTTTGAGCATGTGCTGAAACGGTAAAGCAAGCTGTGATTGCTGACCGGGCGATAGACGAGAGAATGGAAAGGAACAAGGCTTATTGTCCACCGGTCACTTGATGTCGAAAGGCCTGGCAGGATTCCGTGTATGCATCGACGTCGAAGGGAAAATGAAGAATGGAATGGAAGGGTACTTACTATCTTTTACGGGCTCCTGATTCGATCATCCGTTACGAAAATGAATATGAATATTCCTCAACATGTCTGGCCCGAGCTATTTGCGTTGATGAAGAACGTCCTCAAGTCGGTGATAATCCTGGACTATACGAGTATGAGAATCTACCTAGGTAGGTTCCTCGTAGGTATTTAGATTGGCAACTATGGTGAGATAGGGGCCTGCCATGGCACCCATGAGGCGAAAAGCTGGGTGTACTTTAACCATTCAGGAGCACCAGACATGTGGCTGGCCCCCTTTTCGGAGTAGAAAGCGTTGTAATATTCGTGGCCCAAGGCGTGGCCCAGGCGTGGAAGGATCAGCTGGCTGGTGCACTTGGTGCACTTGGTGCAGCCGGTAGGGGTGGGTAGAGCCTGTGGCGCTCGTCCCCGCTCAATGATGTTTCAGAGGCACAGCAGGTGCTTGCAGGTGCTTGCAGGTGCTGTTCAGGTGCTATTCCTGGCCCCAAACCGCATCTTCAATTTCCGTTTCAGATTCAGCCCAACTACTGCCATGAATTTATTCCTGTCGCTCAACATTACTCGTATGCTGACCATGTCCCTAAGTTGCCCTTAGATCCATCTATCCTCCCCTTTTGTTCCTCCCTTACCACGGCGATAGCACTTTAGGGTCTTAGACGCGCTCGCGGTCAAGTTGGACCAACCGCGTAACCACCCTCCTGCTCTCCGCGCCTACAATCCTTCTCAGCGAACCTGCGCCTGCGCACCCCTAGAGTCTTTTCCCGTGGAATTTAGCTAGCGCAAAGCGACATCTTCCTGCTCAGCAAGCGATTGATTGGTTTTGCTTTTGCTTCAACCATCATAGATGGAGGCCGAGAATCCTCCTGCAGGGAGGCCAAAGATGCCCGGCTTCACCGATTCGTTCTGGTCCACCGACTATGCTGGGGGTTTGGGAGTGCTTTTCCAGAAGCTTCAACAGGGCGTGGTGGAGAACCAGCAGGTGCTCACAATTGCGAGCATGAGAGCAGATGCGGAAGAGATGTACAGCGACCGTCTGGGAGATATAGCCCCGACCATTGATCGGATGACGGGCGGGTTCGCAAGAGATGATGGCGCAAGTACAAGAAAGGTAGAGATCAATTGCAGGCTCCAAAGCTCAACGTCTTTGCTGACCCTTTCCCCTTTTTGAAGGCATACGAGGGCGTCCGAGGCGAGATGGTCGAGGCCTCCAAAAACCACCGGAAGATCGCTGACAATATCCGCGAACTCGTGGTTAACCCCTTCTCGAGATGGTGCGATTCACACGCTGCACGGATACAAAGTTCACAGGACGACCTGCAGGCGAAGATCAAAGCCCACGACAAGCAAGCAGAAGTGGTCAAGAAGCTAAGGAGTGCATACTTCAACAAGTGTAGATTGGTCGAGGATCTCGAAGAGGAAAACAAGATGGCATTCGCCGGACCAGCCAAGGAGAGTCCTAAGCCACAAAGTCCGCCGCCGCCCAAGATTGTCCTTCCAGAAGAAGAAATGGAAGAGTTACCGGTTGAGATTGGGGACGAAACATACCCGCACGAAAAGCTGAAATCGCTGCTTACCGATATGCTCGAGAAGATCCCCCTGGGCGAACACAAGGTCCCTATACTGGGCGTGTATCAGAACGTCTCCGCTGGTACGGATATCACCGATTACATCCAGAAACACATGAAGGCGTCGAGCGTCGGGTACGCTGAGAAGATTGGACAAGATTTGATTGATCGTGGGTTCTTACGTCTGATAGGAAACATGGGCAACGCATTCGCCAATAGCTCAAGAATGAAATATCAATGGAAGCCGCGAACTTTTCAAATAACGGGCGTGCCTGAGAAGAGGAGGCCGTTGAGTAGATCGACTACCGGCGCATCGGCAGACGGAATTTTGGACTCGCCAACAGTTGGAAATATCACCGAGACCTTGCAGAGCTGGAACCCTCTGAACAACCCATTTCCCAATGAGACGCAGGCGGACCGGCTGAAACGCGAGGCTCGAGAGGCGGACGAGAAATACAAGGCAGCCGTCCGGAGACTTGATCTACTGAGGTGCAACCTCGAAGAATCGATGATGGATCATCTCAAATTCCTCGAGCGATGTGAAACAGATCGTCTGAAGGCCATCAAGGCTGTAATCCTGGACTTTTCGGGCGCCATCAGCAACAGTATCCCATCTTTCCAGAGCCAGGTTGACCACATGATGCTCTACCAGGAAACTATCCAGCCAATGGGTGACTTGCGATATCTGCTTGAAAACTACAGGACGGGCGCGTTCGTCCCCAAGGTCACACCATACGAAAATTACTACGGCAGCGTGGACGACCAGACCTTCGGTGTTGACTTGGAAGCGAGAGCGAGAGCAGATCGGAAAAGAGTGCCCATCATTGTCACTTCCATACTAACATTCCTCGATAATCATTACCCTGACCTAGAAGGAGACCACGCGAGACGAAATATCTGGCTTGTGGATGTCCCTCTGGCAGCAACCCATCACCTGCGCAATCAGATCAACAATGGTGCTCCAGTACCCCTGGAGATCCTGGAGAAATACGAGATGCCCATCATCGCGAGTGTGCTGAAGTTGTACCTCCTCGAATTGCCAGGTGCGTTTATCCGCCTTCCTCTGGAAAGGACTTGAGCACTGACATTAAGCAGATTCGCTTGTCTCTTCTCAAGTGTACGAAATCATCAAGACGATCTACGCAACGACATCCGACGCAATCCCAAACCCCATCTCAACCGACTCAGTCGACGCCTTGCCCAGGATCAAAGTCTTACAATCTACCCTTGGCCAGCTTCGTCTCAACAACATCGCAACTCTCGATGCCATAGCCACCCATTTCACCCGCCTAATTGACCTGACATCGGCAGATGAAGCATATGTCTCGGCACTCGCCAATGTCCTAGCTCCATGCATCTTACGCCCACGGACTGAGAATTCCCTGACACTGGAGGAGCGTTTTGCATATCGGCTGATCCGTGACCTATTCGAGCATAAAGAAGCCATCTTCGGTGAACTCAAGCGGCAATCATCCACCCTCTCAGGATCAAACAGTCTCTCCCACCGTCAGCGTGCGGTCAGTACTACAGACGAGAGCTCTCGACGAGCGAATATGGAAGCTCGCGCGCGTGCCATCACGGAACAGAGAGAACAAAGACAGCGAGAAAAGTCGCCCGCACCCACGAATCGACACAGGCGAGATAAGAGCACGGATGGGAGCATGGGTCGGTTTCCCGTCGTTGCGAGTCCCAGGCCCGATGGGGGCCATGGACGAAGTGTAAGCAGTGTGGGCTTGCCCTCTGCCACGAAACGAGGGAGTCTCGAAGTTCCTGGAAGCAACGAGTCCTCGCCCATTCAAGTGAGGAATCAGAGTGCCGTAGAGAGGAATGCAGCTACGCCACCTACGGTGAGAAACCCTGAGGGTATGTCCTCAAGCTCAATCACCACAAACGGTCAAAGCCATGGTCAAGATCATATGCTCTCTTCACCAGATTCGATCACAAGTGCGAGCGTGAATCTACCTGGTACATTCAGTGGAGGAGGGCCGGGCCCGCATATTCCTCCACCCCTAGACGATGACGAGCATGATCAGGAATCCGATACTTCGCCTGTCCCTACATCTACAGCCTCAAATACTGGATCTCGGCCGGGATCACTGAAGAGCAACCGCAAGCCCGTTGGTGTTTCGAGGTCAGCCGTTTCAGGGAGCCTGAGCAGACGACTTGCCAACTCTAGTGTTAATTCTGGTGGCCAGAATGAAGAAGCCTCGAGCCATCCTACGGCAAGTGGTCAGGCTCATGGCGTCCAGTTGGTTGATAAGGCTATGGATGACTTTTCCTAATCGAAATTGTAATAACGAGACAGGCACATGTCGTATGATGGGATTGGACTTGGAATGCGTGTACTGGGGACTTGTCCGGGATGGCCAGCTCATTGTAACGAGAAGAGAGACGTTTGTGGATCACTAGGGCAACACTGCGCTGGATGAGTTTCAGGTCATTATGCCGTGGCGGCCATTGGGACCCGTGGATATGCATCTTAGAGCTGTGACAAGGACGGATGTTCCAGCGCAGAACGGGCACGGAGGCACGGATGAAGGCAGAAGAATTTCTTGTCGTGACGGCAACAGCGAGAGCACGGACAATCTGGCTTGCACATGATAGCGACGAGTCGATATCGAGCGAATGCTAGAAAAATTTCCAGCCTCAGCCTATCCACACTCATAATTACACTCGATACAGCATGCAAGCAGTACCTCAGGTAAACCGTTGTAATAGCTATTGTCTACCTTCTCAAGGCACATTTAATATCAACATAATGATTTCCACAGGTGAAGGCCGGGAAAAGGCTCTTGGACGGTTTTCCATCATCATCATGATCCCACGAGGGTCCAGATATGCTTATGCGTTTTCAATTCAAAGAGGAGGAATTCATGGGTGGGGGATCATGGCCCTCGCCGATTCAAGATTCAAGGGTCTATGTATGTAATGTGTGCATACAACGAGTTTGCCTCTTTTGCAAACAAAGCAACCCCATTCTTCTCAATTTGAACAGCACGTCCGTCCCCTGAGCGGTCTCCCTGTCTGTGGAGGAGTATCACCGGTACCCCCGTTGCGCCATCGCTCCTCGGTTGCTCTGTAATGGGCTACCCAAGAAAGAAAAAAGGGGAAAGGGGAAAAAAAGGAAAGGCCTCGTCTGGGGGATGTCAGGACTCGGTACATCACCCAATATTGGACTTCCATTCCATAGCATGCCATCCAAGCCCGTCCCCGCACCGTCTAGATAGGTCTATGACCCAGCTTTTACACCCTCGTAGCCGACCCAAAGAAATGATATCCGTTCAGTGTGTCCCTTTGAAGGAAGGAGTTTTTGTCTTTTTTGGGAAGCCTCAAAACAGCAAGGAATGGGCACCGCATGTGGTGTGTATTCAGGTAGGTTGTTTATCCACGCATATGCTATGCAGGCTGTGCAGCTCAGTCGTCCAGCTGGGTGGGTGGGTGGGAGATAGAGGACGGGAGATGAACCTTTGTCCTTGTCGGAGGTCGGAGGAAAGTTGATGATAGGATAGTCGTCGGGTCAGTCGACAGGTTTCAACTCAAAACATGGGCTGCTGGATCCTGCTTTCTCGGTTTTGGTAGAGGTGGACTCAAAACAACATAGCTGCCTGCCTCCCTTGTGTTTTGTTCTTCTTTTTTTTTGGGTCGAAGTCCGGCATCCTCAAATCGTCAAATCCATGCAGCATGCAACTCGAATACCCAAAGTGGTGTCACACCCTCACACTCAAGTCATGTTCAAAGTCGATCTCGATCTCGTCACCCTCCGAACTCAACTCCGGAGTCATAACACCTGCAGGTGGCAGGAGCTTTCGGGGGCTTTCGTCTTCGTCTTCGATCTCGTCGCTCAGAGAAGAAGAGTCCATTCCGATCCCGCTGTCATAGCGTCTGCGCCCGCGCTTCTTGAGGATCCCCGCGCATGGAACTGCTGAAGTTGGAGGTAACGTCACTGACGAGGAGGAGGAGCGGCGGTGGCGCGTCCTGCCACGGGACAGTTCGACCCTGCCCTCGACGTGGTCGTTCGCGTCGACGTCCCGATCCGTGTCGTCCTCGTCGATGACCGAGAACTCGGAGAATCGGACCACGCTGGCCGGCGTCATGGGTTCTCCCACAATCTCGTCGCTGCGCATGTCGTCGCTCTCCAGTTCCCAGTTCGCGTGCCGCACTTTGGCGCCGCGGATGTACTTTATGAGATCCTTCTCAAACTGCATGTGTGTTCGGAGTTGAGCATGATGGTTATTCCGAATGATTTCTTCGCAGAGAGCGCTCTCATCCTTCCAGTTCGCTTCGAGCTTGGAGTTGATCTTTTGCAGTTTCTGCACCTGCACATTCAAGGCCTCGACTTCAGCTTGGTGCTCTGCATCCGAAACGCGCACTTGGGCCTTGACCTTCTCCAGCTCCTCCTTGATGTCTTCGGAGAACTGGCGCGCCGCGGCCAACTCGGACTCGACTACATTGATCTTCTTGAGTCGTTCGACGGCGGATTCCTCGGCCGCCTTCCTCCCGCGCGTCTCGGCTGCCACTTTGGCATCCAGATCCGAGAGCTGTTGGGTGAATTCGGCGATCGTGGCGGCCCGCACGTCCTGCAGTCGAGATGCTTGTTCGGCTTCGACCAGCTCAACTAGGTCTTCCAGGCGTTTGACTTCCACGTCGTACTTCTTCATGGTGCCAATGAGGCGTTGATTGTTGGCCTCTTGCTCCCGGACGTCACGCTCCAGGGCCTGGGCCCGCATGCGCTGCTCCAGCATCTCTTCGGCGTTCTTGTCGAGGGCATCCTCCAATTCTTTGATCCGGCTGTTCGCTTTCTCCGTCGCCACGAGTGCGTGATCGAAGTTACCTCGCAGAGAGCGCTGCTGTTCTCGCATCGATTTCAACTCGGTTTCACGGTCCCGGACTCTGGTGGCAACCGCCTTGAGTTTCGTAAGCATCTCGGGCATCAGCCGCGCATGATTCAATGACATGACTGTCTCTCCGGGCACGGTGCGTTCAAGCTCGAATCGCATGTTGCGGAAGTGTGTCTTGATTGCGGCGATGCATTCATTGGCGTCGTCGTTGTTGCAAGCAAAGCCCAAGGATTTGACTTCGGCGGTCATCGCCTGGAGTGCCTCTTCGGCTTCTTCGGCTCGATTGATGGCGGCGTGGAGTTCTTTGGACAGTTCGTGAGGAGGAATCTCGGGAGGGTTGGGCGTTGTTTGCGATACCCCGAAAGAACGGGCAGGAGAGTCTGCAAAGTGGATGGTGTTTGTGTTTGTAAAAGAGCTTTGGCTGGATCGGAAGAGAGCTTGCTTTTCTTGCCGCGCCGACTCGAGTTCCAGGTCTACCGTGGCGTCGTCCTCTGGATCGATGGGTTGATTCTCGTCGCCAACAGAGTCGTCCTCATAGATCTGAAAGCCGTGGTTGTCGCTGCCGAGTCCGGAATCGTCATCCTTGCTTCTCTGCGTCAACTCGGCCACTTCAGCTTCCAACTGGTCAATTCGCTTCTGGCTGCTGTCGACAGGATCACATTGCAAAATGGAAGCTTCACGGAGTTTGGAAGCATCGAGTTCGTCCTTGAGGGCCTGTAGCTCCTTGTTCTTCTCCTCTAGTTGGCGTTGCAGCTCGACCTTGGACTTCTTCTCTGCATCGTACCGATTCATCTCGTCGCTCAGGCCATGTCGTCGAATGCGTCTGGTGGTCCTGGCGTCGAGCACTTCGCGGAACGGAGTAAATTGGATCTCATCGTGGTCCCGATATCGGGTGATGGCTGGGGTCGACACTCTTCTAAGCTTCTTGGGGGTCTTCAGGGAAGCTTTGCCAACGGCGGGTGTGAGACCGGTTGTTCCATTTGGCAGCAGTGGTTCAGAAAAACGAGCTCTCTTTTGAAGTCTCTTTCTGGATGGAGTTGTTGCCTGTTGTGTTGGTTTGATGGGAGAGATGGCCGTGCTTGGTCTTTTGGACCGGCGGACTGGTACTGTATCTGTGGGGTTGTTATCTGCCATGATGGTGTGCGGATGGGATCATGTAAAAATGTTGATAACAATAAGCAATAAGCAACCAAAGTATTGAAGAAAGGATCCGACTTGTAGAAGTACGAAAAGAAGATGTGGCCGGGAAAGCGGTTGCATATAAACAAATGGCGGCCGAATAAGGCAGTGGACCAACATATTTCCTAAAGCAGTTTAGACGCGTTCTGGTCCCGCCAAGACGAGGCTAGACGAGGCTAGACGAGGCTGTCTAACCAAGACGCGTGCAGCGTGTTTCAACATCTGCTGAACGATGCTGCATCTATTGGTCCTGGGTTGCCTGCACCGCGAATGGCAGATGGAGACCGTCTTTGAGATTCTAAAGACAATGCACTCACCTTCCCTGGAAGAAGTGCCGGTGATTGTTTTTGCTGGAGAGGGCGTCGCTTGCAACCTCACCCCAGGCTACGAAGCCACCATTGCCTCAGCCTCCTTCACCCGGCCTTGTTATGAATGCACATGACGAGGTTTCCATCACTGTTTCTCCTGGCAACAAAGATGAGGCTGCATCTTGCAGTCTTGCAGTAATCAGTCTGCCGAGACTTGACTCAGCCTTGTGGTCAACAATACGTCTGAGAAGGGAAACTCCTCACGTGTCACCACCTCTTGTCTCAGAGGGTTGTGTCTTTTCTTTGACTGTATATTTATCACTTCTTGAATGAGAGGAATCCAGTGTTTGCTTCAAAGCGGGATCATGAACGCAGAATCTGCTGATGGTTTCTTTTGCCCGCCTGTCAAATTGGCCTCGGGTCTGTGGTTAAGCATAGAGATGACCAGGGACCCATTGTCTTTGCATAGTGACGCTCTAGACTATCGTGAAGGGAACAAGGTGTCCTAAAGTCATAGATGTAGAAATAGTGATGCAGGGAAAAAGATATCAGAGCTGTTCATGGACCCAGGGTGTCGACGGATCTATCAGGCCGTGAGTTGCCGTTGACGTCACTGACACCTCGAAGTCGCAGTCTGCGGAACAAATTCTTTCTTGGGATAAACAACTCAATCGCTCGGCGAACCTGAGCTCTGCAATTCTCAACCGCAACACACCCAAGCACAGAACAGAATATTCCAGACTCCTACCTGCCATGGGAGACTCCTCTTCCCCCAATGAGGTGCAAGCCTCTCACCACACTCAATACCGCCTGCGCGTCACCGCCGGCCCCTCCTACGATGCCGCCACCCACAAAACCGTGCCCGTCAACAGCTCCGAAACCCTCACGTTCGAAACCTCCTCCATAATCCTCTCCGTATGTGTCCGCATTCGCCATTTCACGGGCTTCCCGCCCTCCTCCCCGGTCACGGCCGAGAAGTACTTTTCCTCGGATCTCCACAAGTACGACCAATACAGCATATCTTTCAGTTTCGTGCCCAAGCAGGACATCCCCGGCGAAGAGCTGGTGTTTGGGAATGATTTTGACAGGCCCATACGAGATAGACTGCCGCCGGGGTTCAACCAAGCGTTCAGGATTGTGAAGTGGTGGATTGACCCGGGACTAGACGGGGATGTTTACGCGGATAGGCCGTATTTGTACGGCCCGGCCCTGAGTAGTTTCAACATCTTGCGGATATGTGACGAGGTCATTCCAAAGGACCAGTTACCATCTCCGCCCCCCTCATCTGATGCCGAGAACAAGGAAGATGATGAGAAGAAAGCCGACGGAGATGAAACCCACGCATGGAAGATCCCCGCGGAACACACCCAGGATTTCCACTCCGCCATCGTCGAAGAAGGCGGCGAGGGCACAGGCCTCGCTGTCCGCTCCGAAGCCAACATCCCCTCCGACAGCCCCGCGCGCCAAAAACACTTCCTCAACCGCACAAATCTGTCATCTTTCACCTTCGAGCGCGGCCGCCTCTACCAATCCGATTTCGGGAACCCGTACCTGGACTTCAACGACTTCTCGCTCAAGTTGCCAGGCTTCTCGCTCAACGTGATCCAGTACGTCGACTCCAAGACGCACGAACTGCGGTACACACTGAAGAACAAGCGGAGCGGCGAAGTGTATGGCGTCGTGGTTTTTACGTTGCTGTTTGGGGATGAGTTAAGGGAGGCGTCGAGGGAGTATGGGTCGGACAATAAAAAGGGCGCCGCCGGCGTTGAGGGGAAAGAAGAAGAGCCCCCCAAAGAGAGCGAAAACATACCGGATGATGAGGATGATATTGATTGATTGATTGAAATACCAGGTTGATAGAGCGCCTGCCTTGTGCACCTCACCTTGAACATGGGCTGATAATGATACCCCTACGATAGAGAGCACATCCTCGTCTCAACTCGTCTTGTTTCGTCTCGTCGCATTGGGTATTCACGATGGCACACAGGGAAATGGTCATCAATACACGACATTCCACTCCCTCTACAAAGCGCACTCTACAAAGTGTGAAACAAGAATCTCATAGATGCATTTCCAATTGGCTTTTGTCATTGTTCATTTTGCGCATGGCGCGCCCGTTCTGCTCACTTGTTTATCCAGCCCTTGCGCTGGACGCGATCTCTTTTCTCATTTCTACGTGCCTTTTCGCGCACGTTTCTGGCGACGACCTCTCGCGGTCGACCGCCCCCCAGCTTCACCACCGCCAACCAACGACCACCGAAGAACACCACAACCACCGCAAGACACCACACAACCACCACAACCACCGCCCATCAGAGCGTGGTGCCGCTGACGCGGTCCTCCAGCTCGATGTCTCGGCCACGAGCACCCACGCCAGCGCGCCAGTCCTCGGGGATCTGGGCGCGGCGGGCCCTCATGCCGCAGGGCAGCTCGCGGTTGGCCGCCTTTGCGACCAAGAGAGCGGCCGAGACAGCGCAGGCGGCGACGGCAAAGGCGACGACAGGGACAAACGACCAGCCGAACGCGTTCTCCAGGGCGGCGATCGAGGCCCCGAAGAGCGCCGGCGTGTCCTTGCCGTCGATGAAAGTGTAGCCGAGGAGCAGCACCAAAGCGTTGTCGACGGACGCCGGGTAGCCGGCGTCGTTGGCTTGGGACAGCAAGGCGAGCTCCGCGCGGGGACCGACGTGCATGAAGATACTCCCCACGATGGTCAGGGAGACAGCCGCGCCGAGGTAACTGGCGAACAGGACGAATGCACGGTTGTGCAGCGGGTGTTTCTGGCGGGCGTCCTGGCTGCCCCTTGTGACCGGCGACTGCAGCAAGTCCATGAGTTGATGAGCCATTGACAAGGTGATGGTGGACCAGCAGCCGATGCAAGCAAGCGCAAACTCTCTGCCGATGGTCGGCAGGCCGTCGGAGCCGGGCAACACGGATGGCATGTTGATGAAGAGCAGGGCGGTGCCGACGAGAAGGAAGGCCGAAGAGACTGTGCTCCAGAAGCTGTAGCTTGGGACCATTGGGTAGCGCATCATCAGGCCGCCGCCGAGGTAGACCGGGATCAGCAGCACCGGGATCAAGTATGGACCCGTGATGGTGAAGAAGAGGTAGAACGCCGTCGTGACTGCCGAGGGCTGAGGACGGGTGAACAGCTGATACAGCGCAGTGTAAGAGAGCACGGTCTGGAAGATGCCGGCGGTGAGGAACACAAGGACAAACAGGGCCATGGTTTTGAAATGTGGCACGTACTCGACGGGGAACAGGCGGGTGGACGGCGAGTTGAGAATCTTGTAGGCTTGCTGAAGGATGAGCAGGACAATCAAGACGACGCCGATGGCCAGGGAAATGTACAGGTATCCATCAGTCCAGGGAGTTAAGGTGCCAGCGAAATTGAATGTGATCAACAGTGTGATGATGCCGAAGAAGCTGAGCAGACCACCCAGGGTGTCGATGCAGTTGAGGCGATGACTCCAGTTGAAGACCGGTCCGCAAGCCCAGGGCGCATTGGCAGCAATCTCCACCTCTTTCGGAAGCAGGTTGAAGAGGAACACCAAGACCAGGGCGAGAAGGATGAATGCGGTGTAGAAAGCCCAAGACCAGTTCTTGTCTCGATGGGCAAAGATGGAGCCGAAGATGGGACCGACGATCAGACCGAGCGTGGAACTGACGGTGAGGAAGAAGTCGCGGCGCACTTTGTCGGCGAAACTGCTCTTGTGCTCCAAAAACACCAGCGTGCCCAAGTGTTGACCTGCCAGACCCACGCCGAGGAGAATTCGAGTGTAGAAGAGGAAAGCCATGTTCGGGGTAAAGCCAGGTGAGATGGTGGCGATCAAGACAATGACGGCGAAGACCATGTAGATTTGCTTGAAAGGGACAATGACATAGAGGTGACCTGCGATGAGCGCGGTGGCTGCGGCTCCGATGGCTGGACCAGCGATGAGCCACTGAAATCCTTGGACGTTGAGGTCGTAGATGATGGTTGGGATCATGACGGGCATCATGCTCTCGGTGACCATGGTCAGGAGATTGACAAAGGCCAACAGCAAGGCAGTTGCAACCCATTTGCCAGTGGTGGTGTTGTCGATGTTAATGTTTCCACCTCGTCCATTGTTCACTTCAGGCTCAAAGAGGTTTCGAGCGAATCGCGACGCAGCGGACCAGACAGTGGCTTGGTAGTAGCTGCTCGAGTCGCCGAAGATGGTGTTGGTCGACTGATTGTTCGCAGGCTCGGGTTCGATGAAGACTTCTTCGACGGTGAAGCTGGTTTCGACTCGAATGACACCTTCTGGTGGGGTGGATGGTCTCGCGTCCGTCCAGCCGCCAGCCATGATGGTGGTTGTACCAGGCATGATGAAATCAGATTCGAACTGATCAGAGTGAGTGTGGAAGCTGGGAGGGCGACTTGAGAGATGGCTGAAGCTGGGTGGAGGAGATGGATCCGAGCGGCGTTGAGAGTAAGAGGATGAGTGAGAAGAGAGGTGAGAGCGAGAGCGCCGTGCTGAGCGACGAGTTGGGTGATTCAACGACATCTTTGCGCGGTTCAAGGCTCAACGCTCCTCTGCGATGGGCGGTTGTGCGCTCTGGCGGGTCGGTGGCAGGCGAAGTGCGATATGTGATATATATCTGTTTATTCCAGAGTTAGTCGTCGACTCTTAACTGCTCACAACCAATCTCGCTCACCACTGATGAAGGCTGCTGCAGAACGAACAACAGCCGTCTGTCTCTGCCACGTCGACGAATGAATGATGGATCTTGACGATGTAATGTTGCTGTCAACTGTATCAAACACTGAAAGAGGACAGGGAAATGGAAGATGTTGATGGGACAAGGGTTGATGGGGTGGGAGAGGAGCAGGGAAGAAAGAAGACGAGGCAAGGTGAGAATTTCACAGGCAGGTCCAGCAGAATGACAGTGATTCTTCTCTTCTCATTTCTTCATCTCTTTCTATCCAGCTCTCACTTGATTCCTTCTGATAGAGCCGAAGAGCAGCCGACTCTGCGGGCAGCTGCTCACAAAAGGCCTGCTCCATGCCTCCAAATGTCCTCCTCAGGTCAGGCCAAACTGAGAATCCTCTGGTCTGGAGGCTTTTGTTGTGTGCCTACTGTTGTGCCATCTGGCCGCCAAGCAGCAAGCAGCAAGCAGCAGGCACAGAAGACAGACAACCATTTCCTGTCAATCAATTGGGATCTTGGAGCTGTGATATGAGTTTCCCACGCGTCGGGCTGGGGTCAACCATACTGGAAGCTGGTCTTCTGCTTCATATTCATCATTTCTGCCATCGCTTTACGGTTCGGAGAATCCCCAGCGGCAAACACGCGATGCTGGCGACTGCAATCACGCGCATTGTCCCTTGTTGAGATGGAAAAGAAGCCATCAAGGCAAGAGAGATGTTGTGCCGCGTTGTTTGAAATCACTTTGTCAGCCACGCGGTTTATTGGCTGGCCAAGCCGCAAGGCTGAGTCTCCTACACAGACAGCCTTGTTTCATCTAATTCAACCTGATACACTGCATTCTGATTACTCCTGTTCGGGGTTGAAATAACGTCCGTCACCGCTTACTAACTGCCAGAAAAAGCGACTACAAGGTCGGTCTCAATTGATGGCAATCTGCACGTGGGAGGTTATCCCTTTGATAGGCCGATTGATAAAGTTTGATGGAAGCATGGAAGCATGGAAGCGGTGAGCAAAAGACGCATGATCTTCATAGATGGCGCCTAACTTTAACAATTTCAAGTGAATAATAGCCGAGCCCTGGTCATATTATCGGTAATCGGGTTCATTCCGCTCTATTTGCGAGATGGGGCCGCTCATAAGTCCTTCGACCCGTTCAAACATCTCAGAGCCAGGTGGTCAATACATGTACACGCCAGGAGCCCACTTTCCATCGCCTTCCTCCTCCTTTTCGATGGCGTCCATCATCCTTTTCTTGATCATTTCCCCCGGCGGTGGTCCTGCGCCAGCCGGTGTCTTGCTGGTATCCGCACAGAAGAATGCCACAGGCTTCACGCCATCAGCGGCTGATTTGATGGCTTGCACATCTTCTGGCGAGAAGCCCCCGCCGATGATGATGAACGAGATATCAGAGCGACCGGACCCCTGTGCATTCGCCCCCAGACCCGACGAGGGCGAGATGATGTCGCCTTTCAGAAGGGTCGGAATCTCCGAGACGGCAGTGTCGGCGTTGTTGCAGACATGGACAACTAACAATGACGAGCCCGGTTAACGAGTCGCTTCGAGTGAACCAATCTCAACTCGATGGACGTCCCTCCATGGGGTAGCTGTGTTGGACAGAGACTCACCCTCGATCTTGGGAAGGAGATTCTTGAGCATGAAGTCGGTCAACTGCGGTTGTTTTCCGCAAAGCACGGCAGCGACGGGAGACATGTTGGTTGTGTTTCGTTTCCTTGCAATCCAAGTTAGCCTGATAGAGCCGCTGAATAGGATGAAATGCCACGTTTGTCAACGCCATACCGTGAGCTCAAGGCTGTTTATAAAAGAATGACTCGGGTTTCTTGGGAGTTGCAAGTACCAACACAAGAAAGAGTTCCAATGCGGTGGGATTGGGACGTCAGGAGAATATATTGAACTCGACTGTAAATGCGGTGAGCACAGGGGCATTCATTCAGCCTTGGCGAGCAAGCCACAAAAGATCGGAAGGCGGGATCGACATTCCTTCCAAGAGAAATCATCCACAAGCAAACACACTAACCACGGAAGCGTCGACCTGGTCGGTTCGAGGACCTACTTACTGTTCGACGAGCTCGATGCGCAAGCAGGTGAGAGGCACGAAGGGAGGCCGTGCTCTAGTTGTCCGTACACCTAGTAACCTGCATCTCCAGATGAAACGCAGCTTGGGAAAAGCATCTATCGAACAACGTTGTGCCTGCAGAAAACACTGAAATGCCACGGCCACGGCAAAGGCCGCCCAAGTCAGTGTGCAAGTACGTGGTAGACATTCAGTGCATGTCATGACATAGGAGACGGTATCAGCAACTCCTGTTCCTATGCAGAGTATTGCGCTGGCAAAGACAATACAGTCACTCGAAAATTTCAAGCCAAAGTCGATGTCTGGGCGTAGGCATGTTGCACACAGAGGAACGTGGCTCAATGGGGAGGTATCTTGTTTGGTGGAAGAGGCTCAATGGGAGAAGAAAGTACATCGCAGGACCTAGACACGTGGACCCAGAATGTCGGGGAGGGCCGCGCCACGATACTCCATGATGCTGTGCACCTGATACAGGCGCTCGAGGATCTGGTACTATCCGTGAGTAGCCGATATGGTAGATAATGATCTCCATGCCATTAAGTGACTAGTACGCAGTAGCATCAAGTGCTGCAAGGGGTCACGAATCGACGAGAACGCAGAGGGTACGGGACCTTTGGTGGTCCACGAGTCGGAAAGCTTTGGACGCATGGTACTTCGGAGGGACCAAAGGGAACAGCTCAGCAACAGCTGCAGGTGATCTGTGACCGGTTTCATTCGTAATCGGCAGTCAACTGCTGCGGCAGGTCATTGTCGTGGCATGCAGGAGTAGCTGGTGCCAGCTGGACGGTACGGATTGGAGGGACTTGTCGATCGAATCAACGAAGGACCAAATGCATGCAATGCATGGCCCTTTGGACAGCCGCGCCACGCGCCTTATTAGAGGCGATTCAAGTCGACCAAGGATCAGACAGAGCATTGACAGGCACCGTTCAATGCAATGCTAGCATACCACTCTGGAAGTCTGCACCGAGTAGTGGTAATTCCCTGCTAAGTCTGTGCTGATGTGTGCGCAGCAGGTCGGATACTTGAGAGTGAGCCCGATACAAAAGTTCCGCCAAGTGAAGAATCTTTTCGTCTCGGACAATGAGCGGCTCGGAGCACAAGTTCGGAGCAAAGCACGCAGCGACAGTCCCCCAGCCTGTAGCTCGTACCGAGTACCATGGCACCCTGCACCTTCGCACTATGCTCATTGCGTATCTAGGTAGATACTCGCAAGGTCCCGGTGGAGCAGTGCCGCGGGCCCCAAGTTCCAAATTGCAGGAGCTTTGCCCAGGACCCCAGTGGGTGCCAGTGGGTGCCAGTGGCCCGCCTCTGCGGGTGTAACCATCAAATTGGGAACCGTCCGTGTGCTCCATGTTCGGTTCTCATCCGGCCGCTTCGACTTCTGACTCGAGGATGACAGGAGGAACTCTCACTAACTCTCTAGTTCGTGTCCACTGCGCTCGCCGCAGCTAGAAACCAAAGCAGCTAAGCCGCCACCTCACCGTCACTCTTGATTGGGAGGTCGAGGCAGTGTTGGTACGATTGGTCGCTTTGCTTGACGATCTCTCTCGTATGCTTTCCGACTGTATGCTTTTTGGGCTGCGGGATCGACATGGAAAGGAGACATTCATGAGGCAGGAGGAAAACTCTCTGTCTTGCGCCGGGCAAAAGGGCGCTGTCAGCAGCAGTGGGTAAACAGAGGACAAGCACAAGGTGACTGTGGCCTTGGGGGCTTGACATGAGGTCGATAATCATCGTTGTTATCGATAGGCTGACGATATGATACGGCAATCGATAAAGATAGACAGACCCTGTTCAAAGTTGGAATGCCCTCTTGGACAATGCTTCTTCCACCTCGCCGCGTACATAGAAGACTCGCGTCTTTGAATTTCTATCTGAAATATTTGTGACATTTGCCCGTCTGATCCATAATCAGAGACAGAAGGCCTGGGAAAGTAGCCAGGACCTCGAAAGTAGTACAAAAGATGCATCGTATGGCAACCCTTGACCGATAACAAAGGAAAATGCTTGTGTGACAGTCTCGCCGAATACTCGTCGAGAGTATTAACCATGCATCAACGCCCCAAGAAAACCCATTGAACTCCAATCGTGCTTAGTCGCAGCATCCATCTTCCCTGACTCCTTGCGCTTGATATCAAATTCCCACTGTGCAGTATGATTCGTACAGGCATGCGTGCGTTGTCTGGAGGGCAAGTGTCTTGCTCGAACATCACCTCCATCTGTTATGGCTCATGCCTGAGGACCGGGTCTCGTCGCGGGTGGCGGTGTTGTGGTGAATGACGACTACCTCGCGCTTGACGGGTTTGCGAGGCTCTTTGCGCTCGCGTGGTTCTCTTCGTGAATCGTGGTAGATTCTCTCACCAGCGCTGCTGGAGCCAGATGAGCTGTGGTATTGGGGAGACATCTTGGCAGTAGGTGACTGAGAGTAGGACTGTGTCCTGCGACAGACTTGGTTTTTGAGTGGTGGGTGGATGCCTAGACAGTGATGTACAGGGCGTGGAACCGCAGCGAGGAGATGCTTTGAGATTTATACCGTGGACGTAAGGTTCACGGGCTTGGTGAAATGTTTTGGATCCAAGAAGGCCTGGAAGGGACGGTCCTCTGGGATTTGGGATATTTGTGGCGAAGGTGCTAAAAGTGGTGACAGTGGATGAGGGTGGGGGCGAGTTCCAAGAATGTCACTAAGGGGGTTCTGGAGGATGGTTGTGTTGTGACGGGATTGTATCTGGCTTGAGAGTGCTGACTGATGGATTGTATGACAAGTAGGAGAGGGTAGACAGAGAAGGAATTGGAAGCGACTTTATACAGCAATGGTGAAGAGTCACAATTGCAGGAATCAGCAGTTCAGGCTTATTTGGATGTTGAAGCCTGGTGAGAGGATGGGGTCGGCATCAGGCAGAATACCAAATCGGGAGCTAGCATTAGGCAACTGAAAATCCTAAGCCTTGCTCAGCTGCTGGCGTGTTGCCAGTGACTCAGATGACGAGGGCTAGGGATCCGGGTAACCAAAATGCAAAAGAAACAAACGGCAGCATCCGCAACAGGGCGAAGGTGCTAAAGGTGGCTCAAGGGGCGGATGGGTTGACGGGGATGGAAACCAGGAAGGCTATGGAAACGGTTGGCAGGGCTGTGGGTTGGCAGGGTGGAAAGGGGACTTTGTGACTTTCAAACGAAGCCAACACGAATGACGCCCAATGGAGCTGCAAAGTCGCACACTGCCGCGACGGGCTCGGGGCTCGTGTCCCCAAAGATTGGCAGTCAGAAAAAAGGGTGGTCACTTCTGGTGGTGGGAATCCCCTGGCGCACCAGCTGGAAATGTGGATTAATTGGGCAGCCAACCCAATTGACTTTGGCTGGAAATGAGACAATCCACTGGGACACGGGCAATGGGTGACTGATACTAGGGGCACCCAGAGGGGGGAGGGAAAGGAAGGGAAAGGAAGGGGCAAGCCCGGGCGCCCGATTTACGAGTGCTCGCCGGTATGGGAGCACGCTTGTTGGTGCGGCATATTTTCATTACGAGTTTTGGAGAGACGCGACCTTTGGTAAAGTTGAGCCGGGGCGAGGGACTGAATGACGTTGGCCCAAGAGAGCGGAGACACCGCTCGACCGGTACCAGCGAGTAGCTACTACTCGGTAGAGCAAGTCAACCTGCTGCCAGTAGTGTTGCTGCAGGGCTGGGGAAAGCAAGCTGCAGGTTCACAGTTGGGGGGGGGGGGAACACTGGTTCACTGCTGGGTACTGGCGGGGGCCTTCTCTGTACCGACTGGTACCTTCTTAATGCACGTCTAGTTAAGCCATGGGCATGCGTACGCTCTATGTGGCTCCCTCTCTGCCTGCAAAAGTCAACCCGCCACACGACCTGCAGGTGTTCCATCATCCTTCTTCCAAACCTATCGTAATCCACCGGTTCCTGCATCAGCTGCGGCAAAAACCAAAGGGAATTTGCGTCTCGTACTTTTCCCACTCTCTGCATGGACCCTTTGGTTTGGATTTTGCCACCGTAGCATGCCAGTCTCCAGCCCGCCTCTTCCTGCGACGAGATAGCAACTTGATCAGTGACCCTCCTGATTTGATTGCCCGCCATTTGCGAAGCGCTTTCGAAGTCCCCTCAGGGGCAATTGCTCCGATGATCACAACGACTCGTCTCAGCTTGGGCGCCTGTCTCTGAAACCAATGCGCCTCAGCGTCAACTGCGGTACCATTCCTCCGTACTCCATTCTCCGAAGCCTTCAAACAGGCCGGAAACAAACCTGTGGACTACGCGTCTCGACGGGCCACCTGTATGTTTCCTAGTTGGTCTGCACCAGTCATGGCAGTGGTATTATTGCCGGGGGCAAAAGGGACAAACCGACCTGGAAACTGCGAGTGACACAAGGAAAAGAGAGTCAGCCACGTTTGCAAGGAACCCAGCCTTCAGAACGTCTCCAATCAGGCCTCACTACAAAGCCTCATTTTGTCCTGTCCTGCGCCACAATCCTCCTCTGCTCCTGTATTTTCTCCCAGCTTAAACAATTCGGGCCGTCTTATCTCAGAATCTACGAGGTACCGAGTACTGTTAACGTTCCACTCTAGCCCTGACAAAAGACCGAATAATGATTAATCGTCTGCCTGAAAATGCCTACCCGCTTCCTGGTGGGTTCTTCACAGACCTGTTGTCAGCACTTTTCTTGTTGCCCGTTTAATTTTCCCTACCGTTGGCGCCGTTTATCGCAGCCCAACCGTGGGTACCGACCCGCCGCAACTGTTGCTTCAAGATCGTCGTCTGTTGAGCAAAATCTCGAAGAAGCTCCGCCCAGCTAAAGAGCGTCCGACTGTGAAGTTTGCACGGCTCTTCGCTAGATGAGGCGGTCGTCAAAAATGAATTCCAATTGGGCGCTGGGAGCGGAATAAGACCATGAAATCAAAACAAGTGGGGAGCAACCATCACGGGCGTGCTGCGGGCTCGCGTCCAACCCTGACACACTGCACGCGTTCGGTTCACATGGCTACAAGGGCTATACTACGTCGCCTTGTACTTTCCGCTCGGACTACAACGGAGACGGGGCAGCAATGAAGTCGATTCGTGCCCAACCGGGGCGCAGATCGACCTCGGCTTGAAATCCACGACCGGAGTTATAGTACCATGGATCGGCAATCAGGCTATCACTTCCCCTTCAAGGTCTTGGGTAGAGGGCGCAAGTGTACGAGGTATGTCACCATCGTTGGCGGGCACCCCCTGGTCAGCCCATTCCTGATGGCCACCCTCCAAACCTGTTCATTTCCTTTCGACCATCGACTCCGTCATGCGACCGCCTGTTCTCGAGCAGCGCTTCCGAAACTCTCTTGCCGTCATGGTGCATACAGCTGTTCTTTGCACTTGCACCCCACACGCGTTGGAGCAGGGATACGTGGTGGCGATCTGGGAATGCATTTGACTACTGCTTGCTACTCGGCCTTCACCGTCTGTGGTGCTTGCGGAGTCTCGATAGTACATTCTATCGCTGCCCAATACCACCTAACGATGGCCCGAATGTTGCTGAACGAAGTTGCTTACCCACTTCCTCTGTTATTGTCAAGAGCCGCGAGAAAGCTGTCCTCCTGGAAGAGGTTTTCGGCGTGACAGTTGCCGGCACATCCGGTGGTGACTATGTGTATTGACTCGGTCAGTCTTATCAGTGGCCACAGAACAGGGAAGAGGTGCCCGACCAATATGCCGTGGGCGATCCTCGCCTGCCTAGGAAGCCAACTAACTAACCGGTGAAATCAGACGGCAAGCGAGGCGCAACGCTCTAGAAATGCTCTGTGTGCACGGGCGCCCGTGAAGCTACGGACCATTAGAGATGGCTTCCATGCGCCACCAGCGCTGCTGCGGCGTGAGGTCATTGTCCTTCCTCACTTGCTCTTGAGGCCGACGACCAACGGAGTATCCCACATGGCTAACCCTGGAAGGAAGATGAGGCGGGTTGAGGACGGGATGCTGGCCTGGGGTTGCCCCTATCGCTTCTTTGCGAGGGTCTCACCCGCCTGCAGGTTGTGACGGCCGGCTGCCGATGTAATGGGCGCTGTCGTCACTGCAGTTTGCATTGATCACATGAGGTTCCGCAAAGGCAGGTCTTGCAATGGTTGCACTCACCGCCCAGCTACAACTGACATCGCAGGCTACAACATCTCAAGTTGTCTTCTCTTTGGACACATGTATTTTGTTATCGCTGGCCGTTCAATGATCGAAGTACAGATATATTTTTGCATGGCTGGCCCGAATCTGACACCGAAGAGCATGGCAAAGCAAGGGTAACAAATTTAGTTGCGTGAGTCAACGATTCGGGTTTACAAGCTCCATTTTCGGTCAAAAACTTTAATACAGCTGGCACATTTGCCTAAGATCCTTGACTAACTCTTGGTCGATCCTCTGTTCTACCTCTACCAGACGATCATTCACAATCAAGACTGGCTGTCGTAGTTACAGGTATTGAGGGAATGAAATGCCGCAGAAAGGTAAGATTCAGTAGTTGCAAAAGTTACAGCATTAGGATATGATTATGTTACAGGTAGAATCCCTATCCCAGACATGCCACAATCATCATGAGACCACATTGGCCTCGCAAGAATGAATCCTATTTACAAAAGAGCAACCATTCCCAGGAGAAGACTGCCCATCATTCCCACAGCGGGCACGGCATACCCGTCGGCTGCGGCATTGCCTGCTGCGCTGGTTGCACTGGTCGCGGACGACGAGGCACTGCTAGCCGCCGACGACGTGGCCGACGACGCTGCCGATGAAGCAGACGATGCGAAGCTGCTGGCAGTGCTGGAGGCCGACGTCAAAAAGGAGGAGGCTGCCGACGTAGCACTGCTCACAAGACTGCTTTCTCGAGAGCTTGCGCTGGCCAGAACACTGCTGATTTCGCTCGAGAGGCTGCTCTGGGCCGAGGGACTAGCTGTGGCTGCGACGGAGGAGAGACTGGCAGCTTTGGAGGAGGCGGCGCTAGAGATGGACGAGGCCTGGGATTCGACGGAGGAGACAAGCGACTGGACGCCAGTGGGGATGCTGCTGCCCAGGGACGAGGCAAGTGATGCTGCCGAACTGACGGCGGAACCGGCGGCGGAAGTGGCACTGCCACCAGCCGAGGTGATGTCGCTCGCGATGGAGGTGGCAATTGAGACGACTGAGCTGATGGCCGAGCTAAGATCGCTTTGAGCAACAGCGCTGGCGGCGAAGGCCAGGATCAAGGGCTTGGAGAAATGCATGTTGAGAATGTCTTGGTGGAGAGAGAGGTGTCTCGACGGAAGGTACGAGGTAGGTAGGTGTGGATGGGCTTGCTGGACGAGGGTTGGTGTGAGCGTGGAGGACAAGTCAATGCAGTGTGGTCTGGGGATGGAAAAGTCAGAACTCGGTCGAGAGGGACAATGGAGAAGCCAGAGCAGGTCACGGATATATACTCGAGAGGCACGTTACGTCTTTGAGATGACGTTCGTTCAAGATGACGGCCTGACAGGAGCAACCAGCGAGCCAGGTGGTGGAGTAGTGACTTTGTCCCACAGATGAGCCACTGTCATCATGTCTGTTGCACTTGAAGTTGGTGACGCCTCTCCGCCTCTCAATGTGGGCAGGGTGGGCACCAAGCCTTGCGGTCTAGGCCAAGGAAAGTGCCGCAGCCTTGCAGATGATCCCGATTTGGATGGATCGCCAGTGACGGCGGCCCGGGAGGTTCCAGGCCCAGGCAACCACCTCGAGGTTAGCCAATTGAAATCGAGGTAGTGTGGTTTACCGAGAGACGCTTGCGTAAGTCAGGCAGCCAGCCCATCCCTCTCATTGGCTGACGACAGGGGTTTTGAATTCCACCAAGGTCCGCCAACCCCTTTCGGCCCCTTGGCTCCCCAGCGTCTCAGCCACAGCGTCATCATCCGCCACAGCATCCGCGCCACCCCTGCAATAATAATTCACTCTCCCTTTGACAACTTTAGACAACGTACGAGGTACGAGGTATACGGAGGACAATTGAGGCCTACCTAGGGAGCATACCTCCAGCTACCACTACGGAATCCCTGCTACTGTTGGATGAATACCATCAATACAGCCACATAGCTTCAACGTACCATCATTAAGACCTTTCAGAAACCGCGCAGAGAGTCGAACATTGCCAAGTGAGAAGGACTTCTAACTGACGCAGCAGTAAGAGCAAGGGTGAGCAGAAGGATAAATGCCGTAGTAACGGCCAACTGGACCTTGCGATAATCTGAAAGGCAAAAGAGAATCCACAGCGGTGCAGCAAGCATGATAAAGCCAAGCAAGCAGATGGTATAGTTGATGAAGAGCTCGATTTTGTCGTCGTCATAGAAGGTTGCGCAGCCGGCGATGTTGGAGCCGGGTTTTATGTCGCGACGGTGGAAGAAAGGAATATACAAGAAGAGACCGAGATCCTCGAGGATATTTCGCAGGGGTGTACGGGGACATTCTGTTACCGAGAAGAGGTCGGATTGTGCAGAGTCGAGGAGTGCTCCTTCTCGGAATGAATGGGTCCCCGGTGCTGGCCCATCGTGCGAAGGCTGGCATACTTGGCGATGAGTGTGTCTGTCGCTGGAGAATCTGATCAGCTCGAGCAAGGCTCGGGGGAATGTACAATGAGTTAAGGCGGTGCGCGAGCGAAAGGGAGGTATATACACGATTCTCTTCCAGCAATCTGTGACCGTGCCTGAGACATTCAAGGCGATCATTAGAGTCGTCTTCAAACCTGCCTTTGTCCACCCGCTCCAGGACTCCGTTCTTGAAGTCCTCGTCATACTTGGCGAGGTGCGCTTCCAGCGTGGTGATGTCCCATTGCAGCAAGTAGATGACTCGGGCGGCCAGTGCATGAAACCGTCAAACGATAAAGAAGTCGCTGATAAACGCTGACAGTTTGCAGAATTCCTGGTATCCCACAGAGTGTCGCCGCCTCGGAGACGGTCTGTCCAGACTCGTGAAACTCTTCAGAGGGACGCGTCTGGAATGGGAGGCGAGGAGGGTATCCCCTGTGCAGCCAGGATGGCGGAGTAAATCTTGGCACGCCTTTACGTGCCGCCTTCAGTCTTTACAGAGCAGGATCTTCTGGCGAATCCATAATACCATACAATGACACGGCGGGTGTCTGCTAATGCGCTTATTTAGATACGGATTATTTGGTTTAAACAAGATCAGGGGAGAGTACATAGCTACATAGTCCTTCAATAGGTGGAGTTGTGCAGAATGTGGGACAAGGCAAGCTCTACAAGATGCGTTCACCAACTTTCCCGCCGATAGAGCCGCTTGTGAGCAGTGCTGCGAGGAAAACGTCCAAGTCTTTTCCGCCTTATGTGTATGCTGTGGTTGGATATGGTCCATTCGCGAGTCACGCTTCGTGTGTATGATCGAGATATGATCTCTCCCGACGGTATGGAAATATGTTGGGTTCCCCCTCACTTCTGTTGAGCTACGATACTCATCGGTTCTACCGTCAAACTTCGTACTGGCCTCAGATGAAAGCACCTTTGAAGTGTCAGAGCCTTATCTCAGGATCGGTCTCCAAGTCCGACGAGGCTGCGATTCCCGGCTCTCCCTGGTCGGCCGACACCATGAAAACGCGCTGGTCACGACTATCCAAGCGAAGCCCCACGTCAAACAAAGCTCGTTGTGGCAAGGGAGCATTGCTCTTACCTCCAGGTGGGTAGCGATGCTATGGGTTTCTTCTCCAGATTCAATGCAAACCGGGCAGATCAGCCTCATGTGGTCAAATGCCCGGTGCTCGGAGAACGTGCGGATCGTTTCCATGTGGGGGCCTTCGTCTGAAACAAATCAAGAAAGCGAGCCTGGCATGCGGACGGGAAGCGTGTAAGCGAGGAGCGTCGTCGGCAACCATCACTTGCTCAGTCTGGCACTCTGGACAGCCTGTTGATTCTCTCGAAATGCCCATATGCTTTCATTCGGCATCACACAGACGAGTCGTTGAATACTGTACTCGGTACGCATCCTTTCGCCCAAGGCAGCCTTACTAATTGTGAGATCACAATTGTCCCTGAAGCTCGCGGTACCGAAGTGGGCATCTCCGCCAGCCAAACTAATCCCAAAGAGCAGAACCGTCAGCACTAATTTCATTGGATCAAGGGGCGAAAACAAGAGAAACAAGACATGCAAAGACTCAAGCGATCTTCCAGAAGTTGCTTGTTCAGAAGCTTCGTCACGGAAGAAAAAAAAAGAACGAATCGCCGACGCGCAGTCTCTACTGGCGGCAAAGGGCGTCGAGGGCCATCTCAGATGCCTTTTATGTCCTTCAGCCCTCCCCCCTTCTCTGCCCTACACACACCTTCGCGACTTGCCGCTTCTGTCTCCTGCAAGAATAGCGGCCGAGAAGAATCCTCCGACTGTCCCAGATTCCCCCTATTTCCTCGTCCCTGGCGCCGAAGGATTGAGATACTTGTACTCGATACATCACGGTTCCATTCTTGACAAGCGCATCCACAACTCACAAACGTCTTCCGGTCTTACTACTCGTATAGACAGAATCCCACATCAGCGGCTGGTTTCAAATCTCACGAGCCATTTCCACTGCCATGGCGTTGTCCTGAGTCCGCAACCCATCACTGCCACCTGGACACCGATGAACTAATCAGCCCTACTCAGCCTGATGGGAGCTCGCGAGTTCATTGGCCGCGACCGTCAGAACCGTAGTCGAGATGGCTTCCGAGCAGAAGAGAAAGCCGAGATACAGGCAGCCAGCACATCGCGGAAAGTCCTAAACAAGGCCAAGCTCATCATTACCCCACTGGATTCCTATCGACGCGAGGCCTTTGCGTCGTATCCCTCAGGAGCAGGGCCTCTGTCAACGGAAAGCGTGGACGAATGTAAGAACACCAATTCTCCAGGCCAGGAGTCTCCCAAGGTTGACAGTGACAGATATTTCCATTCTTCGCAAGGAAGAACTGTGTCTTAAAGTCACTCCCGATGTCGAGCATCCAGCCATATCAGTCGTCTTTCCCCTGTCCATGCAGGACCCGGGTCTCTTCAAATGTCTGCTCGTCGGGGCTCAAAGTCTGCATGACTGGCGTCGTGATCCCTTCCATGTCAACCGCTCTCAACCCATGGTCAAGTTGCAGAACGAAGCCATCCTTTCGCTGCGAACCCGCCTTTCCGCTCCGTCTGCCCATCTTGACGATGGTGTCTTGATTGCGATTACCCATTTGATGGTAGCCGATGTACGTTCAACCAGCATACGGATTTCACGCATCTAATCTTTCTCCAGTCGTGTCGTAGAGACCTGTTGTCGTTGAAATCGCATCTGAAAGGGGCCAGACAAATCATCTCACTCCGTGGTGGACTTGGGACCACGCCTGCTCATCTGGCGATCCGGGCTCTCTTGACCACGTAAGTCTTTGGCGCAACAGTTGCGCAAGTCGAAATTATGCTGACGCCCTGAGGGCAGAACGGAGTTTTACATTGCCTTGGGCCAATACCTCCAAATCAGTCCTGATGATCCGACCGCCATTCCTAAGCAACCGATTGAATACGTCCGACATCCATTCCCTCCCGACATCTGCCGCGACGTCGCCACCCTTCCCACGGGTCTCGCTGAAGCTGCCCTTTCCGGACATCTGAGCGTTCAATGCATCAAGCTCCTTGCTTCAACCGCGTCATGGGCGCCCCTGGTGAATGGCTCCGCTTCGCCTCCTTCAGATCAAGCACAAGACTCGAAAGATCGATACTGCAGGCTCTTCTGCGAACCCAGAGAATGTTCTCGAAACGCCATTATGATCCTGCTTGACCTTAAAAGGTCTGGGCTACCAGTTGGCCTGGAACATGTCATCTGTCTAGGCTTAGCCATGGCTGTCCGTCACCTCAGCGGCGAGAACCGTACGAACATCTTCGACACTGCCTCGCTCGCCGCCTTGACCAAGAGTGTCAAAGCCATCGATAATCCCTCTGTATCAGACTCTGAAGTCATCATCTGGATTTCCCTGGTCATCAGCTGGCGCACACAATCCGCGAAGCCTGTACCAAAGGCTGACGCTCTCCTGGATTACGTGCTGGATTCATTCCCCGTCGCCCGCTCCTGGAAGAAAGTATCGGCCATATGTCGCAAATTCTGGTGGTACGAGCGCTTCCAAGCGGAATGGGAGAAGTGCTGGGCTCGCGGCATTGCAAGGCAGCAGCAGCGATCGTTGACGGATCCATCTCCTCCCGTGAGCGCTAGAAGACGGTCTTCGGCTGGCCAATCCGCGAGCATTGCAGCTCTTCAGAAATACACCAAGCATGTCGAAGCTGGGTGAAATCCAGCCTGGTGATGGTCTTGATCTGAGGAAATCCCTGGACCAGCATCCGACTAAACTTGGCCCACGCTGCCGCAATGCTCAGCAATCGCTCAGATTTTGGGTTCGAGATTGACAGCCTGGTGCAGCCATGAGGCTCATCTCAGGCTACATTGAACCCACCGACTCTTTTGCTCTGTGAGGGGCGTCCGAGGCACGCTCTGAAGTTTCAAAGAGTGTTTATGAACTCCATGCTGGAAGGGCACAAGCAAGCCGATGTTTCTAGTGTCCTGGCGACACTAGAAGGCTACTATACTGCCAGCGATAATTGAACAGGCTGTTTATAGGGAGGCAGATATGCCGTCGACAATCGCACTGAAAGCGATAGACTTGGGCTTCTGAATAACTGGTCTGTTTTGCCGGAAGGATTTCAGAGCACGGACTGGCAAAGTTGCCAGGAGGGGATCATGAATGTCCACAGCATACTTTATCAGATGGCCAGATTCCTTTCCGGAGCGCAGTTGGACGGCGTATGCCAGTTCCCAGACACTCCTCATATCCGACTCAACCCCAACTTTCTACATCTCTTCTGGTCGATGTACAATAGCCTCTTCCTTGTCCTTCGTGGCTGGCATGCCTTCCCATTCTCCTCGATCATGACGGACACGTGAAGGACTTTGTCTCTGCCTTTGGGCGAGTCATATCCAATGCACGACCATGAGCCTTCAAGGGGCCCGGTGCAATGGGTTTTCTTGTATGGTGGGAAATCTTGAGGCACCAAGATCGCATTGGACGATGGAAGGCGCACGAGAACTTTTTGGGTTATACCAATTCAAGCGGTCTCGGCCGCCTCTTCTCTGTTTGGCAGTGCTGAATCTTTGAGAAAGAGAAGGAGACTCACAGTATAATGTCAAACCTTTCCTCAAACGTGTTCGATAGTCGTGGCTGGTCTAATAGCTCTGTTACAACAATCAACAATGTGGGGATTGCCCGAGTGCTCGCGGTAGGGAGTGGGCTGGATAGTATCCATCCGACCATCAATCCGCATCGTCCTGGAAGCATCAATCACTTGTTTCGAAAATCCTTTTGCAGTTAGCGCATTGCTAGAAGGCAGTTCAACCTCAGGGGAGATGCCCTGAGGTGGGAAGTGCCAAAGTTATTGCTCCGTTCATGACGGGGAGTACGTGGCCCGTAGAACCAATCAAAGGGATGAAGCGACGGTTGACGCCCAAGGACGTGGGGCGAGACTTTGATACTAATCGATAGACACCGTGTAGAGCGCTTGGTTGGGCGGCTACACGCCTTGGACCTCCAGTGAAGGAGTCGCACAAAATAGCAACCGAGCGACCAGGGCGACCAGGGCGACCAGGGCTTCCTAGTCCCGCTGGACTATCACGAGAGCGGAAGCAAGAAGGCTCGTCTTTGTGTGTGCAATTGCTGTCGCGTCGCTGAAAAAGAGAGATACAACTAGACAATTGAGGAAGAGAGTGAGAGAGAGAACGACAGATCCAGGTTGGGCTTCGAGTCCAAGGCGCCAACAAAGTTCCCCCTCCTTTGCCTTGCACCGAGCACTACTACCTACTTGTACCTCTCTTACGCGCACCACCCTCTTCCTCCTCAGCATCTTCCTGTCATCTCTCCTTTTTGCAGCGCTTGTTTCGTCTTTTGCTCGGGTCATCTTTCAGGTCTCTTGCTCGGCATCAGCATTCCCTTCTTCCGTTGTTTCTAAATCCGTGGCCTGGGCCCGACCGCAGTTACTTCTCCTCTTCACCGGGCAGGCCCCACTACCAGACTGCGAGTCCTCTACCTAGTACTCGGTACCACCTCCAAGATCGACAGCAGTACAGTCTACCTTCTCCTCAAGAGCCGCAAGTCCCCTTGGAAGCCATGAGTGCTTCTGGCCAGCATGGAAGAGCGGACGGCGAGTTGTTCCTCAATCGCCCCAATGACCAAGACTCCCCCACTATCGTCGAGCCGTTGCGCATTAATAAAAGAACCTCAAGCGCCTCTTCAGGTGTGCCCTCCATCGCTGGCAAGCAAAGTCCTGCTCCCCAGCAGCCTGCTCAGTCTACAACCGTTTACCCTATGCCCTCCCTCCCATACCCGGACGAGCAGGCTCGCCAGCAAGCACAAGCGTCGCGATCCAATGGCTCCCCGGCGACATATCCATATCCGGACGTGAGAAGAGTAACGTCTCCTGAACAAGGCGGGAGTGCAGGCAGTGGGACAAGGCAGCAGGCAAAGAGGACGACTTCAGGAGACGGGCGTCCGGGGCAAACACTTGCAGAACGTCGTGGAACGGCACCAAAGCCTTTACCAGAGTCTCCTGGCCCGGATGCGCCAGATAAAGAAGGACTGTTCCAGCGCCCCCCTCAGCGTAGGGACCCTCCGAACACAGCTCCCCTCCCAAGCCAGAATCAGTATTGGCCGCCGCCCGCCGACCCCTCGTCTGCTGCTGCAGATGCTTTGAGCAGACTGAAGATCAGGGATCCTTCCTCGATCAATCGAATAAGTTCCACGGCTTCGACATCGACCACCAGAGCTCAGCGTGGATCGCCTCCTCCGCCGGAGACGCCCATTGTTGGCCCTGGCCCTGCTGCACGCCCGCAGACTGATATCGAAGCCCGATACGCAGCCTCTGGCATTGCGGGCACCGCAACCTTGACCAGCTTGCAAGCCCAAAGTCTAGCGGCCCAGCAGAGAGCCTCCCAATATAATCCGCCACCTCAGCCCGCCCAGACACAGAGCAGCGCTCCCCCGAGGCGGCCTTGGACTCCCACCGAAGCGCCAGGTAGCTCACAACACCCTGCTCCCACAGTGTATCAAGGCATGGAAGAAGCACGTCCCTCGCCTCCACCTGCTGCCGCCGTAGCCGCACCTCGTGCAGCAGGTGTTCAATCTCCAACTCGGGCACAGCATCCTGTCGAAACCGAGATATCCAGATTGCAGCCTCATGAGGAGCCACCTCCGGCATACTCTCAGGTTCCTGGTGGCAGGACAGTCGTTGGGAATGAGAAACAAAGAAGAAGTATGGTCGCTGCGGCCGCGGCGCCAGCGGCGACCCCAGGAGTCGCACCCGCCGCAGTTCCCCAACCGGCCAGTTTCATGCCACAAACACAGGTTCCCAACCAAATGGACCACCCGGCGTTTGCTAACGACCCTAGGCAGGCGGTCCAAAGTCCACAGATGGCCCATCCGACCATGAACGGACAGATACCACAGGCGCAGCCGGTCATGCCCCAAACGCCAGCCCAAATTCCTCCTGCCTCCCCACCACCGCTCCCAGAAGGTTGGATAGCGCATTTGGATCCCAATTCGGGACAATACTATTATATTCATTTACCTACACAGTCGACTCAATGGGAGTTCCCAAAAGGTCCGACGCCTCTCAATCTGAACGAAACTCCGTTGTCGCCGGTGGCCAGTATATACCAGAACCCACTGGCTTCGCCTGGCTTATCTTTCACTTCCAAACCGATGGCGTCGCCGGGTCTTCCCATGACTCCCGGATATGATCAACAGAGTGTGATGGGTTTGCCTGGCCCGGCAGCCTTCACCGGACCGCCACCTAGTGCCGGTGTGGATCTGTATAAGGTAGTGGCTACCAATGGCGTGTACTTTGGCCCTTATCTTCGCTACGTCAACATGGACATAGAGCGAGGAATCTGGTATGGGTCTATAATGCTGGTCACGGACGCCCCACAGCCACCAACGATACATATCCATCAGAGCGTTGACCTGTCTCCAAACCCGCGTCAGTTGAAGGCCAACAATATCTCGACTCATCAGCGTTGGACATTTTACAAGTACGACGTTGATCTGCAAATGGACGATGCTGGAGCTGCAAAGTGGACATATGCCATCACTTCCCACCTTGGTTGCACGAGATATGAGTTTTTGGTGGCTGGCAAACATGAGACCAATTGGCGCTTCGTTTGCACTTCTGCGAATGACTTTTCCCTCAGCGTGAGCGCCAATGAGCGCGCCAGATTGGGCGGGGTGGGTTTCATGTGGAAAGACATCATGCAGAAACACGCCGAATGCGGCGGTTTCCATTGCCAACTCGGCTTGGGCAGCCAGATCAATGCCGACAGGCTGTGGAAGGAGATACCGTCGCTGAAACAGTGGCTTTCAACCAGCGGGAAAGAAAACCGGAAGAATGCTGTCTGGACAGCAGCACACGAGGAGGACGTAACGCATGCCTATTTTCATTACTACACGAGCCATTTTGATCAGCCATATTTGCGCGAAGCTTTTGCCCAGATACCCCATATCTTGACGATTGATGATCATGACATGTGAGTTGATTGACTGCGGTCGTGATGAGACACCAGCTGACGAGAGCAGATTTGACGGTTTTGGTTCTTACCCCGAATACATGCAATTCAGCAACATGTTCAAGAACATTGGACGGATCGGCATTGAGATGTACCTGCTGTTCCAGCATCACACTACACTAGAACTTCTTCGCAACGTTTCCGACGACAGAGACCTGTTTACCATTACTGGGACAGGATGGCATTTCGTCAAATACCTCGGACCGGCGGTCGCCGTTGTCGGTCCCGACACCCGAAGCGAACGGACACTCCATCAAGTCATGGCAGGTCCAACCTACCAAGGGCTGTTTCCTAAGATTGCTTTGCTCCCTCCAACCATCCAGCATTGTCTCCTGATGATCCCGGTGCCCTTGATCTACCCCAGGCTTGATGGCGCAGAATCGATAGCACAGACCATGGCTACTGGAAAGAAAGCGGTGACGGGCGCCTATAACGTGCTCGGCAAAGTGACCAGCTCTGTTGCAGGCGTGGTCGGAGCGAAAGGGGCTGTCGGGTCTGGGTTTGACTCGGTGAAACGGGCTGTAGGCAAGTCCGGGCTAATGGGAGGTATTTTAAGTCCCTTTGGCGACATAGATGTTCTCGACGAGCTGAAGGACCAGTGGACTCACGATTCCAAGGTGAGTGTTTTGGCAGTGTCTGCTGGACTGTGCAGGGCTAATATGATCAGGACCTGGAGCGGACGTACTTCATTCGGACACTCCAAGGAATCTCGCATCAGCGATCGATCCGCATGACCTTTGTATCGGGAGCAGTCCACACGTGTGGAGCAGGTCTCGTCCACGATCCATCGCACCCATCGGATCACAAGACCATGTACCAGATCATTTCATCGCCCGTGGTTAACACTCCGCCTCATGGCTATGTGTTGAAACTGCTCAACAACAACAAACCTCTCTACATCCCCGCGAACGGACAGCGATCAACACCATCCGCGCCGACCGACACGAAAGAAGACATGATGGAGATTTTCACGCACGACGTGACCGGACAGCCCATCACCAACCGGAAACTGATGGCGCGGAGAAACTACGTGGCGGTTGTCGTGTATGACCCCGAAGTCGTCAATGGTACCTTTGGCGCGACGGACATGCACCGAGGATCGGGCAAGTTGAGTCTGGCGGCCGACTTTTTGGTTCAAGGCGAAGGCGCATACGGTAGTGTGGTCAAGTACGGGCCGGTGGTTGTACCGAGTCTGGAGTATGGCCGGTGAGAGGGTTCCAGGTTGTAGATGGAAGTCCCGAGTAATTGACGCATGACTTTGCGATTGTGATATTGCAGTAACGAAGACATGGCAGTGATAGGATTGAGCGTATTGATGTTGGTTATTTGGACTATTCTGTGGTACCGAGTACATGCAGCGTATGCATGACACAGATAGAGGCGTGCCATGGGTGTGTATGCTATACAACCTATTCCGGCAGCTGCATACACGTAATACCGACTTCCAATATCTCCCGAAGGTCTTTGACAGATATGCATAGATTTGTTGGTGTCGAGGTAGGTATCTTCCTGACCTTCCCCTCCCCCCTTCTAAGCCCCAAATCGGAGTGAGGGAGGGCCCTCCCTCCCCTTGACACTATTCCCGCTCCTTCGGACCCTGACGCTACATAGAGACCCGTTTTCTATCTCAACGCTCGGTTCCCCCCCTCTTCATCTTCGCGTGTCAATTGGCCCGCGATGACAAATGCGCAATACTTGGAGATGATGGCTTGATTTTACTGTGAAAATGTCCCGCTCGCTGGCAAGGGGTGATTTATTTATTTAAATCTCAGGGCATTGCTTTTTTCGTTATCTTTTGCTTCCCCTTTACTATAAGTCTGTTCCCATCTGTTGATTGATTGATCTATCTATCGAATCATCTCTTTTGCCCTCTCTGTTCATCACCTACGCAAGTTTCTTACCCTCGGCACTGCCGCATTGCAGAGAATGGCCACCAACGGCACCAACGGCACCAACGGCGCCCACGCCGCGCCAGAGATCATTCTGTATACCAACCACGGCTGCCCCTGGGCGCATCGGGCTCATGTCGCGATCAAGGAGCTCGGCCTGCCCTACAAGGAGGAGATTATCGACCTGGACAGGCCCCGTGATCCGTGGTATTTGAAGGTGAATCCGGTATGTTTCTTGGGACCTTTGCTTCGGAGATCACACACCTTTCTTGGGGCGATCATGGGAAATGAGCCTTGAAGTATATTGACTCGTCCAACAAGCGCGGCCTCGTCCCCAGCATCAACTACAACGGCCACATCATTACCGAGTCGGCCGTGGTCACGCAGTTCCTGGCCGACGCACACCCGTCCCATCTGCTGCCGCCCACCGGCTCCGTCGACGACGCCCTGTATCGCGCCCGCGTGGCTTTCTTCGTTGACACTTTTATCTCCAAGGCCCTGCCGCAGATATTTGCCGGCCAGCGCGCACAGTCTGAGGCCGACAAGGACGCCGCCGCCCAAGACTTGATTGCCGTCCTCGTCAAGGAGCTCGAGCCCCTTTTCACCTGGGTTGGTCAAGGAAGCGGTCCTTATTTCGGAGGCAGTAACAAGTTGACGCTCGCTGAGGTAGGTTTCCTTCCCTTTGTGTCTAGCATGATCCTACTCTTCCCCTTGCGGCGTCATCACCCACAGAGTGAGAGAGTGTGTGGCAGCCGGTATTAATTTCATGTGCACCACCGCGCTGTATAGGTCCAAACGGCTCCGTTCCTTCTCCGGCTGCTCGCCTTCACGAAGCCCGAGTATGGGATCCTGAGCCCGAAACTCGACGCCCTGCTGGCCGAGAAGGCTCCAAAGTTCAAAGCGTGGGCGTCCCAGGTGGTGCAGGAGCCCAGTGTCACGTACATTTGGAATGAGAAGGCCGTAGCTGATAGGACCAAGGCCCGGTTCGCGAAGCTGGCGGCCGAGAAGAAGCTGTAGATGGCATAGTGGACAGTTCGTTCCAACACTACCGATGATGACGCCATTGTTGTTGATATAGAGTTGAAAATCTTTACCCGTCACTTTCCCTTTGGCTCATGCTGATTCCGACATCCAAGTCCATTATCTTCCCTCCCCAGGCAAGCACTGCCCTACATCCCTTTACCGGGAGTTGCATGGACTGAAACCTTTCATTTGGAAGTTTCTACATGCCTCTTCTCCAACCCGCGCTGTACTTTCTAGGAGATCACGACTCTCATTCCGCTGTCCTTCCTATTGAAGTCTAAGCAGATGTCCAGCGCTTGCTGTTCGCTTCAGCCTCGCTCAGCCTTATGCGCGATATTTTAGCGCCTCCCACTGCTGTTTTTCAATGATCAAGTAAAGCCATTGAAGCTCGGAATGGCCCTTCAAAATCTGGCCAACCGTCTCAAGGTCTCGAGACCAAGCACACGAGCTTGGAGCCATCATCCACCACGTGGAAGCGAACTCGTCGGCCCTCAAGGACGTCCATAAAGGACCTTGTATCGAACCAAGGCTGGGACTGGCTAATGCATGCAGTTGCGTGCCCGCCATAGCCGGACGTACGTCCACGTGGCAGCCTTACTGCGCACCAAGCTGCCATCTACCGCCTCACGGGTGTTGGAATGCTTGAGACAGCGTCTCCTCTGATGCTCATCACGGCGGCTGGAAACAGCAATGGCAAGCAGGCTTTGTGACCGTTGTTCTGCTCTCGGCCTCAGTGTTGAGAAGTTCCTGGTCCAGCCGGACGGACCATCGGACAACAGCATATCGGTCCGGTCCCTGCAGCTGGCAAACGAGCGATATTTCGTCGGCTCACTGGGACAGATCAAAGATAACAAAGCCGCTTGTAAGCTGTGCGCTCTTCTTTCGCATGCTGTGCCCGATCCCGCGCCCCCCGAAACCGACGACGCGAAATGCCATCTCTTCTGGGAGATGGACGGCCGCACATCCGTGGAAAATGTCAAGGACGGAAGGCGCACCCGTCGTCTGAGAATCTGCTGGAGCCACCGGGACCTCAAGCGCTTCGAGTCTCACTTGGTCCTCGCAGCGCCACCGCGCTACGACAGCTCTGATGTTAATTACCGGGGCCTCTTGAACAGCGAAACCGAGTTTCGCGGAAGACGGGTTGGCGGCGTACCAAACAAGCAGAACCTGATCCGTGAGCTCTTGAGGCTCTGTGAAAAGAAGCACGACGATCGCTGCACAAAAAAGCTGGGCATTGAGGATGACTTCTACACGACTCTGACGGAACCATACTTCGGCGTTATCGACATCGAGTATGGCAATCTTGTTCCTCTCCCATTCGAGGAGAAGGACGATCAGCTCGAATTCGAGTCGTATGCAACCGTGAGCTACGTCTGGGGCGAGACTGGCAGCCGCGAACACACTACGAGGATGGGAAACATCCAGAGCCGACGCAAGTCTGGTGGCCTGGCCTCAGTCATCGAGACGCTCCCCAGGGCCCTTCAGCAGGGTATCCGGTTAGTCCACGACCTGGGCATTCGGTATATTTGGATCGACGCCTTGTGCATCGTCCAAGACAGCAGTCACTCCTGGAACCTCAATGCGCGTGCCATGCATTTGATCTACGGAAATTCCATCTTCACCCTCTCTATCGCAGATGATCCAGACGCTACAACTGGCCTTCTCGCCCTGGATAAGGACCGCCAGCCGAAGCAGTGGATCGAAGAATGTGCCGACGGTCTTCACTTACTGCTCCATCACCCACCAGAGGCGAGCATCGAGGCATCTCGATGGAACAAACGAGCCTGGACGTTCCAAGAGCGCTTACTTTCCAAACGTTGCCTGATCTTCACAGGTGGCCGCATCTACTTTCAGTGTCGCTCGACGGTCGTGTCAGAAGATATCTTCGCTGACCACGATGGTGCAGGTTGGTCTTTGGATCTGGTACGCTCTCCACTCCAGATGTTGTCCCAGCTCAATATTAGAGCCCTCTGGTTCTACACCCATTGCGTCTCTCTATATACCCTTCGAGAGCTTCATGAGCCGTTCGACATCCTCTCAGCGTTTAGTGGCATGTGCAAGCTCATGGAGTCCACCATGCACTCGCCGTTCATTTTTGGTCTTCCTACGTCTCACTTCGACTTCGCTCTCCTATGGCAGCCCATTGGCCGTTCATTGAGACTCAGCAAGCCAAAGCGCTCGGATGATCCGAAGTATAAGGATATGAAGCTTCCAAGCTGGTCATGGTGCGGTTGGGAAAACGAGGGGATTGAATACGTTCCGGAAATGGTTGAAGGTTGTCTTCCTGATGTCGGTGCATGGCTTTTGGACCACACGTGGATCGACTGGCACATAAGGGACGGCTATGGAACCCTTCGTCGTGTTTGGGACAGAACAAGGGCTGAAGGAGATGAAAGTACGAATATAAGGTGGAGAGGTTACAAGGTTACCGGCAGGGAGGCGTCACCGGACAATTCTGACCGTAGTTCGTCGGCGTCCCTTTTGCCTTTTCGAGCCAAAGGACAATCTTCACGCACCCAGTATTACCGAACATCCACCAACACTGTTCCGGCCCCCAAAAGTACTTCACGGAAAGGTCGCCAAAGAAGGAGTACGCGAACGACACCAAGGCAGAAATCTGATAGCGGCTCTTCGGACTCGGACGATAAGAGTGGAGGAGATCTCGGAAGCGATCCTTACGGCCGCCTGCGCCAGGAAGGTGCAATGTCTGACAGTTTGGGCAAGCCGCGAGAGGATTTCACCTTGACTCTACCGGAGGATCCATACCACGTGCGCAAGACCTCCGAGAGGTACATGGCTGGCTCCGTTCAAGAGTTTCCCGATCAGATCTTCTTACAATTCTTCACCTGGCGGGCGTCGTTCCATGTCGTGCCCGCCACAGCTAACTCTGGGGATCAAGTCGATGGCGGCGACGTCGGATCGGGGTTGCGCCGCTGCCACATCATGGATCAGCGCGGAGACAAGTGTGGATCCATTGTTGTCGACGAAAAGTGGCTCGAAAGGCACCAGAAGAGGGAGCCCATCGAGGACGACTTGCCAAACGGCTTGGCTGAAAAGGCTGACGAGGTTGACAACACAGACAAGACGGAGAGGACTGAATTCGAGTTTATTGCCATCTCCGAGGCCAAGGCTTTTACCAAGGAAGAGTTCCCAGACTGGACGTACTACATTCCCAAAGAGAGGGTGGAGTCGGATTGGGATTTGTTCTTTGTGCTCCTGGTTGAACACCTCCCCATGGGAGGCTTTTACGAGCGCGTAGCTCTGGGCAAGGTCTTCAAGGCGGCATTCAGTCTGTCGGATGATGAGTGGAGGGAGATTATACTTGGGTGATATAGGACGATACTTGGATGATTCAAGACACACACAATGGATGCAATCACAACCACTGCTGCTGCTCGCATGCTTGCCTACATGCTCGCTTACTCGCTTGCAGGAACCAGAAAACGCACCCTGTGATGCAACGTGCAAGTAAGAGGCTGCAAGATCGGTAAACATCAGGATGTGACTTATATGTGCATGTATGACTTTATCGTCTCTGATGAGTAAAGTCAAGTGGGCTGATCAGTGATCTAAAGGCACCTAGGGGATATTACCCAGCGCTGGAATAGGAAGTCATGAGAAAAAAGAGGAGGTAAAACAGCAATTAGTTCTGGATGATAATAAGATCGGGCATTGGATACTTACTCGATGCAGACTGTTGCATACCTAGGTACGTAGCACTCAGTAGCCGGGGGGCCACCCAAGTCCCACGTCCATTCGCCCCGCGCAGCTACTTCCCATTCAGGACTCGTACATGGTCCTCACTTCAGGACGATTTAAACCGCGATCTTTCAAATCAAAGGGGCACATTCTTGTGGTGGGCCAATCGTGAAGAAACAAGGACAATCCAACCAAACTCGTGGATTCAGCCTAAACATGGCAGTCGAACACGATCTGTCACTCCACACCCCATGCTGGCCTGACTTCCAGGTTGGTATGGATCTTCTTTGCGCCTGGATCCGGGATGCTACTGAGTCCCCCTGGCGCCCAAATGATGCGGCGTGACTGTGTGTGCGTGTGATGTGTGTGTGTCTCGAGCGGGTAAACCTGTTGGTTGGAAAATTTGGAATTTTTGACCGTTACATCGTAGGCGATAGAACATGAGCTTGGAAAGGTACATACCTAGGTATTTAAGAGGTATATACACTTGAAAAACCCCAGCGGTCGAGGAGGGGCAGGAGAAATTCCCCAGACTACTCTCACGATCAAGAGTACAATATCACTTCGAATAGCTCTCTAACCTCCCGCACAATTTCACTAAGCACACCCCGTTAGTAAAGAATCGAGGTCACTCACTACTTGACATCTTAAAACAATGCCATATCTCACCACGCACGACGGAACCGAGATCTACTACAAGGACTGGGCGGCCAACAAGGATGGCGCTGCCTCCTCGTCGCGGGGGACGGTGGTGTTCTCGCACGGCTGGCCGCTGAACAGCGACAACTGGGAGAACCAGATGTTCTTCCTGGCCAGCAAGGGGTACCGGGTCGTGGCGCACGACCGCAGAGGCCACGGCCGGTCCAGCCAGCCCTGGACGGGCAATGACATGGACACGTACGCCGACGACCTGCTGGCACTGTTCGAACACCTCGACCTGAGGGACGTCATGATGGTCGGCCACTCCACGGGAGGCGGCGAGGTAGCCAGGTTTCTAGGCCGTCATGGATCCAGTCGGGTCAAGAAGGCGGTGCTGGTGAGCGCGGTGACGCCGCTGATGCTCAAGACCGAGCGCAACCCCAAGGGTACGCCCGTCGAGGTCTTTGACTCGTTCCGCGCCGCCATGATCCGGGACCGCGCACAGTTCTTCCTCGATGTCCCCACCGGTCCGTTCTTCGGATTCAACCGCCCCGGCGCAAAGGTCTCCCAGGGCCTGATCCAGTCTTGGTGGCTGCAGGGCATGATGTGCGGCTTCGTCAATGCCTACGAGTGCGTCAAGGTCTTTTCCGAGACGGACATGACCGAGGATCTCAGGGCCATTGATATTCCCGTGTTGATCCTGCACGGTGATGATGATCAGATTGTCCCCATCGAGGCCAGTGCGCACGAGGCCATCAAGCTGTTGAAGAGGGGAAAGCTGGTGGTTATCAAGGGCGGACCGCATGCGCTGCCTAACATTCACGCCCAGGAGGTCAATGGCGAGTTGTTGAAGTTTTTGGAGGAGCATGAACCCGGCAAAGGTTGGTAAGCTTGACCTTGACCGATTCACGAGTATTGATGGAGGTTTGGCTTGGATAAGAGACAGATATACGTACCTAGTTACCTACCTAGGTACCTAGGTACCTGTTCATAATCGATACCTGAGTCGAAGAGTACCTATCTAGGTACCTACCAAATATATAGGGCGGCGTGAGAATCTATCCACATCCAGAAAGGCCAAGGGCCCAGATCCGACGCTGTTTTTCCAACATCATTGGCATTCTTCTTCGACTTCCATTGCATCGTCCAGATCACCCAGTCGCTATACAGAGTACATCGATCTGAGAGACTAGGATGCGCTATTCAGGACTCCAGCGCGAAGTCCTCAAGCTATACCGAGCTTGTCTGCGAGCTGCAGGCAAGAAGCCAGAGGTTGGTTCTACACCCCCCCCTCAAACTCCACGCCTCGCCACCACACCTGTCAGGCAGTCATCTCACACTCTAGCTTGCTTCAACAGGCCACGAGAGAGAACTTCCGGAACGCAGCAAGGTGAGTCTGGACATTTCCCGAGACTAAAGGGGACGTCGATTAATGGGACCATTCTCTAGACGCGAATTCCGCAAGAACCAGGCCCTCGACAAAAAGGACTTTGGCGCGGTCGAAACATTGATCAGGATGGGCGCCCGCAAGCTCGAGCTCTACTCGTCGCCTGGCGTTAGAGATATCCATTGAGCATGATGACCAGAGAGATTCATGAGGCCTTGTGGTCGTCCGGTCTGTCCTTGTCGATTCTTTCTGGGATCACGTGACTTGGAAGCTTCCGGCTGTCCGTCGAAGCATCTGGCACCTTGTGGCAAAACCCAGGCAGCAGGCAGATGGTGCTTGCGTTTCCCAGAAGCATCCAGCACCAGCGTGGCACGCGTGGCACGGTCGACATAATCTGCTTTCTCATCAGTCTCGACTGTCCCAGCAACTTCTATCAGACAGGATGAAGGGCTATAAAATCTTCATCGACGCTGGGTTTCCTGCAGTTCGACATCAATCAAGATCAGCAACAGCAAGTCTTATGCACTCAACCCGAACGAGAATCATCCCTCAAGCCTCAAGAATCATCAAGCCAACGCTTTCATCCACCAGAAACATGTCTTTCCTCTTCCCCAGAATCGCATTTGCGCCTGCACGCTGCGGCCCTACCCGCCGTGACATTGCTCCTCTCCTTTCCCTCTTCGACGACTCTTTCAACGAAGTCCAAAGAGCGAGCCGAGCGGCCCGGAAACAATTCAACCCTCGCTTCGATGTCAAGGAATCAAACGACGCTTACTCCCTCGAGGGTGAGCTGCCAGGTATCGAGCAGAAGGACCTGAGCATTGAATTCGTCGATGAACACACCCTGACCATCAAGGGCCGCACCGAGCGCACCACAGAATCTGGCACTCGACCTCAAGCCGTCGAAGCTGAGAAGAAGGCTGCCATCGAGGAAACTCCTGCGTCCGAAACCAGTAGCGTCAAGTCCCATCAACCCACTGTCGAAGATGAGGAGCCAGCCAACTCGTCTGCAGCCGCTGCTGAGGACAGCAAGACAGAAGCCGCAGCGCCGACTCCTGCTCCTGCTGAGCAACAGCCAACCCAAGCCGAGCAGCAACAGCCTCAACAGCAATACTGGATCACCGAACGCAGTGTGGGAGAGTTCTCCCGCAGCTTCTGGTTCCCACACCGCGTGAATCAGGAGGCGGTCAAGGCTTCGTTGAAGAACGGCCTCCTCAGCATTGTGGTTCCCAAGGCTTCTGCACCTGAAAGCCGACGCATCGCCGTCGAGTAATCAAGGGAGGTTGGAAAAATCAGCAGGCATACTTATCTGTACGACACCAGCATAGAAGGTGCATAGCGTGGCGTTACAAGCAGGACGGGTCAATTCCATGGGTTAGGTACTTACGGGACATGCCGGGGAGCGACTGGGATGTACTTGGATGCATAGAGGATCTCGGCTCCCTTACAGCTTAGGATGATTGCATTAGGAATATAATTCACTTGATCTTCGCACTCACCATTGATGCTTTTTAGAACTCTCCCTTTAATCTCCGTTCTCTTTCCAATGTGTGGAATCAAAGGCAATCGCGAACTCAATGACTGACTATTTGCACATGTCTCGTTGTGCTTATCCGCCTAGCGGCTTCGAGGCACATATTTCCGAAGCCAAATTGCGCCATTCGATGCATCCGGATCCTGTAGTTTCCCCGCTCGAGTGCAGCAAGGAGGCTGGGAGGCGACGGAGTATTTTGCGTCTGTAGCTCTAGTCAGTATCGATATACGTATGTGTCTCAAAGATTGATGGTGTTGGGGCGCTCGTATTCGCTGCGCTTACCTAGGCGCCCAGAGCATTCTGTCGTCGGACGGTTCCCCTTTGCAACATGTGTGCAGTCTGCATAGTCGGAATGGGTGATTTGTCGTCCGGTTTTACCGATTCTGGTCCTGATAACTCGATTCCTTTTTCCGTTAGTTCAGGTGTTCTGCAGCTCCTTCTCACCGCGTTGTGGGATATGGACCATCGACACCTATTCTCAGCTCAGTTGAAGTTCTACAGGTGGTGGCGGACAAACAGCCATCAGACGGGGCCAGCATCACCACCCTCAGTTGGGGTAAAGATTATCGGAAAATCGTCAGGGTGCTTAGTGGAGGTTCTGGACCGTCAACTTTGAGATAAGAATGGCACACTGATCAACCCACTGATGGGGAGATGATCGAGCATCTAGGGGAGATGTAGGTATGTTGGCAGTAGCCGGAGTTGCACAGCGGATCTCAAGATTTGGGGCTCGCCATTAGTGGCTGGATCGATTGCGTCAGGCGTGCCCCCAGGCGGCCCCCTTCATCACCCAGCGCCTGGGCCCTAGACCCTGAACTTTCATTGGGGGGGCACCGCCAATGGAGGAGCAAAGAAAGGAAAGGTCGCTGTGGCGCTCCGGATGGCGGTGGTCCGATGGTGGGTAAGAAAGGAGCTTAGCGGTGGCTGATGCTTGGAATTAAGCGTGCAGAAATCCGGTTGTGGGCGAGGCCGGGGCCTGGGGGTGCCCTGAGCTTCGGGTGTGGGTGGTGAGTTGAACAGAGTTTGGGGGGCTGCTGCGGGCTGCTGCGGGCTGCTGCGGGCTACTGCGTGATGCTGCGTCTCCGGGCGACCTGAAATTGTTTACATGGGGGTGTTTCAGCCAATCATGGCGCCTCCCCTGCCCATGGTAGGATCAGCCCTGCATTCAAAGCTTCTGCCACTTCCAAGGACCAAACTCGTCGCCATTTCAAGTTCCCCATGAAATAATAATATTAATTAATATGAAACGGGACAAGGTCGTCACTGCGCTGCTGCTGCTGCACTGACCACCTTCCTTCCTATCCACCTCCACCGCCACATGCCTCTTCCCTCCTCCTTCTCCTCCCCCTCCTCACCTGCTTCCTTCGTTCGCCTGGCAACAGATTACTCGATACACTGACCTTGGGCTGCTCTTGTTGGGGTTGTTTCGTCTCTTACCTCTTAATCTTGGATCAACAAGCCGTTCTTTAGGGTGCTCACCGACCTTGTTTACCGTGTGTCGTCTATCGTTTGTGTTTCAGGACCTTCACCTTCCTTGTTCTCACCGGCCCACCTGCGAACGGGCCATTGTCACGACCGGAGCACTGACCTCATCTGCCTCGCTTGACGAATACACGAATCTGCTCACCTGGTCGATATCCTCGGTCCTGATTCAGCAACCTCTTAGCATCCAATCCATTACGTCGTCGTGTTCCTAGCAGCCACTATACGGTTGATGGTTGAACAATGACAGCAGTATTATAGCCTTGCTCGTGGAGAGTAAGGCCCAGGAAGCTTTGCCTTTGCAGCAAGTGAACATCTGTTTGATGAGACTGGCATAACCCAACATATACTATATCAATAAGCATGTGGTTTGCAAAGAGGAGGTCGAGTCTCGCAGCCGAGTCTGCACAGACAGAACCAGAGCCTCGTCGAAGAAATCGCTTGTCGAAGCCCCCTACAAGCAACGCGATCAAAGTTTCGACTGGAATTTCGACGTCGAGTCTTAAAATCCAAGGACCACTTCCGCAGAGCAAGAATGCGAGCGGCACAGAGCTGTCAAGCCCGTTGTCCCCCGTCTCAGGCAATGCAGCCCTGCGGCAACAGCCTCAAGATGATACCACCGCCACGGAGCCAAGTTCGCCTCTCCACGCGCACAAGAACGATTCCGGCTTCAGCGTCGCCTATATGGTCAGTCAACTCGAGAGCAAGGCTGCTGGAGCAGGGACAAGTCCATCACGGTCGATGCAGCAACTGGCAGCGCCCCCTCTGTCTCCCATCAAACCGCCAAAGAGGAGGTCCCTCCTGCTCCGACGTCTATCTCTGCAAAGGTCTTCGAGTATAAGCCGTACCCCCAGCAGCGAACGTATAAATCCCTTGGAGTCCGACACGGCAGCCGTCCCGCCCGCTGATGCATCGATGGACAGACTCGTCGACCAACCGTCAATTCCTCCCATGCGTCGCGCCTCCTTTGCACCTGGTACAGCGACCAGAAAGCCATCTCAGATTGCCACAAAGCAGGATATAGAGTCACATAACCCGATCTCAGAGCTGGAGGAGCGAGGAGCCTCTGCCTTCGATGTGGATGACTTTGACTGGCAGCCTCCCCCCCCGAGGACAATTGGGCGGGCCGGCACACCTTCAGATATAAGCTATTCACATCTCGGCGGATTGAGGCACGGCTCTCTGCAGATCGTCAATGGGCGAGCATCACCCACCTTCAGCGAAGTGTCAAAGGCGTCGAAACAGCTTCTATCTGCTCCAGCACCACGCAGAGGTGTGTCAAGCGATTATGGTGATGCGGATGAAGACTTTGATCTACTGGTCTCTACGTCCGGAAACCTATCGAACTTGAGGTCTAGTCCCCCAAATGGAAACACCGAGTACCGATACTTCAGCTGGGAGCATAACGATGATAAAGCTGGCCCACGAATCCATCCGCTGCAGAGCGTCATGACAGCACAAAAAGATGACCACGCTGTTTCAGCCGATGACCAGACTTCACTAATGGCCAGAGAATACATCGCCGAGCTCGGGGTTGGTCCATTCGACCAGCAGGAGCCCAGCTCTCCGGTTGGCACTATTAGAAGGACCAGGTCTGAAGGGTCGCTCTGGAGGGCGAGCTCTTGCTCATCAATCCAGAAATCGCCTCCGCCTGACAATCCGCCAGTGGAGCTTCCCCCAGTCAGTCCTCTGGAGAGGCCATCTTTCCCCACTGGGTCGGTGGTCCGCAAGGCGAGCATTAGGTCCGAAGAAAGCCGGAGTCAGCAAATCCAGCGGAATGATACGACGAACGACGAAGCTCGACCCTGTGAGAGTCCTATGAGCTGGTATTCCCCTATTGAGCCAAGAGATTCAATTGACGAAGGATTCCAATCGGCCGTTGAATTCCATCCTCAGTTCTCCGCCCCTAGTCTGGAACTTCCGCCTCCTCGTGCGCCGGAAAAATCAGATAGTGGTTACAGCTCAAGCAATTCGCTTCGATCACTCCAAATAGCCAGGCTCACCCCATCGCCTGCAAAGTTTAGGGCTTTGCCAGAGGTCCCAGACGTACAAGAGGCCACGGATGTACCAGATCCCAGCCGTGCGCCATCCTTCTCTGCAGAGAGAACGTCCATTTTGAGGTCGCGGCGGAGTGAGCCTTATGTGCCAACATTTTCCAATCTTCAACCCAGTGCTGTGTCCTCAAACCCGACGCCCATTGTCCAAGCAATCAAGGCCCCAGAGCCCGAACCCCTTCCTGCCAAGCCTGCAGGTGCCCGGAAGAAGCTGCTGAAGAAGAGGCGCCCATCGAGCCAACCTCCCAGCCAAGTAGCAGTTGTGCGAGTGCGGTCGTTCGAGGTGGAGAACATTCCGCAGGTCTCCCCTCAAGCACAAGAGAATCTTCGGATACGCTCACACGCCGTACCTGAACTGGAACAAACCTACTCCTCGCTTGGCGGCGGAGCGAGTACCTCTACCCTCTTTCTCCCTCTCAACGAAATAAGGTTTCCATCTCCTGCTCCGGAACAAGTACTCAAATCGAAGCCTAAGCGACCTCGATCTCGCAGTCGCCCAAGGTCATGGTTCGGCCGACCTAAGGAAGAAAAGGTGAGGTCCAGGGACTCTTCTGGGATGAGCCAGACTGAAGCGTTGGCCATCATCAACGATTTGGGCACTGTCAGCACTTCTTTGGGGAAAAGCCCTTATGATTTTGCCGACGCGAGCAGTGTCTCCAAAGGCTCCCGTCATTCGACGATGACAGCTGGCTTTCGGCAGCCGCGGCCAATGATGGATGACGAGACCGCTGTAGAGCTGGCCCGAACTCGCAGCCGGTCCCTACGGGAACGAGAAAGTATCATATCAGATCGGAGGTTTTCATTTAATGACAGAGGAGGCATACCTGGTAAGAATCTGAGGACCGCTAGTCTTGCCAGTGATGCACCACCAATCACACAGGACATGATAGAGAAGGCATACCGGACCTCCTCCATGCAACGACAGCCTTCGGTCAATAACGAGGTAGGACCGCCGCCTCCTCCACACTCACCACGCCCAGAATACATTTGTTATGGAGAGGATTCCGACGTCGTAGCTCCGCCTCCGCCATCCCATTCTCCTCGACCGATCGATATAACTCCAGATCCGTGGGCTGCGCAGGCCGCGGTATGGAAGGCTCGAAGGCTGAGTGCGGGTGAGGCGCTAAGGCGTCATTCTGGAGAGGCGCAAAAACATCACCAAGGTTACGACGAGGCCGCTGATGAGTTGCTTTACCCGGTTATACCTCCACAACATGCAGCGCAGGAGCTGGAATGGAAGCAAAGCCTCTCGCCCGAAGAATTCTCCTCGTCTTTCCATGACTATTATGACGGATACAACGAGTCTCGTCGACCTCAACGGCAGCGTTATTCATCGTACACGTCGTCTCACCACGCCCCTTACGAGTCTGAATCGGCGTATGTGAGACAATCTCGGCGAAACTCCAGGAATCATGACCACGGACAACCTCACGGTCGTGCAGTGCAATCGCGAGGGCCATCCTCAGGTGGTGCCTATTCCTCTCGCTCTCGGTCGTATGCCAATAGCGTCCGCAGTTTTGCTTCGTCTTGCGGCGAGGATCTGCATCCAGCCCAGCTCGAGAGGCAACATCCGCCACCGGCATTCGGGCGGTATTCGGGAGGGTTGAACTATGGCTATGAACGTGGAAACGGGTTTGGAGGTTCGGCTGGGACCAGGTCAATGAGTGGCAAAGCCGAAACACCGTGGAAGGGTGTTCCGCTCAGAGCCAGCGTCGGAGTCGATCTGGGGGATGTGCCCTTTGGGATCATGGCGAGAGGGTAGGGATGGCATGCTATGGCCTTTGATAATGATGCGAGAATGCCACAGAGGGGCTCTACGAGATTCATTCAATCTGGAAAAGTTTTGGTCTACAGCGACATGGACAGGACATTGTTGGCAAATTGGATTATGAGCCAATCTGTTAGGGCATATTTGGTATTTTTGGATTCAGCAGCAGCCCTGGGTGGTCTTTGGACGGCTGGATATATTCATTTACATTGGTATCTGTCCGAAATAGATACTCTTCTACTCCCTCGGCGATTCGAAAACAGAGTCCAGGCGTAGACGAGTCCATGGGGATGTGACGGTTGGGTGTGACAAGAATGCAGAGGGACAGGAGCAGCGGCAATAGGGTTTTTGGGGTTTTGGCCCCCTTATGACGGAGGCTGCTCTTGAAGTATATGCAAGGGGATATTGTGCTGACGAGCATGGTGATTGGTGTCGATGCCGCTGGACGAAGACAGATCCGGCCGTTGAGGCGGCAGCTTGCGCCGTCTATTGGCGACTTGTCTAGACAACGAGTGTGACCCAGAGGTCTGGTTGAATATTCCCTACCTAGGTAGCTATCTACCAGCACCGAGTCAATTATTGGTAACAAAGGGGGTCATGCACGGGCACTCCATCTCACTATCTTTATCTTTGACCTGCAGGAAATTTGACCGGAGGCGACAGATGGCTGCAACCATGGCCAACCATGGCCAACACCCTGAACAGGCCATGTTGAGCTTAGTCGATCCTAAAAGTCGGTACCATCTGGGTGCCATCTTCGCTTCCACCTTCAATTTCCCCGAGTGTCTCTCCAAACTCCTTGCTATCTGTGTGCGTCTCTTGTTCCCTCTTTTTACCCCGGATCGCCCAGTCTCTCGTTGCCCGATCTTGCCGTCACAAGCACAGCTGTCTCTCCTTCAGTTCCTGCCAGTCAACCATGGCACAAGTCGAATCTCCCAAGTCGCCGACCCTACCTGACACTCTCCTCTCCGTCACTGCCCTCGCCCGCTTCGAGTTTGAGCCGGGTAAGGGGAACGATGGCACCAAAGTCATGATGGTTGAATGGCAAGACGATGACCAGGCAAGAGATAAATCAGGGACATGGCAGGTCTCGTGGCCCGGCAAACGCACCGTCTTCCCGGCAGCCGACAATCCTTCGGACAATATCCGCCGTGTATATTTCCTTCTGCCTCCGGGCGCCATTGTGCCACCTCACATCACTCTGGCCTACTATCCTCCCACCAACCCTGCCGCACCTGCCGAGACCTCTACGTCAGAGCAAGCCCCTCTGAGAATGACGGTGAACCCGCTACCTGCTATATTCACTCCCGAGTTGGGGGCCACAGCCAAGGCGAGCGGGAGAAAGGGCGTGCTACACACTATATGGGCTAAGAAGAGGCTGCAAGTCTTGGAGAAGGAGATCAAGCATGAGGAAGAACACAACCTCGAAGGCATTGCGTTGGAGATGGCCAGGTCGGAAAAGTCTTGGATTGAGAATAATTTCGGCCTTGCCCCGAAGCCTCCAAGCCTCGATCTGAGCAATATTCCCAAATCCCTTGGCCCTACGAGTCCGGGGATCCAAAGCCCCAAGTCTCCTGGTGGGAGAAGGCTGAGCGAGAAGCTCAAAGGCTTGAGCATTGGCACCAGTGACAGGGAGCTCAATGCGAGGGGCCTTAACACCCCAACACGGGAATCCCATCCTCTCTCGCCCGAGGCGTCAGATATGGCATACTCGTCATTCAGTAGCTTCCGGAATGGTCCAGTATCCGCTTCTTCGGCCACCGGAGGCAAGAAGGTCGTCGCTCAAGCACCACCAGACTATATCAGAAAACAGCAGCAACAGTCGCCCGCCACGGCTTCTCTCAGTTCCATGAGCCAGATAGCGAAGCCGGATGACCCTGCAGACGATGATTTGTTTGCGGTCGCATTGAGTCCAAGATCACCGGATGGCCCCAAGAGTCCGTTTTCAATATCGAGCGCAGAAGTCGGTGCATTTGCGAAGATCAAGGGAGAGCGATGAGGAAACGCCGACCTGGATGTGGTAATGACAAGTTCACAACGTGAGACGATTCATGAACGATACTAGAAAGCTATTTTGGAGATTGCATGGAGCTGGAATTCCGGCGCCCGATCATGAAAGCCACGACGGTATATGTCCAACATTCACCCGCAACATTCAACTCAACCCCCAGCTACTGAGTGGCTGCAATTTCTTGCGCTTTTGCTCATGTCAGCAAACATCGGTGCAAAGCACTCTTAGAAAGATACCTCCTTCTAGAAAATGAACAAGACGAGATGAAATTCCGAAACCCATAACAAAATTATGCAAACATCGCTGCCACAATCAACCCCACAACGGCTCCAACCGAGCTTCCCAATCGGTTCGCGTCACCGTGAAATGTTGATGCTGAGGGCGACGCTGCGCTGGCGGCCGACGCAGAGGTTGGCGACGGCGGCACGTTTCCACCTGCCGGGGCCGTGTAGCTGCTAGCAGGGCTTTGAGTGGTGGTAGGTGCTGGGGCCATGGCGGTCTTGGTGCATCCACAGACGACGTCGTACCAGGTGTATGGTGTGCCAGCCAATCCTGAGCCGGTGGCAGCGGCCGTCGCGGGCATTGCGGATGTCTTTGTGCAGCCGCACTCCTCGTCGAAGTATGTGACGGTTAGGGTCGGAGCTGCTGTGGTTGTGGCGTCGACTGTGGCAGAGACGGGATTCCCCGTGACTGTAGCATTGGACATTGAAGTTGCCATCGATGTAGGCATCGATGTCGAATCAGTCGAACCCGTCGCATCGGACGTACCAGTCGATCCATCAGGACCAAGGCTGACGCTGAATAGTGGGGAGTAGTCCGTGGAACCACTCTGGACCAAGCCCAGGGCATAGTTGCCAGCAACAAACCCGTCAGGGACTGCCACAGTCCAGTCATACTCTCCAACACTGGCAGCTGTGTTTTCTGTGCAGCGTTTGTCAGTCAGCGTCGACCTCGCACCCGCTCTGAGCGGTCGACTTACCGAAGACCGGGGTATTCCAGGTCGTGTTCCCCAAGAACAAGGACACAGGTGTCCCATCACCAACAGTCCAGCTGATGGGCCAGACTTGGCCGACCGTGACGGCATTCCACGTCATGTCCGAAGCGAAGGAGGCTGTTTGAGCCATTGCCCTGAGGGCGAAGGTGCCGACGGCGACGAGCGAGAAAGAACGCATAGTTGCTCGGGGATATGCAAGTTCTGGAGGTGGACAACTGGACTCTTTTGCGGCCGTCAAGACGTGAGATGGAATTGTTGCAAGATGCGGAAATAGAGGTGTGAACGAATGACAAGGTTCAAAGGAGTGACTGAAGAGAAGAGAAGAGAAAGAATTGCCAGGGCACAAGAGGCCAAGTCACGTAAATGAAGGTGGCCGGCAATGCCAATGTTTGTTATTGTCATTGGATGAATATGGTGCATTCCAGTGAGGAATGGATTTGGATCAAGGGTGGTTGTTGCATTCCTGGTCCCTCGACGAATGACCAGGCGGATCAACCTCGAAGCTCAAATAACCAGACCAGACCTCTGATCTGCCTTGTCGTCTGAGTTTGGAATGTGATGGGTGATTGCACCACGACGCTGAAGGCCAGTCACCACTGGAGTGGTTGATCCAGTCAGTACCTCGGATCCACTGATGGACTTCAAAATGGTTGGAGCTCTGGCCATACCGCAAGGCAATGGCTTGAAGAAAGAATAGAAGGCCCCGACTAATCGACAAGCACACAACCATCCAGCAAATGGAATGATCCGGCTACTACCTAGCAATCTCTCATCAATGCACGGCGATCTTGGCCAGAACATGCACCCAGACGGCATCAATTCCTTCCCACGACTGCTCTTCTCTTGATACTATACAGGATGTTTCTGCGCGAGTGCAGAAAACCCTCACCCTCTCCTGCGTTTGATTGGATTCATGATACCGAGTTCCTCCTGCCCCAAGCAGGGAGTCAGGCGAGAAGGTTGCATAGCGGACACTGGTCCCTCCAATATTTTTTTGGTTGATTTCGTTTGTGGATGTTCTCAAGCATGGTGTTGCGTAGGTAAGATATCACTTGGGAATGTCGTTTTATGTCGGAATCTGGAATCGACAAAGGGAGGCTTGCACTCAACCCGCAGTGCCATGCTGCATCTTTGCTGCAAAGGGGTGGCCGGCCTTCAGCATACGCCCTCTGCGGGAAAGCAGCAAGCTCTAATCAGCTGCCCAGTGTTGCTACAATAGTGCAGCAACTCCCACCACGAACGCTGGCACAAAGATACCCCTAGCCGACCGGACCGCCGTATCAGCAGCTCCACCGGTGCTGCTTGCCGCTGTTGTCGCAGCCGCTGCCGACGTCGTGGCGGAAGCTAGAGCGGTACTCGCCTCGGAGATGTATGACGAGACCAGACTCCCCTGCGAGCCGGTTAGGGACAAGGCGCTAGTGGCGCTCTGGATGGCGGACTCGACGCTCGTGATGAGCGGCTCCGTGGCCGTGTCTGTGCCGATGATGGACGCCGCGCTCGACACCAGAGACGTCGCTTCCGCTACCAGCGAGTCCAGGTCCTGGGCGCTGACAACACGGGGACCGGTGGCCGCGGCCAGGGCTAGAGTAGCCAGGATGCCGGGAAGGCGCATTTTCCTTCTGCTGGTCTTGGGTCTCTGAAAAAGTCTTTGGTGCAAAAGAATGGTGGAGAGAGGTCTAGGATTGTGTGATTGATGACTCTACAGCTTTCCTGTCAGAAACAAAACTGTGGGAAAGACAGAACTGCTTTCTGCGTGTGTGTGTGAAGCGGAAAGGGGCGGCGGGAAGGGGGATAAATAAAGGAAACGAGAAGAATCCCAAAACCCTACAAATACTCCTCCTTCCTCTTCTCCGTTCGTCTTTGACAAAGAAAAACATCCCCAAATCATAGGAGTGGCCGATCACTGTATCCGCATTGGATAAAAGGGGGGGGGAGTGTTTGCCGCTGTGCCTTGTATCAGCCAGTCCCGAGTGAGTACGACGTACACTGCGTAGGTAGCCAGTCGGTTCGCGTTTGATGTACCTCGTACCGGGGGTGTAAACCCACCAGGTACCAGGTATGTACCTCTGTATGGGGGGTGGTTGTGTTCCAAATTTCTGGGGGACGATCATCTGTGGGGACCGGCGGGTGGTGGGAGGGAAGTCGGTGGAGAATGGGATCATCTACCGTATTCTTTTTGTTTTAGCAGTGCCGCAAGCGCGTTTCAAGATCGTAGGATCGTAGGTACGGTAGGAGAAAAATGGAAATCCCCCCGAAGTTAATACTAGGCATCTCACATGGGAAAATACGATGGAGATCCCAGGAGGCGGCGAGGCTGTGCGAGGCTGCTGCTTGGTGCCGTGGCGGTTGCAGGGACGCTTCCATGTCCGGTCTGGTCGTGACTCGGTGCGAGCGGTTGCGCCTCGAGTCCGCCGACGTCGCTATATTATTATTCACCCCATGCTCCCAGGCTGAACATGTTGCTGTCCAGCCTGATGACTTTTCGGCCCCTTGGTTGGGGTTGCGGACCCCCATCATCCCAAAGCACCTACGAAGATTGCAGCGCAGCACGTCTAGAAAGTGCCGATCTTTCTTTTCTTTCTTTCTTTCTTTTTTTCCCATGGCACTCGCACTCGCACTGCTCGCCGGTCTTACTCGTCACTATTTCTTCTCTCTTACACACACGAGATACCGGGTCCTTTGCACGTGGGCACACTCATTTCGTCCTTGAAGGCTGCAGGTGTCAGCTCAAAGATACGAGAGGGAAACCATATCATGAATGTTAAAACTCTACGGCAACGACATTACAATACCAAATTACTTTCCAGTGGTCTAGGGAAACCTCACCCCCAACACAAGCTATTCAAGCGCCTCCCCTCCTCCAACAGATTCCGACAATACCACCTTTCATGAACCAGATAACAATGGATTTCCCCATCCTAACAGCCATGCTTACTAGAATGGCTGGTGGAAGTCCACAGTCTCCGTCTCCGACTCCTCGGAACTTTGGGACTCGATGTCGGGAACCTGAGCCAAGACGTGCGGAGTGGGATTGGTGAACAGCGTGGCATTCGCAGGCAGCATCGGTAGTATCGGCGGAGGCGAATCCAATCCTCGGGCCATCCTCGCTAGTCGTCTCGCTTCCCTCCTCTGCTCCTTCTTATCAAACCGCTCGTTGTACCGGCGGCCGTTGTACATGGTGATCTCTTGCTCCAAATTCCAACCTGGCGATCGATGCCGAGCTGTTCTGTCCCCCCTGATATTGCGATATCCGTATTCGGCGCCGTGCCCGAGACGGCGGCCTTCTCTGTCGAGCTGCATGAGTTTCTTGACCAGGTCGCGCTTCAGGTATCTCTTTTTCCCCAGCGCTTGTGCCAGGTCGGGGAATCCGCGATCTTGGAGCTCGCGCTCCAGCTCGGGCACAAACATCAGATTGTACTCCGCACGGGTCGGCAGGATGTTGACTCGTTTTGGTTTGGGTGAAGGTCGATATTGGGCAAGCCGCGCCGTTTCGAGCGTCGAAAGAGTGTCGTCCGTGTCCGAGTGCGTATCGTCGTCTTGATTGTCTTGCTGGTTTATCGTTCCTTGCTGCCGTCCTTGACTGCTTGCCACATTCCCTCCACCATTTTCTGCGTGGTAGTACTCGAGGAAAAGAAATCGCAGCTCTCTCACTGCTACAATGAGCCGGTTGAACTGGCGACGGAAGCCGAGATTCTGTCGTTGTTGCGCACGAGGCCTGTCAAAGAAGTGAAATAGTCGATCATAATGCTGCTGCACATCGTAAGCCGCTCTCCGGCACATCTTTACGGTGGCGGGAACGTCTGGGTTCCGCGCTCGAGAGTCATCTCGATTTACCTCTTCCATGAAAGGCTTCGGATCAGCCAGCAACTCCAGATATCGGTTTCTTAGCGTCATGATCTCGGTTGCCAGAGCTGCGATTTCTGTACGCATCCTATTCAGTTCATTGGCGTCACTGGTCCAGTTTGCACCTTGCCGCAAGAAGATATTGTTCATAATCTGATTGAGGGTCCCGTTGTCATGACCAAGATCTGTCAAGGTGTTTCCATAGTCCGGATCGTGTACAAATACTTCATGCACATATTTGCTATCGTCAAGTCGCCACTGTTCTCTTGGTGGTCGTCGATTGCGACGAGAGGGACCAGATGACGGAGGAGCTGGTGCGGGAGGACCGGGTGACGGAGGGTCGGGTGCGGGAGGAGCTGGTGCCAGTGGAGCGGGCGTCGGAGGAGCCGGTGCTGGAGGAGCTGGTGCGGGAGGAGGGGGTGCCGGAGAACCAGATGGCCCATTCCCACCTCCCGACTGTTGTCTTGGTGGTCCGCTGTTAGGGCGAGGACGAGGTGTGGGAGTTCCCTCTTCTCCGTTCGCTGAGCTGGAACTCGAGCTCAGAGTTTCCTCGTCATCTGAGTCCTCATCCTCATGAACTTGAAGACCCGACGACGGTCTGGGTTCTATAATACCGGTACATTTACACACATGATGGTACTCGCCGTCAAACGTTGGGCAAGGATGACAACGTGCATGGATTGGTTCAGGAGTTGGAGAGTTATGAGGAGGCTGAGAAGGGTTGGGAGGCTGAGGAGGAATGGAAGGCTGAAGAGGGTCGAGAGGCTGAGGAGGATTGGGAGGCTGAGGAGGGTTGTTTTCTTGGTTGGAACTGTATTGAGAGCTGTCTTCGCGCCCAGCTTCATCATGAGTGTCCACGCCCAGGGGAAGTTCGGCTAATGGTGGTCTCGCCAAAGGTTGCTGGTGGCCGTGATGCTGATCGTCGTCGTCGTCGTCACCATAATCTCCAGGCGGGCGTGCTCCAAGTGGCCCGGTGCCGAATTGATTCCCAGTCTCCATCCGGTATGCATATATCTCTACGTCCTCAGGGGCAAGAATCTGCTCGAGGAGACTTTGATGTCGATTCATCTTGCTCCCAGCTTGACGGGAGGCAATTCCTGCAATTCCACCTGCACGAGCGTGCCAGAGTGGCTCTTTGGTGGTCCTCCTGGGCGGGCCAATGCTTTTGTCTCCTCTAGACATTTGGTACAATTTTACTGCCTTTTCAACATCGTAGGTTGTTTGCTTCAATAGATGCAGCATCTTGTCTTCGTCGAGAGGTATGCTGCTACCATAAATGCTCTCTAAATCTCTTCGGAAGATGTCCATCCTCCTCCGTCGAAAGGCTAACGGATTGAAAGCATGGGTAATTTTGGACGATGATATTGGTCGCCTCGGAGAGGGGCCTCCACCTCGAAGCTTGAGGCTTGGAGTTGTGGCAGAAGTGGACTTGTGCACTCTCGCATTCGGGTCAATGGGAAGAGGGCGTGGTTTCAGAGCGGACAGCTTTGCCGAACGACGCGAAGGAAGAGTATTGATCTTCGGGTGTTTGGCATCAGATGCATGCCGTTTCCGCGGAAGCAATCGCAGTATCCCCAAGCGTATCCATTCAAATGGGCTCTTGAGCGTTCTGCTCGATATTGAAAGATCAGAAGGATCACGAGCATGACGGGGAGGTCGGTTAATGAGGAACTCTGCTCGTGGACCGTCTGTCAAAATTCCGCGTTGGCTCATCTCCCTGGAAATTTGCTCATGCTGGACCAGTTCGTGGGCACGCGTCTCAGCAAAAGGGTAGTAGACATAGTCAAAAGCACTCCTCATGTTGATTCCCTCGGGATATGGGAACAAGCGTTTCGATGATTTCTGTGCCGCATCTCCAAAGGACTCGCCAGCCTCAAGGCCGACAAAAGATGAGGAGTAGCTAGGACGCCTCTGAGCAGTGAGCCTCAAAGATGGGGAGAGAAGATCTAATGCGACGGTCTTCCATTCTCCATTGCCGACATCATGCTGCCATCTCCTGACTTTGACCGGCCCACCACTGATTTCGTTGAATCGCGCAACCGCGAAATGGAGCTTGGAGAGAGTGCTCGTCTCAAATTTGCCCATTTGAATGAATTCTCTCAACGATTCTTTGGTGTGGCTTTCCAAAGGCGCGTCTCGCGGTCGCTGGAGGGACTCATATTTGTTGCCTGGATCGATCTGACACTTGTAAATGTATCGACAGTATTTTCCAACCATATCCTCAATACTCCGGGGGTTGGCTGCATCAGGTGAGCTGATTAGACGCTTGAATTCACGATATATTCCCGGTAGCTGGAAGAATTCGCGATCGCGCTCTATGTTAGTTGGAGATGTCGGCGCTCCTCCCTGTTCAAAAGCAATGAAGACAGCCTTCAGGGCTCTCCAGATCAGAAGCCACAGCTCCCTTTCTTCGGAAATGTAGGTTGCGTTCTGAAAGACTTCATGCGCGCGTGCGCTGCGGGCCAACAGATCTATTGCTGCCCCATCAGATACAAGCGACGGGATATTGTCTCGAGCAGAATCTAGCAATACCAGCAAGGCGTAGCTCGAGGAAGCAGTGCGAATATCTGACACGAGCGAAGTGAATGCTGATTCTAGCAAGGCCGCGGGATACTGCTTCAGCTGAGTTTCGATACGAATAAGCCCGCCGTGGAGGGCGTGATGAACAGCCTGAGTCCAGGTACTGACAAATGTCTCGTACCATTTTCTGAATGTTCTGAGCGCGCTGCGGACCATGGGGGAAGAAATCACGTCTCGAGGCACTTCCATGATGCTTTGCAGCGAGGCGTGAATAAGTTTGATGTCTTGAAGGATAGTTGCCGATCCTTCGATAGGCTTCTCATCGGTCCATTTCAACAAGTAGTCAATCATATGTGCGATCATGTTCTCAACTTCTTCCGGCGAGCTGTCACTATCGATTTCAGGAAGCTCGAGGACCTCAGCCGAGTCGTGCTCTGGGGGGATAAATCGACTGGATGATGCATGATTGATGCGACCGTCTTCGAGTCTTTTAATGACTGAGTGCAACCGTTCAAGCTCGTCATGTGACTCCCCGTTTCCAGTCGCTGCCAACAGATGGATATTTCCCCTCGAAGTTGGGGACTGACGTGACCGAGGAGAGGCATTGGGAGCGAATCCTTGGAGCTGTGTAGTAGTGCCGACTCTTGGCAACCGCCGTGAGGATTGGACTAGTCTTGGTCGCCCGTTGGAAGAAGCATTCGAAGGTCTGGCGGCCCTAGACGACTGGCGCCTGGAGTCGCTGCGAGACACCCTGGGAGCCATTTTCTTTCACGAGGAGAGAATATCGAAAGTAACAGGTGTAAAGAAACCCAAAGTAGCGAACACGAAGGAAATAAATCATGACTTACCTTGAGTCTGTCCCCACACAAAGAGCATCTTCGTTGACCGGCCGCATGCATCAATGACGGTCCTAAAGCCTGCATTCGGTGATTTAGATATATTGAAAGCGGCATTGTAGTATTTTCTAGACGGACGCAGTTCCATATCCGGTTTGGGGATAGCGCACGACAGAGGCATTGTCCCCTTTACAGCATAGCAACCGGGCTGCATTCCATCAACATACCAGGGTCCAGTGGTCCATGCTTCAGGCCTCGTTCAGTCTTCGGCATGGTACTTGTGGAACCTCGCGCTGCATGTGGAAAAGGATGACTTTGGGGGGAGGGAGGGTGAGGATGTTCCGCAAGGACCCGGACAACTCAGCTGACAGACACTGGAAGAAACCGTTACGAAACGTGCTTGTAGCTCTGTAGACCCGGAAAAGGACGTTCCCATGTGCACGTCAGTGAGATCAATGGAGAAGTTTTATTTATTACTCATGTGGCCTGGCCGAGAGTAGTCCGAAACTTCGTGCTAGAGGTCCCTGGTGGATTAGGCAGTGAGGCCATTGTACGTCGCAAGCGTGAGGCTCGTAGAAACAACAACAACAACAACTCGTGAAGGATGTCGCGTGTCAAGTGATGTGTCTATTCGGTAGAAGGGTGCACACTCGTTCTGAGAGTGGCCAAGTGAAGATGGGAACTGGTTCCCGGGGAGAGCAATGAAGAGAAGAGGGAAACGAACGATGATCATTGATGGAAGCCCTGGATGCCAGGGTGTTGGCTTCCTTGATGCCTGGGCGCCTTTACCCCACACTTTGTGACTCGCTGCCAAGCCCTGAGCATCCCACGAAGGCGCCGATCATTGGCGGTGGGCGCCGGGGCCCTGCTTCAAGGGAACGCTAGGGGTGGGTGAGGGGGCTGATGACGCCCAATCTTAGGCGACTCCAGGCTGTGGAACAGCCGGCATGGCCTGGGGATGGCTCAATGAGCTAATGCAGCCCCTTCCTGGGAGGCCGCCCTGGCACATCAAGACCCTCCCTGGCTGCTCCCCGAAGTCACTTGCTGCTTGCTTCCGCGTCCCTAAAGCCAAAATCTACCAACCAATTGGGCGTCTGGCTCGGAGCTGGCTACGTGTTTTCGACACCGAATGCAAGCCAGGAAAAGGAAAGCGAGCTGGCCCGCTGGTAAATCTGGCATCTGAGCATCTGCTTCCAAGCTGCAAGTGGTGTGTGTGTATGTGTGTGATGTCGTGTATGCGCAGGTCTGTGCAGTCTGGCCCTTTCCCTCCGTTGACTTCTTATGTAAAACCGTCTTTTCTCTCCCCCCTTCACTTCTGCTTGCTTCACTTCTCTATTACTCCCTTGCTCGCATCTCTCGGAGCCATCCTCGTCTTGCTGCTCAATCTCCCATCCACCAAGTGCCTCATCCTCCAGGCGATTCGATCGTCACTCTCGTCCATTGTCTCCCGCTAGTCCACCTGAAACACAGATCCCCCACCAACCGCAGGCTGCTCACGCTACAATGACGTGACTGGGGGACAACTCCTTTGTCCAACCTACCTGGGTACCTGACCTTCTGTTAGTCCTCGACCTTCACTTCACGTTGTCAAGAGTCCAGCTACAATCGGCCGTTTACAAGATATAATCTCCAATACTTGAGTCCCATCGCCCTCAGTACACCTACACAGTTCCATATAAATCAGCTTTCCGCAATGTCTGACCGCAACCATGCACCACCGTCTCCTCCACCGCCACAGCACCGCCGTCGCTCGTCCTTTGTTGAAATGTTCAACCCGCGAACAAGTTCCTCTCCTTCTGCACTGTCCTCATCCCCTCCCTCCTCAGTTGTTCCGTCCACTCCCACCGTGCCACAACACCGAAGAGGCACCTCCATTACCGCTCTCGGCCTGACTACGAACCCCTCCAACCAAGCCCCCTTCAGTGCTTTCGGACTGCAACGACGAGCGAGTGTTGCAACCTCGTCCGTGGCAAGCTCTCCAGATTTCAAAAACAGCTTCGGGGATGAGCCTGCTGTCATTGAAGAGGATGACCCCTCGCGAGCCACTTTGCATCCTCCCTCTTCGCCATCTTTTGCTAGACGGGTCAGTTTTGGAGCACAAGCTTTAAGAGATGTTAGACTTGGAGGAAGCCCTGGTGCTGCTGGCGGTGGTAGGCGCCCCTCCTCCTCCCTTTTCACTCTGAATGAGAATTTCGAAAATGCCACTCCATCACGTCGAGCTACGTCGGGGACGGCCAAGACTGCAGGTAAGAGTCGAGGCCTGTCCTTTTCATTCCGTTCCAAAATCCTCGTTCTCCTTTTCTGCCAAGCTCGCAAAGCCAAGTCGGTTCCTTTGACATGTTACTAACGTCCGAACAGGGGAAGGCTTCAATTGGTCTGAAGCACTGCGTGACAGATCCCGACGCTCTCCATCCTTTTCCTCCAGCAATCCTTTTAGCCAAGGGGCCCCTCGCCCTCGCTCCTCAAGCATCTCCACCCCTGAGCCGCCAAAGGAAATCTCAAAGCCCGTTGAGTCACCACAGGCCAAATTATTGAAGAAGCCAGATGCCCTTGGTGAAAGAATGTTACGTGGCGATTTCATGATGGACTGATTCCGTCTTTTGCGGTGTCGGAATCTTGTTTTCTTTTCAGTTTACTCCCAGAATGGACATGTATATCTCATTCGAATGATGTATAAGTGATGCTTTGGTTTGATGGGGTCTGAGGACATCTGCAAAGGGGAAACTATTACCTGTATCGATTAAGCTCTGGTGGTATCGTGTGCGAGATCCGGCTCGAATGTCGTCCGAAGCAAGTCAGGTGCGCAGGTCAGTATCAGGGAGACAAGGGAAGACGAAGGCGACAGAGATTTGCTTCTTCACGATCATTTTATGACTTTTTGTCTTTGTGCGGGCACGGGAGCAGGAGGAGCTTCGGGTTTTAAGGGCAAGTTCCAGCTTTTTTTGGCCATGGAGAAGCCACGTATGCTTGACGTTACAGCAGTTCGGATATTGAGAATGAGAATGAGAATGAGAATCAAACCAACAATATGCTGAATGAGTAGTCTGAGTCTCTGTCGAGTTGAGCGACCGGCTCAACATACGGCTCGTCACGTTGTATCTTATATTTCATCCTTCCTCATGCAGGACCATACAATTGCCTCCAGATCGTCTCACATGTGCATGTAGAGGAGTACCTATTGGTACTAATGCTCTCAACCTCTTCACTGTCCTACTCTGGTAATCAATACGAAGACGGAAAATCGTAACTCCGGTACCGAAAGGCTGCCCCTGCCGCCCCGCGACGCCTTCGCATCGTAGCACAGACCGAAGGTGGCAGGCCATTGTAACATCAGCACAACTACCGAGTACCGTGTACCGAGTACAAGTTTCGTTGACCATCATCTGTGAATCAACGGCAGCATTCCAGCTATGTCACAAACTACAACAGTCGCAGAATATTTGTTCACACGCCTAAAGCAATTGGGCGTTGGTGCGGTCCACGGCGTGAGTTGTTCAGATCTCGAGAGGCTTTTTCGCTTCTGTAATCCCCCTGTCGGTCCAGGCTGATCGAGACCAAACAGATCCCTGGAGACTACAATCTCCACTTGCTGGACTATGTCGAACCCTCTGGACTCCTCTGGGTTGGCAACACCAACGAACTCAATGCCGGATATGCCGCGGATGGGTATGCGCGGATCAAAGGCATAGGAGCTCTGGTCACCACATATGGAGTCGGCGAGCTATCAGCCATTAATGCCATTGCCTGTGCGTTTACCGAGCGGGCGGCCGTCGTACATATCGTTGGCACACCCCCTCGAAACACACAAGCATCCCGTCTGATGGTACACCATACCCTCGGGGATGGAGACTACCGACACTTTAGCCAGATGCAATCGCACGTTACTGTGGCACAGACTAATTTGCTCGATCCTCGTACTGCGCCTCGGCAAATCGATCAAATACTGGAGCAATGTATTCTGCACTGCAGACCGGTCTACATTGAAGTTCCTCTAGATATTGTTTCAGCCCCAGTCATTGCAGAGGGCCTCATTCATGAGATTGCGATCCCAGAACCTGTCCCAAATCCTGTCTACGACGGGATATTAGACAAAGTCCTCGAGAGGATGTATGGAGCAGAACAACCTCTCATTCTCGTGGACGGAGAAGCCAGAGCGCTGGGCATCCTGGACCATATTGAAAAAATCGTGTCTTCAACGTTATGGCCTACATTCACGACAACTTCCGGTAAAGGCCTCGTCAATGAGACGTTCCCCAATGTCTATGGCATCTATCGCGGCAGTTTTGCAGACGCCAGCTTAAAGGCTTTCATCGATAGCTCGGATCTAGCTTTGTACTTTGGACCACACCTCAGCTCCACCAACACTTACAATTGGACTGGGGTGCCCAAGTCAGCCGCCACCATCTACTTTGCTTGGGACGGTATCAAGATTGGTGACGTGCTCCATCGCGACATTTCACCAGCATATGCGCTCACCCAACTCCTACAGAAATTTGACTTGAAAAAACTGAAGAAACACGACAGCTGTCCGACCTTTCCTCGTGAGCAACCTTTATCATTCTCAGAAGTGTCTACGGACGCCCCTATCAAGCAAGACAAAGTCTGGCGCCTCATCACATCCTTCTTGCGGCCAGGAGATATCGTCTTCGGTGAAACAGGAACTGCAGGATATGGCGTGCGAGAGATGCTCCTACCCAAGCACACGAGACTCTTTACCCCTATTACCTGGCTTTCTATCGGGTATATGCTACCGGCCTGTCAAGGCGCAGCATTAGCTCAGCGCGAGTTAATAGCCTCGTCCAAATACCACGACCTTACCCACGCCCGAACCATTTTGTTCATCGGCGACGGTAGCTTTCAGATGACAGTCCAGGAACTCGCCACCATCATTAGACACAATCTCAACGTAGTAGTGTTTTTGATCAACAACGACGGCTACACAATAGAGCGCTGCATTCATGGCATGAAAGAAGGCTACAATGACATTTCCACTTGGCGCTACCTAAAAGCACCCAGCTTTTTTGGAGCTCCAGAAGACGCTTTCACTGCGTCCGCGAGGACGTTTGGCGAGCTCCGGCAGGTGCTAGATCATGAGAGGCTCGCCGATGGAACAGGAATAAGAATGGTGGAAATTCATGTGGATCGCTTTGATGCGCCGGCTGGACCGCTGGCTGTGTTGCTCAACCAGCAAAAACCGCCGCAGGGTGTCGATGCCTGATGTGGAGGAGATAAATTGCAATTCAACCGGTCGAGTCAATACCGTTCGACTCTCAACAGCCCCCACCATTCGAACACCGTCTCATCATTCATTCATTCCGCACAGATCTAACAACCCTTTCCCCCGAGCCCCTTTCTTGCGTTGGTCTTTTTGTGTCCACCAGATTACCTGTCGAAGATGGGAGGGAAACAATTTTACCATACTCCAACCGTTGGTCGCACTTCTACGCGCTTGGCATCCTTTTTTCATTCTCTATCCACAAGACGTAGCTGATTTTCTAGAGATCTGCTTTACTGATATCACTAAGTTGTCATTGCACCTCGCGTACGAATCTCACGTCGAGGCTGTGTCACCTTGGGCTCTGTGGGCTATCTCAGGATCTATCACCTTCAAACGATAGCATGAGGCTACGCAACTAGCTTCATCAAGTCAACAACAGCGACCTCGTCAACCCGGCCAACTAAATCAGAGATTTGCTGAGACTTGGTCACCCCGTAAACGGGCTCTGCGAGACCTTTGAACTTCTGCTTAACGCCGGTATCCCATTCAAAGGGATGCTCAGGCTCGCCAAGAGGATGGATCACTTCATCCTCGACCGTGGTCCCGTCCTCGAACACCATTTTCAGTCGAGACTCAATGCTGCCGTACGACTCATCAATCTCGCATGTGACTTTGCGGCAAAGTTCGCGCACGTTCTCGTCTTGAATCTTATCGTATATAGCCCAGCCGAGGTCAGTTCCGTACAACCACGAAGCAGCGACTTGGTAGTACGAGCTAAACTGAGCGTCAACGATACAGTCTGGCTGGATTTTATTTGGAGTTGGGATTCCGACAATGGGGAAGCAGCCTGGGGGAAGAGAAATTGTCACCCGCGCCGGTAGTCCATGAGAAGCATAGGCTTTGCGCATTTTCCCAACCATTTCCAGCTGGCCGTGGGTCATCCTGCAGGCTGGAAATGGCTTACATGCTGTTGTGAGGAAAGTCCACTTCTTTCCTAGACCCCGAGTCAATGTATCAGGGTTTCCTGCCTCGGAGTAATTGTGAAGAAGTCCATATCTGCCTTCAATCGCTTTCGTGGCGCCAATCACGCCAGCTTCAGCCAGGCTGACACAGAGAAGCGCATCGTGAGCGGCAAACCCGGGGTGAAGACGCTTGTTCCAGCTACCATTCTCCAAGAACTGCATGGATCCGGCCGCCTTGGAGAGTGCAAGCCCGAAAGCATCCTCAACTATCTGCTGAGAAGAGCCCCTGAGCTTGCTGACGGCTGCGATTGACCCATACAGACCCACGGTGCCTGTGTTGTGGAATCCTCGGCGGTATGATCCTAGTCCGAGAGCAACTCCTATGCGACAGGCCACTTCATAGCCGACAGCCAAAGCTAGGAGAAAGTCGGCTCCGGATGCATTGAGGGTTTCAGCTTCGGCCAAAGCAGCAGAGATCAGGCTGCTCCCCGGATGGAGAAGTGCCTCGGCCGTTGTATCATCAAAGTCGTACGTATGGCACCAAGCACCATTCAAAAGTGCTGCATAATGAGGCGGAAATGTCGAGCCTTTGGTCAAAACGGTACAACTCCCTTTGGCACCTTGCGAGAACTTTGTGATACCTGCCAAAAACTTCGGAGTTGACTCGGCAAAGGCGCCTGCTGATGCAGAAACTCCAAGGTAATCCAATAGCAATGCCTTGAGTTTGGTGACGATTTCTTGAGAAAGAGCGTCACTCGGGAATGATACAACAAATGCGGCCAAAGCCACGGTCACTTCCTCTGGCGTACTGCCATTTTGCTTGACGGCGTTTGAGGCTTCGTTTGTGACGGTCATGTTCCGTGAAGAAGCACTGGCTGAGAACTGGTCAATGCTTGCGGTAGCAGGGGCTGTGGCAGCAGCGGAAAGGGTCAAAGTTAAAGAAGTCTTCAAGGATATCAAGCAATGCTTCTGATGCGTCTCAATATAAAATTGGACAAGGTTCTGGAAGCGGCTGGTTTTGTCTTCGTGGCCACTAACTCCTCCCCTTCCCCGGATTTCGAGCGGGTCCGAAAACAGCACATACACAGGGCCAAGCTCTGGTACGCGGCTTTCTGCCAAAATCCGTGGAACAATGCTCCGAAATGCGCATCTCGGCCATCCGGGGTGCGAGCCAAGATGCGAGTTTCGGAATTGCGGAATCCCCTAGCATTGCTCGGGTCAGAGTATGTTAGGGTACCTCACACACTATGATCTGCGCTCTACCGAATCAAGAATTGGAAATCGCACATGGGATTGGGACTGACGTTTTGCAGATACATTCTTTCAACCTCTCTGTGTTAATGGCACGGAGGATGGAATGGGGCAATCCCGAATAGTCCGAATGAAGGACTTCACTTCAATGGATTGAGTGGGGAAGCAGCATCTCGCCCTGGTTATGCGAAAACGATTCAGCATATATACCTGGATAGGCTTGGAAGGCTGTCACAGATACAGAGATACCACCTAACAGTACTACATTCACTTGCAAGTATATCCTCGCCGTTGAGATTTGCTACTTCGCTTTTACCGATCCAAAAAATGATTTCCAAGTCCTTGCCCGAAGTTGAACACTTCGTCCCTGTCCAACCCTCGAAACTTGTCAAGGACTTTGTCAAATTGCGGACGGTGGACCTGAGCCGCTACGAAGATGGTCCCGAAGCTCGCAAAGAACTGGCAGAAGAGGTGAGACTCGCCATGACCACACAAGGGTTTTTCATCCTCGTCAACCACGGTCTCAGCGAGGAGGATATCTCGCGCCAAGTCGATATTGGCCACACCATTCTCGCTCGAACTCCAGATGAGGAAAAGCATCGGTTGAAAGCACCTATCGTGGAGGAAGGTTCTTACCATGGCTTCAAGCCTCGCGGGCACTGGATCGCCAAGGGCAATGTGCGTGACAAAGTTGAAAATTTCAACGTGAACCGTGACATGACCCTTCGAGAGCAGCCACTCGTGAGTTTAACATGACTGAGAGAGCTCTCCATCAACCTGCCTAACTCTATTTGCAGACTATGGAGCCCTACAAGCCCGAGATTCAATCCTTCATTGACTACACCCACAAGGAGATTCTGTACAAGCTCCTCCGTCTGTTTGCCATTGCGTTGCAAATTCCTGACGAGGACTATTTTGTCAAGCTGCACGCCTATGAGGGCCATGACGAGACTTGGCTCCGATACATGGAATATTATGACGAATATACCGAGGAGGAGAAAAAGGTGACAGGAGGCCTTTGGCTTAGTGGTCATCAAGACTTTACAAGCCTGTCTATCCTCTTCAGCCAGCCCATGTCGTCTCTACAGGTCCGAGACTACGACAACAATTCCGAGTGGACCTTCGTGCCGCACGTTCCCGGTGCAGTCATTGTCAATGCTGGAGAAATATTCAAGTGGTGGACCGGAGACTATTTCAAGGCAGCAATCCACAGAGTGGTTCAGCCTCCCGAAGATCAGCGTGGACACAATCGCTGCAGCGTCTTTTATTTCTGTGTGCCTAACGACGAGGTCGTTATCAACACTCTGCTTGATGTGAGCCCGGTTTTGAGAGAGGCAGGGGTGCAAATGGCCCACGAGCCACAGAATGCTCCCACCAGCAAGGCATGGAGCAACGGCCGGATCAAGATTACTGGCAGGAATGCCGTCTGGGAGGGAAAGAAGGATGGAGAAAATATGGTAGTGGAAAAGGTGGGCACCGTCGAGACAAGATGGTTCCGATGAAGACGACGAGCCCTGATGTGGTTTCTTGTGGTCGACAATTTGTACAGCACCCTAGCAAAAATATCCGTCCACCCCACCAATTTTCCATCCACTTGATTTCCAACCACCAACCACTCGTTTTGTAAATTGCTTCAACCACGCTCGCTTAATCACTCTGTAATTGCCGTTATAATGACAAAAAGCAATGAATATTCTGAATTTGTACGTGGCACGATTCATGGGCTTCATTTGGCTGGGAAATCCCAGCGGGAAATCGCCGAGATCGTTCAAATACCTCGCAGTTCCATACAGTATATTCTCAATCATCTTGAGTCCCAGAGCCACCAACGCCCTGGCAGACCTGAAAAACTATCTAATACTGCGAAGAGACGTATAATCCGTCATGTTAAGAAGTATCCTCGTCATTCCTATCAGCGAGTCATCGATGAAAACGATCTT